CTTTTCCTAACGTATAAGATAAGATAAGATATACTTTATTGGTCTCACAAAAGAGATATTTACATTTGGTACTTTTTGTCTCTGTCACATCTTTCTTTTGATCAGCCTTTTCAAACAGAAAAGAGAAAAAGAGAGGACCATCCTCATTCAGCCAATCAACTCTCACCCCAAAAAGTGACTCACTTCCTTTGAAGTATGCAAATGATAACCTGTTTTCTAATAAGATGAAGATGTTGGAAAGTGGCTGAGAGTCGATATGTGACCTTTTGAGCTTGTTATCTTTATTTCTCTCTTAAAAATCTGCTCTAAAACTGTGACATAGGACAAAGAAATGCATGTGGGGCAAGTAATCATAGGAAACTGTTTTGAGGGCTACAGAACATGAAATTGTTTTAATAATTTGCTGTTTGAAAATCCAGTGCGCCAGCTTTCATTTTAGTTAATTTATTTGAGGAAACATTGTCACTGGGCTCGGATCCAGTGATAGTTGCCAGAAGCAGATCTCGAAGCTGCAGCATGCAAATGGACGAAATACAAAAGCACGTGCTGCCCCCCACTTTCCCCGGTGAGAATTGCACTTGTCTGTCGTCAAAGCCAGATGGTGACTAGCACTTCAAAAGGACAGCTGCCAAACAGACTCACTCAAGGATCTTTATGGTCCCAAACATAATTACCAACAACCTACAAGAAAACCACGCACAAAAGAAATAAGAGGGGATTTGTGAATGGAAGATTGTAAAAAAAAAAAAGTGAGATGACATTTTATAGTGTTTCCAACTTGACACAATTTAACTGAGGCGACTGTATCCGCAGAAAAACAAGTTTGTATTATGCAAAGCAGTCTGCAAGTAGTATGCAAAGTTAAGTTTTAAACCATGTAATAAAATAGTGTCTTTTGAGCGTTATTATTATATATCCATGCTTTTGAGCCATCACAGCTGTTCACACGAAGAATTTGTTATTATGGTCTGCAGAAGGAAATGTGTGAATTTATTTTATGGTTAGTGTTGACAAATATAATTTCATATTATATAAATGTGAGGTGTGGTTCTACTGTATTGGATGCTATGATGCTGTGCGTGTGCGTGTGTGTGCATGTGCGTGTGCGTGTGTGTGTGTGAGTGTGAGAGAGAGAGGGCTTTATTTTGGCTTTCATAAAGTTAAAACAAAATACATATATGGAAGTTGTGTATTACTGCAAAAAAAGAATGGCTTAAAGTGGTTTAAAAACGTTATCTTTTATAGACCTAAATCACAACAGCAGTCGTCTCAGAGGACTTTACACAGTTGTCGATTCATCAACAACAGATTGGAGAATCGAACAGTGTCAAAGTACATTCCCATTGTATCTTGATAACAGATTTTTTTCCCCGCATGTAACCAGGGACTGCAGATAGTAGCTATAACCTGGTGCAGAGCTTAGTGTTGCTGTTCCTTTTAAATAACGACTAAAGTACAATTTTTAAACCAAAGTGAAATAATCCAGATCTTACAACTTGGTTCAAATAGATAGAAAGGTAGAAAGGTAGAGAGGCACTTTATTGCTCCCCCATAGAATAAATATATATGTCCAGCAGCAAAAACTTAACTGTTGTGTTTCCCAAAGACTTTATCTAGTCTTTAAAATGTGTTACGGTCTCATGTAACTGAATGTACTCTATGTACTGGACACAAGCAGCTCAAGGCCAAAGCATCTAGAGCCACCCAGACAAAGACCAGAGCGAGACCAGAGTGAGACCAGAGCGAGACCAGGGTGAGACCAGAGCAAGACCAGAGCGAGACCAGAGCGAGACCAGAGTGAGACCAGAGTGAGGCCAGAGCGAGACCAGAGAGAGACCAGAGTGAGACCAGAGCGAGACCAGGGTGAGACCAGGGTGAGACCAGAGCGAGACCAGGGTGAGACCAGAGCAAGACCAGAGTGAGACCATAGTGAGACCAAAGCGAGACCAGAGCAAGACCAGGGTGAGACCAGGGTGAGACCAGGGTGAGACCAGAGCAAGACCAGAGTGAGACCATAGTGAGACCAGAGCAAGACCGGAGCAAGACCAGAGCGAGTCCAGAGCAAGACCAGAGCGAGACCAGGGTGAGACCAGAGCAAGACCAGAGTGAGACCAGAGCAAGACCAGAGCAAGACCGGAGCGTGACCAGAATAAGACCAGAGCGAGACCAGGGTGAGACCAGAGCAAGACCAGAGTGAGACCAGAGTGAGATCAGAGCAAGACCAGGGTGAGATCAGAGCAAGACCAGAGCGAGTCCAGGGTGAGACCAGAGCAAGACCAGAGCGAGACCAGAGCCAGAGTGAGACCAGAGTGAGACCAGAGTGAGACCATAGTGAGACCAGAGCAAGACCGGAGCAAGACCAGAGCGAGTCCAGAGCGAGACCAGGGTGAGACCAGAGCAAGACCAAAGTGAGACCAGAGCAAGACCAGCGCAAGACCGGAGCGTGACCAGAATAAGACCAGAGGGAGACCAGGGTGAGACCAGAGCAAGACCAGAGTGAGACCAGAGTGAGATCAGAGCAAGACCAGAGCAAGACCAGGGTGAGATCAGAGCAAGACCAGAGCGAGTCCAGGGTGAGACCAGAGCAAGACCAGAGCAAGACCAGAGCGAGACAAGAGCCAGAGCGAGACCAGAGTGAGACCAGAGCAAGACCAGAGCAAGACCGGAGCAAGACCAGAGCGAGACCAGAGCAAGACCAGAGCGAGACCAGGGTGAGACCAGAGCAAGACCAGAGTGAGACCAGAGTGAGACCAGAGCAAGACCTGAGCAAGACCGGAGCGTGACCAGAGCGAGACCAGAGCGAGACCAGAGGGAGACCAGAGCGAGACCAGAGTGAGACCAGAGTGAGACCAGAGCGAGACCAGAGCAAGACCAGAGCAAGACCAGAACGAGACCAGAGCGAGACGAGAGTGAGACCAGAGCAAGACCAGAGCAAGACCAGAACGAGACCAGAGCGAGACCAGAGCGAGACCAGAGCGAGACCAGGGTGAGACCAGAGCAAGACCAGAGTGAGACCAGAGAGAGACCAGAGTGAGGCCAGGTTGAGACCAGAGCGAGACCAGAGCGAGACAAGAGCCAGAGCGAGACCAGAGTGAGACCAGAGCAAGACCAGAGCAAGACCGGAGCAAGACCAGAGCGAGACCAGAGCAAGACCAGAGCGAGACCAGGGTGAGACCAGAGTGAGACCAGAGTGAGACCAGAGCAAGACCTGAGCAAGACCGGAGCGTGACCAGAGCAAGACCAGAGCGAGACCAGAGGGAGACCAGAGCGAGACCAGAGTGAGACCAGAGTGAGACCAGAGCGAGACCAGAGCAAGACCAGAGCAAGACCAGAACGAGACCAGAGCGAGACGAGAGTGAGACCAGAGCAAGACCAGAGCAAGACCAGAACGAGACCAGAGCGAGACCAGAGCGAGACCAGAGCGAGACCAGGGTGAGACCAGAGCAAGACCAGAGTGAGACCAGAGTGAGGCCAGGTTGAGACCAGAGCGAGACCAGAGCGAGACCAGGGTGAGACCAGAGCAAGACCAGAGTGAGACCAGAGTGAGATCAGAGCAAGACCAGAGCAAGACCAGGGTGAGATCAGAGCAAGACCAGAGCGAGTCCAGGGTGAGACCAGAGCGAGACCAGAGCCAGAGCGAGACCAGAGCGAGGCCAGAGCGAGACCAGAGCGAGACCAGAGTGAGACCAGAGTGAGACCATAGTGAGACCATAGTGAGACCAGAGCAAGACCAGAGCAAGACCCGAGCGAGACCAGAGCGAGACCAGAGGGAGACCAGGGTGAGACCAGAGCAAGACCAGAGTGAGACCAGAGCAAGACCAGAGCAAGACCGGAGCGTGACCAGAGCAAGACCAGAGCGAGACCAGAGGGAGACCAGAGCGAGACCAGAGTGAGACCAGAGTGAGACCAGAGCGAGACCAGAGCAAGACCAGAGCAAGACCAGAACGAGACCAGAGCGAGACCAGAGCGAGACCAGGGTGAGACCAGAGCAAGACCAGAGTGAGACCAGAGAGAGACCAGAGTGAGACCAGGGTGAGACCAGAGCGAGACCAGAGCGAGACCAGGGTGAGATCAGAGCAAGACCAGAGCAAGTCCAGGGTGAGACCAGAGCGAGACCAGAGCCAGAGCGAGACCAGAGCGAGGCCAGAGCGAGACCAGAGCGAGACCAGAGTGAGACCAGAGTGAGACCATAGTGAGACCAGAGCAAGACCAGAACGAGACCACAGTGAGACCAGAGCGAGACCAGAGTGAGACTAGAGCGAGACCAGAGCGAGACCAGAGTGAGACCAGAGCAAGACCAGAGTGAGACCAGAGTGAGACCAGAGCAAGACCAGAGTGAGACCAGAGTGAGACCAGACCACTACACTGCAAAAAATGATAAAATATGAGGCAAAAATGGATTGAATTGAGTGTCTTTGTCTCAATTTGAGTCTTAAAACAAGCTTTGCCAACGGGACAAAGCCATTTAATCTTTTTCAACTGTTGCTTTATTTTCTAATTTCAAGATAGTTTTATTTGTCCCATTGGCAAATCTTGCTTTAAGGCAGTGAAAATGTGCCCAAATTAAGATTAATTTAGTCAAATTTGAGTGATTGGAGCAGTGGTCCTGTCCGAAGGACCAATAAACTTCTCTTACATTAGAATTCCTCTCATTCGAACCCTCAGACAATAGATGCTTTCATGTTCTATTCTATTTCAGTGAAAAGACTCTACGGGAAAGAAGCAAAGACAATGTCCAAATGTTTCCCCAGATCATTTGATTGGGGCAGGGGGAACAAGTCTGTGTGGTGAGGGAACAACAATGTAAAAACAGGGTTAAAAGCTCAAATAAGATTCTGCTTGAACATTTTTACATTTTACATTACAAACACATTTTTCCAAGTTCAAACTCCTCATATTCCTTATTCCTTCTGACATCTGCAGCTTTGTCGTTATGATAGATTACTTTATTGTGTTGGAGGTTCTGTGGATGTTATGGAAAGGTTTGTTCAATGACAGCATCAGATTTGGGGCTCGTCCAGTGATCGCTGTCTGCTGCTGCTCGGCGAACTCTCCACAGAACTTTTTCTCGCCGTCTCTCCGGGTGAACTGTCTGTCTGCATCACCTGTGGAAACAAGATACTAGTTTATACAGGAGTTCATGTTAAACATGTGTTTATTATGAATGGGACAGAGTGTGTAGATACCAAACATACACCTGATTGTAGCCATATATAATTCGAGTTGTGTTTTATTATTTGAGCACTTTTTTATCAAATAATAACATTTCTGTAATGTAAGTTTACTTAAAACTTAGGTAAAATAATCCAGTTCTTGAACTTGATTAAAGATAGATACATGAAAATATATAATAGAAATAAACAAGTTGAAACCTGATTTATAATTCTCCTGCGCAGTTCTCCTTTAGACAGTGGCCGGTCCTTGTCTTCAGTGATGACCAGCTCTTCTGTGTTGTGGTTGAGGCTGTGAGACACACAAACGTCATACGTCGTACTTTTATACTTTCTTTATCACAGCAGTAAAATATTTCTGTAATGCACCTGTTAAACGCAGTCTGATCCACCTCCTCAAGGATCACCGGATTCTGCCCAAGGAGGAATTTGGCCAAATCCTTGGGATTGTAATCTTTTTCCAGGTCCTGAGGTTTTATCACATGGATGTAAAGAAAAACAATTGTTTTGTGTGAATAAAATAATTATGTGAGAATTAGGAAGAAGACAATACAATACATTTATAATGGTAAAAATAAGCTCAGGGCCAATTTGAAGTTATTTAATCAGAAAGAATATATATATAAAAAGCAACAAATCTCAATTTCCACACGTAAACATAACTATTTTGTCCGTTATAGGGTATTCAATGTGATGAAATTTAGGGTGAACTACTGCTTTTCACATGTTTTACCCCTAGACTATTTAAAAAAAAGCGTATTATCATACAGTCTATGGTATTATCTTATACAGTCTATGGTATTATCGCATTAATATCGTAGAACTACTTGACACAGTGCCGGTTCCACCCGGACATGTTTCCTGGCTGCACCCAGTGGTAAACAGCTGAAGGAGCAGCTCAAGCTGCCGCTGCCACTCACTGCTGCACGCGCTCAGCCTCTGCGCGACATTTGGCCCACATCCATTAATGTCTGCACTACTCTTTTGTATTGTGTATGGATATGTTTTGTTTGGTTTAATGGTTAGTGCCTCTTTTGATGTACTTTCCCCTTAAGAGGGTCACCCAAGGAGCGAAAATAGCAATTTGCCTGAGGAAGGTGTCAGGAACGAAAAGTTGACATTTGCCAATTTTTATTTGTATTTTTTTTTTTTTTTGCAAGGACAGCAGTGTGCGGAAACCATTATTTGTAATATAAATTATCATTTATATTTCAATTTCGGTTGCTTGGTAACTAATTTTCTATGTCAGCAAAAGCCTGTTCTTGTAGTTTCGTACTCTTTGGCATGTTGTGATGTCAACTGAACATAACCTATTGATTAGTTTAATTTGCACGGTAGATCATTTACATGAGGGACAGACTAACGTTATAAAGTGACCTCAAAGTATCTGTAGTAAAATGATAATTACCGGAAGCGTCGACGTCCATCTCGCTGTCGTCTGTGCGCGCGCTGATGGCAGACTTCCTTCGGGGCATGACGGCGGACTCGTATACGGACTTTAGCAACAAAAATAATTATTTCTTGTGTATATTAAACACGTGAGCTGCTACTGCACTGACCAATTACTGCCACTAGAGGGTAGCCTAAAGAACGCTGCGATATTCAGTAAATGGAGCTTATTCAAAATTAAGTTTTCACTTAGCTAATGTTTAGTCTTTGAAAAAGCAGCACTGCTCTAGTATAACCCAGTATAAAACTCCCAACGGAGTCATGATAGGAGAAAAAATGTCATGTCAAAATCAATTCATAAAGTGAAAATAGTTTCAAGCGGTGCAAAAAACGGTACATTAGCGTTAGCTTAGTCCATTAACGCTACCTAACCAAGTGGTATTTAAAATCTTACTAGCCACAATGTCTGCATTACAATCAAAACGTGAAGAAAGAACCGGAATAGGAATTGCCTTTACAAACAGATTACATTTAATAATTAATATTTAAAAATGGTTTTGTTACAAATACGCTAAATGTAAAATTGATCAAACAAAGTAGTCACTAACCAACGTGTCTTACCAGCTCGAGCTCCCGGACTGAAAAGCTTTGTTGTTGGCAACTGTTGCTATGTGCCATGAATGCTGCCCTGAGTTTTGTCTGAGAGAATCATTTTTCCCCTTTTCAACATGTTACCCAGATTTACCTGCTATAAAGAAGTCTACTATATATGTATATGCATTATTTTTACTTATTTGTGAAGAATGTATTTACAAATGTATACTTTATAATGCTTAGAATACACTTGACTATAATATCACACATTCACTATTAATGCATTTCACAAACAATTCAGTTATGTTAAAAAAGTTAATGCGCAGATTCTGTCTCAGTTTGAGGCTGCGGCTCGTCCTCAGGAGGAGTCGGAGGAACTCCCTCCAGAACGGTGCAGAAATACTCGGCTTTGTTGAGCTCAGGGTTCCTCATCATCAGAAAGCACTTGGGGAAGAAGTACGCTGCCATCAGCCCAAAGTTACTGGACAGAGAGAAAGAGATGTGGACAATGGACTTCTGCTTGCCTTTCAGCCCGATGTAAATGGGGATGAAGGTGACCCAGATGACACAGTAAATGAGGCAGGAGAAGGTGATGTCCCGGGACAGGTTGTACTGGTGAAAAGGCTTCACAGCCATGAAGGTGCTCATGAAGGAGACCAGGGCCAGGACCACATTAAAGCCCTGTAACAGACCAAAGCCAATCTGCGGCTCCACAGGGCAGCTCAGAAACGCACGCACAAAGGTGATCTCCATTTTCTCCATGTAGGCTGAGAGAGAAGGGCCCTCCTGCACAAACCAGCCACAGATACCAGCCTGAGCCACACAGCAGGACAGCACCAGGAGCCAGCTGCCCGGGCCACGGATGGTATGGAGGTGAGGGGCGGCCCGCTGAGGGAACTCTGACACAAAGAACACCTGAGGATGTGTTTAAAGGCAGAGTTTTAGTTTGATCTCATCTGGTTACAGTCAGTGTTGTCATTAGTAAAGTGTCACCTGTAGAGAAATGGAGGCGAGGATGGACAGAGCCACTGTTTGCCAAATGGAGGTGAGTGGCACCTGCAACCGACACACTGTGTCTGTGGGCTGTCCCAGGAACAGCACCAGGCTCAGGCACGCCCCCATCAGGCCAAGCAACGCCACAAAGGCCAGTGTCCCACCTGAGGCCAGCACCAGGGGACTGCTCCTGTGTCTGAGGAACAGCAACAGCACTGCACTCTGGCACAGCAGCAGCAGAGCTCCAGCTATCACCATCACCACAGACTCTGTCATGTCCCATGACAGGACCTCAAAGGTGGGATCAGTGCAGGACGTGCTGCGTATGGTGGACCATTGGCGCTTTTGACAAGGTCTGCACTGAATATCACCTGGAAACAGTGACTAGAGATGAGATATGACACCATAAAGACAGTATGTTATGTTGTGCTTCTTGACCTTTGTCAGCCTGGAAGGTTCCAGGCTGACAGTCGATGCAGCCAAAGCAGCAGGAGTGGAACCCTTTGACTCTGCGCACTTGTCCAGGATCACAGGTCGCAGAGCATGTGGACTCTGGCACCTGTTTGGACACATACATTAGCATGATAATACTTTTGTCACTAGACAAATTCAAGTTACCGTTGAGTCCTCAGTATGCCATTTGAAGAGGGATTTGTTTATGGACAGTTCAGTCAGATAACTCCCCACATTCAGAATGTGTACATTTGAGCCTTCCCATTTCCAAAGGACCACTTGGTATCCAACATTTGGGTTTCCATTACTGTCAAATTGAAACTTCGAGCCATTTATGTCAATGGAAGTATTCTTTAAAATGTGCAATAGCTGCAACAACAAAACATACTCATTAGTGTATGTATTATGTATTAGTTACAGCAAGAATCCTTTGCCAACAACTTTGTATCAGACTATCAGAGAGATTAGAGTGCATTCTATCACATATAAGACACAATGAGAGTTGACTTTCTACTCACACATAGTACTGTTAGGATAGTCGAGAAAATACAACTTCCACTTTGTGTATATGGTCTATAATATGGGGGATTTACCTGCCATGGAAAGACCTTTGTACCCTGTTTCCAGTCACAATGAGTGGTATTACAGTTCAGAAGCTTGTGTAATGCATCTGCAACAGCGTACACAGCAGCATAGACACTGAAAGCCTGTCGCTGGACCCCAGAATCCTGCATGATGCTGGCATTGATTGGAGATAGCTCCCAGCATTGAGGGCAGGGATCACTTGGGTTGTTGTGGTTGACGTTGTTAGGTGGAAGAGTGGAGTTTTTTTTCTCTTCACTGATTTTGGAAAAAAGAGTTTGTGTGTATTCAGTGAGCTGATGCACATCCTCGGTCTTGTCTGTGAATCCCATTATGGTACCTATACTTTTCATCTCTGGGATTGAGGTGAGCTTTTGGTTGTTTGTCCAAGAAGTGCTGCCGATCCACACACCAGTCACATTTCTCCTTATGACCTAAAGGAAATTAGTATTATTTATTAGATTATTACTTCTGATTCTGACTTTTTGTAACTTATCTTTTGGACTGTGTCCCCCACTTCAATTGAGTTATTAATTAACCTGAAAAGTCTAATAACATTTAGAAACTAATGTTGGTAATGCGCTCTCAAACACTATGGACTGGGCCTTCATTCAAAGGACATTCAAATAAGATTATTTGGATAATTACCATGTTGAAACATGTATCACTCTTTTGTTCTTCTTATGACGGACAACTGTCTCATGCTGGTGTTAAACTGGTTACTTTTACAAAACGGAAAAGAAAATTTTCAAACCTGGATCCTAATCCCACTCGCCCCAGTAACATCCTGTTTGCAATGCCAGATTGTGAAAATAAAGCATCTAGATAAGACCTCTAAAGCACACGTAGAAGATACCAGATAGTTTTCTATCTCCTGAAACAAGTCAAATGTCTGTCATCCCACCTCCTTAAAGAATGCAACAGCAGGTTCTGCCAAAGAGAAGACCACGATGACACTGACATTTGAGGCTTTGATGTTGTTGATGATGACCTCTATGGCTGGTGCTGGGTCTGTGTAGACTGGGATCAGGGCCTGGTAAGCCACACACAGTTTGCTCTTCTCTGCCAGTTTGGAGAACTCCTGCACTCCCATCTGGCCATACTCCTCCTCACTGCCGACCACTGCCACCCAGTTCCACTTAAACTCCTTTATGAGCAGCACCATCACCTCCACCTGCAACTTATCACTGGGCACGGTGCGGAAGAATGATGGGTACTGACTTTTGTCGCTGAACTTGTCACTTGTGGCCCCATAGCTGATCTAAAATATATACAGTGTACAATGTTACTTTAATGGCTCTGGTATTTTGTAACAATCTTTTTTTGAAGTGCAGAATTTAACATGTTTCTATTTTAAAAGTTAACGCTAATACAGTAGGAAAGGTATTGGATCATTAAAATCTTTTCTTTTTTTTCTTTTTTTAGAAGGACAGCATGTGTCATTTCCCCACATCTCACTCCAGCCCTTATAAGGCATCTGTGATAGGACCATAGAGTTGTTCACTGAGACTCAGACTAAATTGAAACAGATACCATGCATGTGAGACACTGTTATAGCACTGAAGCTGTTCTGCTTTGTCTAAACTTGTGTATTTAACACAATTGATAAAAACTGTACTTGTTGCTTTAACCAATGTATTGCATTTATGTTATTGACCTGCGGCATGAGAAAGAACCCCAGTAGTTTCCCGATGATAGAGACCATCTCGGAGCTGTAGGGGCCAATGACTGCAGAGATGCTGGTGTCATAGTCAGTGTAGTTGCAGTCCACAGAGAGCTTCTGTGTCGATCGGCTCGTCATAAAGGACAGGGTTGGCTGCACGATCACCGCGGGCTGTCGGCACGTGTTGTAGATCTTATAACCTAATTTAACTCCAGGTAGAAGTGCTGGGTTCACATTGATTTCATCTATGGAATACTTCATCACTATGGAGAGGCCAAGTCCAAATATATCCAAACTAAAAAAGCAAAAATACAATGAATGTTGTACAAAGTATGAACAAGGCAGCCACAGTAGTAAATATTAGATGTACCATCTGCACGTGCAACTGTAAAGTGAATGATTTCAGAACCACATTGTTGTAGTCACATTGTTAACTCAAAGCTGTGTAATTATAAATACAAAATACAATTAGAACTCGTGTACCTTGCACATGTGAGGTTGTCTGGCTCCGTCCGCTCACTTAAGTTGCTCGACAGCAGGTTTATTGGAAACAGTCCCCCCAGGGTGATATCTCCAGCCAAATCAAACAGCTCCGTGGAAATGTCCTCAAACCAATCCTTTGAACTAACTCTTGCCTGGTTCCAAACACAGCAAAAGACAATAAACCTGATCATAATTGGAGCCATTGTGTGGAACCAATGAGACTCAGAAGGACAGTAATGGGAGAACAGAAAAGTACTGTGATGTTATGCAAACTCACTCACAGGACAGTGTCAGGCCCCTCCTTTACCTCTATCCTAATGGTGTGCATCCAGTTGTATCTAATGTAGCATAAACAACCCACACTGATCACCACAGCAGAAATAATGTATGTTATATTCATTGTTCTCTGTAATACATGACAGTGATCAAAATCAATGAGTCGTCCAGGAGGCACCCGAAACAAGCTCCTTTTGTGTGATTGGCCTTTTTTTATTTGCCCAAAGCTCATGTCCATACTGACTTGAAGAAGGATAACTAATGTTTTATATTTCTTTCTGAGAGGTTGAATAACACTTTAACGCAATGTGTTTAGGTTCACATCCCCAAATGTGTAGAATAAGCATGTTTCTGATGCATATTTCATCCCTAAGCCAGGCAGCTCTATAAGGAACAAATGCATATTCTGAATTTCCCTCTAAACTCTAAAGTTAAAATCTAAACTTAAACTAACTACACATTTTAAGAACTACATCACATTTGAGTGAGGAAGATGCATAAGGCTTTGTAAAAGTGGTACAATGTGAGGTTTAATTATGTATTTGTGTTTTTACGAGAGAGGCAAACTTGCTGTAGTGAAAGTAAAAAATGGATAAAGAAATACGTAGAAATGAATGGGCCAATGGTTGAACTTGGGACACATATCGCGTGTCATCCCTGATGCTGGTGTTTCATGTGCTCTGAGTTTCCGGAGAATTTTACTGTCATTTGTTTGTGGGTTTCCCTTCTCCGAAAGCAGGTGGTGACAGAAGATGTGCACATTTTAAAATGCCTCTGTCTCATGTATATACAGTATGTACCATTTTTACATAGAGAAGTATCAGAAAGTGTTTTGTTGTTTATTGAGGATTACTTTGAAGAGAGACAAAGAGAAATGAGAAAAATGATAATGATGGAAATATGCATTGGACATAGAACATTATATAAATCATTACTCAACATATCAATATTTCAATAACAAACCTAGATAAAACATACTGTATATAACTAGTTATTAAACATCTATTTATGATGTACGATGGTCAAAACCAAAACATGATACATTTGAACTATTATATGGTTTCTGTGGCAAATGCAAATTCATTAAGATGTTGGCTTTAACAGCAGAGGAAGGTTTTGATGGTTTCCGGGGTTTTGTCACACAACACCAACACAGCATCCATCTACTGATTTCTCTTGACTTTAGGAGACAATATGTAGAAATTAAGTCAAAAACTACATAACCCTTCACAGTCATCCTTTTCTTCGACTTAATCCGCAGCCAGAGATTGTGGAAGGAGTGGACTGGCCGAGTGCTGACGTCCCCGTAGTGTTTGCAGAATGCTGCAGATTTGAATAGCAGGGGTAGATGCAAACTAACGTGTTGCTAACATGGTTAGCCGGAGTTCACCACTGCGAATGAAGGCATCTGATTGATCAATCATTATGGCTCATATCTGCCTTTGTAAATGTGGTACACTGAGGGTGTGGTTGATTTTTAAAAACCCAAGGGTCACAATCAAATTACAATATAAAAAGGAACACAGGTAAGTATCTAAGTTAAAATATGACAGAAGTGAATGAAAGTTTAAAATGTTTATTGATAAAAGGATGCTGCTAAAAAAAAGAGAAAGGAATTGGACAAACTAAAGTTAGAAAAGGTCGATTTTATTTAACAAATTAAACAATATATAAAAAGGTTATTCAAAGGTTATTAAAATGGTAAAGATGAATCTAAAAAGGCCTAGATGCTAAAAATGCAAATACCAAAACAAAAAAGCAGCTAGCTGGGGCCACCGGTGGTGAGCATGCTACTCAGGGAGGTGCCCAGGGGTGCTACACAGAATACTCACCACAGTGGACACAGCAAAAAGACACAGCAAATGAAATGTGCAAACTAACTCGTGAACCAAGTGCACTAAATCACATGCAAAGGTGGGGGACCACACAAATGTGCCTAGCCCAGCCACCAGAGGCACCCAGCGTCGCTAAAAGAAAAAGATAAAAGTTGTTAATGAGAAGTATGACTGGACCCAGTTGGTTTTAGACAACCTGTTGCGGTAAACATAAATCAAAAGATTTAATTAAACTAAACTAGTCAAAGAAACTATATTGACAAAATAAAATAAAGGCAAAAGTATACATCAAAGAACAAACTAGACTAGAGTAAAGCAAGTGGCACAAAAAAACAAAACAAAAAAAGAAACCAGCAACTAAAGAAAACCAGTAATGACACAAACAAAGCAAAACAAACATCAAAGCAGAACTAAAACAAAACAATGACAAAGCAAAACAGCAGCAGGTTAGCCTGTGTGGAACAAAGTTATAATTATTGTTAAGGCTGACTAAAACTAAAAACTTGCCACCAACTTACCACCCTTGACGGTTAGGAACCAGCACTAAATAAAAACAAGACCAATTGTCACCATTGGGGCAGAACGGATTAAGGACAGAAAAAGAGTAACAAGTGGTAAGGGCCTACCTCCACAGCAGACGTATGCTGCCTACCCACTCCAGCAATACAGCAGCAAGACAAATTTGGACAAATTCATGAGGAAAGGACCACAGCTACAGAGCACACCAGCATCACAAAATGGCTCCCCTCCAACTTACCCAGATGTTTAAAAGGGGCAGCTAACTAGTGGGTGGGGCGAGGGTGGAGCTAGGGGTGGAGCCACAGGGCACACCAAAGCCCCACTACATTCTACCCCCCCAAGACTTTAATCGTCGGCCCGACAATTGTGTTTACTGCCATGGCCGGAACACTCTTGTACTGGGTGCAGGCAATTGCGAGTTTGTAGCCCCTATTGCATTACTCCCTACTGGTTGGGGAAGGTGGTAGCGATTTGGGTGTCTTCCGGCCGTGGCCCGAGTGGTCCTCCTTGGAGGGGCATCCTCATCACTCCGGGGGTCTGTGACGGAAGGAGCTGGCTCTGACTCGCGGCCCGTTGATGTGGGCACAGGTGACTGACCTGACGAAGCTGGTACTGAGGTCCTGGGTGTGGTGCAGCGCCGAACCGGTTCCTCTACTCTAAGAAACCACTCTCCCTCGGCCAGTGGCCCTTCGGGTGCCGTGGCGATAGGAACTGGCACGGGCTCCATAGGAGGTGGTGCCGGTTGATCCACTTTGCCCTTTATCAGTGACCGATGGACATTTTTTACTTGTCCAGGACTGTTGACCGGAGCGATAGTGTACACGCAACCTCCAGGTTTGGGTGCAGTTACGACTTTGTGCACTACAGAGCTCCATGAATCTTCGATCTTGTGGCGGCCTCGGATTCCAACATTTTTCAAGTAGACCAGCTGACCTTGTGCCAACGGCTGATCGCGGACCTTTGCATCATGGTTTGTTTTCCTGTGTACCGCCGCAGCGTCCAGGTGCCTTTTTGCTTTGTCAAAGGCATGCTTTAGTCGCCGTTGATGTTCGACAATCCACTCTTGAAGAGTGCCTGCGACCGGCTCCTTGATGCGCCCAAGAATGAAGTCGACTGGCAACTGTGGGTCTCGACCGAACATCAGGAAGTAGGGAGACTCACCCGTGGACTGATTTGGGGTGGTGTTGTAGGCAAATGTCATCTGGGGCAGGTAGCAGGACCAATCCCTCTTGTTTGTTACTGGCAGAGTGCGCAAGAGGTTATGAAGAGTTCTATTGAACCTCTCGCACTGCCCATTTCCGGCGGGGTGGTAGGGCGTAGTGTGAGTCTTTTGAACCCCGTACATTTGACAAAGCTGCTGGATCAATGAGCTTTCAAAGTTCCGTCCTTGATCGGAGTGAATACGTGCTGGCACTCCGAATTTGTAAAACCACTCCATGACGAGGACTCTGGCAACATTAGATGCCCTCTGGTCTCTGGTGGGCACGGCTTGGGTGTACTTTGAGAAGACGTCCGTCATGACCATCACATTCTCCATGCCATTCTGTGAGGGTTCCAGAATGGTGAAGTCAATGGACAGGATCTGGTTGGGGCGAGAGGCCAGTAAGTGTCCCATGTATGACCCGCCAGATCTGCTTTCTTTGGCGACTTGACATCTTTCACACTCTTGGCACCATCTCTGGATCTCAGCGTACATTTTGGGCCAGTAGCATCGCTGATGGATTAGCTCCGATGTCCTCTCAATTCCCTGGTGCCCATGCTCCTGATGTAGTTGCTGTAACGCCAGTTCTTTCAGAGCACTGGGGAGGACCAGTTGGAGGGCTTCTTCCCCCTTGAGAGTAATCCGGCGGTAAAGTATATTGTCCCTGGTGAGGAGCAGAGACCACTGTTGGACTAGGGTCACGGTGTCCCTCAAGAGGTTGCGCCGCTCTGTTGCGTTGGGACGCCTCTCCTCTCTCCAGAACTGCAGGAACTCTCCAATCATGGAGTCAGCTTCCTGTAAGGCACACAGATCAGCAACAGATTGAGATGGTAAAACTGATACAAGGTTGGAAGATGCGGGTTGCCTGGCTGAAATGGCTTGCTGCAGTGGTTCTGGCATAGGAAGGCCTAAGGGTACTGGAACATGGTCATGATTGGCCATAGGGTTTTGGCGTGACAGAGCATCAGCGTTGCCATTAGCTCGTCCTGGCCTGTATTTTATGGCGAAATCAAAGTTGGCTAGCTGGGCAGCCCAGCGTTGTTCCAGGGCACCGAGTTTGGCAGTGGACAAATGGCTGAGTGGATTATTGTCTGTAAACACGGTGCATTTATGTCCAATCAAATAGTCTCTGAACTTTTCGGTCATTGCCCATTTAAGTGCAAGAAACTCTAGTTTCATTGAACTATAATTGTTCATGTTCCGCTCGGTAGGGCGAAGGCCACGGCTCGCATAGGCTACTGGTCTAATCTTGCCGTCTTGTTCTTGCGAGAGGACTGCGCCCAACCCACTGTAGCTGGCGTCAATTTCAAGTATGAATGGTAGTGAGAAGTTTGCGTAAGCTAAAAACAGGCGCTGCCACCAACCTTTGTTTAAGTTCTGTAAAACTGGTCTCACACTCTGGAGTCCATGCAGTGGGCAGTGGAGTCTTTGAAGGCCTCCTGGTCTTTGTCCCATTAAGCTCTGCCACGAGACGATGTAGCGGGGCGGCCAGTTTGGCGAACCCCTCAATGAACCGGCGGTAATAGCTGGTGAACCCGAGGAAAGAGCGGAGCTGTGGAACAGTTGTTGGATGGGGCCAATTTGAGACAGCCTCAACCTTGCTGGGGTCTGTAGAGACACCAGCCCTGGAAATTACATGGCCCAGATAGCCCACCTCTGTCTTGAAAAATGAACACTTCTCCAGTTTTGCTTTCAGTCCTTCTTCCTGCAGCCGAAACAGTACGGTCTCCAGCCTTGCGATGTGTTCTTTGACTGTGGATGAAAAGACCACCACATCATCCAGGTACAGTAACAATGATTGACAGTTCTGGTCACTAAAAATCCTTTCCATCAATCTCTGGAATGTTGATGGCGCATTGCACAGCCCGAATGGCATCCTGTTCCATTCAAACAATCCAAAGGGGGTGCAGAATGCAGTCTTCATTTTGTCTTGTTCTGTTACTGGTACTTGATTGTACCCCGCAGCGAGGTCCAGCGTCAAAAACCATTGGGCCCCAGAGAGGGCGTCAAGGGACTCCTCTATTCTGGGCAAGGGGAAGGCATCCTTGCGGGTTTTACTATTAAGGAGCCGATAATCGACGCACAAGCGGAGGCTGCCATCTTTCTTGTTGACAAGCACAATGGGAGATGCAAAGGGGCTACAACTTTCCCGAATCACCTGCGACTCCAGTAGCTGCCGGATGTGTGCTTTGGCGGCCTCATACTCAGACGGTGGTATCCATCGGTACCGTTGCTTTACCGGCACCTCGTCAACTAGGGGGATCTCGTGGGAAATTAGGTTAGTGCACCCTAAATCTCCCTCATGCTGAGAAAACACATTGTCATACTTATGAAGAAGGGCCCTGACACTGTGCTGATCCTGATCTGAAAGTGCGGAAAGGTCCATAGAGTCAATCCTAGCCTGCATTGGTATGCCAGTCTGAGAGGACATAGTGGCACTAAACTGACCTGTGACAGGTGAACAAACGATCTCCGCCTCAGTCAGAGTACCTAGTACAGTACGTGGGTACAATAGGACGTCCTGGTTCCCTACATTAACAATGGGGATGTAAACTCTGCCATTATCAATATGGACCACGGATGGAGAAGCCAAGAGTCCCACTGGCAAGCCGTCTGTACGGGGCTCAAACAACGCGTCTGTCTCTAGGCTTTGCTGAAAACAAGTGGCAGCTACCATCTTAACAGTACCTCCTGGAACCCTGCAAGCTTTACCCTTCTGTACTTTTACTGTGCCCGAAAGCAAAGGAGGGCCTGCGTCAATCCGGTGACAAAATCGAAGCGCTTGCTGAAGTGTGGGTGGGGCCTGTAAGACAGAAGGCGTGTGAAAGAGGGCATGACCAAACTGAGAAAACAATTCCTGATAGCACTCTTTCAGGATGTTCATGCCTATAACTCCTGGGGTAGACGCAGGAATGGGGGGGGTCCTTAGTCACTAGCACTCCCCTTTTAGAAATGACTTTCCCACATAGTTCTACATCCAACTCAAAATAGCCTATGTATGGAATGGCTAAGCCATTAGCCGCGCTTAGAGTCAACCAATTACAAGTTTTCAACCTTTGTTGACCCCAAGGTTGAAAATGTTGGGCAAAGAAAGTTTCAGTTATGGTCGACACCATGGAACCTGTGTCAACAAGGCAGGGAACTTCAACACCACCCATCACAACTGAAAGATTCAGACAGGCTGAGACCAAGTTGTCTGGAATTGCTGGATTTGAGCCTGAGGGACCCCCACCTGAACTGTGGCTCAGTGGTTCAGGGGGTGCCAGTTTCCCGGCTGCAAACCATGAGTGGGACCTCTATTTTGGAGTTGGGGGGACACATAAGGGGAGCGACAATGACGCGCATAATGACCTGGCTGCTGGCATCGTTTACATATGACCGGGTTACCATAGTTTGTCTGCTGCTGTGGACCTCTAAGCGCTGCCAAACTTTTAGTGAGGAGGTTTAACTGTTCCTGCTGATTTTTAAGCATTTCCTTTAGCTCTGACATTTCTGAACTAGGGGGTGGTCTACTGAACTGGTTTGGATTTGTATGGACCTCTTGTACAGTGTGCTGGAATCCAAATGCAGAGGGGACTGAGTGACTACGAGCTCTCCCACCCACTGGCATCCCTTCCTGTTCCCACCTCATGGCCTCAGTGCGAACCTGAATAAGGGTGGCAGTTGGGTTATCACGAACATGCCGTTTTAAAGCTCGACGAAGTGAGCAATCTGAGACATGTTCAACAAATTGGTCTCGTAACAACACCTTTGTTTTCTACATTTCTAGGAGCCTTTTTAACAACTTTGTCCATAAGACACATTAAAGCATGGGAGAACTCTTGGAGCGTCTCACCCTCTACTTGCTTTCTTGAAAAAAACTCTTCTTGCAAACACACATGTGACCTTGTACAACCATACAATTCCTCTAAAATGGCTATAACTTTATGGGGGTCCTCACGCTCTCTTACGGAGCGATATTTAATCTCTTTCCTCGCTTGACCCTGTAAATGATCAAACATAAACAAGGCTTTCTCAGCCGAGGTACAACGGCGTAAGCGAAGGCAGGCTTCGACTTCTTCAAGCCACTCGGTAACGTCCAGTCCAGTGTTACCTCTAAACATTGGGCACCGACGCTCCCTGGGAAGGTACACCAGCCTCTCAGTTACCGGGGCAATTGAGTCGTTCCCAATAGGACTGGAATCAGAGGTGGAAGTGGAGCTTGACGTCCCAGGTAGAGCTCCATCCTGGTTCTGCTGTTCCTGAAGCCTCCGATTCTCCGCCTGGAGCTGAGCGACCAATTCCTTTAGTCCAGCGATTTCCTCCATGGACAGAGCAGAAGAGATTACGGCAGCACCAGCCGACGAGGCACACCCCAAACCCTGCTGCTGTTTTACACCAAAAATAGAAATTAAACCAACCAACTGGGTCACAAAAAAAAAAAGAACATTACACATCTCTGTCAATCTCAGAATCCTGCCAGCAACGCCAGATTGTGGTACACTGAGGGTGTGGTTGATTTTTAAAAACCCAAGGGTCACAATCAAATTACAATATAAAAAGGAACACAGGTAAGTATCTAAGTTAAAATATGACAGAAGTGAATGAAAGTTTAAAATGTTTATTGATAAAAGGATGCTGCTAAAAAAAAGAGAAAGGAATTGGACAAACTAAAGTTAGAAAAGGTCGATTTTATTTAACAAATTAAACAATATATAAAAAGGTTATTCAAAGGTTATTAAAATGGTAAAGATGAATCTAAAAAGGCCTAGATGCTAAAAATGCAAATACCAAAACAAAAAGGGAGCTAGCTGGGGCCACCGGTGGTGAGCATGCTACTCAGGGAGGTGCCCAGGGGTGCTACACAGAATACTCACCACAGTGGACACAGCAAAAAGACACAGCAAATGAAATGTGCAAACTAACTCGTGAACCAAGTGCACTAAATCACATGCAAAGGTGGGGGACCACACCAATGTGCCTAGCCCAGCCACCAGAGGCACCCAGCGTCGCTAAAAGAAAAAGATAAAAGTTGTTAATGAGAAGTATGACTGGACCCAGTTGGTTTTAGACAACCTGTTGCGGTAAACATAAATCAAAATATTTAATTAAACTAAACTAGTCAAAGAAACTATATTGACAAAATAAAATAAAGGCAAAAGTATACACCAAAGAACAAACTAGACTAGAGTAAAGCAAGTGGCACAAAAAAACAAAACAAAAAAAGAAACCAGCAACTAAAGAAAACCAGTAATGACACAAACAAAGCAAAACAAACATCAAAGCAGAACTAAAACAAAACAATGACAAAGCAAAACAGCAGCAGGTTAGCCTGTGTGGAACAAAGTTATAATTATTGTTAAGGCTGACTAAAACTAAAAACTTGCCACCAACTTACCACCCTTGACGGTTAGGAACCAGCACTAAATAAAAACAAGACCAATTGTCACCATTGGGGCAGAACGGATTAAGGACAGAAAAAGAGTAACAAGTGGTAAGGGCCTACCTCCACAGCAGACTTATGCTGCCTACCCACTCCAGCAATACAGCAGCAAGACAAATTTGGACAAATTCATGAGGAAAGGACCACAGCTACAGAGCACACCAGCATCACAAAATGGCTCCCCTCCAACTTACCCAGATGTTTAAAAGGGGAAGCTAACTAGTGGGTGGGGCGAGGGTGGAGCTAGGGGTGGAGCCACAGGGCACACCAAAGCCCCACTACATAAAGAAAAATATAATTAACACACCAAGATCAAAGAGAGTGCTTTTAATCGTGGATTGTTTAAAAATGTTAAATGTGACACAAACAGTTACTGAGCTATCAGGTTAGCATAATAATCTATACAGGGGCTATGGCACAGTCATCACTTTTGTGTGCAATTCTAAAGATCCAAAAAATCAAACCACAACTGAGACCTAATGTTACTTTTGTTCAAAGATAAAATGCAATTAATGGACGGATTCAGTCTGAGTTTGAGGCTGCGGCTCGTCTTCAGGAAGAGTTGGAGGAACTCCCTCCAGAACGGTGCAGAAATACTCAGCTTTGTTGAGCTCAGGGTTCCTCATCATCAGAAAGCACTTGGGGAAGAAGTACGCTGCCATCAGCCCAAAGTTACTGGACAGAGAGAAAGAGATGTGCACAATGGACTTCTGCTTGCCTTTCAGCCCGATGTAAATGGGGATGAAGGTGACCCAGATGACACAGTAAATGAGGCAGGAGAAGGTGATGTCCCGGGACAGGTTGTACTGGTGAAAAGGCTTCACAGCCATGAATGTGCACAAGAAGGAGACCAGGGCCAGGACCACATTAAAGCCCTGTAACAGACCAAAGCCAATCTGCGGCTCCACAGGGCAGCTCAGAAACGCACGCACAAAGGTGATCTCCATTTTCTCCATGTAGGCTGAGAGAGAAGGGCCCTCCTGCACAAACCAGCCACAGATACCAGCCTGAGCCACACAGCAGGACAGCACCAGGAGCCAGCTGCCCGGGCCACGGATGGTATGGAGGTGAGGGGCGGCCCGCTGAGGGAACTCTGACACAAAGAACACCTGAGGATGTGTTTAAAGGCAGAGTTTTAGTTTGATCTCATCTGGTTACAGTCAGTGTTGTCATTAGTAAAGTGTCACCTGTAGAGAAATGGAGGCGAGGATGGACAGAGCCACTGTTTGCCAAATGGAGGTGAGTGGCACCTGCAACCGACACACTGTGTCTGTGGGCTGTCCCAGGAACAGCACCAGGCTCAGGCACGCCCCCATCAGGCCAAGCAACGCCACAAAGGCCAGTGTCCCACCTGAGGCCAGCACCAGAGGACTGCTCCTGTGTCTGAGGAACAGCAACAGCACTGCACTCTGGCACAGCAGCAGCAGAGCTCCAGCTATCACCATCACCACAGACTCTGTCATGTCCCATGACAGGACCTCAAAGGTGGGATCAGTGCAGGATGTGCTGCGTACGGTGGACCACTGGCGGCGTGGACAAGATGTGCACTGTCTGTCCTCTGAAAAAGTACATTATTACATTATTATAAGGAATTGTATTACATCTCGACAGTAGTGGTGTCAAACACAGTGTGGTTGTGGGCCAAATAAAAACTAAGTGCTGGCCGGGGCTGAAATTGTTAAAGTCTTTTTCTTTGTGGAAAGTTATTTTTTGCATCCGTGGATATTTTTTTACATCATGAAGTTTTTTTGACAAGAGGATAACTTTCAACTGAACAAAAATTAACAAAGGACAACATTTTCCCAACATGTAATAAAAAGTAATAATCTCCTGGACTGCCACCTTAACGTGGTGGGGGAGTTTGAGTACTCGGATGATCCTGGGAGCTATGTTGTCTTGGGCTTCATGCCCCTGGTGGGGTCTCCCATGGCAAAGAGGTCTTGGGTGACGAGTCAGACCAAGTGCAGTCCGAAGCCGACAACCGTGACGTTGCCCGGTATGGCGCAGCCGGGGCCCTTCCCTGGAGCCAGGTCTGGGGTTGGGGCTCGCATTCGAGTGTCTGATGGCCAGGCCTTAGCCCACGGGGCCCGGCCGTTCTCAGCCCGAAAGGATTACGTGGGCCAGCCCTCCTGTGGGCCCACCACCCACAGTGGGATCCATGGGGCATCAGTGCTGAGAAGACTGGGCAGCGGTCGAAGTCGGAGACCTCGACAACCCACTCCGCAAACACAGAATCTGGTTGTTGGGACGTGGAACGTCACCTCACTGGGGGGGAAGGAGCCCGAGCTCGTGGGGGAGGTTGAGCGATACCGATTAGAGATAGTCGGCCTCACCTCCACACACAGCTTGGGCTTTAGAACCCAACCCAGGGGTTGGACGCTTAATTTCTCTGCCGTTTCTCACGGGGAGAGGCGGCGAGCGGGGGTGTCCATACTCATTGCTCCCCATCTCAGTCGCCACGTGTTGGTGTTCTCCCCGGTGAATGAGAGGGTCGCGTCCCTACGCCTTTGGGTGGGGGACAAGTCTCTGACTGTTGTGACGGCCTACGGGCCAAACAGCAGTGCTGTCCAGTACCGCCAGGCCAAGCGTGCCGCGGCCCGGGCTGTTGCAGAGGCAAAAACCCGGGACTGGGAGGAGTGACTATTGGTCACTTGAAAAGACTCTGGCAAACCGTCCGGCGCCTCAGGAGGGGGAAGCAGTGCTTTGCTCTCCTCTCCTGGCTGAGGTCACCAAGGTGGTTGGCAGCCTCGTTGTTGGCAAGGCTCCGGGAGTGGATGAGATCTGTCCTGACTATCAATCAATCAAAGTTTATTTGTAGAGCGCCTTTCATACACAGGGCAACACAAAGCGCTTCACAGTGCACATCACAAATCATCACATAAAACAAACACCAGAATCACAATTAAAACATTAAAATCACACAAAAGATTAAAACCATTAAAACTTTCAAAATTACACAAGAAATTTTAAAAAATAAATAAATAAATGACAACAGTGCATTAGAAATGGAGATAAAATCCTTCAGTTGTATGCACAGGCAAACAGAACAGTCTTTAACCTGGATTTGAACGTTGACAGAGTAGACGCCTCTCTCACATTTTCAGGGAGATTGTTCCAGATCTTAGCTGCATGGATCTGAAACGCAGCCCCCCCATTTTGGTTCTCACTCTGGGCACCAGCAGGAGGCCAGTCCCTGTGCTCCTCAGAGTCCGAGCCGGTTCATATGACACCAACATGTCACTAATGTATTTTGGTGCAAGGCCATGGAGAGACTTGTACACAAGCAGAGCTGTTTTAAAATCTATCTAAAGTCTCTGGATGTTGTAGAACTGTCTTGGCTGACACATCTCTGTAACATCGCGTGGCGATCGGGAGCGGTACCAATGGAGTGGCAGACCGGGGTGGTGGTTCCTCTCTACAAGAAGGGGGACCGGATGGTGTGTTCCAATTATTGTGGGATCACACTCCTCAGCCTCCCCAGTAAGGTCTACTCCAGGGTACTGGAGAGGAGACTACAACCAATGGTCAAATCTCGGATTCAGGAGGAGCAGTGTAGTTTGTCTCGGTCGTGGAACACTGGACCAGCTCTACACTCTCCATCGGATACTCAAGGGGTTCGTGGGAGTTCGCCCAACTGGTCCACATGTGTTTTGTGGATCTGGAGAAGGCGTTCGTCTGTGTTCCTTGGGGTGTCCTTTGGGGGGTTCTCCGGAAGTACTGGGTCCAGGGTCCTCTGCTGGGAGCTGTCCGGTCCCTGTATCACCGGAGCCAGAGCTGCATTCGCACTGCCGGCAGTAAGTCAAACCTGTTCCCGGTGCATGTTGGCCTCCGCCAACATGCACCACATGCACTGGGACGATTTGCAGCCGAGTGTGAAGCGGCTGGGATGAGAATCAGCACCTCCATATCCGAGGCCATGGAGCTCTACCAGAAAAAGGTGCCCTGCCCTCTCCGGGTGGAGGAGTTCAAGTATCTCGGGGTCTTGTTCCCGAGTGAGGGAAGGATGGAACATGAGATTGACAGGCGGATTGGTGCAGCGTGCGCAGTGACGCGGTCGCTGTATCGGACCGTTGTGGTGAAGAGGGAGCTGAGCCGAAAGGCAAGGCTCTCGATTTACCGGTCAATCTTCGTTCCATCCCTCACCTATGGTCATGAGCTTTGGGTAATGACCGAAAGAACGAGATCGCAAATACAAGCGGTCGAACTGAGCTTCCTCCACAGAGTGGCTGGGCGCTCCCTTAGAGATAGGGTGAGGAGCTCAGTCCCACGGGAGGAGCTCGGAGTCGAGCTGCTGCTTCTCCACGTCGAGAGGAAGCAGTTGAGGTGGCTCGAGCATCTGTTCCGGATGCCTCCTGGACGCCTCCCTGGGAAGGTGTTCCAGGCACATCCCACCGGGAGGAGGCCCCGGGGAAGACCCAGGACACGCTGGAGGGACTATGTCTCTCAGCTGACCTGGCAACGCCTTGGGGTCCCCCTGAACAAGCTGGAGGAAGTTTGTGTGGATAGGAAAGTCAGGGGGTCTCTGCTTAGACTACTGTCCCCACGACCCGGCAACGGATGAAGCAAAAGAAAATGGATGAATGGATGGATAGTTTGTGCTCAGTGGCGCATGTGCAGGCATGGTCTCTGACATATTAGCGGAACTCGCCACATCACTCGCTATATTTGGGCATCATCTGGTCCTCCTGGTTCTGCGCAGTGGATGATCTCCCATGATGCGTTGCGCGAAATACGTGTGTTTGGCTCTCATTTACGTGCACAGAGGGGCTCAGCCAAACTGACCAATCAGCACTGCTAATCAGAGTGGGAGTTAGAGCGGAAGCCAGACGAGCAGAGTTTGTGGCACTAAAGTGTAGATTTAAAGAAAACCAAAGGATTTAAGAAGAATTAAAGTTCAGGATGACAAGGAACACTAAAATCCCCACAAAATCCGACCTTTATGAAAGCTGTAGGTTCTCTGTCGGCTGAGGTCGAGCTGTTTTTGTATACATTGAGTTCTATGGGGAAAATATCTGGGTAGCCCACGTGAATTTAGTCTGGTTCAGTCTGCAGTACCGCAAGAATCCCCCGAGCACATGGGCTTTTCAGCTCCAAGCTAGTAATACCCTATCCAGTTATTATAATAGATCCATGGTCCAGGTTCCAAAATGTCCATGGGCATGTCCGCTGACATGCTTGCAATCCCACTCCAAGGCGATGGGGGTGGACCTGGAAAGAGAATTACCCAATGCTTTTGTACGGCATCTTCTTTACTCTCAAAAACAGCTTTACAGGATGTTCCAAAAGTCGGCCCTTGGCCCAACTCCACTTTCCAGATGAGTGGCAATTGTTACGGGCTAGGCCTTATGGGGGGCCTGGGCCTTTTCCTGTGTCTCCGTCCTGCCGCTCCTGTCTCCTGTGTGCACAGGGGGGACCAGTTGGCGCTGAAGCAGTGGGCGTGTTCGCACACGCAATCAGCGCACGCGCATATAGCCTGGTGGATAGGTGCACGCGCTCTCTCTGCGCGCTCCTGAGGGCCATTCCACTCCTGCCCTGGTGCCTGTTGCATCTCCTCCCTGGCTCTCCTTCAACATGCACTATTGAGTTTGTCTTTTGGTTTATGCACCTACATTCATATCGCACATACGGTGCCCTCACTGCACACAAGCATTACCTGCACCTACACCACTGACTTTTACATAACACACCCCATATTTACCTTTTTGTATATATTATTTGTTATTCCGTTCTCTCAATTAAATATACTTTTTGAGCACTTTAATTCCGCCTCGTCTCCCCTATTCTTGTTGTGGCTCAGAGCCAAGCCATAACAGAATTGGGGGCTCGTCCTGTTGAATCCGCGTTTTTTGAGTAGTATTAGTCTAATTTGGCATTTTTCCGTCATCCCTTTTGGATTTGGTTTGAGCGCTTTGTCTCATTGGACTGGTTATTTGTGGCTTTGTGCCGTTTGGAGAAGTCCGTGAGTTTGAGTGACAGTCTTGGGGTGATTCCTCACTGACGTCAGTGCCCGTTTATGGTGTTGCGGGTTGCGCTCTTGGGGGGACGTGCCGGAAGTGTTTGGAGGAGGCGTTACCCTGGATGCTCTTGGCCGCTCGTGAGGTGGTACAGGAGAGTACAGGTTTTAGCCCCAATGACCTTGTTTTCAGCCATAAGGTTCGTGGTCCTCTAGCGCTTTTGCGGGATGCCTGGATAGAGTCTGATCCACCTAGCAACCTTCTGGATTTTGTGAATGGGTTCCGGTACCGGTTGTACAGGGCGCAGGAGGTGGCTAAAAAACGGTTAGCTGGTGTGCAGGTTAAGATGAAGAAACAATATGACCGCCACACGGTCCAGCGGGAGTTCTTGCCTGGTGACCAGGTCCTAGCCCTGTTGCCGTTAGTTACCTCTCCACGCTAAGTTTTCTGGTCCATTTACGGTGTTGGAGAAATTGTCAGATTTGAACTATTTAATTTCGACACCTGAGCGCAGGGCTAAAACTCAGTTATGTCATGTAAATCTGCTTAAGCCTTATGTTGCTCGTGAGGTGACTCAGTCTGGAGCTCACCCTCAGAGGTTGTCGGTTTCTTTGGTGGCTGTGGCAGAGCAAGTTGTGGAGGAGCCGACAGACCCTGATGACGCATTAGTAACTGGGCGTCTTAAGAATAAGGAGTTTCTGGAGACCTTGGAAAGCTCTTTATTGTATTTGGAACCGGCTAGGCAGTTACAGTTGGTACAGTTGATTCGTCAGTTCCCTGGGTTGTTTGGGGATACTCCGTCGCGCACTACTCTCCTGAAACATGACGTTGATGTGGGTGATGCAAACCCTATTAGACAGCGCTTTTATCGTGTTCATCCGGATAAGCTAAAGTTGCTTGACAGTGAAGTGGCATATATGATTGATAACAACATTGCAGTGCCCTGTGATTCCAGCTGGGCTTCGCCATGTCTGCTTGTCCCAAAGTCAGATAATACACCTCGCTTTTGCACTGACTTTCGTAAGGTCAACGCGGTGACGAAGCCTGACTCCTTTCCCCTTCCTCGTATGGAGGATTGCGTGGACCAGGTGGGGGGGGCGAACTTTGTCACCAAATTGGACTTACTTAAGGGGTATTGGCAAGTCCCATTGACGGACAGGGCAAAGCAGGTCTCATCATTCATTACTCCTACTGGTTTGTATTCCTATAATGTCATGCCATTCGGGTTGAGGAATGCGCCAGCAACATTTCAGCGCTTGATGAATATTGTGGTGCGGGGTCTGAACGGGTGTGCTGTCTATTTGGATGATGTGGTGGTCTATTCAGATGGCTGGGATGACCATCTACGTCGGCTAAAGGCAGTTTTTGGGCGCTTGTCTTGGGCTAACTTGACCGTTAACCTTGCTAAATGTGAGTTTGCCAAGGCGACTGTCATTTATTTTGGGCCGAGTGGTTGGTCAGGGCTCGGTACGACCCGTTCGAGCCAAAGTTCAAGCTATTGACATTTTTCCGCAGCCTACTACTAAAAAAGAGCTAATGAGGTTCCTGGGTATGGTTGGCTACTATAGGTGCTTTTGTTCCAACTTTTCAACTGTGGTGGCGCCATTGACAGATCTGTTAAAATCTAGGGTTACATTTGTCTGGTCTGATTTGTGTCAGAGGGCATTTGAGAGGGTTAAAGCTCTCATTTCAAACTCCCCAGTGTTGGCTGCTCCTAAATGGGATAGGCCTTTTCAAATTGAGGTGGACGCTAGCCTAGTGGGGGCAGGGGCGGTGTTGCTTCAATCTGATGATGCGCGTGTTCGGAAGCCTGTCTGCTTTTTCTCAAAAAAGTTTAATAGACATCAGTTAAACTACTCAGTTATCGAGAAGGAGACGTTAGCTCTTGTGTGGGCTTTACAGCATTTTCGGGTGTATGTGGGCTCAGGGACAGTGACTGTTTTTTCTGACCATAACCCGCTAACCTTTCTCAGTAGCCTGCAGTCTCCAAATCAGCGGCTCATGCGCTGGGCCCTCCACCTGCAGTCTTACAGCCTGGACATCCAGCATATCCGGGGCCGGGACAACGCTGTGGCCGATGCGCTCTCCCGGGCGCATTAGGCCGTGAGGAAGCCTGGAGCTTCGTCCCCGCCGTGCTATGCTACGCCGGGACGGCACGGTGGGATTCCCGTGTCCCGGGGCCAACGAATGGTGCGAGGTACGCCAAAATCAGTTTGAGAGGGGTCGAAATCAAGTTAAAAGTAATGCTGACCGGTTGGTTCCTTCTCCTGGGACTCTTTTATCTGCTAAGTGTAAGCAACGCAGTTAGTTTTGTTTCTGTGGGCTGGTCTAGGACCCATTATGGGCCCTTTCCTGAAGGGGGGGGGGGTGTTACGGGCTAGGCCTTATGGGGGGCCTGGGCCTTTTCCTGTGTCTCCGTCCTGCCGCTCCTGTCTCCTGTGTGCACAGGGGGGACCAGTTGGCGCTGAAGCAGTGGGCGTGTTCGCACACGCAATCAGCGCACGCGCATATAGCCTGGTGGATAGGTGCACGCGCTCTCTCTGCGCGCTCCTGAGGGCCATTCCACTCCTGCCCTGGTGCCTGTTGCATCTCCTCCCTGGCTCTCCTTCAACATGCACTATTGAGTTTGTCTTTTGGTTTATGCACCTACATTCATATCGCACATACGGTGCCCTCACTGCACACAAGCATTACCTGCACCTACACCACTGACTTTTACATAACACACCCCATATTTACCTTTTTGTATATATTATTTGTTATTCCGTTCTCTCAATTAAATATACTTTTTGAGCACTTTAATTCCGCCTCGTCTCCCCTATTCTTGTTGTGGCTCAGAGCCAAGCCATAACACAATGTACAGAGGATTTTTTTTTTTTGGACCAGCCTAGTTAGCCGCTATGGACTTTTAAGGCTCATACCGGCTAACGCATACACAAATGAGTTTTTTCACATTTTCCTGCCCTGCAGCTATTTTGAAAGTGTCCCATAAAAGGCAAAAGTGATGGCATATTACTTTCAATGGCGGAGATAAGCATGGCGATGTCCATTAATATTTGCTATTTATTATGGGCACCCACATGGGGCACGTTTGGGGGGGCCATCATTTTGACCTGGCTTATATCTGTGACCGCAGCATTTAATCTTTAAAATACATTGCAACTGGATCCAGCCTGCCAGTTGTATTCTATAGTAATTTAGCACGTCATGTGCTTTTATTGGACCAATCTCGTCTCGGCTATAGGCAACAGGAAGTCGCTATACCATGAGTGATGCAAGTCAATCATAATAATTGAAAATAATTTCAAGGGTCAAGGTCTGCCTGCAGGCCTAGTGTTTAACATGTGTGTGTTACGTCCTGCTTCTTGACCTGCGTCGGCCTGGTAGGTTCCGGGCTGACAATCGATGCAGTCGAAACAGCAGGAGTGGAACCCTTTGACTCTACGCACTTGTCCAGGATCACAGGCTGCGGAGCAGGTCGACACTGGCACCTGTCACAGTCATGTCAGCCATAAGAACACTGGCTTATTGAGGGAATGTGTTTGCTAATAGCTGAAATGAAGAGGCCTTGAGCTAAGGACAGTCGCTTGGAAAGAAGGTGCTGACTCCTGCTTTACAGCTTCTTTTCAATAATACATTTCTCAACCATTTCTGTTCATACTTAGTGTAAATTGAGACGGTATACATACCGTTGAACCCTCTGTGTGCCACGTGAAAAGGGATTTGTTGAGGGACAAAGTCTGTTGTTGAAATGCTCCGACATTTTTAAAAAGTAGATTTGAGTTGTTCCAAGCCCACTGGATCACATTGTATCCAATGTTTGGGTTTCCATTGTTATCATATTCAAACTTTTTTCCATTAATGTAAAAAGAAATATTTTTCATAACCTGTAAGAGCTGCAACAAAAATAAAACATGTTATTGCATGATATCGGAATTTGAATATTTGGTGCCATCAGCGAGGACTCCCAAACACACCTTCCAGGGGTACACTTTTGTCTCAGGTTTCCAGTCACATGCTTTGTCATCGCACAAGAGAAGCTTGTGTAGTGCCTCTGCCACACTGTAGAGGGCAGCATACACGCTGAAAGCCGCCTGTTTCACTCCGACTTGCTCCATAAGGCTGATGTTGGCCACAGACAGGTTCCAGCACTGGGGACAGGGATTGTGTGATTCACTCTGCTCCTGCTGAGTCGGTTTTAAGTTTTCTTGGCTGATCTTCATGAACAGAGCTTGTGCGTATTCTACCAGCAAGTCCACACTCTCCATCTTATCTGTGAAGCCAATAACAGTCCCAATGGACTGGATACCTGGGATCTCAAACACTCTGTTCGCCCAGCTTGTGCTCGCAATCCACACACCAGTGATTTGATGCTTTACAACCTGCATTCAAACACATTGAGTTGTCGATATAATTTTGTACCGTAAATGACAAATGATGCTCTCTACCTCTCTGAATAAAGCAGCTGTAGGTTCTGACAAAGAGAAGACCACGATGACACTGACATTTGAGGCTTTGATGTTGTTGATGATGACCTCTATGGCTGGTGCTGGGTCTGTGTAGACTGGGATCAGGGCCTGGTAAGCCACACACAGTTTGCTCTTCTCTGCCAGTTTGGAGAACTCTTGCACTCCCATCTGGCCATACTCCTCCTCACTGCCGACCACTGCCACCCAGTTCCACTTAAACTCCTTTATGAGCAGCACCATCACCTCCACCAGCCATTTATCACTGGGCACGGTGCGGAAGAATGATGGGTACAGACTTTTGTCGCTGAACTGGTCACTTGTGGCTCGGTGACTGATCTGTATTGGCAGTCAACAGACAACACAGTCATTAGGAAATAACCTCAGCCTTAATAACATTTGGTTTGTATTTAAGCAACAAAGAGAACATGTGGATCATAAAGAAGCTTGTAGAAGCTGGGATTTTAGCTGCAGCTGTAGAAAAAAATATTAGTGAGTATTATTGTTTGTATTATGTTAATGAATTACTATTATTGACCCTTAAAAGACGATGCCATCGCCGACGATGGTGGCGCACATGTTTTACAAATGATCAATTTACTCGCAAACGGTGAACGCTAGCGACTTACTTTTTTTATCTCCGAGAAGTACACATTCCAGCCTTTCCGAAACTGCCTTCGGAACGGTTTGTCTCTGCTACATACGGGGGATAAACTACGTGTGTATGAAAGTCAGTACCTCAAACGGATCTTCAAGCGGTGCCCCGTGAGCCAGGCACAGCCGCATGTGAAGTTGTTTACACACACGGGGACTCAGACAAAGATTGTCAGAGAGTAAGATGGCTCACTCCTCTGTGTTTACTTGTTGCAGCATAGGCAGCAGCGCTCAGAGGAACCAGAGGAGTTCGCATTATTGAGAATAGACAATAATAAATACAGTAAAATGATATTATGTGTATATAATGTATTTGTATATATAAATTAGATGTTTTATTTTTTTTTGTCTTAGTTTTTGTTTTACATATTTTACAGCTGTGATACAGAAGCAACCACAGCCTCATAGACAAACTGCTTGAGGAAGGGCATCAGGAGTACAGCGTTTTTGGCTTTTATAGAGGAATTTTGTAAAAAGTATAATATGTTACGAATTCAAATTTTTTCCCCATTATCCCCAAGACCATAAAACACATTTCTATGCAGTGTAAACAGTTGTTTATAGCATTTCATTGTGTTTTTCAATACATTTTTGTGAAATTGATTTTCCGTTTAGATTTTTTCTTTGTCTTCATGACTCCAAATTGTGTATATAATTGATATGACAGCTCTAAAATATAGATATTCTAAAACCCCAGGTTGTACTGAAAAAAACAAAGTATACTGCTTGACTCTGCATCAAAAAATGACTCTTTTATGAGCAATTATACACAAAGAAAACCAGGCGAGGAAGGTTCCCCAAAATGACCCTAGACCTTCTCTGATAAAAGTTACTCTGACAGTGAAACCCACAGTTTGAGGGAGAATAATATTAACCAATTGAAAGAAATGTGTGAAAGTGTAAACATACTTGTGGCATGAGAAAGAATCCAAGTAGTTTTCCGATCACCGAAACCATTTCTGAGCCGTTGGGGCCGATCACAGCAGCTACACTGGTCTCATAGTCGGTGTAGTTGCACTGCACTGAAAGAACTTTTGTGGATTTCTCTGTCAAAAAGGAGATGGTTGGTCTGATGATGACTGAGGACTGTCTGCATGTGTCATGTATTTTGTAACCCAGACGGATCCCAGGCAACAGCTTCGGATTGGCATTCACTTCATCCACAGCATACTTCATCACTATGGCGAGCCCCAGTCCGTATGGATCCAGACTGAAAGAAGCAACAAGGAAACACTATATATACAGTATATATTTACTAATACGTATACACTTGCGCTATATATCATGACGGGACAAAGAAGCATTAAAGCTGGGGTACCTAAATTTCAAACAAGTAAAAAGGAACTATGTAATAAAATTGCTATCATTAACATTCCTCTCTAACCAGTTTGGCTCTGTGACTTTAGTTTCCACATGCATGGTAAGAAGTAAGAAGCTTAGGTATAAAACGCCTTTCTCAGACTAGCATCACAAAGCACTTTACAATGGTGAGCATTTGTCTCTCACTCCACACAGAGATGGGAGCGAGGTCGCCATTTATTATTAGTGGTAGGGGAAACCGCAGCACCCCGAGGAAACCTACACAGACACAGGAAGAACAAGCATTGCGGATAAGAGAGAGAATCCACTCAGCCACAGTGCCACCTAGACTTAATATTTGGTCTCTGTCACATCTTTAGATCTGCTTTTTCCGACAGAAAAGTGAAAAACAGAGGACCACCCTCACCCAGCCAATCACCTCTCAGCTCAAAGCGTCAATAAGTAACTCACAGGGATCTTTCTCAAAAGTTTACGTGAAAAACTCAACAAGCTGTGGTTTTTACATTTTACACGGCTCATTCTGATGGCACCAACATACTCCATACATTGTGAGAAAGAAATTTAAAAAGTTAGGTGCCCCAGCTTTGAAATGAATAAATGAATAAAAGTCTTACCTTGAACATTCAATATCATTTGGTTTGAGTTGCTCGCTGAGGTTGCTGGAGCCATCATTGATCGGAAATAGGCCTCCGATCAAAATATCTCCAGGTAAGTCGAACAGTCTGGTAGATATGTTTTGAAACCATTCTTTTGAAGAAGACTTTCCAGTTGCCAGCGCCAACAGGAGCAGCGCAACGCGAAGAGCCATCGTCTTTGTGGAACGAGACAAAGATGAAGGGGAAAGAAATATACTGAGAACGTATGCAAAACCAGCTCCACGGCTGAATGAGGGTATGTAAAGATCCAAGAAAGCTATTAATAATGTCAAATGTGGCGAAGAACACCGGGTTGAATTTACCTATGAGGGACCAGATATGACAAGTTTTATGTATTTATGGAAACATTTTGTTAAAATGGACAGACTTTATTCTATTATATATATATTCTCTTCTGACAACTTTAGATATTTCATAACACTTTGAAGCAAAAAAGTTCAAACTCATTCTAACGTTTGTAGGAGACAGTACTTTTCCACTTGATGTTTTGTCTATCTGAAGGCCAAGCTACTGGCATCACGGCGAAAGCTGATTGGACGGTGTTCATTCCTCCATGCTATATTATCACTTGCAGTTTGTAACATCTTTTGTTCGTGCTCTACCATCAACAATAAAACAGGTCTTCTGTCTGAATTAAAGACACGATCCCAGACTTTGTCATCTTCTTCACAACATTTAAATTACAAATATAGTTGCTTTCTTGAATGTTAAAATTGGTTTATTACTTGAAACAACATAATGATTGACAAAGTTGGTCTATTTCCACCTGGGCATTAGTAGGTTTGGAGTGGTTAGCCGTGCTTCAAAGTTCATGAAAACAGATTTGGTTAGCCAGGCTTCTAAGTTCATTTATTGAGGTTGGAAGCCATGCAACCAAGTTGGTTTTAGTTACCCCAGTGGGGTACTGACATGCAAGCAATCTCACTCCAGGCCTGTGGGTGTGTACCCAGAAAGAATTACCCAATGCTTTTGTATGGAGTCTTGTTTTTACTCTGAGAAACGGCTTTACAGGATGATCCAAAAGTCGGGTCTTAGCCCAAGGCTACGTTCCAGATGTGTGTCAATGCTGAGGGGAGTTATTTTTAGCATGCTAGTTTAGTCGCTTTAGACTTTTGAGTGCACTCGTGAAATGAACGGGGCTCTTGCCGGCTAACGCAATCGCAAATGCATACATTTTCCTGCCCTGTGGCCATTTTGAAAATGCCCATAGAAGGTGGCACATTAGTTTCAACGGCGGAGAACGGAGGGACTATGTTTGTTTACCTTTACAGTCTATGGGTTAGACATGCGTCTACGTGCATTTACATGTTTGAAGTGGTTAGTCATTCTCCAAAGTTCATCAATACATGTCGTAAGAGGTTGGTCATGCTACTAAGTTCCTTCACATGTTGGAAGAGGTTAGCCATGCTTCTAAGCTCCTTCATACATGTTGGAAGAGGTTAGGCATGCTTTACTAACATTGGATTTGATCTGAAGAATACAATTTTGAATTCAAGTATATTGTTTTATGTATATTTTGTACATTTGGAATCTTGGAAAATGTATTATCTTTATAAAATTCACTATTTTGACCATTACTTAAAAATGGGCTATCTCACTTTTTTCATAGATAATAGATTTCATTTTTCCCAGGAAATCTTATTTTCATTTGCAGACTTGTAAGAAAGGCGTCACTATTTATCGTTCTGGGCTGAGAGCTGATTGGCTGATTGAGGGTGGTCCATCTCTTGATCTAAAGATGTGACAGAGACGGAAATATACATAAGTACATATATATACATAAAACTAGAGATAGACGCAAACTGTTCTGAGAGCGAGAAACGAGTTGCTGCTTTAATGACATAGTTATTGTGGTTTTCAAAAGTTAGGTACCCCAGGCTTTAGGCTTTCAGATTTTCAGATGGATTGACTTAACAAATTCTTACTCCGTCGTCGTGATGAACAGTTATGAAAATGAAAGCTTTTAGTTAATACCGATGCAAATGTGAACGACTCGTGTAAACTGTGGCGGCTGTAATCTGAAGTCTCGAGTTCCATTATTGGGGCATTTGCATTCACCTCCGTTTTGTTTTTGTCATTTGCCTTTCATTTATTTACCCTCTGGTAATGCTCTCCTCTCCAGAACATTTGCATCAGACACACCCAGGACACTGCTCTGAGTGTTGTGTTTCAGAGCTATGATAATATTGCTATCCATAATATGTTTGAGAGATTTCTACAGTGAGAAGGTCAATGTTAATGCTGTTTAAACCACAGTCCTTCCTGTCTAAAACACATACACAAAATACATCGTTCCTGCATTCTTTAATACTGGGTTGCATTCCACAGAGACCGTGAGAGACAGAGCTCCACCGGCTCAGCCTCGTCCAGAACATGTCTGACCTTATGCCGCGTTCGGACCGCATCATGCGTTGCGTCGGCTTTCAATGCAAAGTCAATGGTGACGCGCGTTCGAGCGTCAAAACGCACAAACGTCTCGGAATGCACGCACGGACCGCGCTGGGAAGTTGAAGGGGATGAACGCAGGAGATGGATTTTGCTCAACCTTTCCTCGGGACGTTCGTGCAGCAACCAATCAGAGAGCCACAAAGTGGTCACTGGGACATTTGCGGACCGAGCGAGCAGACTGAAAATACTCGTAAACAGCCAAAACAGGAGCTACATCATTGACAATGGGGGATATAGTGCTTGTTAACATGTGAGTTTTCATGCTCCCGTGACTTAATTCAACTGCTTTACCGTTTAATAATAAAATAAACTTATTGCGCACCTCCGTGAACACTTACTACTGTTATAAAGTCCGTGGAAGGTTTCTGAACACAGACACGCTGCAAAGCTGCATTATTGGAGAAGATCTGTACACAAGCTAAACTAAACTCTGTTCAGCATCCGAGCCCGCTGGCTACTTCCGGCGCGCGCCAGGACCTCTGGTCTGAAGACCTCTGCGTCTGAGAACTAGAGAACGTGCGTTTCAGCGTTGCCCGTTTGAAAGCACCATTAGTCAGACTGCAAACTCTTTTTGATACTACAAGACACACCTTCATATGCAGATAGGACAGGAAGAACCAACACAACAAAAGGACAGTGCCCGATTTGCATCCTCAAAACCTGCTTCCTCCTGGCATTAACACTCAACCCCCCAATCACCCTGGAGTCAACAGTGGATTACAAAAAAGCACACATAAAAAGTGAAAAAAATGTCATAGTATAATTTCACTTTTTTTCCCCCATAAACCATATTCCCCCTGTTTAGACAAAACATGGCTCAAAACTGAACATGGCCCATAATGTATTGACTTTGAAATGTATTTAAAGTGATAGTCTGGAACTCTAAATGAATTACAATTTTTTTAGAATTGTATTGAATTGACCTGCTGGGCTTAAATGTTGATATAAAATAAGTCATTTTATGAATTATAATATTATGGGTAAGTCCCGCCTTCCCTTCTCTTAGCTATAACTCAAAATCCACGATGTCTCCACTTTAATCAATCAAGTGATGCCAAGGGCTGTCAATCATCGCGCCCGTGCTCAAATTCTTTATGTGGTAAGTCGAGGCGGCTATGCGCTCCTAGAATATAAAAATAAGATTAAATTAAAGCCTCAAGCGACGTCGAACGGCCCTCGCCACACCGCGCAACTCCCCGCACCGCGCCACTCACTAAACCACGCAATTCCCCGCACCGCGCGACACCACGCCGCCCCGTGGGACTCCCTGCACCATGGCGCTCTGCCCGGCACCACGCCGCCTCATACGACGCCACCTCACACCACTCCACGCCGCCCAACACTGCGCCGCCCCGCAGCACGCCGTCCCACACTGCACCGCGCAACACCGCCCTGTGCCACACCGTGCCATGCCGCAGTGCACAAACAACAGAGTGTCTTTATCACTTTATCACTTTATCTCCTCCTAGAAATGAGGCCTCCATGAGGGTAAGCGTTCAACCTGCACCCTCAAGTATGATAAGAGCGGGCCTAGTATCACAACCTGTACCCTCAAGTAATATAAGAGAGGACCTAGCATCACAGAGCAAATTTCAAACCTTGAGCCAATTTGTACCTGATGCAAATGTTAACGCCCACTACTCCTACGGTGGCCACGTCCAGCAACAAGCAGAAAATGCAGCTGGACCCCAAATAGGATCATACAACGTACACCTTAGTAGCAGATCTATTGCGATAGAAGGGAATGACAGATCAGGGTCCCCACCAAAAATTACACCAGATTTGTATACATGCGATGAGCAGTCCAGCAGCAGGCAGTGCAGTGCAGTGGAGGGATTGGAATTGCCACAAAACTACACATACAATAATAGTTAGTTGAAGATGTAATAGAACGCTCGGACATTGACCCCGCTGCTGTAAGCATGTTTCAGCTGGACAATAGTCGGGAAATGCAACAGGGACTAAATGGAATTAGGCTAGCATCATTGGATTTGACTGACAATGGAACAACAGAAGATGAAGGCAAGGTGTCAACTAGTCCAGAAAATGTACTCAGAGTAGAAGAGTCATTGAGCAAAGAAGGGAGCATAGATTTGAAACTTGTACTTTCAGGTAAATCTACGTTAGAGAGCATTTCAAAAAGTAAGGGCTCAACATCAACAGGGATGTTCTCTGTGTCTTTATCACGCGAACAACCTCTCAGCTCCCCCCATGAACATAGAGTTCCTCTACAAAGCATGCTAACACATAGAGAATATATTCAAATAGTAAAAAATAGCATTGACAGTAATTGGAAAGAAACTAAAATCAACCAACCAATTTCCAATCAGCCACAGATGGTTGTTGTCACTTTGCACCAGACACCATCACCACCGGGCAATAACGAGGAGGACCACTCCCCTTACGCTCCGTTATGTTTCTCTTTGGGTCAGCCAGTTCTGAACTTCTGTTCCTCCTTCAGTTTCAGGGTTTCCAACCAGTAAAAATGAGGAAGTGGCAGTTTGGAGGATCCTTAAGCAGCCTTAGCAGAGCATATTAGCATAAGCTCTGAGAAGGTTTTGCTTGGGAAACAAGTGCAACCAGAAACTTTCTGTGGCTTACTGAAAAAAACAAAAACAAAAGAAAAAACAATAAATTCACTAATCTATTATGTATAACCTTATTTTATAAGGTTATACATAATTATTGATTAACCTTATTTCATGAGGTTATAAACAGAACAAAAACAGAAGGATGTAATCATAACATCTCACTCGTAATCTTTCTGCAGTTTGTAAGATTAGCATAAGCTAATAAGTTTTGCTTGGGAGACTTTCTGTGGCTTACTTAAAAAAAACTAAAAACACAACATAATAAATTCACTAATTTATTATATATAACCTTATTTTATAAGGTTATACATACATTATACATACATTATTAGGTACAACCTTATGTTATAAGGTTTTTCATAATTTATTATGTATAACCTTATTTTATAAGGTTATGACTAGGACAAAAACAGGAGGATGTAATCTTTACATCTCACTTGTGGTCATTCTGCAGTTTGCAGGATCCTTAGCAGAGCATATTAACATATGCTAGGAGAAGGTTTTGCTTTGGAAACTGGTGCAACCAGAAACTCTCTGTGGCTTACTGGACAGAAACAATAATAATACATTCAGACTGACCATATCCTCTCAGATCTATGAGGCTGACCATGTCCCCTCAGATCAGACTGACGGAGGTCCTGAGAAACATGGTCAATGTGCCTCATGTGGTCCTGAGGGACATGGTCAGCCTGATCTGAGAGGACGTGGTCAGTCTGATTGATCTAGGGGACAAAACTTTTACACTTCTTTTTATTATTATTATTTTCAAGATTGAGTTTTTATACTTGTTATTGATGCTAGAGTTAGAGATTTTGTTTTATTTTATAGCTATTGTTCACTTATCTTGTGCCGTGTGCTCCTCTTTCCTACTGTTCTATAATTTATGATGCAACACTGAAATTTCCCCACTGTGGGACAAATAAAGGATCTCTTAATCTTAATATTGGTAACCGATCAGAGTCCTGTTTATACCTACATTCAGAATATGCCTCATATGTTCAATGTCCTTAATGAAATCTCCCATTTGGTAAATTGATTCTTTGATTGTACCCTTTTGGGGCCTTAATATTACTCACTGGTCATTGAAGTCACATATAATAAAACAATACATAAGCAAAGTCTAAACTTTTATGTTTGAAGATTCAAGAAACCTGCTCAATTTCACATGGAAGGGAAATGCAAAACATTTTTCCTATCTCTTTGGTCACAGAATCTGATTTTTTTTTTCAATAAGGTTATCTTGGTCTTAAATTTTCTGTGTGAAAATTGGTGACTGTTTCTTCCCCCTGTCGTGTGGGCTGCTGCAAAGGTCTATACTAACTTTGCTTAACCTACAACTGGATGGGCTAACACCGCTATCATACAGCCTTCAATCTCAGCTGTATGGTTTACCACCTCAGCTGACCGGGCACCTTCCACCTCAGCTGACCGGGCACCTTCCACCTCAGCTGACCGGGCACCTTCCACCTCAGCTGACCGGGCACCTTCCACCTCAGCTGGCTGGTCACCTTCCACCTCAGCTGGCTGGTCACCATTCACCTCAGCTGACCGGGCACCATTCACCTCAGCTGACCGGGCACCATTCACCTCAGCTGACCGGGCACCTTCCACCTCAGCTGACCGGGCACCTTCCACCTCAGCTGACCGGGCACCATTCACCTCAGCTGACCGGGCACCATTCACCTCAGCTGACCGGGCACCTTCCACCTCAGCTGACCGGGCACCTTCCACCTCAGCTGACCGGGCACCTTCCACCTCAGCTGACCGGGCACCTTCCACCTCAGCTGACCGGGCACCTTCCACCTCGGCTGACAAGGCACCTTTCACCTCGGCTGACAAGGCACCTTTCACCTCAGCTGACTGGTCACCTTCCACTTCAGCTGACTGGTCACCTTCCACTTCAGCTGACTGGTCACCTTCCACTTCAGCTGACTGGTCACCTTCCACTTCAGCTGACTGGTCACCTTCCACCTCAGCTGACCAGTCAACCACCTCAGCTGACCAGTCAACCACCTCAGCTGACCAGTCAACCACCTCAGCTGACCAGTCAACCACCTCAGCTGACCAGTCAAGCACCTCAGCTGACCAGTCAAGCACCTCAGCTGACCAGTCAAGCACCTCAGCTGACCGGGTACCTTCCACCTCAGCTGACCAGGCACTTTCCACCTCAGCTGACGGGCGGGCACCTTCCACCTCAGCTGGGCGGGCACCTTCCACCTCAGCTGACCAGGCACCTTCCACCTCAGCTGACCGGTCACCTTCCACCTCAGCTGACCGGTCACCTTCCACCTCAGCTGACTGGTCACCTTCCACTTCAGCTGACTGGTCACCTTCCACCTCAGCTGACCGGGTACCTTCCACCTAGCTGACCAGGCACCTTCCACCTCAGCTGACCAGGCACCTTCCACCTCAGCTGACCAGGCACCTTCCACCTCAGCTGACCAGGCACCTTCCACCTCAGCTGACCAGGCACCTTCCACCTCAGCTGACCGGGCACCTTCCACCTCAGCTGACCGGGCACCTTCCACCTCAGCTGACCAGGCACCTTCCACCTCAGCTGACCAGGCACCTTCCACCTCAGCTGACCGGGCACCTTCCACCTCAGCTGACTTGTCACCTTCCACCTCAGCTGACCAGGCACCTTCCACCTAGCTGACCGGGCACCTTCCACCTCAGCTGACCAGGCACCTTCCACCTCAGCTGACCAGGCACCTTCCACCTCAGCTGACCAGGCACCTTCCACCTCAGCTGACCAGGCACCTTCCACCTCAGCTGACCAGGCACCTTCCACCTCAGCTGACCAGGCACCTTCCACCTCAGCTGACCAGGCACCTTCCACCTCAGCTGACCAGGCACCTTCCACCTCAGCTGACCGGGCACCTTCCACCTCAGCTGACCGGGCACCTTCCACCTCAGCTGACCGGGCACCTTTCACCTCAGCTGACTGGTCAACCACTTCAGCTGACCGGTCACCTTTCACCTCATCTATCCACAAAAACAAAGAAGAAAAAGCTGTCATCCCTGAACCCTGCAATCAAAAAACAAAAGAAAATGTGCTTCTTCCAAACTCTAAATAGTGCAAAAGTAATTTGGGATACGCAATCAAAACCAAAATACGTTTTTTACTTTTGCCCACTCACAACATTTTGTCTGTATACATGTTTGAAATAAATAAATATATACAAATACAAAAAGGAATTCTTCTGGGTCACATTAATATTGTTAACAAAATCAGAATTGTATTGTTAACAAATCAGAGCATGTAACATTTATTAAGTGATTCCAATATTGATATTCTTGGAATATCTGAAAGTTGGTTGACTCCTGCATCACAGAGTGCCGCTGTAAATATTCCAGGATTTAATCTATTTAGGAGAGACAGAGGGGCAGGAAGAGGTGGGGGGGTACTGGTTTATATCAAAACATTTTTTTTTAAATGTGAACAAATACAGTGGCCTAGAGAAACAGAAATTGAATGAATAAGTCTTATAACACTATCCCCTACAATGTCATTCACTGTGATCTGTATGTATCGACCTCCATGTGCAAAATACTGCTTTTATCCTCAACTTGAAGCAATTTTAAGTCAGTGCAATCCCTCAAGAGAAATAATTTTGCTGGGTGATCTAAATATTAATTGGGAAAATAAATCGGATAGGAAAAAACTGAAACAACTCACTGATAAACATACTCTGAAACAGATCATAAATGGTCCAACAAGGGTAACTAATATGTCCAAAACTACAATTGATCTTATCTTGACTAATAAATCTGATAGAATGACCAAAACTTTCGATTTATCTGGTCTCTCTGACCACAATTTAATTCTATGTTTAAGGAAAATTAAAAATGAGAGGTCTGTCAGAGCTGAGAAAGGTAAAGCTTATACATTCATAACTAAAAGTCAGCAACCAATTTTATAAAATGAATTGGAACACATAAATTGGTCTAATGTAGTGGAAAGTAATAATGTTGAAGATAGTTCAAATACGTTTGATAAGGTGGTATGTGACATCTTAGCCAAATTCACAAAGAAAGGAGAACGTTATTTCTACAAACAATGTAGAAATAACGTTCCTTGGATCAATATTGACAAGCGACCGACATATCTTTACATCTCTCAGAAATAAAGTTGTTAAAGAGATGCGTCTAGCTAGAGCAAATTTCTTCATTAATTAATAGAGCTCATGGAAATGGCAAATTGGTATGGAAACATCTAAACTGCCTGTTAAAACGTCAAAAAGATCAAATTCCCAGAGATTTACAGCTACACACAAATGGAACCCTAACTGACAATTTACATACTATTGTCAACAATGATGGTTCATGATTTTTTTTAACAGCTCAATCATGGAACTAAAAATACAATTAAAATAGTAAGTAACCCTATGGATGCCAGTAAACCATTATTTATAATTGAGGAAATTAGTTTCTTATCATTACTATTACTATTGTTAACTTTTTAGAATGATCAATTTATTTGTTTTGTTTGCGTGAATGGTTTTTGCTGCTACTGGACACCTGAATTTCTATCACGGGGATAAATTAAGTAACTATCTATCTAGAAAAAAATAACTAGAAAAAGTCACAAAAGTTAGAAAGACCAAAAATGTACATGATCTGAGTATTTACACTAAAGTTTCGTTGTCATGGTTACACTCACCGGGCAATGAGAAACAGCTTTAAGTCAGTTCTGTTTTCCCGTTTGAACAGGTCAAATGTAAAGTCCTCACCTTTAGTTCCTGGTTTTCAGCGTCCTTCTTTGTGTCCACGCTGCTCCTCAGATCGAGGTTACTCTGAGCAGAAGTGCAATACAGAAAAATAAATATAGAATAATCAACGATGAAAGTGATTCATTCCATCTACAGCTCAAACTACTGTATATTGTACGTATCAAAAATAAGATGACAGAAATCCTATCACTCACAGATTTATTTCAAGCCTTCAGAACACAATTCCACATATCTTTACACAACTAAAGGTTTGAAAAGGTGTTGATGAAGCAGGTGTATTTACACTTCAATACAATCAACAAACAGAAATATGCTGTGCCAGGTACATGTAAATATGAACGGACGTAGTCACGCCCATCTCCGCCTTTGAAACTAATGTGCCCCCACTTTCGACGTTTTCGAGAGGTAAGGAGACGCCGTTCAAAAGTATTGGATAATCTCATTCTGGTTCCACCCCTACCGGCTCGGAGTGGTATTGCAAATATGTCCCCACTGGTTCATACACACACAGACACTCTCACACACAATACATAGTTTTCCATCACGTGCTTATTACCCCTGATGCTTTGCGCGAACGCCATGTTGTCTATAGCACGTATCATTTGTCGCGGATCATTTGTCCCCATGTCATCTAAAGCCACGATTCGGCCGACACTGACCGCTTTAAGTATATTGATACACAGGAGTAATCTGTGAGGCAAGATCCTTAGAGAAATTGAGAGTGATCGTAGATTTGGATCCATGTGAAATGCTGCGAGACCAGTGGACTGCGCCAGAAATGGCCTACTTTCACTTAACAGTTTTACAATTAAAAAAAGGTCATGATGAATATGAGTTGATATCACAGGCCGTAAATCACTTCTGTCTATATATAAAGCCCAGGATTTTCATGTTAGAGAGACGACTGTTTTAACTGGACACAACATGATTTAATGACGAGGTGTTAAGCAGTTTAAATGGTCGCTCGTTCACTAGTCTATTTTGAGAATAAGCAAGTGCCGTTGTTTGAATCTGCACTCTTAGTTTATCGCGTCTTTTGCATTCCTCCTGCACTTGTAAGTCGTTCATGTTTGGTCTCAGATATTTACCACTTATTGTTTTGCTGTTTGTGCTGAATACAATTTATTAATAACTGTTTCCAACAAGAATGTTTTTGTTCTGAAGAGGAGAAAGCAGCTAGCGTAAATGGGGCTGCTTTGGTTTTCCAGGTAACTCCGGGAAGTAAATTATTAAGCACAGAAAAGTAGGCACGGCTCAAGACCAATCAGAAAGGAAGGGGAGAGAGCTGGGGCCTTTTTTTTCAAATCCTGTACCTCTCTCTCTTTTTTCTGACTAACTTAGTCAACTTAATTATCCATTTTTGTTTCAAATATGTTTTTTGAGAAGCAGTTCAGAACATGGCATGAACATGATACAGATAAGCTTCTTTCTTAATACAGACAAATACAAACACAAACAAATAATACTAATACCCACACTTCCCTCTCCTCCCTCCCGGGTGCTACATTTTAGATGAATCAGTCCATACTTTGCAAATATAACTAAAACGGCTTCCAAATCCGTTCAAAATCGTGCAGTTTTTTATTTTGTATGTGACGTATCCTTTCAAGATGAAGAGTCTCCGTCAATGAAGATATCCATGCTGAAACTGAAGGGACATCTTCCCCTTCCACAAAAGTAGGATGAGTCTCTTGGCGCACATAACTCCATATGAGAGAAGGTGGGCTCGACAGGTTTTCAGTCTGTTGGTCTATTCCGAAACTCCCATAATGATCAAAATAGGATCCGCTTCTAATTGTACATTTAGAACCTTTGGGAAAAAAAGAAAATAAAGACGACCAAAAATTCTGTGGCTTTGGACACATTACAAAACTATGCAACAAGTTTGCCTCTTCAGCCTCACATTTATCACAAATGGGTGAAACATCAGGGAAAATGTTGTGTAACCTTTGAATAGTGCCGTCTATGCAGTATTTTAAACTTAATTAAAGAGTATCGTGTATTTATGGAACACAAATGAACATATTTCAATCCTTTAGTCAAAATGTCTTCATGTATTACAGTTCCGAGTTCCTTTTCCCATGCCGTTTTAGTATTATATCATATCCACCTGTTTGAGTGCCTGCAGAATGTTATATATAAATGAAATCACATGACTTCCTGTATTACAAGTGGCCATGCACTCATCTAATTTATCTGGGGCTATTTGTTCAAAGGCTGGAACATGGGATCTCACATTGTTTCTTATTTGCAGGAATCTGAAAAAATCACCAGCAATTAAATTGTATTTAACTTGAAGCTGTTGAAATGAAGCAAAACAACCTTGAAAATACAGGTCACCTATATTTTGTAAACCCATTTCCTTCCAGCGATCAAAGTCTCCATCCATAACTGAGGGTGGGAGTTATCAATTTCAACACCACGCAACCCCAAAAGCCCAAAGTCCATTTTCACGGTCCATAGCCCTAAATAAATATTTGACACTCCCTCTCGACCCCTCTTCAATGTATGGTAATGAAATGTCCACTCTGCTCCTTTTTCAAAACTCTTCTCTGTCTACGTAACCCAGACGCCAGACAGCAGCAAGCAGTACTCCAAACGGGACACAAAGCTGGACTTTCAGTTCTCAAACTGTACCAAAATGTCACCTGTCATCAGCAGAGGAGCCCGGGCCCCATAATCCGTATTATCATTACCATTATTAAAAAAGGGTCTAAGGACAGTGGTGATAATCCAGGACAGTCAACATTCAACAACATTTCTGGACTTTATCAACATATATGGACATATAAGCTCCTAATGGCTCTATGTGTTTTTTATCATTGCATTTCTTGTGTTTGAACTGTTTAATTCTCTGATCTGTGTTGGCAAATTCATCAGTTTTGTTAAGTCCTCCGAGAATGTTGTGATTTGTCGCATGGCGCCGTAAAGATGGCGCCGTGGCAAGAGCTCTGGTGTGTGTCGTGTCTGGTGCACACCGGGGTAGTCTTGCACAGTTTTCCAATGTGGTTTTACTGCAAATGGCAAATAAATGAATCTGAATCTGATTTATGGCTATACAGAAATACATGTAATTAAATTGAGTTGAATCCCGGAGAAGCCCCCAAAGGACTCCTCGGGGAACATGGTAGATTGCCTTCTCCAGATCCACAAAGCACATGTGGACAGGTTGGGCGAACTCCCATGATCCGCGAGTATCCGATGGAGAGTATCGAGATGATCCAGTGTTCCATAGCCACTGATCCTCCTGCATTTATATCTTTTGTTACTTTATTTTGCAGTTCAGTGAACGTCATTTTCATATTTGGTCTTCAGTGAAGTCTTCAGAGAGAGCAATGTCTCTCTGAATCAAAGACCATAGACCGTCATTTATCCTTGGATTGTTCAATTTTTAAATCTTTCATCAATATTAAACATACTTAAAAACGCATTCTATTCTGTATTTTTAGTAAGATGCTCAACTTTTTTTGGCCAATCTTATAGTAAACAGTTTTATGTTATGGATTTTCAGTATTCTGTCAGGATCCTCAATTTGCTCTTGTAGCCATCACTTAAACCAGCGGTTCTCAAAGTGTAGTACGGTAAAGTGTGGTAAATAAGTCTTACTGTTGAAACTGTAAAATGTTACAATGGCTGACAATATTAGATATACTTCTTTTGGGAACGAAACCTCTGGCTTGTTATTGATGAATATTTAGGCTTACTACGCTTTTTTCTTCTTTTTTTTGAAAGATGCGCTGGGTAACGGCTGCAAGTCCTTAGTAGCTCTGATTAACAGTTGTTGTTTTGTGCTTTACAATTTTTATTTTTATTGCTTTTTCTGCCTGAGATGTTGCTTCAGTACAGTGTGCAAAGTTTTGCACTGGTCCAGACCGGAGCAGAGAGGATTCATGGTCCAAACCAAGCGGATCAGGTGAAAATCCACTGGAGGAATGCTGACTTTTTGAAAAATGCTAATGCAGCATTTAGCATTTTACTTTAGACTAGAGCCTGGTTTGGACCTAGAAGACGGTCCAAACCAAGTGGCTACTCGATCTTTTGACCTGTTCTGCTCCACCCAGAGGCTACTCCACCTCTGCTGGTCTGACCCGTCCTGCTCCACCCAGAGGCTACTCCATCTCTGCTGCTGTGACCTGAGGGGCTGTGGCTGATTATTCCTATTGTTATCTTCTTTCTTTTTTTTTAGAATGATCAATTTTATTTTTTATTTTTGCTACTACTGGACACCTGAATTTCTCCTTCGGGGGATCAATAAAGTATCTATCTATCTATCTATCTACTGTATAGTGTTGGTCATTTGTGGTGGTACTTGGAGAGGCAAGTATTTTCTGAGGTGGTAGTTGGTGTAAAAAGTTTGAGAACCACTGACTTAAACCAATCAAAAAAGTTTGTGGAAAATCACAGTTAAGTGGCAAGTGAAACACCAAGAATGTTCACAACATGGAGTAAATCCAGATAAACATGAACAAACGAAGAAACTCGAATCATTCAAGTTCAAGAAAAGGCTGTGTTCACACTCCGCCCTGTATACATTATTCTAAAGTGACTAACAATAGTAATAAAGCGCAACAGCACTTTAGGTCACAGCAGCAGAGGTGGAACAGCTGCTGGTGAAGAGCTGCTTCCTGTCCTCTGGGTAATGCATGCAGTGTCTTTTTGGTTCTGACTTTTTTCACTGCACTGGTTCAAAGTGAAATTCTAATTTATTTATTAGCATAATTTACAGTTAGAAAAAAGCAAGAAATATAACGATTGTAAAGCACAAAACAACTGTTTCAGAGCTGCTGAGGACATGCAGTTTCCAGCTCATTCAAAAGTAAACAAGAGTAAACAAAATGAATTCCTTCTCAATTTATAAATTGTAAATATTCAACTAAACTACTGTTTTTTGAAATATAGACCAAATATTTTATTTTATACTCTTAATAATGTGAATTATGAATGAAAAAAAACTCCAGTATGTAATGCAAATAGATGACATCATGGACGATGTCACCTTTTAGAATCTGTGGTTTCCATGGGGACATGGAGTTTTGCTTCAGTCTATGGACTGTCCACAGCTGTAAGTCTCTCTGTGTTCACATTGACACCTATCCGGCCTCAAGATGAGTCCGCCAGACGTTTCTTTGGACGAGTTCCGCCACAAAAACGTCTTTTGTGACGCTGTGATGAAAGTGGAGAACCAGGAGTTCCCAGTTCACAAAGTCATTATGTGTCAGTCCAGCGAATACTTCAGGTGAGTTAAAGTAATCGACTGACATTATTTACGATGCAGAGGTGAAAGAGTTTTTAAGGATCTGTATTATTCCAAAGGACTGAGATTCAACTGCATCATGATATTGGACATAGTAAGAGCCATGCATCTGCTGCTTTATAGTTTGAAACGCATTCAAAAGTCACAGATACAAACAATAAACTAAACAACTTTTCACAGACACTTGATTCTGCACGTTCACTTTCTCTACTGTTAATGTTAAAGAATGAGAACATTTGAAATGTAGAAGTATATTATAATTACCCAGGAGCTAAACTGCCTGTGCAAAGTAAAAAAGCTGTGCAATTTCAGTAGTTTGATTCTGTTTCTGCGTGTGCACACATCAACGTTCATATATTTTGCACAAACACGTCACAAACATACCCATTGATATAGACTTTGATCCTGAAAAGATTAGAGTCTGCATGTTTAGATAAGGTGTGAGCACTGAAGCGATTTATTGTATAATGCAGTTGCATTGACACTTAATGTTTAATGTCGTTTTTGGGAAAATAAAGCTTGGCTAAAAGTTGCCCTTAAACCTTTTCTTCAGCACTTAATCTGTTTGTGTGTGTCTTTTAGAGCCATGTTTGAGCGCTGGGCTCCTGCGGAGCAAAGAGCCTTCCCTCTCGGAGGCCTCAGTCCTCACATCATGTCTGTGCTGCTTGAATGGATTTACACAGCCTCTGTAGACCTTAGCTTGGACACCGTCCAGGAGCTGGTGATGGCTGCAGATATGCTGCTGCTAGAAGATCTGGTTCAGATTTGCTTCGACTACATGCTGGAGCACCTGAATGTGCACAGCAGCATCAGTGTCTGGCACCTCGCAGATGTGGTACTTTCAGCTCAAACGAGGGAGGTGTGTCGCTGGTTCATCCTGAAGCACTTTAAGGAAGTTATGGTCAACGAGGAATTTCAGCAGCTCACAGCGGAGGAGTTGAGTGACTTTCTAGAAGACGATGGACTGCATGTGGAAGAGGAGATCACAGTGTTCCAGGCCGTGGTACAGTGGGTACAACACGACCTCAAGTGCCGCAAACACTCAAAAAAACAACTCTTTGAATGAACATAAAAAAATCATGGAAAGTATTTCCACATAATTAAATTGCTTTCTTTCAGCATTAACCAATTTTGTTTGTCCAACTTGATTCACTTGACTTGGTTCAACACCATATATTAGGGTTGATTTAACGCATTTACTAGGTTTGGGACCTACTTCATTTAGATGTGTTGGATCAATTAATTCATTAGGGTTGATTTAACTTGGTTCTTTGGGCTAGGACTCACTAAATACAATAGTATTAGATCCACTTATTTGACAGTAGTGAAATTACAAAACTATCTTAAGTTGTTCCAACCCAAGTAAAATATGTTAGCCCAACAGAAATGGTTAATGCTGAAAAAAAACCATTAAATCACATGGAAATACTTTCCATGATTTAATTAAGGTCATTTAAAGAATACAATTCAAGTGTAAACACTTTAAGGTTTGCAGTGAATAGTATCAACAAAGTCTAGAGACTGCTTGGTGCAGGGTAGAAAGAAAAGACAAATAGTAGATATTGCCATAAAAATGTATTTTTTCAAAAGTGCAACAAAGTTTTACATGAACAGTTGCTTGCCACAGAACAAAAAATTAAAACTTTTTAATGACAATCTGGTATAATGCTGTACACTGCTTTTTTTTTTTTAAGTGCCAAGAGAGTGAATTATAGAACCTAGTACTATGAAAGAAAAAAGTTCAAGACCTGAACTTTAAGATACTTTTGGGAGTTGGATCCCATCTTTGCAGTCCCCTTTTAAAGAAATAGGCCACCGTTTTTACATACTAAAATATGTTCTTACCTGAGCTTAGACGAGTTAATCTGTACCCGTCTGGTCTTCACGTGTGCCTTCCGTAACGTAAACACAGCACAGACGGCGTTAGCATTTAGCCTCTTCTCTATAGCTCCAAACGAGGTGAAGATAGAAGCTACCAAACTCTTCCACGTTTTCCTTTTTTAAATATGGTTACATGAAGTGTTACACTATAAAGTATAATTACACTATAAAGTATAATTACACAAAATTAAACAATGTGGATTTTCTAAGTGGATAAAAAGGCATCCGCGCAGTGACTTCACTTTACTGTGCGGATGCCGAATTACTCCTGGTATTATTACGCCTTACAATATAGTTCCCCTTTTTATCCACTTAGAAAATCCACATTGTTTAAATTTGTGTAATTATACTTTATAGTGTAACACTTCATGTAACCATATTTAAATAGGGAAAACGTGGAAGAGTTTGGTAGCTTCTATCTTCACCTCGTTTGGAGCTATAGAGGAGAAGAGAGGCTAACGCCGTCTGTGCTGTGTTTACGTTACGGAAGGCACACGTGGAGACAAGACGGGTACAAATGAACTCGTCAAAGCTCAGGTAAGAACATATCTCAGTATGTAAAAACAGTGGCCTATTCCTTTAATGTTTTACTTACTTTCCACTAAAATATTTGCACAACTGTAAGCCTAATAAAATTAAAGATGATAGGCTGGTGACATACAAGAGGATTAGATCAGATGTAGCCATTGACGCTTTTAACAACAGTCTGAAAGTCCAGGACTGGAGCTCAGTCATGTTGGAATCAAATGTTGATCAAGCCTATGACAATTTCTTGAACACATTTGTCTCACTTTATGATAAGCACTGTCCTCTGAAGTCATACAGTATAAGGAAGAAAGCAATGAAAAGTCCATGGCTTACAAAAGGAATACTGAATGCATGCAAAAAGAAGCAAAATCTCTATAAATTGTTTGTTAAATTAAAAACTAAAGATGCTGAGCTAAGATATAAGACTTACAAAAATAAATTGACTGACATTATTAGAAATTCGCGAAAATTATATTTTATTAATACTTTATATGATAAAAAGAATGAAAAAAACGTGGGAGATACTGAATGGTATTATCAAACAGAGTTCAACAAAAGTAGAGTACCCCAATTATTTTGAAAATATTAACGGTGATAAATACAACACGAAGAATATTGTAAATAACTTCAACCATTTTTTTGTGAATATTGGCCCAGAGCTGTCTGCAGAGATTCCTATCCAATCCAAATGCCAATGTAATATGGTAATTAATTCAAGCTCAATGTTTCTCTTAGCAACCACTGAAAAGAAGTCAAAGAAGTAATCCTGAGTTGCAAGAGTAAATATTCCACTGACTGTCATGGTATTGATATGTCACTAGTAAAAGAGAATTGTTGATAATATTACAGTGCCACTCACCCATGTTTGCAACTTGTCCTTCCAGTCTGGCAGTGTGCCAAGTAAAATGAAAATGGCAAAAGTGATACCACTGTTTAAGAATGGAAATAAACATTTATTTACCAACTACAGACCCATTAGTTTGCTCCCACAGTTCTCCAAGATTTTGGAAAAATTATTCAGTTCACGACTTGAAAACTTTATCAACAAACATCAGTTAATAAATGATAGCCAATATGGCTTTAGGTCCAAAAGAACCACTTCAATGGCCATAATGGAGGCAGTAGAGGAGATTACTAATGCACTGGACAAAAATATGCACACGGTTGGAATTTTTATCGATTTTAAAAAGGCTTTCGACACAATCAATCATTCAATTCTCTCAAGTAAACTTGAAAAATATGGAATCAGAGGTGTAGCAGGGAAGTGGATAAAAAGTTACCTGACTGGAAGAGCTCAGTATGTTAAGATGGGTGAATATACTTCAGACCAACTGAGTATCACTTGTGGTGTCCCCCAGGGCTCAGTTTTGGGTCCAATGCTGTTCAATCTTTATATAAATGATATATTTAATGTATCAAAAATATTGAAACTAATTCTCTTTGCTGATGACACTAATATTTTCTATTGCAACTCAAATTATAACACACTTGTAAATACTGTAAATATGGAAATGGTAAAATTAAAGAAATGGATGGATACAAATAAATTACTATTAAATCTAAATAAAACTAAAGTAATGACATTTGGGAATTTTAATAGTAATCCTGAATTGCATATTATCATTGACGGTGTACAAATTGAAAATGTAGATGAGAATAAATTTTTAGGTGTAACTATGGACAGCAAATTATCTTGGAAAGCCCACATCAGGCACATAAAAACAAAAATATCCAAGAGCCTTTCAATAATGAACAAAGCTAAGCAATATATTGACCACAATGCTCTGCGTATTTTATATTGTTCACTGATTCTCCCCTATTTATCATATTGTGTGGAAATATGGGGTAATAACTACAAATGTGCCATAAATCCATTGTTTTTACTGCAAAAAAGGGCTGTCCGTATCATTCATAAGGTCAGCTTTTTGGAACACACGCATGATCTTTTTATTCGGTCCAAACTACTGAAATTCCACGAACTTGTAAAATACTACACAGTAATCCTACTATTTAAAGCATTTAATAATATACTTCCTAAAAATGTACAAAAATTCTTCTCTCTTAAAGAGACGGCATATAATTTGAGAGGAAATGGAAACTTTATTCTACCAAAAGCTCAGACGACTCGTAAAAGTTTTTGTGTAACTGTATGTGGGGTAAAATTGTGGAATTCTCTGGATTTACAGCAGAAGCTATGCCTAAATATTCACAAATTTAAACTCTTATACAAAAGTGCAGTGTGGTCAGAATACAGAGTTAGTGGAATACTTAGTTTTGTTGTATTGCAGTTGTCTGTATCAGTTCTTGTGTTGTTTTTGATGTTTCTTACTTTCGTTGTTTCTGCTCCATCGCTGCTGCTCTTGTGTTACTGTTGTTTGTGCTTCTGTGCTTACCATCGCTGGTATGTACATTGTGTTACTGTTGTTCGTGCCTCTGTCCTTACCATCGCTGGTATGTACATTTGTGTCACTATTGTTTGTGCCTCTGTCCTTACCATCGCTGGTATGTACATTTGTGTCACTATTGTTTGTGTCTTTGTCCTTACTATCGCTGGTATGTACATTTTCTGAAAATGTCTAAACTGTTGTATCATTTGCATCCTGTCTATTCTATAAGCTATGTTTGACCGTAAACGAAAATGATATTGCACTTAGTTTTGTGTTCTGGAGTGTAGTAGTATTTTACAAAAGTGTTTAAGTTATGAAAATTTGATTTTTGTTGCATTGAGAATTTTTTATTTTTTTCTCTTTTTTCTCCTTTCCTTTTATGGACTTTGAAGTGGAAGTTAAGTTAAATAATGTAACGTAGCTATGGACAATAGGGGTGGGATTCAATAAGTTTTCTTCCCACTCCTTTCCAAATCCTTTCTATTTCCTGTACTCAAGTACAGCTGTTCTACATTTGTTATTTTATTTTTTTTATGTGATCTGCTCGAAATGAATAAATAACTAACTAACTAACTAACATATTTAAACTAATATCAAAAAGTAGAAACATGTAGATGCTGCCACAATTTTTTTTTTCTCCAAATAAACAAAAATGCAACAGTTTTCGCACTTGTGCTGTTGAACTTACTGAAACATAGGTTAACAGAAGAACATGTCCATGCCACATTTAGGGGATTTACAGTATAGAAAACCAGTTCAAATGTAACAAAGAAAAATAAAAGTACTTCTTAACCCCCACCTGAACCAAGCACAGTATCTCCAGTTTGGCAATACCCAAATCTAAAAGCTCTAAAAAAAAAGTGTCATAACAGCAACAAAATTGTGACAAAAAAGCAATGAAAAAGTGACAGAAAAGTGTCAAATGCAACAAAAGAGCAACAAAAACATGACAAAAACATAAGTGATGAGAATGTAACAAAAAAAGTGATGAAAAAACAGCAACAACGCGAGGAAAAAGATCTGTTTTGATACATTTTGTATCTTTCAAATGAGGCCTATAGGCCAGTGAACTCATGTCGAGAAGCTTTTAGATTTGGGTAAGACTGAACTGGAGAAACCGTGATCAGCGCGCCTTTACTAACGGCAAAGCAATGTTTTGAGAACTTGTATCTTCCCGGATAGTCTGTTTCCATCTAGTTCCATTATGATCTTCTGCAATGCTTCAAAGGTATATTTTAGCTCTGGAGGGTAGCTCAAGTTTAGAGCATACACAAGAGCAAGCAACATTGCCACAGCAAAAGGAACATTTACCAACTCATTGAGTACTACCACCCCCTCCAGAATGATTCCAACATCCTCAGGGTCATCACCAGGCTCTGCTCCTTCATGTCGCATGACAAAGATTCCAAAGACCGTCGCTGCCATGGCCGTGCCAATGTTTTCGTCAGCCGTCTGACAAAAAACAAAACAAAAACAAAAACATTAACAAAGCTCCTTCATTAGCCGTCTAAACATGGATCTCTTTAACTTCATGTCTGTGTAGTGGACACGTGATTGGAAGGAAGAGACAGAAGGAGTTAAGACTATACACACGCACACAATCTCACTTTGCTTCAACTGAGGGGAGTTGTTCGAAATATGGAAGAATCAGAACCAGAGTTATAGTGCTGGAAAAGAGCAAGCAACTGCCTGTTATTTTTGTGCAGTCAGGGAAAAACCAGTAAATAAAGACTCCAGTACAACATGCTAAATGCAAAACAACTTGTTTCTTAAACAATAAAAAAAGCTTATTACTATGTATAAACTATGTAGCTTATTTATATTTTAACAAGCAGTTAACTCCCTCTCTCTTAGTAAAGCTGTGTTTTTTTTTGTTGCCTTTTTCTGCAAACTGCATTTGGGGTTTCTGTGTGCCACATTGTTTTACTGGATGCTTTAGTACATCTTTGTCATGTTTTTAAAAGTAAAGAAACAGCAGCTTATGAACTAAAGACATTTGAGACCTACATATTTCTTCTGAAATCTGAAGAGGCACCAAGAGCCCCCACAGAGAAGGCGTCACAAGAGGCGTTACAGGAAACAAGGAAGGGGCAAATAAGATATCCCAGCGAGACTCACAGCAAAGCCACACAAGCCTTCTGTCCCAACTATTGTTCTGGCTAATTGATGTTCCCAGGGGGGAAAAATACAGGGTTAGGGTTAGGGAACTGCTAAGATCTTCCCAGAAGATGAACGACTGTTGTGGAGAGGAGGGAACTGCAGGAGTACAAGCTGACCAGTGCAGGACACCACGCTGTGAAATTGTGAAACAAGAACAAACCTATGGAATCATTTTTGTGCCAAAAGAAACAAAACGTCTTCAATGACAAACAAAAATAGGGAATTTGAGAGAAAATAAAAATAAAATAAAAAAAGTATAACTTGCAATCAAATTCTTTGTGTAATTGCGTAAAGTATCGGAATTTTACTCTTCTAATAATGTATTCTTCTGTTTACGGTTCCCTCTGCTTCTCTCTCTCTCTCTGGTCAGACTTTTGCTCCGACTCTCAGCTTTGCAGTCTCTCTGCAGCTCTCTCGTTTGCGCTCCTTGACTTTTTGTTTGCAGTTCTGGCACAATCCTCTCAGGTGGGCGGGCTTTTTCAGGAGATCGTCCCCATTGGCTAGTTAGTTTTTGATTGACACAGCTCATCAGCGCAGTGCCCCGGAAGTTGTGTATACGTAGCTGGCGCTCAAAGCGAACCTGGCTTTAGCAAAGAGGAGAGCTGTGTCAATCAAAAACTAACTAGCTTAAAAATGATATTACAATGTTTTCATGTTAAGACAGAAAAGCTTCATGTGTATCCGTATGCATTTCGAACGTAAATGAGCCATAAATAACATGATGATAAAAGTGCTCTCGTGACTGATGCCACACCGTTTCTGAATGTTTTATATCATTGGTAATATGAAATGGCTTTTCTTGTATTTTGAGTCATGTTATCAAATATTTTCAAATATGATATTCTGTTTCCAAGAAATTAAGAGGAAATTGACTAATTATTGCATTTTTCATTTTTTATAGACAGATTTTTGTACACCAAATTAATAATTAAGTTTCTTTACTCATTTACATTTCCTTGAGCAAATTTGGATTAAGGAGAAAAGTTATAGCTGACAGAATCGACCATATGCATTTTATTCAATAATATTTATTGCACTGTTCAGAGACAAAACATTCCATGTCCAAAATTTACTCATTGCCTGTGCTGTATTCATTTAATGAATAGTACTTATCACTAATTGGCTTCTTTTTGCTTTAGTACAACTGTGTGAATTTCCCTTTAGGTGTGTTTTGTAGACTAGAGCAACTTGGCCAGTTGCCTAAAACACAGCATTTTGATTATTTTTGCTCCAGTTAAATTTCGTTCAATATGGACATGCTATATGGCTATAGTTAGCATTTTCGGAGTACTTTTTAGTCGCTAGGTTAGTTTTACAGATAAATTAATCACGTAGGCGCAAAGCGGCTTACGAATCGGCCAAGCCGCTAATGTTGCTAACTAGCCGCTAGCCGGCTAGTTAGCAACATTAGCAGCTCGTAAACACTGCAGACCCAGCACTGAGGCACAAAAAGACAACATTTAGCTCTGGTTAAATCTAGCACTGGTAATACCTGTGAGTAAGACCGCACTACGAGGACTATTGTCTTTCCATGGAAGAATTCACCAGTGTGCTCTTAGCTCTCCTCAGCTGAGAGGAGTGTCCCTTACTGTAGGTGCACTGCGCCGCACATCAAGTGGTATCAAATACTTTTATCGAGACCACATTAATGAGTACGAGTATGAGTACAAGGTGTGGTATCCATGGATCTAATCGTGGTATCGGGCGCATCAAGAAACGCACGCATGAAGCCCAAAGCAAACTACAGCGGAGAATACAGAGGAAAACAATCGTTAGCATTATTAGCAGATAACTCGGCCCTAGAATTAGCGTGCAGCCGTGACAATTTAAATGCATGTTTTGCGTCGTCCCGCAAAATAAAATCAAGTTTTTAGGCCAGATTTTAAAGTAAGCGTCAGCTGTGGTAGTAAGCGGAGGTTTACCTGCCTGCACTGGAGCAAAGGCCCGTTTCCTGCAGGTGTTGCTGTAAGCAGCGTGATGAGGAGGTGCACCCTCCAGTGCAAAACATATCTGATAAACTTCAATAGCTTTTCGATCACTCGCACAAATGCGTCCTTTATAAAATTTTACTGTCAGTTGACAAAACAAGAAAAACTAAATGTCGCACATGCAACCACTTTAGCCTCAGTCTAGATCCCTGTCAGACAGACGACTGTTAATATATATATTTTTAAACAAACTATAATTTTGACTAAATATCGCTGAAAATGATGGACTACAGCTATTTCTGCATAGTATTTCGTTTGCATTAAGATGGATGAAAATGGATTTCTGCTTACCAATTCCATGTGCACGCCGGTCTTCCTCCCATGTTTCCTTGTAAAGTATCGCGTGAGCAGGGTCTTCACGTTCAATGTGCGCTTTGCTTTTCCCGCCCACCATAAGGACGCAATTGCCTCGCTTCAACTCTTTCAGGTCCAATAAGTGTACTGCCAGAGCGCAGTATTATATTTCTTTCATAAGGTTAAATTGCAAACATTATGAGACTCTGAAAATCCAACTGGTGCTCATGTGTTCCAGATTCGGTATTCTCTGATACCGTATAATATCATCAAGAACCATATCCTGAATCATCCATTGACAGGCGTCCACAGCCTGCTGACTGTACACAGAAACCTCTTCCTCAACAACGAACTACCCCTGCGGCCACGACAACCTGAGTCAGTCCTGTTGGCCATCGGCGGCTGGAGCGAAGGCAACGCGACCAATGCCATCGAAGCTTACAACTACAAGACGGATTGCTGGACGAATATCTCGTCGCAGGAGGAAACCCCGCGCGCTTATCACGGATCTATCGTTGTCGACGGGTTCCTCTACTGCCTGGGAGGCTTCAACAGGACGGAGCGCATCAATACCATGCGTAGGCTGGATCTAGCAACCTTCACATGGTCTGAGATGCCACCTATGTACGAGCGACGCTGCTATATGTGAGCGTGACTGAGCTGAACGGACGCATCTATGCGCTGGGCGGATACAACGGCCGATCGCAATTGAACACGGCTGAAGTGTTTGACCTCCGCTCCAACCAGTGGTCGATGATTGCTCCCATGAACGAGCAGCGAAGTGACGCCTACTGTGCTACGCTCAATGGAGTTGTGAGTAAAACAGTGATGTATAACCAACTATGGGGCATGTGTGGGCTGTGAGTCATGCGTAAAATACTGTACTTCCGGATCCATCAAAATTAGACTTTGGCTGCTATTTTTCCCCTTTTGTAATGTAGTGTATTTCAATGGCAACGTTGGAAGTGACGTGGAGATCCATTTTGGGTATTTCAATACTGTGCTATTGCCAGAATAGAGCAATGAAAGCCAACCAGAACCCTTCAGGAGCAGATCCAGGCCCGAGTTTGGACAGATGTTTAGAAAGGATAGTTGGGCCGAGTTTATTAACGTCAGAGTAGTGATGCACTCTACACACCAGGGATTTTACCTCAATTGTTGTTATTTTGAATGGTTTTTAATCCCAGGTTCTTGTGCGCACCTCTGTTGTTTAGTGTGGTAATGCCTACATGTGATCCATGCGTACAATTGCCAAAAGCAGACTTTTATATAAAAAAAAAAAGTACGTATCATTATGGTTAATTGTGTTTAAAATCTTAAAACCCAATCGGCATGGGTTCAGGTTCAAAAACTGGTGTGTCCAATGTGGCCCGGGTTTGGACAGAATGATGTGGCCTGATTTGTGCTTTATGTAGGGAATTAAATCCTGTTTGTATTCACAAAAAACACTGATCTTGTAATAGTGTTTTATAGTCTGTATCGTCCAATTATCCAAGTGAAGTTATCAGTGGACTAGTCAGGATTCATGGTCTGGTCATTGCAACTTTAATGATAACTAGTTTTTATAACACAAACCTCTCTCTGTTGGTAGATCTACATTTGTGGAGGCTTCAATGACACGGATTGTTTGCAGACAGTCGAACGCTACAGCATAGAGTCAAACCAGTGGACGCCCATCGCCCCAATGAGCGTCCCACGCAGCGGCGTCCGTGTGGTCGCTTTTTCCAACCTCATCTACGCAGTGAGTTTAAGGGCAAACCTCTGGTATGTCCCAAATGGTAAAAAGTATAATGTGTGTTGCCTCTGTGTGCTCAGGTTGGCGGCTTTGATGGGGTTCAGCGCTTACGCAGCACAGAGGTCTACGACCCGCACGTCAACTCCTGGCAGCAGCTGGCGGGCATGAAACTCTCCCGTAGTAATTTTGGCATCGAGGTTGTAAACAAGCGCATCTTTGCCGTGGGCGGTTACAACGGTGTCAGCACCACGCACGAAGCAGAGGCCTATGACCCCACGGAAGACAGCTGGACCCAGGTACGGTCATTACATTATTGATTTGTCAATCATAGTTTGGAAAATAAAACAATTTAAACTTACATACAAAAATAATACAATACAATAATAATACAAAAATTAACCAATTAGATAAATGTATTTGTTTTTAATTGCTCCTTTTTGACAATAAATAAAAAATGTAAGGGTGTATTCCCACCGCAGATGCATCCAGTAATTACAGATTACACCATTATCTGCTCACGGAGCAGCGCTATGGAATAATATTATTAACTTAGCTACTTCCTGTTCTTAATGGCTTGTGTTCCCATGACCACTGCTCTCTGATAAGTTGCTGCATGTGCGACGAGCAAAAAGATTGAACAATGTTCATCTCCTATGTTTGCCGCATGTGTTGAGTCGCCACACTCACCGCATCTGCCGCATTAGACAAACGTACAAAATATTGCACTTTTCATATAAAACACATAATCCACTGTGAACACCCATTAATTTGTTCCTCTCAATCCCTTGAGAACTGTCCAAAAGTTTTATTTCCCAATTGGCCAAAATAAATATATAGTGTTCATTAAAGTTTATTAGTTATTTTAAACAGTTGCTTTTCAATTTAATTATGAATAAATGTATTTTTTGGGGGGAATTGCTTTGACTTCTTTCAATCTCATGCTAATCTTTTCAGGGCAAAATTCAATCAAAATGTAAACAATTTGCCAAATACAGTAAATCCTAATTTTAAAAGAAAAAAGTCCACGATAACTTTCATTGATGAATATATAATGTTTGATGCTGTTTGAGAGTTGAGGCCGTGATGTATTTTTAGAGCTTGTGTTTCTGTTGAATAGGTGCATCACATGGCCATCCACCGGAGTGCTCTGGACTGTTGTGTGATCCCCGTCTTTCCAAACATCAGCGATTCCATCATGCCCCCCACTGTGTCAGACCTCTGCTGAAGTCAGACCTCTGCTGAAGTCAGAACTCTGCTGAAGTCAGACCTCTGCTGAAGTCAGAACTCTGCTGAAGCATCCGCCCCAGATAAACACAAATAAACCTATCAAGCATCATAAAGTTTCAACCATTGTTGTTACTGGTGATAGTGAAGGTATAGACTAAGGGTATCCAAACATTTTAGTAAGAGGGCTACTTAAGTTCCCCAGACTAGTCCAGGGGCCGACATCACAGACTCAGAAACGGCCTAGACAGGCATCGGGCTGCTCTGGAGCTTTTAAATGATCAATAACGGAGCTGAAGTTGGCTAAATGACAAATGTCTACCATCTCACCAGCTCACAAGTCTACAACTGAATTCCAGACGGACTTTACAACGAGTTACGACATGTCTGTATTGGCTGAGCTGAAGTTGGATAGATGACACAGTGAACTTGTATGATCTCAAAAACTACTTTTGGGTTAGCAAGGTAGAGGGTCACATAAAATGACACTAAGGGCCGCAATTGGCCCCTGGGCCTGAGTTTGGCCATGCCTGGTATAGACAGTGTAGACGAAAGGATCCTGCTTAGTCGCTATCTCTAAGCCTAATTGAATTATGTTTATTTTGGCTTATTCATATGGGCCTGCCAGAGGTTTCTCACCTTTTTCTCACTGTGGGGTCTGAGGACCGTGATGATCCGGGACATTTCAGGACCTTTATTCACTTTTATGTACATTAGTCATCCGGCTCCATGGGTACTAATGGCTCCTATGTGTTTGTTTGGCTCCTATTATTGTATTTTTTGTGTTCGAAGTGTGTAAGATGAACCGGAATCAACAACAACGATGACTGCTGTTGTGGTTTAGGGCAATACACAAATATATTCAATTGAATTTGATATTTATGTGTATTTTCCTCTCCTCCTCCTTTTGAGGCTGATGTGCAAATATCTTTCTCAGTCCTGATCTTAAAAACCTTTCCGGGTCAGCACATCCTCTCACACCAATGACAACTTTAGACAAGACCCTCTCTGGAGACCACCCCCTTGACCAGCTTCCAGAAGAAAGACAAACAGCTTTTTTAGTGTCACCATTTTACTTACATTTTAATTTACATTTCACTTCTTCAGAATGTAGATATAAAAAACACAATTCCAGAATGCCACGTTAACAGCTGCAAAACGAAATATTGAATACAATGAATCAGTCTCCTGAGTTGAGGCCATTTAAGAAGTTTAAGTGATCAGTGTTTAATTCCGCACATGTTATTGAGTATTGGCCTCTGCTTTTTGGAACTGCAGCTTCTAACAATAGATCAAATGTGTGTTAAAAGTGCGACTAGACTTGCCCCATGCATCCAAATCATTCAGAACAACTTTGTGGACGTGTGTGTGTGCATTTTTACATGAGCACGTTTGATCTTGGGTCCCCTCCTTCATCAGTGTGGGCTTCGAAGCCTGGCGCTATCTGTGCCAAAAAGTGCACGATATGCCTTCCAAACTTTTGCATGTTAACAAAAGTGAGCAGTGCTGAGAGTGGGGACGGCTGGAGCAATGGTGTCTTGAGTGCAGGAGAATATTGAAATGAAATGCTATGTTAATGTGGAATAACAGTATTTGAAATTTGAGAATAAAACTGGGTGAACTCCAGCTTCACAGATGTAGAAGAAAATGTGTTCCATCAGATTTAAAATTAAAATATAATTGAATATATTTCCTGTATTCATTTGCTCTGAAAGCCCAGTACTTTGGCCCATAATGTATATTTGTCAACATTCAAATGCTGATGGAACAGTTCATCTCCCATACACAGGCGTCACCAGCAAAACACAAGATTTAAGATTTTCAAAACATAGCGTGCTCATCTCTGGTCCCTGGGATTAATACAATAGTTTTAGTACATCTGAAATCTCAACGTTGATCATTGTATAATCGATATAACAGTCACATTTATAAGGCACCGCTCATATTTCAGATCAAGTGAGCGGTCAGCAGTTGTTTTCTCTGCTGAGCAAACACGACTGCACGACGCTGCCGAATCATCCACGCATCACAGAAATGAAAACATGCATGCATCGCTTCAGGAACAACTGGTGAGTGAGCGAAATCAACAAGAATGTGGTCAGAAGCTGTGAAAAGGCCAGTTTGACCTTGTCCCCAATAAACAGGAGAGTTGTAACCAAACGGTCATATAAAACTGCTTCGTGGCCTCAAATAGTCAAGATAAAAAGTGTTCAGTATATGTGCTCTTGTTTTTAGTATTCCCATTGTAACTAAGGCTTCACTTTTGGACAAACTGTACACCAGCAACAAAGTTTTAGTTTCAGCAACTTTTCACTATAAACTTTTAATACTTCTCTAAGAGCTAATATGGCTGGACGTCATCTCCTTGTTTTAGTCAAGAATACATCTGTTACAATTATCAGCAACAATGAATACGTTTACAAAGCATAAGTGTCTGGAGCATGCTAAAAACACAGTCTATGTCATTTCTGCAGCACAATTAAATGTGCTTTTCAAATCATCACTTTTCCCTGTGCTCTTGAATGCATCTGCTGGCCTTGTCTCAGCAGGAGCCGGTTTTCCACGTAAACGCAGTAGAAAGGGTTTGATTCAGTTCCACCAAACGGACTGGTTATTATCACTTCAATCGCAGCAGTTTTACACAAATCTTTTGAAGTGGGACTAGATGAGGGATCTGGGTTTCACTAGTGCTTTGTAAACGTAGTCGATTATTTTGGACTTAGAGCAGGTCCTTCTCCAGACACAAAGGCGTTGAGCGTTTATGTTTCGGATCTAAATTGTACATAGGATTCCTTTAACCATGCTTCACCCATTACGTGGACAATAGTGTGATAAAAGTGTTTTGTTTCACAGGTTTTTTGTTCATACGGTCTCTCGGTGCCTACATGTGCAGCGTCCACAGCCGTGCTCACTTGTGCGCCTCGGACTCAGACTCCCTCCTACTCCGGGGCGCGGCGGCCATCTTGTCCCGGAGCAGGGCCTTCCTCTCGAAGAAGTCGACCAGCGGGGCCTCGGTGAGCAGCGAGGCCAGGACCTGCTCAAAGCTGATGGACCAGTGCGCGTCCGGCTTTCGTCCCGTGGGGCTTTGCGCGGGGGGCTCAGGGTTGTGGTTGTTGAAGCGTTTGGCCACCTCGCCGATGCGCAGCAGCAGAGAGGCCACTGTGGCGATGGAGTGGTACAGCTGCTGCTCGCACTTGTCCTCAGAGAACATGCAGTACAGGGTCTTGCACAGCTCGATGAACTGCTCCTGGGGACCACACAAGGATCGGGTAATGAGGGGGGGACATGCACTGCAAGAGAAACACCATCCATCCAGTAAACAGCCTCTGTAGACACAACTTCATGTAATTTGAATTGAGCTTCTCTGTGCAGAGGTGTAGCAGAGTCCAGCCAACACTTATTTCTTAACACTTACAGAGTGAAACTCCTTTTGCTAATATCCAGAGCTTGTTCTGTCTGTGTAATATCAGATCCATCCTCCGTCCTCCTCAACTAAACTTACATGCACAACGTCTGCTCAGTTTTAAAAATAAAAATGAATGCTTAATTAGCTAAATTATGTTAACACTGAACTGGCTGTTCCAACAGTAGCATAAGCGTGTGTGTCTGTTGGACCCTTGTGAAGGTCTAACAAAAGGACATGGTGATTATCCAGTACACTCAACTTTCAACAACATTTGCGGACATTTATCCACATTTATGGACATTGGTCATCTGCCTCTTATGGACCAATGGCTCTGTGCGTTTTATTTTTATTTTTATCATTATTATACGTTTCTTGAGTTTGAACTGTTTTATTCTCTGATCTGTGTTGGCGAATTCAACAGTTTTGTTGAGTCGTCCGAGATAACTAATGTTGTGATTTAGGGCTATACAATAATAATAATATTGAATTGAAATGGAATTCAATAATTCAAGGGTTGTAGGTTCGAGCCCACCATGAGACCGTGTCCTTGGGCAAGACACTTAACCCCACTTTGCCTGAAGCCCCCGCTGAAAGATCAAGGCTGTGTTGTCACTAACAGCAGCCATCCTCCTGTTGGACCAGCCCAGTGAGGGGCTGGTGCTGGGCGCCCCCCCGGCCCAGAAATGGATTAAGGGGAAGAAAATGGATGGATGGAATTTAATTCAATTGTTTAGTTATGGATCTTTTATAAGACTAATCAAATCTTCCCTTCTCCTCCTCCCTCCTTCTACAGCAGCAGTACCTGGTTCATGCGGGGCAGGTCTTTGATGCTGTCAATCCGTGGCTCAGTTTCTTTGGCCCATTGCCGAAGGTAGAAGCGATAGTCCTTAACCTTCTCCTCTGGAACACACACACACATGGACACACACAGGTCAGACAGAATGCAAAACTACTGTGGTGATCTTTCATGTTGAGCTTTGAACGTGTTAGAATGTTATCTAGGAAGGTGTCACTTTGAAGTACCTACATTTGGACAGAAATACTTGATCAGACTTATCCATTCATCAAATTGATGAATTGAGAGGTTGTCTGGACTGAATTTTAAAGAATTTCTGTTAAATATGCAAGTTTCAGGTCAATAATACAATAGGAAGGCTAGTTTTTAGATTTACAATTAAATATTATTCCATGTGTAGGTCTTGGCCGTGGTCTGAGCAGCAGCATCTGTAGTGCTGATGCTATATACTGTACTGTGATACTGAAACAGTGGCTGGCAATCAGGGTTGAGATGGACGTGTAATCTCTGATCTGGGCACATGTACGGTGCCCGTGCCCATGGGTGAACAGCACATACGCGTCTTGCACCCCTCTGAAGTGTTCATGACAATGTTTTTAATATTGGAGCAGAGAAGACGACGCGGGACCTTTGGCTCCTGCTGTGAGCCGAGGTCCGTCTTTACAACCGTGCCTCGCCTGTAAAGAGCGGCCACTACATTACGCACCGCTCCTGCTCAGAAACCTTTCTCTATGAGGTCTACTAATGGGGGATAGTTAGAACAGATGCAAACCAGTCATATCTGCAATGATAATGACGTCTTGGCAATAAATGTGAGTTGCTCCACGTCTACTAATTTGAATAGATGATAGATAGATTATAAAGATAATAAGACCGAACGATATATTATGATTTATGCGGCATGTCTGTGTGTGGGTCTTGAAAGATAATGTTGTAGCTGTAATGTAATTATTATAGAATTCCATTGAGTCAGTTCTGAATCATACCCACTTTATTTAAAGAGAAAAGAATGCATAACTCAGTAGCAATATTTTATGCTTCAAGTTATTGCTGCTCTTAAATCAGTGTAATTTTCAGCAGCCATCTCGAACGACTTTACAAAATGTAACACTGAAAATCAAACCGTTAAAATCATGAACCCCCTAAAGTACAGTGTGTGCAGTGAAGTACTGTGCATGTGTGGCAGACTACCTTTCTTCTCCGCGTTTTCTCCTTCAGTTTTCACCTCTTCTGCTAAAAATCAAGATAAAAATAGAGGTAAAAAATAAAGAACAATACATGAGGGTTTGAACAAAGAGCTCCTGAGGAACTAGAGAATGAGGCGACCATGCTTACATTAGGAGCTTTAATGACAGTGTTTAAAGACATGATTAACATTTCAAGACTTTAGATAAGTTGGAATTAGATCAAGTGCAAAGATCTGAGAGAGGAACACAACAAAAGTACAGATCATCAGTTTGCAAAAGCTCTCAACTTAAAAACTGAAAAAGACGACCTTCAAACACAGATGTCACAATTTGAATTTCAATTTAATTTGATCATTCTAATTAACCATAAATCATGTTGGCTATCCACAGCTTTTCATTGCAAATCATCTCCCTTTTACAGATTTCGAAAATAAGTGATCAATTCAAATAAAACCATCCATCCATCCATTTTCTTCCCTTTAATCCATTTCTGGGTCAGGGGGGTGGCAGTCAGAGATGCCACCCAAGTCTCATAGCACCAGCCCCTCACTGACCCTCTGCAGGTGGTGAGTCCACAGGAGGACGGCTGCTCTCTGAGTGTGAGCATAGCCTTGATCTTTCAGTGGGGGCTTTTGGGCAAAGTGGGGTTAAGTGTCTTGCCCAAGGACACAACGACAGCAGTCATCAGTGGGAGTCAGTGGAGAAGGTCCCGTGGTGGGCTTGAACCCACGACCTTCTGGCCTTAAGGCCAATGCTCTACCAACTGAGCTACTGTCGCCCAATATCGTCAATAAAACCATTGAGTTGAAAGCACTGGAGCACTGGTTGCCACGGTGATTGTCTCTAATACCTTAAATAGCCCTATGAAGGAAACGAGTTGAAAAGGAGACAGACCTGAAGACATCACCTGCGGCTTCCCGTCCTCAGAGGAAGAAAGGGAAGCATCTGAGAAAGGAAGGAAACAAGAAAACAAGGAGACAAAGGGAGAGAGGAGAAGAGAGGAATCAGCCGTGACCACAGAGAGAACAGAGACCACACACCTTTGTTATTGACGGGAGTGAAGAACTGAGCGGCTTCTTGCGCAGACTCTGCCTCCTCGGGAGCCAGGGCTGAGGACACGAGGAAGATGGGATTATGAAGGTCTGTTGAAATGGCCTTCAATCTCTTAAATGGGGCAGTTTTGAATCCAAGCCTTTTTTCCTGTGTAATTTTTGTCTCAGTTCTGCACTAAGGCTGAACAAGTTGATCATTGATAAAAACAAATGATCAGCTGGCCACTGTTTTTACTATTGAGTCTGAAGCAGAACCTTTTGCTTCAACAATTTTATCATATCTAGGACTTTTGCCAAACATCCAAGGTGTTGTCTCATGAATTATTCTGACCCGTGTCCTTGTGATCTCTGTGATTTGAGGTTTGTGAAGCTGTTAGTTTGTGACACTATTCAACATTTTCCAGAACCCTCCACAAAGGCACAATGAGTGATTACGGTCCAGCCCTCAGGTCTCAGCTCCTGTGGCTCAGAGAATAGACTTTAAAGCAGCTCTGTCTTGCCATGGTCTTGCACCAAAGCCCATCTGTGACATGTTAGTGCCATATGAACCAACTCGGACTCTGAGGAGCACAGGGACGGGAATCCTGCTGGTGCCCAAAACTAAACATGGGGAGGTAGCATTTCTGGAACAGTCTTCCTGAAAATGGAAGACTGACAATGTTCAAATCCAGGTTCCAGTTCTGTTTAACTGTGCATACAATCGAAGGGTTTTATCTTTAAAATATTAAATGTGCTGAAATTATTTGTGGTTTTAATGCCTTGTTGTTTCTATCTTGTTTTGTTCAGCACATTGAGTTGCCTTGTGTATGAACTGTGCATTATAAATAAACTTGCCTTTCCTACATTTTGAAGGCAATCCGACTGGGTGAGGGGTTATTTAAGGAATGTCTTGCTGGTCTTTTGCACTCAGTCTCACTTTAACACTTAAATACTGCTGAATCTGACCAGAGACGTCTTTGTCCCACTCCACCGCAGCATGGATCCTTTTATTATTGTTCATGATCAAACGTAACGAGCCACAGTCATGTGAGCAGAGAGCAGTTTGAGTTGAGACTGTTCTGTGTCTCGTTATGATGTAAGACTAAGAAGTTACTCAGTCTTATCATACGTCCTCAGATTAGGTGTTTCTTTTTGAGGATAATCATATTAGTACAATACTCAATGTATCTCGGTGATCACATTATTTTGAGCGTTTCATTTGTATTAATTGTTATTATCAAACATTTTACTCAGGATGCCTAAACTTTCACACAACACTATATGTAGTTTTTTACACCAAATCACTGGTTTGCAGCAACAATATCAATTTACCTTATTAACAATATCTACTACTCTGACAAATAATTTCTTTAAAAAAATAATACATATTTCTAATTTTAACCTAGTGGGCCTATACTTTTGAAGGACAGGCAGTCATCTATAGGTTAACAGGTCTTCTTACCTGGAGGCAGGTGCAGTTTGTAGAGCAGCTTCAGCTTCTCTGTTAGGTCTCCGTGGTACATCACAGCTGAACGAGAGCAGAGCAGTCAGATACTGCACACAAACATCTCCGAACATCCTGCACTTCATCATTTAGTGCGTTTAGCTCAAATATTACTCCAAACAAATACATAAAGATTACTTACTTACTTACTTACTTACTTACTTACTTACAAGGGGCGACAGTGGCTCAGTTGGTAGAGCATCGGCCTTTGGGCCTGAAGGGCCCACCGTAAAACTTCACTACTCCCACTGATGTCTGCTGTCGTTGTGTCCTTGGGCAAGACACTTAACCCCACTTAGCCTGAAGCCCCCGCTGAAAGATCTCAGCTCCTGTAGACTCACCACCTGCAGGAGGATCAGTGAGGGGCTGGTGCTCTGAGTACTGGGTGCAGCTCTGACTGCCACTCCCCCGACCCAGAAATGGATTGAGGGCAAGAAAATGGATGGATGGATGGATTACTCCAAACTAAGACCCATGGGCAAATCGTTCTGAGTTCACAGGGCAAACGCGCTGTGTTATATTATGTGGTTCTCTGCATTACTAACCCAAATTAAACATTGGATGGCTTTTACCTAAGGTGCCTGTTTTGGGCGGTGGGAGAAAGCGAAGCACTAAGATGAAACCAACACAAGGAGAAACATTCAAACTCCGCACAAAAAGAACTGGGTCAAATGACGGGGATGCTCCAGGATTTTTAACATGTCATGTCATTTTCTGCCCCTTTATTAATCCATTAATCCATTTCAGGGTCAGGGGAGTGGCAATCAGAGCTGCCACCCAAATCTCATAGCACCAGTCCCTCGCTGATCCTCCTGCGGGTGTTGGGTCCACAGGATGATGGCTTCTTTGTCATTGAAATGACCTTGGTCTTTCAGCGGGGGCTTCAGGCAATGTGGGGTTAAGTGCCCAGGGACACAACGACAGCAGACATCAGTGGGAGCAGGTGACATGGGTCATGGTGGGCTCGAACCCACGACTATTTGGTCCAAAGACCAGTGCTCTACCAATTGAGCTACTGTCGCCCTGGGTTTTTAACCTAATTTGCATAATTGCTGTTATTGGATACTACACAACTTGGTTGTGATTTTGGTATAGATAACATTGGACCTTCTTGCTGTGAGGATTGAGCACTACCCTCTCAGCCACAGAGCTGCTCCGTTATGTTAAGGGACACAATGATTATGAATAATGTTGGTTTTGTGGTGGTGACTGGGCTTACTGAGCGGGTGGATGAACTCTTTGAAGTTGACCAGTCCATCCTGGTTCTGGTCTTGCAGTCTGAAGAGACGGGCGGCCATGTTGTGGGTGTGGTTGTTCCATCGCCATGGCGCCAGCTCACTGATCAGCTGACTGAAGTGGGCGTGGTCCACACGGTGCTGCTCCAAGTATGGGACCACCAGTTCTGGCCCAGCAGAGCCAGGGCTGGGCCCCAGACCCCAATAACAGCTGCTCATGTGTTTGGACTGTGGACACAAGCGCACACACGCAGACACACACACACACACACATTACTACAAAGTAGAAAGACTAGTTTCCGTGACACGAGCCCTAAATACAGACGTCCTGTGTTTCCACTCTCCTCTGAATGTTACCTCTTGCATTTCAGTAAACGTCCCAGTCTAGACCAGTGTCAGGTGCACTGAAGCCCAACAGTTCAAAATTTACTGACATTAAAATGGATTTTGGACCATGGCTGAAGACCTCGTTGCTGAAGCAGCAGACGGGGACAGTTTGGAGCTCTGCACATTTTGGATAGGGACTGCAGTTTTTGGCTGCAACGGTTTGATGAGAACCATTTGATATGGAAACATTCAGGATCACAAATAGCGACGTAAACAAAAAAACATAACAAATAAAAGCTTAACATTATAACAGTATGTACGTATATTGTGTGACCTAGAATAACTCACTGGTTTAATATAACACAATATAATTACCAATCAGGGAAAACCATTCTTGCTCTTGACAATTACAAACAATATCATACCAGTGTGTGACATGAGAATAAGTATGTGACCTTAAAGAGACAGTAAAGCTCCTCCAGTTCTTCGATGGAAAAGGCAGACTCCGTCATCACCGCTCGCACCTGCAGCGTTCCCCAAACACAGCAGAGAAAACAGAAACACAGGAGGGTCACAGCAGTCTTGAACGCTCTCACTGCAGCCACACACAGAAGCAGCACTCACCACGCTCCTCTGTGCCGTGTCCTCCAAGCTCTGGATCACCTTCAGCCTCTGTTTGAACCTCATCTGCTCGATGGCGTCCGCTCGAAGACCTCCAAACCGCTGCAAACACCTCCCGCACATTACTTTGGGATGCTGCCAGTGGTCATGTACTTATATATAACTAAGGGTTATAGGACTGATCGTGCAAAAGGGAGTTTTAGGAGCTTTATATCATTAGATTAGGGGCAAAGTGTAACAGTGTATGTTCAGTTCAGTTCAGTTCAGTTCATTTGTTGCCATTTGCAGTAAAAAACCACATTGGAATACATTAGTAAAAAGTCTCCAGTGTGCACAGACAAATACAGACATAAAACAACATTAAAAGACAGAAATAAAACAAATAAAACAGTAAACAAATGTCACTGTGAAATCGATCGACTAAAACAGTTTCAAAACGAGTGCAAATCATTAAAGTGCTCTGTTCACACTGATAACAGCTTGTGGATAAAAAACTGTTAGCGTAACGAGATGTCCTGCATCTCAGAGAGCGATATCTTCTGCCAGAGGGAAGAAGCTGGAACATGGCTTTCCCAGGGTGGCCAGAAGAGTCATTGACAATCCTAAGAGCTTTGTTTAAAAGTCTGGATTTATAAAGAACCTCCAGAACAGGAAGCTCACAGCCCACGGTCCTCTTTGCAGAGCGGAGCACCTTGTTTAAAGCTCTCTTTTCTTTATCTGTGATGTTACCAAACCACACAGACACAGAACCAGCAAGTAAACTCTCAATGGTGCAGCGATAAAAGTTAAGCAGAATCTTAGAGTTAGTGGTAAATTTTCTAAGTTTACGCAGAAATTAGAGACGCTGACGAGCTTTCTTAGCGACTCGGTCAGTGTTTTTAACCCATTTCAGGTCGTTAGACAGAGTTAAACCCAGAAACTTGCACTCCTCTACGATCTGCACCTGGGAGTTGTCGATTACGACAGGCAAATGAGAACTATTGCGACTGAAGTCGTAGACCAGTTCACATGTTTTCGATGCGTTCAGCTGGAGGTTGTTAGTTTTACTCCACTGAACCACATTTTGTATCTCTGCTCTATAAGAGGATTCATCATTGTCACTGATGAGACCGATGATGGTGGTGTCATCAGCATATTTAATGATCAAGTTTGAGTCAGAGGAGGACACACAATCGTGAGTGTACAATGTAAAAAGTAAAGGACTCAAAATACATCCCTGAGGAGAACCAGTGCTCACAGAAACAACATCAGAAAAACAGTCATTGATTTTTACTCTCTGAGATCTGTCAGTTAAAAAGCTAAAAATCCATTTACACATGGCAACACTTAAACCAAGAGACATGAGCTTTTCCATCAGTTTACCTGGGACAAGGCAGTTAAAAGCAGAGCTATATGAAAAGCATTCTCGCGACAGATTTACTAGTGTCCAAGTGACTGTAGACAGAGTTCAGAGCAAAGGAGATGGCATCCTCCACACTCCTGTTCTGTCTGTAAGCAAACTGGAGCGGGTCAACACTCACAGGGATCTGGCTCTTAATAAAGTCCAGCACAAGCCGCACAAAAGTTTTCATAAGAACAGACGTGAGGGCCACAGGACGATAGTCATTCAGGCATGTCACAGGAGTTTTCTTAGGAACTGGAATGATGGTCGACTCTTTAAAGCAGTCCGGCACAGTACAGTTCCTTAGCGACAGGTTAAAAATGTCTGTTAGCACAGGGGCAAGTTGCTCAGAGCACAGTTTCAGGACACGAGGAGGGATGCCGTCCGGGCCTGGGGCTTTCCGGACTATGGTCCTGGACAAGACACGCCTGACTTCCTCCTGAGTCACGGTGAAGGTACCTTGATTGAAACACTCAGGGAATACAGTAGGACAGGCATCAGCGGATTCAAAGCGACAGTAGAACGTGTTCAGCTCGTTTGGCAGAGCTTGGCCGACAGATGCAGTTTTCCCAGCGCTAGGTTTCCACGATGTGATGGCTTTAATACCGTTCCACATGCGCCGAGGGTCATCTTCCTCAAAATAACTCTTTAACCTGTCTCCGTAACTGCGCTTTGCAGATTTAATAGAACGTTTCAATGAGTAACAGGATAGCTTAAAAGCAACTGTATCATTTGATCAATCCTGCCATCCCTGCTCCAGGACAAGCTCTCCCAGCTCAACGTGCCCGATTCCACCTGCAGGTGGATCACTGACTTCCTGACGGACAGGAAGCAGCGAGTGCGTCTGGGGAAGAATGTCTCGGACTGTCGGATTATAAATACAGGAGCCCCACAGGGCTGTGTTTTTCTCTCCCCTGCTCTTCTCCCTGTACACCAACCACTGCACCTCCAGCCACGACTCCGTGAAGCTGATCAAGTTCGCGGACGACACCACCCTCATTGGACTCATCTCCAACAACGATGAGTCCGCCTACAGGAGGGAGGTGGACCGGCTGGTGTCCTGGTGCAGTGGTAACAACCTGGAGCTGAACGCCCAGAAGACAGTGGAGATGATTGTGGACTTCAGGAAGAGCACTGTCCCCCCACCCCCACCCTCCGTGATGGACTCCCCCATCACCTCTGTGGAGTCCTTCCGTTTCCTGGGCACCACCATCACCCAGGACCTCAAGTGGGAGCGACCATCAGCTCCCTCATCAAGAAGGCCCAGCAGAGGATGTACTTCCTGCGTGCGGCAGCTCAGGAAAGCCAAGCTGCCTGCACAGATGTTGGTGCAGTTCTACACGGCCATCATCGAGTCCATCCTCATCTCCTCCATCACCTCCTCCATCACCGTGTGGTTCGCTGGAGCCACAGTCAGGGACAAACAGAGACTACAGCGCATTGTGCGCTCTGCAGAGGAAGTGATCGGCCGCAGCCTTCCATTGCTGCAGGACCTGTACGTCGCCCGAGATCGAGGCCGGGCTGGTCGTATCACAGCCGACCCCTCTCACCCTGCACATGGACTATTCCAACCACTCCCCTCAGGCAGGAGGCTGCGGTCCATCAGGACTAGAACCTCCCGCCACAAGAACAGTTTCTTCCCCTCTGCTGTTGGACTCTTGAACACTTCTTAACCTGTCCCCCCGCCCTTTATAAAGTCACTTTACTGCCCATCATCCGTCACTTTACTTCACTGTACTGCTGTCACCTTACATTGTGTGCATCATGTGCACTTGTATATTGTAAATAGTAACTGTAACTCTATTTTAAATTTAAATTTATTCTTTAGAAGTGTTTTTTATTCTTATTTTTATCATCTCTTTCTGACTGTTGCACTGAGCCAAAGCAATTTCCAAGTCTGTGACCTCCTGTTACTTACGTGGCAATAAAAATGATTCTGATTTCTGATTCTGATTGAAACGGCAACGCACGCTCATGAAGTTTCAGTTTCACTTCCGCGTTCATTTTTGACTAAAATGTTCTTTAATGACCTTCTGTGGGACACAGCCGTCAATACAGAAGCGTATGTATCCAGACACAGCGTCACAGAATTCATTGACGTCCTCTGACTGAAACACAGACCAGTCCGTAGCATCAAAACAACCTTGTAGCTTCATGCTAGCCTCCTCAGACCAACACTGCACAGTGCGAGAGGTTGGTTTATGTTCCCTGCTCCTCTGAGTATACGAAGGAAGAAGGAGAACAGAGGAGTGGTCAGACTTTCCAAAAGGAGGTCTGAGACTGGACCTGTAAGCTCCCTTCACGTTACTGTAGCAGTGATCCAGAACATGTGCTCCTCTTGTAGCTTGAGTCACATGTTGGTAAAAGTTCGGGAGTACAGTCTTTAAATTACATTTATTGAAATCCCCAGCAACAATGATGACTGCGTTAGGATGAGCAGACTCATGTTTGTGGAGGATCTCGCTCAGATCCTGTAGGGCTACTTTGTAATCCGCACGTGGGTGAATGTAAACAGCACATAAAAATATCACTGAAAACTCACGGGGAAGATGTAAACAGTAAATGTATAGCACCTGATCTTTCTGAGACTGGATCACTTCTTATGGGACTTTCTGTTCTTATGGGGCGTTCTCTTTTCACATTTTCAAATGTTTGCACACATCCTGTTTTGCACATTTCCTTTTTACACACCCTGAGTGGTCCCATTTATGCCAAATGTACCATGTTTTTTTGTGTGAGATCACTAAAGTTTAACTTCACGTCTTATGTTCAGGGAATAAACACGAAATCAACAGGAAGAGCCTCCTGCTGTACCTGGTAGGAGTCCTTGATGAGGGTGAAGACATCTATCTGGGGAGAAGGAGGCTCCTCGGAGGACACGGCCGAGTGCAGGACTGGGATGTGCTCCTCCACCTCTGGATTCATCACATTCTCCAGGTACCTGGAGCGAGGAAAAATGTGTGTACTGTATACCGGCAAAACTCAAAATTAGCTCTTGAGCTATAACCTGGTGCTCTACCTGGTAAATCTCTGCCTTTGAGGGTAATGTTTATTGTACACTGTCCCTGTCACTTTACTTAAATAAACTAAACTAAATAAAGCTCAATACATTTTCCTGGCTCTGCAAAATTCAATACTAGGATCTATATCGGACCAGCGATGGCGAGATCTTGTCATGTTGGTGGGGTGCTCCATGGTATGTGGACTCTTTAGTTCAGGCAAATCCCTGAACAGTGGCGGGAAAAAAGTATCCAAAGTGTTTGGAATTTCTCACATTCCAGTCAAAAATCACCAGAAAAATCCAATGTGATCCTTCTCAAAATCACAAGGTTGAAACAGTAGTGTCTGCGTTAACTAAAACCACCTGGACATTTATATATTGTCATAATTTGAACCATCACATTTAATAGCTGGCTGCCCCCCTTAGACCGCAATAACTTCAAGCTTCAACCACAAGATTATAGAAAAGATCACATTTGATGCTGATTTTATGCAGAAATGTGATACATTTCAAAAGCTTCAGATACTTTTTCAGGCCACTGTCAATGGTCATTTAGGATGTTCAGCTGGTCACATTATTACCTCAATATTTTGCCACGTAGCGAGTTTCTGTTATCTATGTTAGCTGATGTGACTAGTTAACCTGGGCGCACCTGAATACTAACTCAGGGACCTGCTTTTGTGCTTGTTCGTGGCTTATTTGGCTCATTCACAGTTTGTGTGCCCATGTAGGCCAAACTGGATCCATGTCTAAATGGTTTGTCTCTCTATGCCAAACTCTGTAATTATCTGGTCTTCTAGCACTTACTGGATCAATAATAGAGATGATAAAACATTAGCCCACAAAGTATAGCATAAATATACGAATTTTTAGATTTTCTAATCAGTGGACTGACAATATTGTCCAAGATGACGACTTTTGTGATTTTGGGCTACACAAAATGTATTGTATTGAAGTGACTGGCCCAGCGCTTGACTTTAGTTCAATGTAATCTAGACTAAAAACTTGATTCTATAAATAAGCGTGACAGTTTTCTCCCCACATGCTCCATTTCTCCAATTTTTTGTATGTGCAAAGCCCTTTCTCTGTGACTTCTGACTAAAAAAGTTACCTTCCCAAAACGGTCATGGCCTCCCCTTCATCGTTACATTCTAAAAGAGCATCCATGTTGTCATAGAGAACAGACAGCGCCACCTAGGGGACACAAAACATTCATATATGGAAGAGAGAAATCATTACGGAAAAGGATTTCCTCCTCGGAGGATGGTTGACTGCAGGAAGAAGTTCTGATCACACATTCATCCACATTCACACCTCTCGACCCCTCAGCAGTCCTGCCGCCTGGAGGCACCACGGTCATGGCCCTGGCTAGCCCGCTGGATATCAGTGCATGCACTGTACACTCACTGTTGTCGAGGAAATAAGACAAAGCAGCGGCGTTTGCACCTGTACCACGGTTTATTTTCAAGTTCCCCAGGCTTTTTTCATGATTTGTGGCAATGTGCATGAGAACAGAAGTTGTCCTCCTTTGAGATATAAATGGCACATGCTTAAGATATAGATACAGTAGTAACAGTGTGGGCAGAACAAATACAGCTCTTCAAATATGAATGTTTAGCAGTAATACAGTTATAACTGGGGTCCACAGTACAAAATAGGCTGGTTATATTGCACACTATCCATGCTTCCCTATCTTGTGCGCAAACTTTCATGTCCTCCACAGTCATACCTCTAACACGTGTTGAAGGTTTATTTTGGACAAATGATGACTTGCGTTTCCCTGCTCCTCCCCCATTTGACAACCTCTGAGTGTGATGGGGTATAGTTTCAAAGTGAACCTCCTGTTAAATATCTATAGCAATTTTATTTCAGGGATGTAACAAAAGAGTTTTAAAATGGACTCATAATCTTATTTAGCGCCTTTCAGGTGTTTGTACAAGAGCTTCCTGAGGTTAGCCAGCCTGGGAATCCCCATGCTCCTGTGAGTGCTTGAATCATTTCAAAGATGTACAACTACCAGAAAGTCTATTCAGAACAGGGAGGGACAACAAGAAGACAATGACAGACCAAAGCTTGAAGTTTGATTACAGATCCAGCAGATGGCAACAGAAGCTAACTTCATGATTAATGTGCACAGCTGTAATGTTTAACACCATTGTGTAAACATAATTTTCTTTGTTGAAAACCCTAACCCTTGCTTCTTATCAAATTGTATTCAATAACATTGGATATCAGGTAGGAATGATTGGCGCATATGTGCAGACGCATATACAGTATGATAAACGGCAAATAGATAGTTTACAAGAGTCAACCAAACTTCTCATACAAGAAAATGAGCAGACAGTTCCTACATATTCACTTGAATTGAGTCTGGTGTTTGCCAGGTGTATGGGCGGTACCTGGAAGATGACTGTGATGCCGTCGCAGAAGAAGGCGTCCATGAGCACAGTGGCACTGTGGAAGGGCAGAGCTGAGAGGAAGAGTGTGAGGAACCAAGACAGTGAGATGGAGGACAGCACGCCCAGGCTCTGCATGTGGTCGTACAGAGCAGGCAGCTGGGCCTGGCTCAGCTCCTCAAACACCCCCTGGTCCACCAGAGCACCTACAGGAGACATGAGGAGGATCAGAAGGTGGAGATGAGTAAGTAAACATCCACCTCAGCCTCAAGTCTTTTGCTCTACAGGGCCTTTCTGTGTGGAAAGCATGCTCTCTCTGTGTCTGTTTAGGTGACCTCCGGGTGCTCCGGTTTCCCCTGCCCCTAAAAACATGTACAATAGTTCAGAGTGAATGAGTGTGTGATTGTGAGTGTGTCTGTTCGACAATTACAACAATTTACAACCTCTGCTGTTCGTTTATACTGAACAACATGAAAACCAGCAGCTTATACTAAAGTGTGCCCTATAAGTGGACAAAACTGAATTTATTTTTAAATGTAGGTGGTACAATTTATATACAGGTGCACCCTTTTGTCCAGAAAGAACGGCAGCAGAAGTAGTAGTAGTATCAGCAGTGGTACCTGTGACTCTAGTGTTGTAGTAGTCTGGCAGTAGACGCTCACACAGAGCCACCAGGAGCCAAAAGGCCTGTTCCTCTGGACAGTACAAGAGCAGCACTGACGTCACTATGTTCATCGCCTGGAAGGACACGCACACACATTCACGGATGGAAGAGTCTATTCAACGAGGCAAAAAGTATTTTTCTCACTTCTGGCCATGTTCAAGTCCAATTTTTTTTTGCTTAGCACAGTTCATACACCAGGAAACTCACAGGAGCTAGAAGGCCTGTTCTTCCAGACATGGTGCCTATCTTACACCAAAACAACTATAGCTCCCCCTTGCTCTTGTGCTTTGCCTTTGTTCAAGGCAAGTTCATTTGTATATCATAGTTCATACACAAGGTATGTCTTACACTCTATGTATTTGGTGAATTTGTGATGAATTTGCAATCTGCTTTCTGTGATGCAGAAAAGCCTTCGATGTGATATACTGACATAGGGTGAACAGCAGATTAATCTGGCAGAAGAGAGTATGGGAGTGTGCAAACCATTTTAACTGAAAAAGTAAGTATCTCATGTACTAAATATGTAGAAATATGCCGAGGGTGTCATTATCACTATATTGTAAGTAAATAAGTAATACCAAGTAATATAGTACTACTTACTAACACTAAAACATGTTTCTGTCTGCTATATAAAGTATCTTAATTTGCAGAAAGAGCTCAATAAGTGCAAAGTAGGGGGCTGTCATGGAGTGAGGATAATACAAATGACTTGAACACACATGAATCACCAGAAAAATAACTATAGTGGGAACACAGAAAGCGTAACATGGCTGAGAGCTCTTAACGCCTCCTTTTTCTACAGTTAGTGCCATTTCACACATTCCAATGTACAGTGTGGGCGCTGCTTTTGGGCACTTCATTAAGTTTGAAGGTAGTAGCCGCTGGCAATATATCCAGCAGTAGTAGTAGTAGTAGTAGTAGTAGTAGTAGTACCTGGCAGTAGCCGATAGCAGGGTTGCGTTGGGCGTAGGCGGTCAGGACTCTCCTCAGGGCTGAGATCCCTGTGGGGTTCTGGAAGGCCTTGTGTTCAGGCATGGATCTGTGCAGGTCCCTCTCAATCTCGTCTTTGGCCAGAGAGTCCTGGTCTAAAGCCCGGTCCAGCAAGTCTGAGTACAGGCCAGGGTGAACCTCCATCTGCACCTGGGCCCCTAGGAGAATATTTACATTGGTTCAACTTGGATCAAAGTTTTATGAAAAAATTAAACATGTTCAACATTTATGGATGGTACAGTAAAAACTACTGTTTTTAGAGGAGAGATGAGACCAGACATCCCAAATATCATTGTGGGGACACTGTGCATGATTGGCCAATTTAAGTCATTTGTCTTGAGTTATACATCTTCTGTCTGTGCCTGTATCTGTGTGTGTGTCTGTGTGTGCGGCCTGTGTGTGTGCCTGTGTCTGTGTGTGTGTCTGTGTGCCTGTGCCTATATGTGTTCCATTTTGTGTTTTTAAGTACGTCATCAAAAACAAGTTGTTTTCTGGTTTGGATGAGGAACAATGTTTGAACACAGTTAAAAAAGAGAAGTGGTTGTAGCTGAATATGCATTCTTTTAAAAGACAAACAAACTTGGAAAGTACTAATCAAGTACCAGTAATACAATCCTGGACTTTTTAGACCAGGGGTGCCCACACATTATCAAACCAAGATCTACTTAATCACCAATCATTGAACCGTGATCTACCTCGGATTTATGTGGCTGTTACGATTCAAAATATCACATTTGGTTTGATTCTTGATGTATTTGTGAGTCATGATCAACTGACAGTGACACCGACTGTACATAAATAGTGTGGATATAATCTGTATTTTCTTAATTAAAAATAACTCTTTAAATCTTTGTTCAATATCTGGGGACAAGTGTAAAAGATGTAGATTTCAAATTTAAAATGAAAATATTACGCACAGTCCCTTTAAATACAAAGATAAAGCAATGCTTCTGCACAGACAGTGAAACAGGATGTTCTTGGTCCTTTAGCACATGCTTGAAGTTGTACCGGAGAAGAGCATCCAGAGCTCAGACCGGAGGGAGTCTGGGATGCCTTTGAGGACCAGGTCTCGGGTCCTGGAGGTGCGGTACATACACACGCCCCGGCCAAACTCAGAAAAGTGCAGTCTCCATGCCTCTTTCTTCAACTTCTGCTGCTTCTGTAACGCACACAAAAGGGGAAAAACTCACAAGATGGACTAACAGAGGGAATGCAAGGACAGGGTTGTGATTATAAAACCCTACACCCCGTTTTTTATGGTTTTATAATTCTCAAAAACACAAGTAATTCATTTTTGAGTTGAAGCAAGCAAGAGTCAGCCACATTAGAGTCATGTTTTTAGTTTCACGAACCATATAACTCTCAATTGGGATAAAAATGTATCTCTCCCAAAGGAAAGACTTTTTGAGGGCCAAGCTCTCTGGACCAGGCAAAGATCTACTGCAATCATTTTAACACAATACGAGCTGCTTTCTAAACCATTTTAACTGTTTTAAATTAATTGTCTTTTTATTGTAGTCTATCTCCCCTTCTCTATCATACCCTCATTATCCTCATACCCGCATACAGAGAAATGGTCTGATTCTCAATGCGTTCAAGACCAAGGAGATGATCATTGACTTTCAGAGGAGCCCTTCCCATCAACCGGTCACACTAAATGGACAGAACATCGAAGTGGTTCAGTCACAAGTACCTAGGAGTCCACCTGGACCACAGACTGGACTGGTCCGCTAAGGCCAATGCTGTCTTTGAGAAAGGTCAGAGCAGACTCTTCTTCTTGAGAAGACTGAGGTCCTCTGATCTGACTGCTCACCAGTCAGATGTTGCACATATTTTACCAGTCTGTTTTAGCTGACCTTGAGAGACAGTAACCGGCTCGACAGGCTGATCGGGAAATGTGTCTCTGTGATGGGGAGAAGTGTGGACTCTAATGCAGGGCATCCTGGGTAACTCCAGACACCCTCTGCATGACACTGTGGCCACTCAGAGGAGTAATCGAAGCAACAGGCTCCTATCACTACGCTGCCGAATAAAATGTTTCAAGAGATCCTTTGTTCCTTTGGCTGTCAGACTGTACAACAAACCTGGACGAGTCTTCTGCTGCTGGACACCTGAATTTATCCTACGGGGGATCAATAAAGTATCTATCTATTGATCTACTCTCATACCCTCATACCCTCATACTCTCATACCCTCATACTCTCATACCCTCATACTCTCATACCCTCATACTCTCATACCCTCATGCACTCATACCCTCATGCTCTCATACCCTCATGCTCTCATACCCTCATACTCTCATACCCTCATACTCTCATACCCTCATACCCTCATACTCTCATACCCTCATACTCTCATACCCTCATACCCTCAAACCCTCATACCCTCATACCCTCATACCCTCATACCCTCATACTCTCATACCCTCATACCCTCATACTCTCATACTCTCATACTCTCATACTCTCATACTCTCATACTCTCATACTCTCATACTCTCATACTCTCATACCCTCACACTCTCATACCCTCACACTCTCATACCCTCACACTCTCATACTCTCATACCCTCATACCCTCATACTCTCATACTCTCATACCCTCATACCCTCATACCCTCATATAGACATCGTTCCTCTTCACCAAATGGGCAGCAGATATAAATTGAGAACTCACATTGTTGACTTTGTGCCTTTGGCTGTCCTCAGGGTCCTCTGAGCCGCTGTCTTTCCCTTGGTCCTGGTCCTCCTGGTGGTAGAGTTGAAGGAGACTATATTTGGCAGTGGGAAGATCCTGGTGAAACTGACGGCCCTTACACTCTCCACTGGGACTGACCGTGGGCAGCTGGAAGCAGAGACACACCTGGAGTCAGGAGTAGGGATTTTTTGTTTTGTTTACTTATTGCAGCATGCAGCATGTACAGTATATGTTGGTGAAAGTTAAGTTTAGCAAATTAAGTTGCAACTGTTACTTCCAATGGTCACAAATATTGGGGCACATCAATGAAATGTTGTCCAAAACAATGAAATATGATAAACAGATGTTAAAAAAGACAAGAGACTACATAAACTATTGAATAATGCATATTTCTTTTTTTACTGGGGGGTGATTGACAGACCGTGGGACCAATGGGAGGGCTGTCCGGGGTCCTCTGCAGGAAGTCGGAGATTCTTTGCACCAGAAAGTCCCGGTCTTTGAGGTTGGCAAACAGGAAGTTCATCTTGTTCTTGGTGCTGATGGAGACCGGGCTGGGCAGAACCGGAGAAGAGTCCGCCTTCTCCACCACGGTCACCTGAGCATGCCACAGCAACGGTTAGGGACTCGGGCCAGAACATTTTCACAGCATTCACAAAAATTCTGATAAACAGTGTGATTAGATTCATGATTTATGTTTTTAAATAACAAAACTGAAGCACTGTTAAGTCTCCAGCACATATTCACACCAACTGTCAGTCACTGTCAGTCTTTGGAGCAGAATGGTGGCATTTCTGTGAGTTTTGTTTAGATATGTATATCACATGTTTATGTTATTGTTTGTATTTGTCTATATGTTAGTGCTGCTTCTAAATTAGTTTCATAATTCCTCCATTTAGTTAACTTTCGTAATACTGCATGCCTTCAAACAGATTGAACCATGTTAGATTTAGATCTAACTCACTCACTTCTAGATTATAGCTTATTCTATTAATTCCTTACTCATACAGGTCTCTCAAAGTGTGAAATAATGCTTTGGAAGTCATTGTGGTGAATTTCCTGGCTATGAAGAATCCGTAATGAATAAGTTATGACTGTTGCTAGTGGTTTGCAATGTGTTTAAAGAAGGGCTGTCAAACAATTAAAATGTTTAATCGAGCTAATTAAAGCTTAAAAAATAATTCTAAATTCTAAAATGAATTGCTAAAATTGTAATTAATCACATTTCAAACTATCGGAAAAATGGTGCCATATTTCTGTAAATGGTTGTTGGAATGGAAAGATAAATGACAAGATAGTGTACAAATGTACTGTATTTGGTTTTTTATAACAACAATAAATCCACATAAAAAGGCATTAACATTATTAACATTCTTTCTGTCTGTAGTGGACTCAGACCAAAACTATTGTTTGTTACAGGGATGAGGGACATTTCAAAACAGTCTGAAATGTAGAATGTCATTAAATCTGTTTGATCTGCTCACAGCATTTTACTTTCGGGCACATCCAGCATGAACTGGTAGTGCAAGGGAAAATTAGGTACCCCAGCTTTAATTTAGCGAGTTTAGTTGCACTTTGAGAAAAGATAATATTTACATTCTATGGAGGAGACACGGAGCACATTCTTTAATTGTGTGCACAATAAATAGTAGATAGAATAGTTCTGTGGCATGTCTGGTCTTGGATAGGATCACGTTACGGCGGTGCCGTTCGCAGTGTTGTTGTCAAAGCGGCTCACAGCCACTGGAGGTGGGAACCGCTGTCCAGAGCGACCACAGCTGCCCTGGATCAGAATGCTGCAGGAGGATGCGGACTCCCGTTCGAGTTCATACATAAAACAACAGCAGGTGCCCCGCGGTCACGCGCATATTTTTTAAAAAACTTGAATTCCCAGAGGGCCTGCCTGCTTTGTCGCCATCCTACACACGCATGTGTCCGCAGCATTCTGAGTGTTATTATGGGATGCATGGGCGGGTCATTCGGTACATGTGTGAAATGCCTTAATTATTTTACGCGATTAATGAAAACAATGAATTAACGTGCGTTAAAGGAATAGTTCACCGTTTTTACATACTGACATATGTTCTTACCTTACCTTAGACTAGTTAATACGTACCTGTGTGATCTTAGTCCGTGCGCTCTGTCATGCAAACGGAGCAAAAACGGGAGGACAAATGCAGCCTCCTCTGTATACTGTGTAGCACCAAAAGGTAGCTCCCGCTAGAAGCTACCAAACTCTCCCAAGTGTTCCCTATTAAATGTATATTACGTGACGTGTTACACTGCAAAGTATAGTAACACAGAAATGTAACTGTCGATTTTCTCAGCGGATAAAACGGGTACTATATTGTGAGGCGTAGTAATCTGAGGTGCGCTACGTCCGCGCACTAACTTCTGTCCGGAGACTTCTCTCTCGCTCACTTCAGTCAATAGAAGCAGCGTGACTTGTAGTACAGAGAGAAGTTAGTGCGCGGACGTAGCGCTCCTCAGATTACTACGCCTCACAATATAGTACCCGTTTTATCCGCTGAGAAAATCGACAGTTACATTTCTGTGTTACTATACTTTGCAGTGTAACACGTCACGTAACTATATACATTTAATAGGGAACACTTGGAAGAGTTTGGTAGCTTCTAGCGGGAGCTACCTTTTGGTGCTACACAGTATACAGAGGAGGCTGCATTTGTCCTCCCGTTTTTGCTCCGTTTGCATGACAGAGCGCACGGACTAAGATCACACAGGTACGTATTAACTAGTCTAAGGTAAGGTAAGAACATATGTCAGTATGTAAAAACGGTGAACTATTCCTTTAATAATACGCAATCATTTTGACAGCCCGAGTTTAAAGCTAATTGTGTTATAAACAATGTTAGCCTCGAGTGCCCAGCCTTTGTGATGCTAACCTCTCGCAGTGGGATGATGAGCTGGCATACGTCCTCTTGCTTGCTCCGGAAGCAGAGGCAGCTGCTGGACACAAACAGCTGTCCTGGGACGTGGCTCTTTGCAAAGGGTGTCCACAAGGTGCAATCTGTGTGACCATCCAGCCGCTCCTCCTCCGTCAGCCGGAACCACGAGCGGTACTGCTGGTTCTTTGCTCGCGCATCCAGGTCCCTGCCACACACATGAAAAAACCAGAGCTCGAGACCAACGATCTCTCCCATGGGCCAAAGGCAGCCCATTGACTCATGTTATATGGCCCTCTGCCTCAAAGTAGCCAATGAGGTACTTGCCATAACCTTTGAAATCCAGTCGTTAACTTCTTATACTGACATTTGATTTTGATTGTGTCACAAAACTCCATATACGTCGCTAATGTAGCTGTGGTGTGAGTCAATATGGACATATCATACCCAATTTTAAAACCCAGAACAGCCTGAATGCAGTTATGGGTTTATAATCCATGTTGTTGGCCATTAGACAAGTCTGGTGAACTTAAGTGGCCTGAAAAGTTTGAAAAAAATTATCAACATCCTCACAGAGCAACACACTGCCAAATGTTGCAGAGTGCAGACAATGCGGTGAGCTTGATGCAGACCACGGAATGTGTTCTGGACATGTAAAAAGTACTCTCAACCGTTTCTAAAAAGTCATAATTTATTCTAGAACACAAACAAAAAAATGTGGGAAAAACATCAAATAATTAACTTCAATTGGAGAGAACTGAATAATGGTATATACAAAATGTAAAATAGACCTTCCAACCATGTAGTTTTTTATTTATGTAAACTGTACATGAAAGTGTACACACATTATTGTTCTCAGTGTGGCTCAGTGTTACTCACCTCTTGATCTGCGGCGCGCTGCTCCGGGGCATGGATCCGCTCTTGGACAGCTCCCTCTCCGGTCGGGAGGGGTCCGGGTGGGTGCGGGCTCTCTCCTGGTCCAGCAGGGTGCTCATGGCCATGTTGGCCAGCTGCTCCATGAGTCTGAACGTGTCAGAGATGTTGAGGAACATGGAGAAGAAGTGGTGGTCTGAGCGCGTGCACACCCTGATGCTTTCTGGGAAGAGCAGGGTGCTGTTCTTCTCCAGCTGAGTCACCTCTGTCCAGGGCACCACCAGAACCACTGCGCAGACACACACAGGCACACACATGTATACAGGCGCACACATGTACAGTCGCATAGACACACACAAACAGGTACCAAGTCAGAGATTAATACTTCTTTAAGCAGGGGTCTCAAAGTAAAATGTTGTAAACCAATCATTTAGAGGTCATTCATAATGCTTTGATTGCTATAGATGGAAATGGACTTGTTAAAAGAGGCTCTTATTTGTTTGGTTTGTGTGCAGCTCTTTTTATTTATTTTTTACATTACATATTTTGAAACAAATTATACATTTTAGTGAATATAGATTTGGATATTCTATGTTGGTAGTTTGGTAAAAAATGAGTACATTTTTGCTAAGATAAAAAAAGAACTGGACCAATTGTACTTTATTCTTTATACAATTATAACTAAATGTGCATTAGGTTCATAGATTAGAGTTGAAGCTTTAAAACAAGTACAACCTTCCATGGTAGCATATCGCTGTAGGGAAAGACATTTTGACCCATTGTAATTTTTAAATCTTAAAAATATTGGCACATCATATTGGCTGATCCCTAATGTCCAGCGCTCACCCTCCTTGCCAAGGATGAGGGAGTAGAAGCACAGGTGGTTGACACACAGGTAGAGCCAGCCTTGGCGTGGGACCCGGCCCTTCCAGAAGCTGCACGAGTAGTAGTTGACCAGCTTCTCCTCCTCGGGCATGGAAAAGAGGCGACGCATCTTCAGCTGAGCCTCCTGGAACTTGAGTGGGTCCGGGTTGGCCTCACACAGCTGCGATCTCTGCTCCTCGGCGATTAGGCCCTAGGATTTGTACACACCTTTTAATATAGAGTAAGCACTATGGAGAATTGCCATGTTCCTACTGGACAATGTGGGGCAAGGGAGGTGGAAGACACTCAAAGACAGTGAAAACAAGAGCTAAACCAAGTATATATCTGGACTAAACCAGAGGCCTTATTTTCTACTTTTGATAAATCACAGCTCGAGGGTTTGTAGTAAGTTATGCAGACTCAGAGGGAGGGGTTCTGGGGGGGCAGCACACCCAGGAGGGCTTTTTGAGATGACAGAATGACCAAACCTTGCAGTCTACAGCCGAGACAAGGTGTGAGGGTGTGAGAATGGGTCAGTGTGTGTGGGAGGACCATGGATCTATAATAACAGAGGACGGTGTGTGTCTGCTTTAAATGTTTAACCAAAGTCTGTTTAACAAAAAGTACCGTCCAAGTTTCAAAAGTCCTCCCCCACCTCTTTGGAGACCACATACGCAGCCGTAACGGTGGATAAATGTTCCAAGAGTGTTTGATAAATTCCAACTTTGAGGGAGAATGAATCAAAGCACTTTTTTCTGTGGTCACACTGAACACCGGCTGCAAATCTGCTCTCAGTTTGACATCATAATTCATATTTGTCCTAGAAGTGTCTGAAATTAGCGTAGAAAAGAACTCTAGGACTGTTTTTGATGATGAACCAGGTGGATTTTACATACAATCTATGGTTATAATTTGAATTGCATAATGTGTCCTTTAAAATGTCATATGAGACATTACTGATATAGAACATGGTAAATAATAGTCACATTTTACAACAGTCAAGTGACGGCTTGTGACATAAGGGTCAAGAAAAAAGGAAGTGGCACAAAGATGTGAAAAAGAGTAAATCTCATCAAAACTAAGTCTCCCCAATACACAATCGTGTGAACCGTTTGGGTCATTTTTGTGTCCTTATTAAATAAACTGGAAAAGGATGAAAGCAACTCTCACACACTGGTGTACTTCCATACACCAGAGTTGTAAGATGCAACATTTAGGGCCTTCGTCAAGTAAATGGTTCGTTCCATCATGACGATACTCCTGTATATAAATAAAACACTGGTGTATGGAAGTACAGTGTACAAGAATTGTTTTCTGCCTTTTCAAGTTGGCAAGGTGTGTGCGGAGCCTACTCTTACACACCTGTCACAGAGTCAAATGTGCAAAGTTTTTACATATTATTAAATATACTCACAATGTTCTTTATATACAATATAGATATTTGCTTAAGAGTCTGGACAGCTTGAATTGCACAATTTGTCATGTTGAGGACAAGGTTTGATGTTTTGCTTTGTATAAAGTAACAGTCCGAGTGAAAGTAAAACGAAAACTGGAAAGTGGTGCCTGCATTTAAGTGACTGGACATTTTGAGAATCCAGCCGTTCAGCAGCTTTTCTTCAAAAATGTTGCTGTATTTTGCTCCTAACACCCTTCCATTAACTCCTACACTCCTTCCCGTTCCTGCTGAAGAAGAGAGGGCCCAAAACATGATGCTGTCACCTCCATGCTTGACCTTTGGAAAGTGCACTGAGGGTTTTGAGCCAAACACAACATTTTACATTTGGACCAAAGAGTTCTTCTTCCAATACGTCCCCCGTTTTGCTTCTTGCCACTTTATTCCAACACTGGTTTTATCACTTGTGCATAAAGGCCAGATTTGTGACGTGTAAGACTAACATTTGCCCCATGCTTTAAACTTCTCCACATATTCAGCCCTAATGCATCTGGTGGTAAATTATGGCTGCATGCATAATCCACAGAATCACACATGATCACATGAGCCAAACCAAGCTATTAATGATGAGGCAACTGAAACGGGAGCTACAAAGCGTGTTGCTCTTCTTGAAGTGCATCCAAGCGATGCATCAGAACGTGTGTCACAATTGCCGATCATGTGACCAGACTGTCTCTGCCGCTGCTGCTTCACTTTGGTTCATTGTATCAAAGCTTTTCAGAGTGTTCAGCCCCATCAGCTTTAGCCCCACGAGTGCTTTGTAGATGTCCTACCGTTTTCTCACACACAAGAGAAACTTCCAATCGGTTGTCATTACTACATACACGTAAAGCAATCTTTTTTTAAGTTTAATTACTTATTTTACCCTGAATCTGGGGCATTTGGCCAGCCCTCACACTGTGGGACAACTGAGGTTGTACAGTGCTAAACTGCCGTTGTGTCCTTAGGCCAACACACTTCACAAATAGTCTAAAATGGACCTGGTGTGCAGGGCGCTGGTGATCATTTTGAGTCCAAACTTTTGTGTTCATGCTAGAAAGGGTGTGTACTGTTAAGTAGGTTTTGGACTCCTATAACACAAGTTGACAGCCAAAAAATGATCAGGGGTTTCTCAACTGATATAGACTGGTGTTCTGAGTCCGAATATCACATGCATTTTGCTTCTATCAGGTCAACTTTTTGAGATACAGCCATAGTGTTACGGATTATGTACGTCTACGTTATTATGAATTCTGCTTATCAAATTTGATGGCGTAAATAAAAACTGAATGACTTTGGATACGTTGACTTTTATTTCTTGAGGAAAACGGAAAAAACTTCAAGGGTTTCTCAGCTGATGATCCGCAGAAATTTGTTTTTTACGCAAAATTGATTTAAACAAATATTTCTGTAGCAAAAAATCCTGACCTGATTGAGCAAAACCAAGGTCATTTTCGAACTCAGAGAATCAAAATTAGTCTAATTCAGCTGGAAAACCATGGACTATTTTCAAAAAATATTTTTTTGTTACCCAGTGTAATTCCTACAGCGTTCACCCTCAAATGAAAGCTAATGCCAAAGCATGTCATTTAATTTCAAATCAGTTTTGGCAGAGTTTGTAGTCCAAAGATCTGAGCGTAGATGTCCTATACTGTAAGTGTGGTAGACTTACACAGATCTTCCCTCTCACAAAGGTGGTGATGTCTTCATCATTCTCAAAAATGGAGATTGTCTGGAGCAGGTTGGATTCCAGCCAGTCCCAGTGCTCGGTGATCTCTTTACGGGACGATCCTGAAAGAAGAAATGCCTTAGACCGGCTATATGGTATGTGTTTTTAAAGAACAAATATAATACATACTTTTGGTTAATTTTAAAGAATTAATTATCTGGATAAACATTAGAGGATTAGAATGAGCCACACTCCTATCTAATGGTAGAGGTGGGACATTTACTGATCCACATACAAGACACACAGTAAGAACATGCTTTGATTGTACAATATCCAAAAGTTAAGAGAGGAGGCAAAACTTTTGGGGGGGAGAAGAAAACTGCCAATTACATAGAAGGGGGGACATGTTTGTGTTGGATTGTGGCAAAAGTTCCAAATATGGGAGTGGATGAAGCTTAAGACCACTCCAGCTATTTTTTTGAAGAGGGAACTAATCAAAGTTCTGACTAAATGTGCATTATAGGTGTCCTGCAGCTGTAGTGTCTAGTTTCCTCTCAGTCCTGGCTAACTGAACTGACCACAGGCGATGATCCAGTAGACCTGCGAGTCTCCAGCCTGCAGCAGGATTCTGTAAGGGGCCACACGAGCCGACGAGTCCAGCACCACATCCAAAGTACCTACGAGGAGGCCTGCACACAACTTGATCAGTCAGAATAACCAAGAGCAACAGAGATGGTTCACATAACAGATAGGAGTGTGCCAGTGTTGCAAAATGTAGTCTCACAATCTCTCTATATATAGTGCATATACACAATGCACAGCGAGTCCAGAACTTGGCATCAAACTACTCCCCAAAAAACTACTGGGGCACGCTTTCCAAGCTATAGAAGTTCTCTGGAAGTTGTGATACAATTCCTGACTCAGTGTATGAGGGGCAATCATCCGTGAATAATGCTGAAAAAGCATTGATTCATTCATTCATTTTCTACCCCTTTATTAGTCCATTTCTGGGTCGGGTGGGTGGCAATGAGAGCTGCCACCCAATTCTCAAAGCACCAGTCCCTCGCTGATCCTCTGCAGGTGGTGAGTCCACCGGAAGATGGCTGCTACATCAGTAGTGCCACAGTCTTGGTGTTTCAGCGGGAGTTGAAAAGGTTCAAGGTTTGTTATTTGGAAAACAGCGGACTGTTTTCTTTGGCACTGCTATATCGGCGCAAAAGTGGATGTAGTCTGTAACACTGTCCACAGCCTTGTTAATGTGCTCCCCTGAGCCCAGAAGTATATTGCAGTCGGTAGTCTCAAAGCAGTCCCTCAGAGCATCACTGGCCTCTGCTGTCCATTGCCTGAATGATCTACCGACTATGGGCATTATATATGGGCTTTATACGAATCAGATTGTGATCAGACTTGCCGAGGGAGGGCATTGCCACTACACTATAGGCATTCTTCACATTCACAAAGCAAAGATCTAAGATGCTGTTGTGTCTTGTAGGACAATCTACATATTGTGTAAAGCCACCCAGGTGTGAGCTCACATCAACATGGTTGAAGTCCCCTGATACTATAATCAATGCTTCAGAATGCTGTGACTGAATTTTAGCGACTGCCTCCTGAATGACGTCAAACACAGTTTCCGGCTCAGCACGAGGAGGAATGTAAACAATAATGGCGACGATGTGAGAGAACTCCTGTGGAAAATAGTAGGGCCCAATGCCAACCACTAGCAGTTCAATATTCCGACAACAGCTCTTCTGTTTCTCGGATATGTGACCGGGATGGCACCATTTGTTGTTGACAAACATGACAAGTCCACCGCCCTTCGTTTTACTGCACGCTTGTCAGCCCTGACGATAGAGAAGCCGGTGATGCTGACAGCTGAATCAGGTACGTTGTCATGTAGCCACGATTCAGATAGGAGATAAAGGCTACAGTCCCGGTAAGATGCATCACACTTCACCAAAGCCTCAAGTTCCTCTGACTTATTTTGAAGTGAGTTGATATTCCCCATTATTATTGATGGTACTCCTGGTTTGTACTCCTTGCCTTCTTCTTAGCTCCGGCTTGACATCCTCTGAAAGGCTTCTTGATCTCCAGAGGGTTCGGATGCTTCATCCCACATGGGCTTCGTCGTAGCAGAAGCTCATCTTGCGAGTACTCCTGCCAGTTTGAAAATATTTGCTTCCCTCCAGTTGATTTGCACTTGATCTGCTTGTTTCGGACCATGCATCCTCTTTGCTCTGATCAGTGTAAAACCATAAACACTGCACTGGAATAAAATTAATCTATAGCTAGGAAAAGTAAGAAAAAGTAAGAAAAATAACGGTTGTAGGGTACGATATCTTCAGAGCTGCTAGGACGTGCTGCCATTGTCCAACGCATTCATATCAAAAGCCTCATAAATCATAAATACATCTGTAAATGAGTCAAACCCAACCCTCTCCTCCAGTTCTGTTTCAATCCAAGCACAACTGTACTCCTTTTGTTCAGAAAAAAACTAAATTCAATCAGCTGCCTCCCAATTCACAGAGCACCAGCCCCTCAATGAACCTCCTGCAGGTGGTCAGTCCACTGGCCTCAGCCTTGATCTTTCAGCAGGGGTTGAACCAGTGAGGGTGGGTCCCGGCTCAAAAATGTCCATGAGCACGTGCGCTGACATGCTTGAAATACCAGCCCGAGCTGATGGGGGTGGACCCAAAAAGAGAATTATTCAATGCTTTTGTATGGTGTCTTCTAACCTCTCGAAAACATCTTTACAGATTAGGGATGTAAAAAACTATGAATTTTCATGACCGACCACCGAGCCTCATTAACCGGTTGAAACCGGTTAACCGCGTAGTTTAAAATAGTCCACGTTCTTTGAAATAACAGCCATTTTGAGCCGCGTACTTTCCATAAGTGCAGCTCTGCGTTCTACTGGATCAGAGCTGAGACAGCGGCGCCAAAACCCGCAACAGCTTCGGCACCTTTGCGCACAGAGAACTGCTGTTTTAATCTTCCCATTCTTCTGTGCTGCGGGTTAAAGCCTTTTTAAGCAAAAGACAGCTCGTTCACATGGTCAAGAGCAGCGAGTGACACACCGCGTCTCACAGGTCTCCGTGTATTTGCGAGGATTCCTTTGGGCTGCGTGACACAGAGGAGCGCGACAGGCCGGTATGTGTGTGTGTGTACAATACATGTATGTGTGTGTAAATATAAGCTCCAATGTAGTTCTTACCCGCACCAGTGTGCTACTAGCAGGCTGTAACAGAGGGGAGAGATGATGCGTGTGGACGTTACGTATCAATGGAGGTAGGGAAAGTGAGTGTGTGTCTGTGCGCGCGTGTGTGCGTGCATAGTGGCACGTGCGGCGTGAGAGTCGGCCCGGAGTTTACTGTTACATTGGCGCACACAGCTAGATACGGACCCTATTGTTACACCGTGCAAATAGGGCTTAAAATAGCGTTATGAAGAGACCTCCCCTCTCCCCTTTTTCTCTTTTTTAACCGACAACTTTGACCGGTTAACGCTGTGACGGTCAACCACCGGTTAAATGGTCACCGATTTACATCCCTATTCCAGATGTGTCAATGCTCAGGGGAGTATTTTTTTGGACCATTCTAGTTTAGCCGCTATGGACTTTTGAAGACGCTCATCAAATTTTGAAACTGTCCACAGAAGGCAAAAGCAGTGGCACATTAGTTTTAACGACGGAGATAGGCGTGACTACGTCTGTAAATATTTACAGTCTATAGGCTGAACCCATCCATCCATCCATCCATATTATACCCCTTAATCCATTGCTGGGTCGGGCAGCGTGGCAGTCAGAGCTGCACCCAATTCACACAGCACCAGCCCTTCATTGATCCTCCTGCATATGGTGACCTTGATCTTTCAGTGGGGCTTCAGGCAAAGTGGGGTTAAGTTAGGGCTGGGCGATATGGCTGAAAACTATATCACACCATAAATATTCATATCCGTCGATAACGATATATATTGATGTTTTTTTTTTTTTCAAACCTAAAAAAATACATTAGTCGTGTGGGCTAACACACATTAGCAGCCTTGAGCCACTGTCACCAATATTCATAAAAAATAATTAGTTGTTTACTACACCTCAATCATGTACATACAAAAAAAACACAAAAACACATGCAAAAGTTTATAAATTTGCCATTTTGTGGGAATGTGTTGTGAGCCATGTATTACATATAGTATTGTGAGGGACCCAGAGATTGCCTGTAACAGACCAGAGCAGCGGTACATACAGGTACTCTTTCGAAGACAAACAGGACCTGAGAAAAGCGGGTGATGGATCAGTCAGGCGGCACGGTGGCACAGTGGTTGAGCTTCACAGCAAGAAGGTCCAGCCAGATTAAAAGTATGACTCACCAGATAGCCCCCCTCCGCGGCCGTGGCCCTTCCTCCGCTGCAGGACGAAAAAGGGGTTGGCTCGCTCAGAGACCCACAGAGGAGCGGCCAGGGCCACCTCCTCCGGCTCCACCCACATCCCTACAGCTCAGGCCGTCCTCAGAGCTGCAGCAGAGACACAGTGGTTATGCCAAATGAGTACTTCCATATTGTCAAAGTGAACCTGGAAACAGATGAGAAGTACCGCAAGCCTGAAAACATACCCCATCTCAGATGCAAACTAATGGTGCAAACTAATGGTGCATTAACTATGGCCATTTCCTGATAGTAGATTGATTAGTTTCATGTTTTCTTTCTTCTACTCCCTGTCTGACACAACTAACATGACTAGGGCTGAAACAATTAAATCGAGCTGATTAATCAATAACAATTCTGTTATTACGATTAAACTGCTTAAGTCAATTAGAGCAAGCGTAAAGAAATCATTTCAGTGCTTGCTTCCTACAGAAATGTTTCTGCATTGTACCATTACGGCTCTGAAGGAGACAATATAAGACATTTCCATCTAAAATAATGATTGAGGATTATACTATTTTAATATAATTATCATTTTTAAGGTTTGTACAGGGCCTGCTCTTACGCATCTGTCACAGAGTCAGATGTGCAAAGTTTTCTGCTTTTTAAAGTTATTTTACATTACAATATATATGAAATATTAAACGATGTAAAACAGTTAAGATCACTCCATTAAACAATAAGTAATAATTGATAATACTATACTAATAAAATTTGTTGTTGGCTGCAGCCCTATCGACATGATATTAAAAATATCATGAAGGACACTGGAAAATAGAAAACAATGCATTTCCCTGAATTGTAGCCCACATTTTAGACCACTCAACAGTTGTATTCACTTGTGGATGGTTTTGCATATAAATAACGGAGCATGAAGACAATGTATGCTTATTTACAATATTCTCTGAGGATTTTGAGCAATGACTGGACCAACACAAACAGTTGCATCATATTGCTATTCCGCCCAGTCTATTCCTGAGGAATAATTTGGTTATAATACGGTTTTTTCACATGACCAGAACCACCACTTGTACACTGTGTTGATGTTTGTACAAATTAGGAACCCACCTCTCCTCTGCAGGCCTCCTCCTCCAGCGGCGATCCGCTCCAGGATCTGGCCGCTGTTGTGGCTCCGTGGGCTGGGTGTGAGCTGTGACTATCGCCGCTAATAGAGCAGAGACTGCCCGGGGGATGTGTGCTAAAAGTACCCGAGGTCCTGGCTCTTGAAGCGGGTTGTTGTGGGATCTGCTCTCGGAATCGTGCTCTGGAAGAAGCCTTGTTGTTTTGACTCAGGTGACAACCATATTATGACAGCAGACACTCACTTCCGGGTTTGCGCAGAGTAGGCATCCATTATGGTCTAACATGCGCAGCCTGCCGTGACGTCAACATATGGTCATGTGACGCAGGGGATGGAAGTAAAATTATATAATTAATTGATGGATTACTACGGAAGCTTGTTAGGTTCACTTGTGAGTGTGGTTTTTTTCCCGCTGGTATCATGTTATTTCATGATACTTTCATGAAATAACATGATAAATATCATGTTATTTCATGATACACAACTATCATGTTATTTCATGATAACAATTGATCATGTTATTTCATGATACCAGTTTATCATGTTATTTCATGATACCATCTTATCATGAAATTTCATGATACCAATTTATCATGTTTTTTCATGATACCAATTTATCATGAAATTTCATGATACCAATTTATCATGAAATTTCATGATACCAATTTATCATGTTATTTCATGATACCAGTTTATCATGAAATAACATGATACTGTAGATACAGAAGAAGAAGAAGCTGTCAGCTTCTGATAAATTGGTATAATGAAATAATTAATAGTTACCTAATATAACTTAAGTTCTACGAATAGGTGCGTAGTCCCTTAGGACTTCGCTAGTGGGATATCACTCGTGACCCCCAGGTCACACGCCAGAGAGATCAAAATAATTTGCTCCAATCACTAGCGACCCTCCTCTATAAAGGCCCCTGCACAAGGCCGCACCCCCTCTTGAACTCTGCCAAGCCGGGCTGGCCTGATGGGCTCGTAGCTAAGGGACTACGCACCTATTCGTAGAACTTAAGTTACATTAGGTAACTATTAATTCTACGTCATGGTGCTACGTCCCTTAGGACTTCGCTAGTGGGACACAACGCGGAGGCCGTAGGAACATGTACTCCCAGCAGGCCAGCGAAAAGTGATTGGAGCTCCGCCCGGGCAAGACCCTCACAAAGTGACAGGACTCAGGGCAGAAGAAGCAATTGCGTGTTACAGGGCCACTCCTCCCAAGGATACCCCCACGTAACACAGACCGTAGGTCATCCGTAGTCCCAGGACGCCTCTCCCAAGAGCTCCTGACGTGGACTACCTGACTGACCAAAAGCACACATACAAATACCGCACCTGTAGGACGCCTCTCCCAAGAGCTCCTGAACCAGGGCGGAAAGTCAACCGAAGGCCCCCTCAGAGGAGGGACCTAACGGTCTCAACTCAGTCCGCTGCACTCAGCACGGAATGGGCCACCGACCGGTCCGACACATCCAAAAGATAAGACCGGACGAAAGAAGAGGACGACGCCCAAGAAGCCGCACGGCAGACGTCCTCGACCGACGCCCCCCTGAGGAGGGCCGTAGAGGCCGCCATCCCACGTGTGGAATGCGACCTGAAGCCCACCGGGGGGGCCAGACCCTGCGCCTGATACGCCCGCCGCACCGCCGTGGCGACCCAGTGCGCCGACAGCGGGGCGCCCCTGTTCTTGGGGCCCAGACACACAAACAGCTGGTCACCCAACCTGAATGAAGACGTCATGCCCAGGTAATGCCTAAGCATTCTGACAGGACACAGAAGGTGCCGCCGCTCCTCCTCGGGGGAGGCATGCGGTGGCGGATAGAATGCCCTAATCTTGATGACTCTCGACCTAAAGGCCGACGTGATGACCTTGGGGAGAAAAGCCGGATTGGGCCACAATTCCACCATGCCGTCGCCCTCTCCAAAGGACAGGCAAGACGCATGGACGGAGAGCGCACACAAGTCGCCCGCCCTCTTAGTAGACGCTAACGCCAGCAAGAGGGCCGTCTTAAAGCGACACACTCGGGACTCGCCTCCGCCGCCGGTTCAAAAGGCGGACCCGACAGACCCCTAAGGACCAGCCTGAGGTCCCAAACCGGGGGCGTTCTCTGGAGCGGGGGCCTCCTCCTGCGCGCCCCCCGCAGAAAACGTTTAACCAACGCATGAGAGCGGGCTGTGAACCCCCCGAATCCGTCGTGACCCGAGGTAATGGCTGCCGCGAACACCGCCAAGGTGGCGACAGCCCTCCCTTTGTCAAAAAGCTCCTGTAGGAATCCCAGGACCCCCTCCAGCGGGCAACGCCTGGGATCCCAGGAGCGAGAACCGCACCAGTCGCTGAAGAGCCTCCACCTCGTGGCGTAGGCCCTCACAGTGGACGGCGCCCTCGCCCCCTGAATGGTCTCCACCACCGCCGGGGGAAGACCCAGGTCTACGAGGTTCCGCCTCTCAGCCTCCAAACCCAGAGCCTGCGGCCAATTATCGGGCGTGAAAACAGGGCTCCCCCCCCCTGGACTAGAGCCCCCGGCTCGTCTGGGAGGGCCCAGGGCTCCATCACCGCCATGCCCCTCAGGAAGGGGAACCACCGGGCATGCGGACTGTCCGGAGCCACCAGGATCACCGACCTCCTCTCCTGTTCGATCCTCCGCAGCAGGACCGGCAGGAGACGCACTGGTGGGAAAGCGTACAGCAGGCCCTCTGGCCAGAGGTAATGAGCCAGAGCGTCCACGCCTAAGGGCGGCTCGTCCGCGGCCCTTAAGGCGAACCAGGACGGGCACTGTGCGTTCTCTGCACTAGCGAAAAGGTTGACCACTGGACGGCCGAACCTCCGCCAGATCTCCGCAGCTACCCGTGGGGCCAGGCCCCACTCGTCCTGGAGTGGGCCCCCCCCCTGGAAATCCTGTCGGCCCCCACGTTCCGGACCCCCGGGACGTGGCGCGCCCTCAGAGACAGAAGGTGAAGCGCCCACAGCAGCGTCACCGTCGCCATGCGATGGAGGGCGGGGAACCTGGTGCCCCCCTGCCTGTTCAGATAAAAGACCACTGTGGTGTTGTCTGAGCGCACCATCACTTGTTTCCCCTGCAGCTGAGGAGCAAAGTGCAGCAGTACCCTGTGTACTGCCTCCATCTCCAGCAGGTTGATGTGGCGGGCTGAGTCCGACCAGCAGCCTCCTACAGAGCTCTGGCCGAGGACCCCGCCCCAACCTTCGAGTGACGCGTCCGTGAACACCTCCACGTGAGACACGGCGCCAATGCGACGACCTGTGCCGCATTGGCGTAACATCTATCCAGCATAGCCAACGACATCCTATCCCGCTCGGAGGGAAGGAGAGGTCTGGTGCCGGGCCACACGGATGCGGAGGGCTGCAGGGCCATGCGGACTGAATCCTCGATGTCCGGGACCCCGCCGGTCCAGGACCAGTCCTGCACGCTGCAATACCGCCGTACCCCAGAGCAGGCCTCTTGGCTGCTAGGGGCTTTGGCCACTCACGTGTCGCGAAATGGACGATCGGGTCCATCCGCGGGCACAACGTGGGTTGTATCCTCCTCCTCCCTCGAGTGGTGGCGCGCCCAGAGGTGAAGTCCTCCGCCCTCTGGATCGGCTGCGGTGGCAGAGGAGCATCCATGATGGCCGCCGCGGAGGAGTAGAGCCCAGGCATGTGGTCCAGTGGGAAGCGGTCCGGCTCCGGGTTCGAGACCACCTCGTCCAGGGTGAGGAGGGAGCCGATCTCCGAAACCTCTCCGTCCTCACAGTCACCCCACTCCGCGGGCACGGGTGGAAGGTCGAGTGGGGCCCAGTCAGTCTCAGACTCCTCGTCCTGAGAGGAGTCCGGACGGGGCGCTGCAGCGGCGAGGAACGCACGCCTGCGTTCGCTCTCCTCCCTGGGGAGAGCGAGACACGAGGCGCAGCTGGCGCTCAACGCCTCATGGCCCGGGCCCAGGCACATGAAGCAGCTGGAGTGCTGGTCCGTGCGCTGGAGCCTGACTCGACACGCCGAGCAACGACGACGTCCGACGCCGGAGGGCGAAGGGGAACTCGGACGAACAGAAGACATCTCTCAGAATGAAGTGAGTACTGTGGTAGATCTCAATCGGCGCCAGAGTGAAAGAGGGGGTGTGGCCTTGTGCTGGGGCCTTTATAGAGGAGGGTCGCTAGTGATTGGAGCAAATTATTTTGATCTCTCTGGCATGTGACCTGGGGGTCACGAGTGATATCCCACTAGCGAAGTCCTAAGGGACGTAGCACCATGACGTAGAACATGATAGTTGTGTATCATGAAATGACATGATAGTTGTGTATCATGAAATAACATGATAGTTGTGTATCATGAAATAACATGATATTTATCATGTTATTTCATGGAAGTATCATGAAATAACATGATACCAGCGGGAAAAAAACACACTCACAAGTGAACCTAACAAGCTTCCGTATATTACCCATGGATCTATAATAACAACGGGATTACCGGACAAAATGCCTCTGGACACTTGATTTAACTGCATCCTTGTGTGATCTATGGAAGAATAAAACACTACATCGATTTATTATGCCTTACTGTGACGGCCCCCTCTGCTGGGCCTGTGGTGGCAGTGTTCGTATGACATTCTGAGATGATGGGAGGCAGCTGGGAAGTCATGTGACCTCCCGGATGCTTCAAAAAGCGGCTTCCCCTCACTCTCTCTCTCTCTCCTGGCTTCTGGGCACCTGCCGGCGTGCCCGGACTGCCGCTACCATTCTGGGCCCTGTTGGACCAGCTGCCACGCCAGTTTGTCTTTTCATTTACACGCACTACAACACAAAATTTGCACTACAACGGTTGTCCTACTGACTTTCATATACAACACCTTGCACCCCACAGCATACCTTTCACTTACACTGATTTCATACAGATTCCTTTATTATTGTTTAAATAAATGCCCCACAGAGGGTTTAAATTTCTCAGTTTGTCGTGTCCTCCCTCTCATGTTATGGTCTCACGAGCCGGGCCGTAACACTTACTCTATTCTTTTTTCTGACTGTTGCACTGAGCCAAAGCAATTTCCAAGTCTTTGACTTCATGTTACTTACGTGGCAATAAAAATCATTCTGATATTTCCATGATGAGAATGTTGTAGACTTTTAACTTATGATCTGAATTGATTTATGAATACATTTTCTTCGAGATGTGAAAAGTGATCATCGGTCATCACCTGATTATGTGCCATCTATTAATATTGGATATGACAAGGTAAAAATGCAGGACAACTAACTGAAAGATGGCTGAGAGCGGGAAAGCTGGAGACTGAGAGAAAGGAGGCTGCCTCGGCCCTCATGGCAAGGCAAGTTTATATGTAAAGCACAATTCATCCACAAGGCAACTCAAAGTGCTGAACAAAACAAGATAGAATCAACCACACAAGGCATTAAAAATAAATATTTATGTAAATAATAACTGAAATTTAAAAAAAGAAACTTATAAATACCCTAAACAGAACTGTTTTAACCCGGATTTGAACATTATCTCAAATTTAAGGGAGATTGTTCCAGATGAATCTGAAATGCAATCTCCCCATTCTTGCTCTCGGCACATGGAGAGTCCCGTCCCTGTGCTCCTCAGAGTCATGGAATAGTCCAGAGAGGGGGACCACAGAACCAGAACTGCCAGGTGTTTACACATTGTTCTCATTAAAATATAGCACAATGTTGTTTCAGTAGTAGAGATGTTATGTTTGGACACCTCTTTTCCCGTTTGGTTTTATGTCTTATCTTTTTTTGTCCAGGTATTTTTGGGTTTTATAGTTATTTTTGTAAGATTGTTTTTTATAAGTATATTTTATAGGTTACATTTTTGATAACGTTTTGTAACTTATTTCTTGTAACTTATTTTGTATATTTTGTAGCTCGGGCCGGGAATAGAAGCGCTGTCCTGGTGCGCTCCCGCCCCTCACTGCTCTCAGCCTCTTTTCCTAACACCTGCTGAGGTAAGCGTGCACGCGCTGCGCGCTCCCAAAGTCCTGGTTGCGGCCTCCCCAGACACCGCATGGTTTGGTTGCTTTCTTTAGCCATTTGTTAGCTTTTTCCTTGTCCTTATTTTTGTTTGATCTGGCGGGTCCGGTGGTTACATTTTCGTTGGTGAGGGTGTAGCTATTTGGATTTTGTTTATTCTTCAGTTGGGGTGTCGGCATCGGATCCGGACGGGCCTGTATAGGGTTGGTCCGGTATCGGCCCATTTTGTTTGTTTTGGCTGGCCCACCAGGTCCACCTTTAATTTGATTACTTTGGGTTTTGGGTTCTGGGTTTTTGATTAATCTTCATATTAATAAATAATAAACTAGAGTTCATTCAAAAGAAAATGTATAAATAAAATCAATTTTGAACTCTCAACCTGTCTCTGTGTCCTCCAAATATGTTTTGTCCTTCGGGTCGTAACAGATGTGTTTTATTAATATTGGTTCATATATTCCAGCTCCATCAAGAAACCATTCAGCATGACAGTTGTGTAGGAGAACCTACACATACTCAGAATAGGGACTTCAATCTGAGAGCGCAAATCTCAAAAGGGCATTTGGGGCAAACGTTCTTCGAGGAGAACGTGACCCGGAGTGACCGCAAGCGGCTGTTTCTTGTTGGACTTTCATCTATGGAACTGTGTAATTGCTTCTTTCATATGTAACCAGAGACCTGCCAACATTTAAAGTCATGCCATCTAAGATTATCCTTTTGTGACTATTATCTAAGTTAAGGATACATTATGAAAACCAAGTGATGGCAGAGTGAGGCTTCCAAGTTCCTGCTGAGGAGTTGATGAATCAAGGAGGGAAAACTCAGCTCAGTGATTTGATGTCTTTACAAGTATATTTTAGTACCAATACCTGCGTGGACTAATTATTAACAGTTCAATTTTTTATGTTTGAATTATGCTGCTGAATTACTGATATATTGTCAACGATTACTGTATTTATTTTCTCCAAGGATAAGATATCCTTCTGTTCCATCTGTTATCCATCTGTTCAAATCAGCATTGGAAAAAATGGTACTTTCATCATACAGGAATGTGAGAATGGGGGTTTAAATTGTTATAATTCTAAACTATTTGAAAGGGAAAATCGATCTCATCAACCAAATCATATATATTATATGTACTACCATTATAACTACTGCTCTATTATAATTATTATATAACTATATATTATGTGTACTATATATATATATACTATACTGTCCTATACTGTTACTATACTCTTCTATTATAATTATTATTGTATAATATGGTCTAACAATAATAATAATATGATGTGTCTATAGGGCATTTATTGGGGTTATTAAGGTGTTTTTTTTTTTTTGATTATCACTACTTTTGTATTGTTATAGAAATTATTATTTTTGTTATAGGCGTCATTACATCAACATATCCTTCCATCATCTATTGTTGGAAAAGAAATAAATGAATCATGGTTGAAGCATTGGTGCTGACGGTAGCCAGAGATTACAATTTGAGCATGTTCACAGAACTCACAGAACTCAAAGTACAGGGTAGGCAGGGGGGGCTCTGCTGCTGGAGGAACCCTCTGGCAGAGGACCCCCACTACTGTCTCTTTTAATGCACAGATTAGGACACGTAGCAAAGAACTACAGCTCACAGGCTGCCTTTCCTGGAGGCTGCTCCCTCTAGAGGCCGATCTGTGGACGCAGAGACTCCCTTTATAAATAACACACGCATCTAAATACAAGCTTGCTCCCATCAGCACCAATGATCAAATTTAACTCACGTATAACACTAGTGATCAGTAATACATTTATTAAATAGTAAATGTACAATATTCTATAATCCTATTTAATTGATATATACAATATATACACCTGTGGATATATACAATATAATGAAAATTATAAACATGAAAATTATATGGATATGTGGTGATGATGATGACGTTATGACACCTAAAGGCATATAAAATATTAAGGTAACAAGAATATAAACTTATTCTACATATACTGTATAAAACAAGGGCATATTAACTTGAATGTCACTGTTGCATAACTGCACCGCTGACTAAGCTAAGCTATAGCAACCATAATTTAAGTTAATTAAATTAGAATAATAAATAGGGGGTCGGAGTTTAAAAGTCTTAACTTCTTCCCACTCCTTTTCGAGCTGACTTTTTGTTATTTATTATTTATTGTTTATTTGTTTGTATTGTTTTTTTTTTTGGTGCTATGAGACTTGGGTGGCATCTCTGATTGCCACCCCCCTGACCCAGAAATGGATTAAAAGGGTAGAAAATGGATGGATGGATGGATGTTTTTTTTGCTGCTGTTCCTTGGCCTTGTCTGACATGGCTCGAAATAAAAAGTATTGGTATTACCATTTTAAAATGTAGGTGTATCCTCTAAAGTTGGAAACAATTGGCCAGTTTGCAAAATTAATTTAAAACATATTCTTAGATATGGCTTATAGGCTTCTACAGATTTTTACGCTTTCATCATCACATTGGTAAAACAGAAAAGTTGACACTCAGATACTGACTCACAAGGTTCTTTCTCAGAAGTGTGATACGGTTTTATCTAACAAAATGAAGACCACATGTTGTCGTCTGTTTTGTTCCATTTACTTTTACTCTGATGTTATTAATATCAGTATCCTCATGCATTACTGTCATTTTAGGTTAGGTCTGAAATTGTGTCAAAGTGTTTTATTTTGAAGAGCCAATTTATTTTTCCACTTCCTGTGAAGTGTTTTGCGACTAATCAAGATGTACATTTTACCCTGCTATATAAAGTGACACAAAGGAGACCATGCTGCTTATGAAAACATGTCTGAAGAACAAGGGAATGTTGAAGAGAACGCTGCAAGCTCCAAGTTTATGGGCCCATGCATTCTATCGAGACAGGTGGGAGATGGCTGAGGTCAGGGATTAGCTGAGATGAACATGGCAAAGTGGCGATAAACAATAATGAATCCATAATATGAAGTCATGATGACGTTTAACGTGGGAATACGCGTGTTGCTACGTGCTGCCATGACAACACTTTCTCATTCTCGTTGAGAAAGTTGACCGTGTTGACTTCTGCACGCCAAAAGCAGGTGCGTTACTGTAGCTTGTAACTTCTCCACAAACCTTATGGCTACAAAGTTATTGAGATGACAACATTGTAACAGAGATAACTCACAGATTGTTTGCACTTGTGTCAGGTTTACAAGAAGATATTTTACTGTAACGATGTCCAACCCGCTCTCGCACCTGGGCAGAGGTAAGGCCGCTGAACTCACTCTTTTGCACATCTATTTCACATCCTTGTCATATTTCACAACCCCATCTGCAAAGATTAGTAAGTCAGTAAGTAGTTAGTACTAAACATTTGACAGTAACCGGCTTTTCCCGTCCCCAGGACACCCTAGGCCTGAGGTCGATGATCGACTTTGTTGTCGTATCATCTGACCTTCGACCGCGTGTCTCGGACACTCGGGTAAAGAGAGGGGCGGAGCTGTCAACCGATCACCACCTGGTCGTGAGTTGGATCCGCTGGCAGGGGAAGAAGCCGGTCAGACCTGGCAGACCCAAGCGTATAGTGAGGGTCTGCTGGGAACGTCTCGCTGAGCCCCCTGTCAGACGGACTTTCAACTCACACCTCCGGGAGAGTTTCTCCCAGGTCCCGGCGGAGGAGGGGGACATGGAGTCCGAGTGGACCATGTTCTTTGCCTCAATCGCCGATGCAGCGGCTCGTAGCTGTGGTCGCAAGGTCTCTGGTGCTGGTCCCGGCGGCAACCCCCGAACCCGGTGGTGGACACCGGCAGTAAGGGATGCTGTCAGGCTGAAGAAGGAGTCCTATCGAGCCATGATGGTTCGGGGGACTCCTGAGGCAGCTGTCCAGTACCGGCAAGCCAAGCGTGCCGCGGCCCGGGCTGTTGCAGAGGCAAAAACCCGGGACTGGGAGGAGTTCGGAGAGTCCATGGAGCATGACTATCGGTCGGCCTCGAAGAGATTCTGGAAAACCATCCGGCGCCTCACGAGGGGGAAGCAGTTCTTTGCCAACACCATGTACGGTGCGGGTGGAGAGCTACTGACCTCGACTGGGGATATTGTCGGGCGGTGGAAGGAATACTTTGAGGTTCTCCTCAATCCCCCCGTCACGTCCTCTGTTACAGAGGCAGAGGCTGAGGATGTTGGGGCGGATACATCCATCTCCCTGGCTGAGGTCACCAAGGTGGTTGGCAGCCTCCATGGTGGCAAGGCTTCGGGTGTGTATGAGATCCGCCCTGATTATCTAAAGTCTCTGGATGTTGTAGGACTGTCTTGGCTGACACGTCTCTGCAACATCGCGTGGCGATCGGGGGCAGTGCCAATGGAGTGGCAGACCGGGGTGGTGGTCACTCTCTACAAGAAGGGGGACCGCAGGGTGTGTTCCAATTATCGTGGGATCACACTCCTCAGCCTCCCCGGTAAGGTCTACTCCAAGGTACTGGAGAGGAGGCTACGGCCGATGGTCGAATCTCGGATCCAGGAGGAGCAGTGTGGTTTTCGTCCCGGTTGCGGAACACTGGACCAGCTCTATACTCTCCATCGGATACTCGAGGGTTCATGGGAGTTCGCCCAACCTGCCCACATGTGCTTTGTGGATTTGGAGAAGGCGTTCGACTGTGTTCCCCGGGGTGTCCTTTGGGGGGTTCTCCGGGAGTACGGGGTCGGAGGTCCTCTGCTGAGGGCCATCCGATCCCTGTATGACCGGAGCCAGAGCTGTGTTCGCATTGCCGGCAATAAGTCAGACCTGTTCCCGGTGAATGTTGGCCTCCGACAGGGCTGCCCTTTGTCACCGGTTCTGTTCACTGTATTTATGAACAGAATTTCTAGGCGCAGCCAGGGGTCGGAGGGGGTCCGGTTCGGAGACCACAGGATTTCATCTCTGCGGTTTGCGAACGATGTTGTCCTGTTGGCTCCAACGAACCAGGACCTGCAGCATGCACTGGGGCGGTTTGCAGCCGAGTGTGAAGCGGCTGGGATGAGAATCAGCACCTCTAAATCTGAGGCCATGGTGCTCGACCGGAAAAAGGTGACTTGCCCTCTACAGGTGGGTGGAGAGGTCCTTCCTCAAGTGGAGGAGTTCAAGTATCTCGGGGTCTTGTTCACGAGTGAGGGAAGAATGGAGCGTGAGATTGACAGGCGGATCGGTGCAGCGTGCGCAGTGATGCGGTTGCTGTATCGGACCGTTGTGGTAAAGAGGGAGCTGAGCCGAAAGGCAAAGCTCTCGATTTACCGTTCAATCTTTGTTCCCTCCCTCAACTATGGTCATGAGCATTGGGTAATGACCGAAAGAACGAGATCGCGGATACAAGCGGTCGAAATGAGCTTCCTCCGCAGAGTGGCTGGGCGCTCCCTTAGAGATAGGGTGAGGAGCTCAGTCACACGGGAGGAGCTCGGAGTAGAGCCGCTGCTTCTCCACTTCGAGAGGAACCAGTTGAGGTGGCTCGGGCATCTGTTCCGGATGCCTCCTGGACGCCTCCCTGGGGAGGTGTTCCGGGCACGTCCCACCGGGAGGAGGCCTCGCGGAAGACCTAGGACACGCTGGAGGGACTATGTCTCTCAGCTGGCCTGGGAACGCCTTGGGGTCCCCCCGGACGAGCTGGAGGAAGTGTGTGTGGATAGGGAAGTCTGGGCGTCTCTGCTTAGACTGCTGCCCCCGCGACCCGGCAACGGATAAAGCGGAAGAAAATGGATGGATGGATGGATGGCTATTCCCGTCACTTGGAGGATGATGTTCTTAACTTTGACGTCAAACGCATGGTAGACTTTTCAAACTCTGATTTCGTAAACTATGCTGCTGGAAACCTGGATTAAATGGGGTATATTTGCAGCGTAGTGTGCGGGCTAACCATTTGCTGAGAAATATGTGGCGAAACATGAGCATTTCTTTAATTGTGGGTCAAAGTTTACAGCATTATTGTGAAAACAAAATGGCGCCTGTCGATATAATGTGAAATCACCATGGCAACTCTACTGCAGCCTTTACCCTCATGCTAAAGTTCTGATTGAGATTAAACGTGAGGCTTAGCATAGTCTGAGTTTAGTTTGAATTAAATCTTGGTTTTCACTTCTGTCCCATGAAGCAACTGTCCATTATCTAAATGAGATCAGACAATGTTGGGAAGAATATGTTTTCCAGTGTAGGATTTAGCTGCAAAATGTTGAATACATACATTCACGTGCATTATGTGATGTATTCTGTTACATGTTTGTTAGAGCTGTAGTCTGAATACTTTGAAATAGTTGATTTGCCATTGGATTACAGTGCAAATAAGCCATCATAGGATTCATACAACACTTTTAAATACACAAAAACACCATGTCAGTCTGCATGCAGAACTGAAAATTAAGTTTTCATGTTTTAAATGGTACCATGACCCTAATGAGAAACCTAAATATCCTGGTCACATACTGAAACTTGAACAAATGCATGCATGTAGGTTTCATTGGCCATGAGTCCCTTTTTACGGCCAGAGAAATTATTTTAAAAATTCCATTTGAATATAAATTAATGTCTTTTCGTTAGGGGACTGCGCCGTCCTGGATCCGAATCCTGGAGACCTGGCTGTGGACCTTTCTGGGGGAGACTACGCTGTTGTTTGGGGTCAGTTCCTCTTTCATACTGGTGTAGAATAGGGCTGCAGCTCGGGAGGCCACAATTCATTGAAGTCACGATGCGATGCATAGTATGGTTGAATTTTTAAGTTGCTTTTTTTTGTTGCTAACAAGCAATGAAACTTAAGAACATGAGCACTCCTATTCAAGTGTTTTCAAACAGTGAACTGTTCTATAGGCCAAATGTGAGGGGGAAGTTTAATGTGAGTGTTTCGATTGATGTGTTCTTTCCTAGCTCACCATGGTTTTTTTCATGCAGCCCCTGGGGACTTGGAGGACGTGGATGACCCTCGGCCTCTAGAGGCCGAGGGTCTCCCGCCGCCCCCGGAAGAGGATCCAGGGGAGCCTAGGTCTTGGTTCCTGGTGGTAATGGGGTTCTAATCCGCATTCCTCCACAGGAGCTGTCCCATCCACCTGTGGAGGTCCAGGCCAGGTCTCCTTCCCCCTCCTCTCCTCCTATTCCTGTTTCTGTCCCTTTAGGTGGAGCTGTGTTTCCCCCGGTCATCTTCAGGGTCTTAGAAGAGCTGACTTTTCAGCCTCTGACTCCTGCTCCTCCCTCTCCTCTTCTTGTCTCCTCCCCCTCTCCCCCTTCCTCTCCTGGTTCCTCTTCAGGTAAACGCCACAGAAGGGACGACACTGAGGCCATCTACAAGAGACGCCGCTGCTCTTCTCCTGTTATCTCTGTCTCGTCGTCTCCTTTCACTTCTCCCTTCCCCTCTCTTCCTTCTTCTCCTCTGACTCTTTCTCCTTCCACTGTTTTCCCCTCTGTCCTCTTCCAGGATGATGGAGAGACCACCGTGGGCACGCAGCGCTGCTCTTCTCCTATTTTTATTTCTTCTGTCTCCTCATCTCCTTTCACCTCTCCCCTCCCCTCCCCTCCTTTTTCTCCTCTGGCTCTTTCACGTCCCTCCCCTGTTTTCTTCCAGGTCCCAGATGAATTGACTTTTCAGCCTCTTTTTCCTGCTCCTGCCTTCCCCAGTCCAGTTTACCGCCCTATTCCTCTTCGCCTCCTCTCCTTGGGCACTGGATTCTTTCCTCCCTCTCCTCTTCTTGTCTCCTCCCCCTCTCCCCCCTCCTCTCCTGGTTCCTCTTCAGGGAAACGCCAGAGGAGGGACGACACTGAGGCCATCTACAAGAGACGCCGCTGCTCTTCTGCTGTTATCTCTGTCTCCTCGTCACCTCTCCCACTGCTTCTTCTCCTCTGGCTCATTCTCCTTCTCCTGTTTTTCCCTCTCTCCTCTTCCAGGATGATGTTGAAAACACCGTGAGGAGGCAGCGCTGCATGTCTCCATTTGTTATCTCTTCTGTCTCCTCTCACTTCTTCCTCGTCCTCCTATTCGACCCCCTTCTTCCTCCTCCAGCTCCAAGAGGAGGCGCTGATAACATACACAACGGTGTATGATTGAAAATAGTTTGTAAATCGTTCTTAGTGTTGTTGTGTGTTTTTAGTTTACATTGTTGTTCAGCCACGTTTGGCACTTTTTGATGTTCCAGCCACGTTTGGCACTTTTTTTGATGTTCCAGCCACATTTGGCACTTTTTGATGTTCCAGCCACGTTTGGCACTTTTTGATGTTCCAGCCAGTTGGCAGTTTGACAGATCTGCGACTAGACAAAAGAGAGGCCTTGGCACCACAACTAGTGCCAAAAAGAGCCAGGCCAACTCTGGAGTCTAATGACAGACATTACTATATCCAGAGGAGTGTCATCAGACCTCTGGAAAGACAACACCACAGTGTCCAGAAGAGAACCAGCAGAACTCTGGAAAGACAACACCACAGTGTCCAGAAGAGAACCAGCAGACCTCTGGAAAGACAACACCACAGTGTCCAGAAGAGAACCAGCAGAACTCTGGAAAGACAACATTTTTAATCAACTCAGAGCACAACTCTGGAAGAGACAGACATCAGTGTCATGGCAGCCTGTAAAGTTGTGTCCTCCACTGAACTGACTCTGAACTCCGGCTCTTAGAAACCACCCACAGCAGCTCTCCTGTTGAGTCTGGAACACAGACATCAGTGTGTCCAGAGCCTGATGAACATGTTCCCTACTCACTGCACTGTGAGGGCCACACGCCTCTCAGCGAGAAGGATCTTGCATGAGGAGATGAGGAGCGGCTGTTGCTGCTGCCCCTGTGAAGTCTATGGAGAAGTGTCGAGGACAATATAGGTCTGAACTGGTACAAGCAAAAGTGTCCCCTTGAAGAAACACAATGTACTGAATCACTCTCAAACCTGCCATTCCTCCTTCTTATTTTCTAGTGTGGGAAAAATACGCTTGGCTCGTATTGTGGGCTGATGAGCGTCTCAATGTGTCCAGAGCCTGATGAACACTGGAGTCTGGAACACAGACATCTGTGTGTCCAGACCCTGATGAACACTGGAGTCTGGAACACAGACATCAGTGTGTCCAGAGCCTGATGAACACTGGAGTCTGGAACACAGACATCTGTGTGTCCAGAGCCTGATGAACACTGGAGTCTGGAACACAGACATCAGTGTGTCCAGAGCCTGATGAACACTGGAGTCTGGAACACAGACATCAGTGTGTCCTGATGGTGTCATACAAGAATACAGTTTTACTATTGTTTTTGTGTGATTAATTCAGATGTCTTTGTGTAGTATAGAGATAAACTCCATACAATACAAATGCATTTGCCCTTTTTTTCAAATACATCTTATCTATTTTATTTAATGTGTCCTCGCTTGTTGTGTGAATCTCTTTGAATGTAACTGGGAATAAATAGTGCTACACAAATAAATAGCCTTGAAATTAAAGGACAGAATGTGGTTTGAGGCTGTTCTTTTAAATGTTATGTGTTTCATGTGTACATGTTGTCCTGTCTGTTTGTCCTGTTTGTCTGTAGGGGCCTCATTTCTAAAACTTGACCTAGATTTTCTTTTGTAAATCTTTACCTGGAAAGTGCTGTACATTACATATTTGTACATGCACATGTTTTATAAGTGAGACCCCTTGTCTTGTCTCCCACTCGTGGCTTGCACCTTGTCGTGGTGAGTGGGCTTTAAAACTAAGACGGGCCATTGTTTTACTCATCAACAGTTGGGTTTGCTGTGGATGATACTTATGGTTTGGTCTTTTAAGTAAATACTGCAATTAATTGCAAATAAAAGACAAAGATCTGGGCATTATATTGTGATAGTGAGTGTTCAGTTTATAACAATGACTGATTACACTGCCCTTAATAAAATGACGAGGACAGCCATTAGCCATTTTCACAGCCAATGCACTGTTACTGTAGACCACATGTGTCAAAGTCAAGGCCCGCGGGCCAAATCCGGCCCGCGAATGAATTTTACACGACCCGTTGCCTGCCATTGATGCACTATTACGTCAATTAGGTTTTCCGCTATTTTCATGTTCCCAGATGTCTATTATATCTAATATGTATGGGGATAAGCTTGAGAGCATATTGAATCGAGCCAGCAGGTGGCAGCAGCGCTCTCTGAATGGTTTGAAAACAGCTAGATGCACTTGTTTTGATTTCAGTAAAACTTCCCTCTACTCAACTGGGGATTACAAGCTAGAAACAAAATTATTTTTGCTGATGAAAGTAGACAGTCTATTCTGAAATCCGAATCTGGTTTCGGATTTCAGATAGTCATAGTACACAATATTCTGTGGGTCTTGAAAAATCTATAAAAATCATCAGAAACTGCTGGCAATATGGGAGTACCTGTTCTGAAATAGGCTGGCAGGCAATGAGGTAATAAACATTGAACCAGTCCGGCCCTCGGCTCGCAGCAAATTTGTTTTTTTGGCCCTCTGATGTATTTGACTTTGACATGCCTGCTGTAGACGATGATCAAATAAGTTGGTTATTTTAGCTTTTGTTATTTTGATAATCCTTTTTCTGCCTACAGTATGATGTCATCCTTTAGGGGCCGATGGCAACCACCACCAACCATTCAATCACCCACTCGCCAGACTCATTCTACTGTAGGTAATGTGGGTTAGGTGTCTGTGCAGCTGCAGCCACCTCACTGTGGCACTTTGTGTTTCCAGAAGTCTCCCATCATAGTACTAACCAGGCCCTGCTCTGCACAGCTTTAGAGGTCTTGACGGGATCTGGCCTTCGCATGCAGTTATGACCAAATACTCAGAGAGCCATCTTTTTCCAGAAAATGTCCATGCTATATTATACTTGTCTCCACCTTTTCTTTAGGTACATGTCTTGTTTTTTTTAAATTGCCCAGCTAGCTTCAAGGTAGGACAGCTATATGCAGAATCCACCTTTGGTACTAAAGCCGAGTTGGTACCAAAGGAAAGCACACCTTTGACAACCCGGAGCAAACTGCAGACATGACTTACCCTAATACAATACAATACAATACAAGAGTCATCTCAGAGGACTTAACAAAACCATTGAAATCACCAACAGAGATCAGAGAATCAACAGTTAAAACACAAAAAGAATATAGAGCACATGTTGATAAATGTCCATACATGTTGTAGAATGTTAAAGTGTCCTGGATCATCACCACAGTCCTTTTTGTTATACACTAACTGTCCAACAGACCCTCCTATCGGAAAGGAAAAACTCAAATACAGACAGTATATCACATGCCTGACCAGAGAGAACACACCGGAAAGTTTGCCACAGAAAGTTTGGATGACTACACGGACACTGGGACCTCATACATTGCTTTTTGCAAGGACAGCGTCATCCCTGCAAGGACAGCATAATCCCAACAAGGACCAGGGTCATCTATAACAAAGATAAACCTTTGGTTCAATGCTGAACTCAGGCAGCTCATGGAATTGAAAGAGTCCACTTTCAGAGAGGGAGACAGTAGCCGCAATACGGGGGCTAAATAACAATTCAGGAATGCACTTTGTGCGGCTAACTCTCAGCACACAGAGCGTCTACAGAAGTTCTCAGACAACAACCCTGCCTCTGTTTGGAGGGACCTAAGGGGCCGTTTAAACGGAGACAATGTGGCATTAAAACGCTATAGTTGGATGTCGGTTCCTACCAACTGTTCATACGGAGACTGTGTTCCAGGGGGGGAAAACGTGAGTGTTCAGATCCAGCCTGCAGAGTGGGACAGCTCAGATACGCTGCTCAACGGGGAGCTTTTTCACACCCGCGTGAAGGGAAAAAGGTGTGAAATCCCTGCCTGCTTTGACCCCCATCTCCCCGCACGTAAATTTGGACATGCGCAGTGGCGGAGAACAAACGTAAACAACAATGGCGGCGGGTACACTAACTAGCTTCGTGGGCTTCGAGCGCTGCACAGAGGAGGATTGTACTCCTTCGTTCGTCCAAACGAGAACACGCAATGCTCTAGTTTCAGTTTCCATTTTCACAGCTGCTGTTAAAATGCAGAATGATGTTGGTGCATTCTTCCACGTCTCCCAGAGTAAGCAGGACCGACCTTGAGGCCGGGCTGGTCGTATGGTCGTATCACAGCCGACGCTACTCACCAAGCACATGGATTGTTCCAACCCTTCCCCTCAGGCAGAAGGATATGGTCCATTCGGACCAGAACCTCCCGTCATAAGAACAGTTTTTTCCCCTCTGCTGTTGGTCTCGTGAACAATTCATTACCTGTCCCATCACCCTTTATAAGAAGCTTTGTGCCCTTCATGAAGCCACTTTAGTGCCCTTTCTAAAGCCACTTTAGTGCCCTTTCTAAAGCCACTTAACTGCCCTTGGACGTGCATGCTTATTTTTACCATGCCTTACTCTATTCTCTACCTCTCTTCCTTGACTGTTGTACCGAGAACCAAAGCAATTTCCTAGTCTGTGACTTCCTGTTATTTACATGGAAATAAAGTTATTTCACACACAAAAAGCAGAACACGTTTATAAGCAACAAGTTGAACTGTGAAGCAATTTGTTTTAAATTTGTGTTGCAGGACTTCCTGTATCCGGTGAGCGTGTTTTTTGACTACTATCACTCTGCTCTCTGTTTGCACTAACAAACGCATTCAAAATCCACGTAGTGTACACCAAGCTAACTGTGTAAGCACTCTGAGTCAGCTGTACTGCAGCTGAGGTTTAGGTAGCGGTTGTTTGTCTAGTCTCGGAATCTGTTATGCGGGGCCCGGATCCGGACTAGCTTAGCCTCGCCTAGCCGCTTACTCGCTACTCCTATGGCGGCTGCTGTCTCTCCCTCATTCCTTTACTGCTCGAGTTGCCATATGACGCGTCTAAACCCTGGATCCTTCTCTGAGGGTAGTGATAGATGTGTGAAGTGTAGTGCAGTCGTAGCTCCGGAATCCAGGGTCAGTGAGTTAGAGCTGCGTCTCAGAGTACTAAAGTCTCGAGCTAGCACTAGCATTAGCTACAGCCAGGCCGTATACTCAGGGACAGCGGAGCGCAGCTTTAGGGAAAGGCAGAGGAGAACTAGCGAGCCTAGCCTCCCAGCCATAGACTGTATATATTAACGGACAGAGTCACGCCTATCTCCGCCGTTTTAACTAATGGGCCAAAAAATGTGCTCTACTGGAGCAATCCAAAATGGCCGCGAGTGGTCCCGCCCACAAGAAAATTGAGAAAAAACGCAACTGCGCATGCGTCAGCCGGCGCAGCTCCATTCATTTGAACGATAGACTTCAAAAATTCACAGCAAGTAAAGTAGAGTGGACCAAAAAAATCCACCCCCCTCAGCATTGACACACATGTGGAACGGAGCTTTGGGCCAAGAGCCAACTTTTGGTCCATCCTGTAAAGACGTTTTTGAGAGGTCTGCCAATGCTATATGTTAGCATTGGCTAATTCTACTTCTGGGTCCACCCCATGGATGTATTATATTAACTGGATAGGGTATTACTAGCTTGTAGCTGAATAACTCACGTGCTCAGGGGATTCTCGCGGTACTGCAGACTGAACCAGACTAAATTCACGTGGGCTACCCAGAAATTTTCCCCATAGAACTCAATGCATATTAAAACAGCTCGACCTCAGCTGACAGAGAACCTACAGCTTTAATAAAGATCGGATTTTGTGGGGATTTTAGTGTCTCTTGTCATCCTGAACTTTTTTTCTTCTTAAATCCTTCGGTTTTGTTTAAATCCACACTTTAGTGCCACAAACTCTGCTCGTCTGGCTCTCACTCTAACTCCCGCTCTGATGAACTGCTCTGATTGGTCAGAGCGCGGCCGAGCCCCTCTGTGCACGTGTGTAAGACCGGTGTGAGACCCACACACGCGTGTTTGGCGCAACGCATTATGGGAGATCATCCACTGCGCAGAACCGGGAGGACCAGACGATGCCCAAGTACAGGCGAGTTTCCCATAGATCTTTGCGAGTTTCAGGCGACTTCCGCTAATCTTTCAGCCCCCATGCCGTCACAAAGCGCCACTGAGCACAACCATTCATTTGAACAGGGCGCCATCTTGGATCGCCGGGGCTTGGTCCACCCCCATCGGCCCAGGGTGGTATTGCAAGCATGTCAGCGCACGTCATTTTGGCCACTTTTGAGCTGGGACCCTCCCCCACTGCTCCCAGCCCGTCCTTAGCAGCTGGGACAAGACCAGGATAGTGATGGCTTTGTGACTGTTCGGAGAGGGCGACGTGTTGTTGGTAGTTTCCCCATTGGGCCTCCTCGTTCGACAAGACGACTGCGTTAGATTGAATGAGTGCACTCCTCCGACGCATGTTAACTACCAGAAAGCGAGAACTACAGGTCGCGGCGGCGTTGCGATTATATCACACCAATTTAGTCATTTACTTCTTAGTCCCAAAACCAACAATGCTTTTCACTCGTTTTAAAACTTAACACTTTCAATCACCTGTCCTGGGTGGAGAAAACAAAAAGCGGTGCTATTTATAGTTTTATACCGACCTCCTGGTCCTTACAGCGAGTTCCTAACAGAATTCTCTGACTTCATTTCAAACCTAGTTTTGGAATGGGAAAACATAGTTATAACTGGAGACTTCAATATACATGTGGATGTAACAGGGTAAAAGTATCATCACTTCACTGCCACTTTGAGTTTGGGTGTGGTTTTCTTTTCGTGTGTTTCCTTGTTTGGTGTGGGCCAATGGCCATGTTTTCTAATTAGTTGGCAGCTGTGGTGGGTTGTACTTCCCCTTTAAATTATCAGTGCACCTTTTCCTCTCCCTGACACTCTCCCTCTGTCTGGTGCGAAACAGGTCAGTCCTATCCCATTCATTTTAAATTTGCAGACTTCTTACTTGTTTTACTGTTATTATTGTCATGTTCTCTGACACTCTCCCTCTGTCTGGTGCGAAACAGAGCTCGGGTCCTCCAGGCGGTCCGAAGGCCAATCGTTCTGTGCAGCATCTGGGGCCTGCTGGGGACAAAGCCATACCAGCACGGCCAAACCACTGCATTGCCTGGACCCTGACCTTTTTGTGGCTCGCTCCTTGTCCACTGTTAAAAATGGAAGAGTGCTATTGAGAGTTCGAAATGTCAATGATTCACCAATATATCTCTACAGACATCAGAAATTGGCTAGGACATTTGCAATAGACTCTGCTGAAATTATGCAAGAAAATGATGTAAACATGACTCGTGTAGGGGTTAACTCTGTAAGAGTGAGTACAGGCCCAATTACACCCCAGTCTGAACCATGTGTCCTCCCTGATCTAACAAACTCTGATCTCCCTGCAGAACAAACTTGGAGACTTAAAGATCTGCTGTACAAACACAGGGCAGTTTTTGCTCAGCATGATGAGGACTATGGGTTGACCAGCGCCATGCAGCATGAGATCCCGACTGGCATTGCCCCCCCAGTGAGGGAACGCTACAGGCAAATTCCACCCAAAATGTATCAAGAAGTGAAAAGCCTAATTCAAGGTATGCTGAATTCAGAAATTATAGAGCCCAGCTCCAGCCCGTGGGCTTCCCCCATTGTGTTAGTCCGCAAAAAAGATGGCACATTGAGATTTTGTGTGGACTATCGTAAACTCAATTCAGTAACCCACAAAGATGCATACCCCTTGCCAAGAATTGAAGAGTCTCTCGCTAGCTTGGGCAATGCTAAATTCTTTTCCACACTCGATCTTGCAAGTGGGTACTGGCAGGTCCCTGTAGCGCCGTCAGATAGAGAGAAAACGGCTTTCACTACACCTATGGGCCTGTTTGAATTCACCAGAATGCCCTTTGGACTATCAAATGCACCAGCCACTTTTCAAAGACTGATGCATTCCTGTTTGGGAGAGCAGAACCTCCAGTCCTTATTAATATATTTGGACGATGTAGTGGTGTTTTCCCCAAATTTTGACGCCCACTTAAAGCATCTTGATTTTGTTTTTGAAAAACTGTCCAAACACGGCCTAAAATTGAAATCTAACAAATGCCATCTTTTGAAAGACGAAGTTCAATATTTGGGCCATAGAGTCTCAGCAGGTGGAGTCTCTCCTGACCCTGATAAAGTTAAATGCATTGAGGACTGGCCGACACCAAAGACAGTTAAACAGCTACAATCCTTTTTGGGTCTTGCAGGGTATTATCGCAGGTTTGTGAAGGACTTTTCAAAAATTGCACAACCTCTAAATCAAATGTTGGTAGGCGCTTCTCCCAATTCAAAGAGTGTTGATGGCAGTTTCTCAGCTAAATGGAACCCTACCTGTGCCAAAGCATTCGACACTCTAAAAACAGCACTAACATCCGCGCCCCTACTGGCCTTTGCTGATTTTAATCTTCCCTTTATTCTGTATACGGATGCTAGCCACTTGGGTCTAGGTGCAGTTCTTGCCCAAGTCCAGCAGGGTAAAGAGAGGGTGATAGCCTTTGCAAGTAGAAGCCTTAGCCCAAGTGAGAAAAATGATGAAAATTACAGTTCTTTCAAGCTTGAATACCTGGCCTTGACCTGGGCAGTGACCAAAAAGTTTGCCGAGTATTTGCATTGTGCCCCATTTACTGTGTACACTGATAATAACCCACTGGTACACTTGAACTCGGCTAAGCTTGGCAGTCTGGAACAAAGATGGGCTGCACGCCTGGCCAGCTTTCAATTCGAAATCAAATACAAACCAGGACGTACTAATCAGAGTGCAGATGCTCTATCCCGCTTTCCACCAGGTGTTGCTGTCGGTGAAGCTATGGATGATGGTGAGGGAGTAGAGATCCCATCCTTCGGACACGTGAGCACTTGTGTGGCCAGAGCTATGTGCGGGACTGCCAGGGAGGTGTGCCAACCCAGGCCTTCACAGACACTACCAGGTACCTCCCTTTATCCAGAGCGTACCAGAACTCAGTGGGCTGAACTCCAGAATAATGACTGGACCCTAAGAAGACTATCTGAGTATGTGCGGAGGCAATACAGGCCCAACCCACAAGAGAGGCAAAAGGAATCAAAATCTGTTCTAACACTTTTGAAAAACTGGGACAGGCTTCTACTAATCGATGGGGTTCTGCACCGCAAAAGATGGGACCCCAAGGAAGTTGACCCTGTGCTACAGCTCCTTGTTCCCGTGGGTGAGCAACACAATGTTTTTAGGATGTACCATGACCAGGCTGGCCACTGGGGTCCAGAAAAGACTATTTCATTGATCCAAAGGAGATTTTACTGGACCAATTTGAGTGACACTATTGCCAAATGGTGTTCGCAATGTCAAAATTGTGTATTGCGGAAAACTCCTGCTTCTACCCGTGCGCCGCTGATTCCAATTAGAACCTCTGCCCCAATGGAACTTTTGTCTGCAGACTTTTTGTCCATAGGTCCATAGTTTGCGATTCTGTGGATAGCTGGGTGAAGTGTCATCAGAGGCGGCTGCAATATGCCTTCACCAAAGCAAGTCAAGTGAATGACACTGAAATCGCCCGACAAAAACGCCACTATGACTATAAGACACAAGAATCTGCACTTGCCCCAGGGGACCGGGTGTTGCTCCAGGACATGAGAGCAAAGGACCGGGGTAAACTAGCTGATAGGTGGGAACCCCAGCCCTATGTCGTCATTAAGCGACCCAACGCAGAGCTCCCAGTGTATGTGATTCGGCAAGAGACAACTAAAAGAGAAAAAGTAGTTCATCGTAACTTACTCAGAGTGTGCCCTTTGCCTCCATCTACATTAACAAGAGATGGTCAAACTATTGAACCCCCCACTTCATCGGAAGATGGCCGAAGAGACTCTCTATTCCACGGCTGGGTGGGGTTCTGGCCAGATCCTACTCTTCACGACCCTGCACCTGCTTCACAAAATTCTCCGGTTCTTGGGGGTGCTGCTGGCTGTGATGGTGACCCGGGACCAAGGCGCTCGATGCGGCCTACGAAAGGCCTGCCTCCAAGACGGTTCCAGACCTAGCACCATGGAGAGCGGTCGTTGGGACAACGAACCTTTTAACAGGGAGGGGTGTAACAGGGTACAAGTATCATCACTTCACTGCCACTTTGAGTTTGGGTGTGGTTTTCTTTTCGTGTGTTTCCTTGTTTGGTGTGGGCCAATGGCCATGTTTTCTAATTAGTTGGCAGCTGTGGTGGGTTGTACTTCCCCTTTAAATTATCAGTGCACCTTTTCCTCTCCCTGACACTCTCCCTCTGTCTGGTGCGAAACAGGTCAGTCCTATCCCATTCATTTTAAATTTGCAGACTTCTTACTTGTTTTACTGTTATTATTGTCATGTTCTCTGACACTCTCCCTCTGTCTGGTGCGAAACAGAGCTCGGGTCCTCCAGGCGGTCCGAAGGCCAATCGTTCTGTGCAGCATCTGGGGCCTGCTGGGGACAAAGCCATACCAGCACGGCCAAACCACTGCATTGCCTGGACCCTGACCTTTTAAAGCTCGCATCCTTAAGTTTTAGCTCCAGCCTCTCCCCTCTCTAGTTTTAACCTAATAGCTTTTTATCATACTTTTTTAAAGACTATTTTTGTAATAAATCCCTTTTAAAACTTTTAACTGTCATGGCCTCCTTGTACCCTGGTGACAAAGATTGACTGTGTTACATGGACGACAGCACTGACAGCTTAAACAAAGCTTTCAGCGCCGTACTAGACGGTGTTGGTTTTACTCAGAATGTTGAGGAACCTACTCACATTCATAACCACACCTTGGACCTTGTCCTGACCTACGGCTGTGATGTCTCCAATGTTGACATCCAGCGTCAAAGCTCGTTGCTGTCTGACCATTTCTTGACGTTTCTCACGTTTGATCTCGATTTGGAGGACTTTCCTGTCCCGCTAGATAAAACCATAATGAAAAGAACCTTAAATGATAAATCTATCACAAGGTTCAAAGAACTAATACAGCCTATGTTGAATACTGCTGCAGGTGAACCTGTTCACAGCTGCTGCAGTCCCTCAGTCATTGACCAAACGGTGGACAACACTATGGAGTCTTTAAAATCTGCATTAAATGCAGCAGCTCCTTTAAAAAAGAAAACTATTAGGATTAGATCATCGTCGCCCTGGTACAGTGTTCAACTCCACACTTTAAAACAGGACGTCAGAAAATTGGAGAGGCTATATCGCCACTCCCACTCGGAGCCTGTCCACAGGGAGTGGAAAGCAGGTCTCCGAAACTATAAGAATGCCCTTCGCAGGGCTCGAACTCAATACTATTCAACTTTAATAGAAGCGATTAAAAATAACAGTAGATTTTTGTTTAGAACCGTCGCTAAACTCACAAACTGCCATAGCGCAATCAAGCCTAAAATTCCAAGCTCACTGAGCAGTGTCGACTTTCTCCATTTCTTTAATAATAAAATTACATCCATCCGTGACAAACTGGAGGAGGTTACTCCTGCTGTTGGTAGTGGACAGGCTGAAGCGGCATACTTGACTTCCCACTTAGACTCTTCAGTGGGCCTCGATAAATTCATGGCTGTGAGCCAAGCAGAAGTGATCTCTGTGGTCACATCCTCAAAAGCCTCAACTTGCATGTTAGACGCAATCCCAACTTGGCTCTTCAAAGACATTCTTCCTTTGATAATTGAGCCTATCGTAAATATAATAAACGCATCCATACAATGTGGCTATGTCCCACAAGCTTTTAAAACCGCTGTAATCAAACCCCTTCTGAAGAAAACAAACCTGGACCCAGAAATACTTACAAACTACAGACTGATCTCAAACCTCACTTTCATATCTAATATTCTGGAAAAACTTATAGCTGAGCAGCTTTGCTGCCACCTGCAGGAAAATATGTTTGAAGTCTTTCAATCAGGATTCAGAGCTCATCAAAGCACTGAAACGGCACTAGTCAAAGTCACAAATGACTTACTACTAGCTGCTGATAATGGACAAGAGTCAGTGCTGGTCCTACTGGACCTTAGTGCTGCATTTGACACAATAGACCACAGCATTCTACTGCAGAGGCTAGAATGTGATATAGGTCTTAGAGGAACAGCCCTTGGCTGGTTTAAATCCCATTTATCAGATCTGTATCAATTCGTCAACGTAAATCAGAACTCGTCGCCTTATTCTGGAGTGGAATTCGGTGTGCCGCAGGGTTCGGTACTCAGACCGATTCTTTTCACTCTCTACATGCTGCCGTTAGGAAACATTATAAAAAAGCATGGAATTAATTTCCATTGCTATGCAGATGACACACAGCTTTATCTGTCAATGAAGCCAAATCAGACAGATCAGCTGGAAAAGCTTAGTGCCTGCATAAAGGACCTTAAAGCTGCACTAACTGACTTTATTTTCGTATTCATTACGAAAATGCTATCCATGTCCATGTAGTGCATTGGGATATACGTCCTTTTGAAGAATAATTAGCGCAGATTTGTGCTGACGTGACATTATATTTTAGATCGAGTTTTGATGAAACAAGGAAGAGAATGTGTTTCGGGTCGCAGATTGTGACCAATCACAGCGGACCACTGGCCCCCACTTTCGTGAGAAATCTACAGGTCCGTTAGCATAGACAGCTGAGTTAGCACAACAAGCCGAGGAGCTAACCTGAAGCTTCGTGTCTTCATCACCGGTTACTGCTTACTTAGCGAAACAGCCATCCAAAAGAAAGTCCCATTCCTCCGCGCTTCCCGGTTCTATCGTTTTATGGTCACGCCATCCACGTGCAAATCCATATTCATGTATTATCCATATTGGGAGAGGCTAGCTCCGTCTCAACAGTGAGTGTGTGTGGGGGGTGATAGCTTCGTGGGTGCAGGGAGGGGAGCAGAAAGAGAGAGGCCAGCGAGTCTGCGGCTTCAAAATCCCAAAGTCAGTTAGTGCAGCTTTAAAATGTGGATGACTCTTAACTTCCTACTTCTCAACCCGGAGAAGACAGAAGTGATCCTACTCGGTCCGAAGCGCCTGCGTGACTCCCTCACTAACCAGATAATCACTCTGATAATGTCAGTATTATACCCATTAACACTGTGAGGAATCTTGAAGTAATTTTTGACGAAGAACTCTCCTTCAAGGCCAAGCAACTAAAACGGCGTACTTCCACTTACGGAACATCGCTAAAATGGGAATTTCCTTCCTAAAAGTGACGCAGAAAAACTCATTCACGCTTTTGTCACCTCAAGACTTGACTACTGTAACGCTTTATTGGCAGCATGCCCTAAAACCTCTTTGAAGAGCTTCCAGCTCGTTCAGAATACAGCAGCTAGGATCTTAACAGGTACCAAAAGGAGGGAGCACATAACTCCGGTGTTAAAATCACTCCACTGGCTCCCTGTGGAGTACAGAATAAAGTTTAAAATCCTTCTCTTAAAGAAGCTATACCCAATTTTTTTTCTAAGTAGTTTATAAAAATGCTTTTTACTACATACAAGTTGTATCATAATACATAATTTAATTGAAAACTTGAGATCATTGATTCCACTGTGTATGAAATTCAGGCAGTGAAAAGTGCTGAGTAGAGTCTGAGCGGGTCGTTTGTTCTCCTCCGCTCACAGAACGAGCAGCGAACCGCCTGTGTCCTCTAGCCTCTACAGCGCTGCTTAACACCAGGGCTTCGACTTCAAAAATTATATATATATATAATTATATATATATTGTCAGGATTTAGCAGACCGAGACGGATCGTGGTGTGCCAAACTCTGGAAGTTTATTTAGGTTTCTCTCAAGTTCCACTGGTTTACTCTGTTTCTTTCTCTCAGACAGAATAAAGGCAGTACACAGTTTATATAGTCATTGTCACGTCACACATGGAAAGACATACGTGTCACAAAGAGACAGTCACATCATAGTCATACAGTAACATGGAGTCCTTGTAGAGTCCTTGTACAGTCCTGCACGTAGGCCATATTGCTATCTAATACTAACACCCTCCCCTTTGATCACATAATCACATGTGATCACTCAAATCAATCAATCAATAAAGTGGAAAAAGAAAAAAAAAAGAAAAAATTCTAAAAAAAACTTCAAAAAATTATTAAAAAACAAAGAAAATGTATGCATTAAACTCATAATCATCCAATCAATATCAGTGGATTTTATCCTCTATCCTGGGAAAAAATAAACAAACAAAAACAAACAAAAACAAATCAAATATAAAAACAACAAACACTATTGGACACACAAGAACTCAGCAGATTCAGTCAAAACACAGACAAAAACGAGCTGAGTCTCAAATTAGAAGCTAATTTCACTTTTCTTACTCTATACTTTTATTCTAATGCTAATTGTTTACACTTCACTTATTTCACTTTATTATTTTCACTTTTCAATCTTAGACTGTGTACTTTACTTTCATGATTCACTATAGTTTAAAACTATTCTAATCTATTCACGAATATGTTTGCATATTTGCTTCTATTGAGCCATATTCTTAAACATACATTTTAATCTAATAAATCTCTCTGTGGTTTACTTTCATTATCAGTGGCTTATTATCAGTGGGATTTTGCTCTGTCTATTCTCATTCTCAGGAATAAAACTGTGAACACAGAAAGACAAATGGTTCATATGAACATTATTATGGCGGTCAGTTTTCCAAATATTTGTTGAACCAGGAAGTGCTGTCACTTCCTCCTCTCAAGCAGTTTGGGATGAATGTACATCATTAATCAAATTGGTATTATCCTTACAAGAGCTAATCTATTTTAGCAGGTTTGGGGTTGAGGTCAGTTATTCCTTTACCATTTGATATTAGCACTGGCTAAGAATATTCTCTATTTTTGAAAGAATCTATGGTTGATGCATTTATCTATCTCTATTTTTACACTATTGTGACTCTAAAGCTCGGTTGCAGCTTGAGCAAGGCATATTTCTAATCTGTGACTTCTGTCACTTTTAATGGCTGTAACATGATTCTGATTCTAATATTTTAGCTGCTCTATCAGAAGGATAACATTGTATGGTACTATTTTAACTCTTACGTGGAAATGTGTTTATGAAAAACAAAGGAAGGACAATTCTACTTTTTTACTACTATTTAACATCTACTAAAACGCTACAATACTCATACTTTATCATTTTCAAAGTTTTTGTCTGTCAGATGTCTGAATACTTAACATGTATATTGCATTTGGTCACAGGTTCTGGTTGTAGCAAGAGCATCGGCAATAGACGATTTCATTGGCTGGTTCTTGTTCTGCAAAACGCTGTGTCCAATAGATCATCAGATGTCCAGAAGCTAGGGACAAACAAAAACAAAAGAAGGAATCATGAGTATCTGTCTCATTTAGCACTCATCAATGGCATGATTTCAAAAATATAAACATCACTCCCCAGTTTTTTCTCTCAGATCCTCAGATCCTCAGATCCTCAGGGTCCCCTGAGGGTGAGTCTCAGTCGTCATCAGGTCAGGTCATATTTCGAGAGATGTCATCTTGGACATCAGTAGGGTCCAAGCCATGGTTTTGGTCTCTCCAGTTGCACATCAGGATCTCCAGATACAGTCTTTTCACTTGAGTCGCACATCAGGTCATTTGCGATGCACTTCTGGTCAATGGTGCAGTGTCACAGTTCCTGTACACAGTTTGTTATGCAGTAGTTACTCTCTATGGTTAAGTCACTTTGATTCTACTTTAACACAATTTCTATTCATGCTGTTGCTAAAGCCTAGTTTATACTCGCGCGGCGCGGAGCTTACGGAGGTGACATGACGTCACTTGCGCAACGCGTTGGTCACCGCAAGGCCCTTACGTTGCCTGTCCTGCAGCATCGAAATTTTCTAACTACGTAAGGGTCGCCGCAAGGAATCTCCGCTGTGATTGGTCCGTGTGTGTGTATTGGAAGGTAGCACGGAGCGGCTGCAGCAGGGACATGGACGAGGCACTATGGAGCAGAGAGCTTTGTGCTTCGAAGGAAAAGCAGTTTGGGCTCAGAGCCTGATATACAGGAGACTGTGGACTATCTAACATATATATAACATATATCTAACTTATATCTAACATATATATAACTTATAAACTGTGCAGTCGTTTGTTTTGCACTGTTCCTGTCTTGTTTGAATCGTAGCTGCGTTTGTTGCTTTCCTCCTGCACTCGTAAATCGTTCATGTTTGTCTCAGATATTTACCACTATTATTGTTTTGCTGTTTGTGCTGAAAACTATTTAATAATAACTATGTTTCCAACAAGAACTGTGTCTTTATTCACAGCATCACAGTTGAAATGACTTATAAAATAATGAATCCCTAAAACTATCACATAAACCTGCAGTAGAAACACGTGTAATGAGCTCAAACAGCTTTGTTCTGAAGAGGACAAAGTAGCAGCGTAAATGGGACCGCTCCTGTGAGATCGCCCTCATGTGGTTTGTTGTGGGATTACAACATTCTCCTCAAAACTCCGTAAGGGGAACGCGCCAGTATAACATCAATTGTGCTTACGTAGGTCCACCGCAACCGCTAACGTAAGCCACGCCGCGCAAGTATACTCTAGGCTTAATGTCTCTCAGACAAAAGCAAGCGCAGTTTACTTCTCTAATTTGTGTTTTTATCAGATGTAATACTAATCAATGTAATTACTTCACACAGTACAAAATCAACAAATCAAAAGTGTCAGGACAGAGGTCAATTAGTCCATGACAATATAGAATTCAAATGAACATTTCTGGTCTCAAAAAATACAGATTCAAGTGATAGACAATTAAAAATATGTGTTTACATTGGAGTAAAGTTTTAAAATGCTTTTTTCTCATGTTCTACTTTTTCATGTATCTATATGTAAATGTGAATGTGTGAGTGTGTGTGTGTGTATGTGTGTGTGTGGATGTGTGTATGTAGGGTGTGAATTTTGGGGTTGTGTCTCCAGACTCCTCGAACCACCTGTAGGTGTCAAAGGTCACACTGTGGTGATGTAACCACGTGGACACACTTTCAACTGCCTCTAGGTCTCTACCTGAGGCCTCCACCCATCACTGCCTCCAGAAACCTCCACTTTCATGGCCCCGGTCTCACTCCCACTTACTTCTGTAGTGGGGGGAGGGGCGTAGAGGTGGCATTGTTGCCCTTTGCTCTTAGCTCTGTGGCCTGTGGCTGGGTGGGCGTTGCCCTGTCCAGTGTCCAGCAGTGACCTCTCGTACAGTGTGGCAGAGTCTGAAAAACAATCCTTGAGACGGCCAATTTAAAAAAACAATAGATATCAGTATGCGAATGAGATTGTTTTTCTCTCTAAAGTCTAAACTATTTTGGAGCGCTCTCGGCTTTCCCACATGCGCTATGTAAATAAAAGATTACTTATTATCTTACTAATGATGACACTTTTAAGACCAGAAACTCTCTCTTAATAAAAAACAAGACTCAAATCTCAAAAAACCTTTAAACTTTAAAATATGTATTATGTACTTTTGTACTGTGTGTTTAATTATCTATGCGTCCTTGGGTTTCTTGAAAGACGCCATGAAATGAAATTATGAAAAATCTCTATAAAAATGAACATTAATTTGTAAAAACGTTTAAAACAAAACTTGAAATCAAACAAAAGATTTAGCTCCAGCTAAACTGGATTTGGTTCAATAAAACTCAATTGTGCGTCGGAGCTGCCTCCTTGTAACAAACCGGCCGTTCGTTACCTAACCCACACTGCACTTTTGAACATGGCTAGATTGCACATATAAAGACATTGCACATATATTCATGTAAGAATGTTTATTGAGAGGGCTGTGGTTGTCCGTGGGTCCGGTGTGGTGCGTTCCGGGTAGGGTGTCGGTCCTGCGGAGGCAACATGTAATTAGAATTGGGCATAGTGCAATATGTGTAGCTTAAGAAGTGGTAATGTTTTAGTGTTTGTGCATGCGGTGAATGGTCGGGTGTCTGGGTGCGTGAATGTGTGTGTGAGCGCAGTTTGTTTACCTTGTCTCTTGTGTCCAGGATAGCGTGTCTGACGGAAAGAGTCCGGGGGGGAACGGACGCCGCTAAAACCCGTTCCGGGCTGAACCAAGGGGCAGAATAGGCGGGGGGGGGACTGCAGGGTTGTAACGGGTTTTAGGTCTTGGTTTATTTTGTTGAGTGGTTTGGGTTGGGATTGTGTATAGTGGGGTTTTTTTCTATGTCTTTGTATTTTGGTTGGGGTTTATATGTGAGGGTTGTAGAGGTTGTGAGAGCAAATGTGACATGTGGACACCTGCTTATCTAGAGTGGTTTTATCCAATTTAGAGGGAGGGTATTTAATGAGTCTCATGCTCTCACTCTGGGTTGGGCTGCTGGATGAGCTACACTGATTGAGTCCTCCCATGCACTTTAATGCATTTGCACTTTATTATGGTGAACTTTGCATTTTTTCGCACAAAAAAAAAGAAAATACATTTGAAAAGTGGACCCTCAAGACTGCCTCCCTGGTGTTTGTGTGCCCACCGCCGCCCGCTCGTGCCTCCCTGTTACATTTGGTGTCAGAAGTGCTACTCAACGCTGTGAGTACAAGAACTCAACATGAACACTAGAGGAGGGAAAAAGGCAGAGGAGCCAGATGACGGGGGTGCTATACTGTCTGGCTCTGCAACGTCTTGTGGTGTTCCAAACAATGAAGTGGAGGAATTGACGGCCCTGGTGAAATCCTTGATCTTAGACCAGAGTGCCAGAGACAAACGACTGGAGAAAGAAATGTGTCTACAGGAGCAACGCTGGAAGGCTATGCAGCAGCAGTTTCAGCAGATCCAGCAGCAGCAAGGTCAGCAGTCTGAGCACTCCGAGCTAAATGTGCGAAGACGTACGATCGGTATACAGCCGTCTCGTGACTATGAAGAGGACTTTGAAGATGACGGGCCAGACCCTGGCAGCGATGGCTACAGGCCGCGGAGGGAGCCCAAACTCCCGGTTTTGACACCGGAAGACGACATTGAACATTTTTTAATCACGTTTGAAAGAATGGCTCAGGTCTGTCACTGGCCAGAAGAAGAGTGGGCGGTCCGTCTGGTTCCCTTGTTAACTGGGAAGGCACGGAGCGCTTTCGTGCTGATGGACATTCGTTACTCTGACAACTACGAAAAGGTGAAGGAAGCCATTTTGGCCAAATATGAAATAACGAAAGAAACTTACCGACGTCGCTTCAGGTCACTTAAAATTGAGCCTGATGAGACTCCGCAGGAGCTTTACGTGCGTTTAAGGGACTTGTTAAACCGATGGCTCCAACCAGAGAAGGTGACTAAAACGGACATGTTGGAGAACCTTATTCTGGAGCAGTTTCTGCAAATGGTCAGTCCGGAGCTGGAGGTGTGGATCCGGGAGCGTGACCCACACAGTGCAGAAGAAGCCGCTCGGCTGGCAGAGGCCTTCCTATCTGCACGCCAAGGGACCAGAGCTGGCTTCTCCGGACGGGAGCCCCGCTTCACCCAGCCAAGTAAGTCCTTTGGGGGTGATAGGTCTGGTCCTGTCCCGGGGGGTAATATCAGTAAGCCATCTCCACCTTACCAGTCTCACTCGGGTCCATCAAAATCCTCGAATTGGCCACAGCGTCAGGTTAGGTGCTACAACTGTAATAACTTGGGTCATACACAGCATTTCTGTCCAGCCCTAAAATCTAAGCAGTCGTTGTTGTGTGCTGTACCAAGACCAGCTACAGTACCAAGTGCAAACAAAGGGGGGCGCACAACGCCTGCGCTTATCAATGGCCAAAAAGTAGAGGCGCTGTTGGACTCTGGTTGCTTCCAGTCTGTAGTTCTGTCCAGTTTGGTTCCAGAGGAGAGGTGGTCTAGAGACAGAACACAACTTATCTGTATTCATGGAGATGGACATCTGTACCCCACAGCTGAGGTCTATTTGACAGTCGGAGGGCAAACCTATTTGTTAAATGTGGCCCTGGCAGGGAACTTGCCTTTTGCGGCCATTCTCGGTAATGATCTTCCCACCTTACGTGATCTTATAGCTCAAAGTAACCTAAAAGGAAAGGTCAATACAGATTTTGAAAGTGGTGAACCTGTTAACTCTGTAAATGTCCTCACCAGGGCCCAAAAAGAAAAGGCTTTGCTAGAAGAGCTGCCTTTTTGGGAGGAAGATTTGGAGGCTCAGCCAGGGAAGAGCAGGAAGACAAGAGCCCAGAAAAGACAAGAGAAGTTTGTGGGCTCCCCTAAAGAAAACTGTGATTTGGCTAAACCCCTCAGTCCAGTTGCGTTTGAGATCCCATCAGATATTGGTGCACTTCAAAAGCAAGACCCATCTCTCAAAGCATGGTTTGGAAATGTGACCAATCAGAAGGAAACAAAAATCTTAGATGGGGCACAATACGTTATTAAAGATGGCATTTTGTATCAAGTTAATGAGAGAACTGAAGCCCTTGCGTTACCACACCAGTTCAGACGACAGGTTATGGAACTGGGCCACTCAATTCGCTGGGCCGGCCATATGGCTTTCCAAAAAACCATGCGCCGAATTGGCAGTCGCTTTGCATGGCCGGGTATGTATACCCAAATTATGCAGTTCTGTAAATCTTGTGAAAAGTGTCAGTTGACAGCAGGGAAGGGAGTTGCTCAGGCCCAGTTACAGCCGCTACCTATAATTGGTACCCCATTTGAAAGAATTGGCATGGACATTGTGGGCCCACTTGAGAAAAGTTCTGCTGGAAACCGTTTCATTTTGGTTATTTGTGATTATGCTACGCGCTACCCTGAAGCCTTTCCGCTGCGCTCAATCAAGGCAAAACAAGTTGCTAATTGTTTATTGCAGCTATTTTCTAGAGTGGGTGTCTCCAAAGAAATTCTGACAGATTGTGGTACCAATTTCATGTCAAAGTTCTTAAAACAAGTCTATCAGTTGTTGGGGATTAAGGGGATCAGGACCACACCTTATCACCCCCAAACGGACGGATTGGTAGAGCGCTACAATAAGACTCTGAAACACATGCTGCGCAAGTTTGTTTCCTCCACAGGCACTGACTGGGACCAGTGGTTGCCTTATCTGCTGTTCGCCTACCGGGAGGTTCCACAGGCGTCCACCGGCTTCTCGCCCTTCGAACTGTTGTATGGACGCCAGGTGCGGGGGCCACTGGATCTCCTGAGGGACTACTGGGAGCAGACGGGGAAGGAAGGGGAAAACGTCATCTCTTATGTTATTAACATGAGGGAGCGACTCGAGACTATGTCGGCACTGGCGCAGGAGAACCTGAGGGAGGCGCAACAGCGTCAAAAGACGTGGTTTGACCAAAAAGCTAAACGGAGAGTCTTCAGCCCAGGCCAAAAGGTACTGTTGCTCCTACCAACTAGTGACAATAAGCTGCTTGCTAAATGGCACGGTCCTTATGACATCACAAAGAAGGTGGGAAATGTAACTTATGAACTCTTTATGCCGGAAAGACAGAAGAAGCACCACATTTTTCATGTTAACCTCCTCAAAGAGTTTCACACACGTCAGGAGCCTGCACAACAGTTGTTGGTCCGGGTTGTGCAGGATGAAGAAGTCTCAGAGAAATATTTTCCCACCTGTAGTGAGGACACTGTGTCCATTGACCTCTCCCACCTCTCTCCCTCCCAGCAGGAATCCCTTCAGTCACTGCTTGACCCATCTCTTTTCAAGGAGAGTCCTGGCTTCACCTCGTTGGTGCAGCATAAGATACGGCTGAAACAGAATGCCCCAGTCCGTCAAAGGAGCTACAGGATACCAGAGCGGTTGGTGCCGGTTCTACAAAAAGAAATAATGCTAATGCTGGAGCTTGGCATCATTGAAGTGTCCAGCAGCGAGTGGTGTAGCCCCATCGTTCTGGTACCAAAGAAGGACAGCTCTTTGCGTTTTTGCATTGATTTTAGATACCTGAACACAATTTCCAACTTCGACCCATACCCAATGCCACGGATTGACGATCTTTTGGAGCGAGTGGGCGGAGCATTGTACATCACCACCTTGGACCTCAGTAAAGGCTACTGGCAACTGGCGCTGGCCCCAGAAGCAAAAGAGCTCACTGCATTCAAGACACCATTTGGTATGTACCAGTTTAAAGTAATGCCATTTGGTCTGCAGGGGGCGCCAGCGACTTTCCAGCGCCTGATGGACGACATACTGCGGGACGTGGCTGACTTCTCAGCAGCCTACTTAGACGACGTTGTGGTGTACAGTAGCTCCTGGGAAGAACATTTGCACCACCTCCGGGAGGTCTTGCAGAGGATCAGAGCGGCGGGTCTCACCATCAACCCCCGGAAGTGTGCAGTGGCCCACCGGGAAGTGCAGTATCTGGGCTTTACTATTGGTTTCGGGAGGATCAAGCCACAGGTGGACAAAATGGACGCCGTCCGCTCCTTCCCAATCCCCACCATAAAAAGAAAGGTGAGGGGATTTATTGGACTAGTCGGCTGGTACAGAAAGTTTGTGCCAAACTTTTCTGAGCGATCTGCTGTTTTAACTGATCTGACTAAGAATGCAGCCCCCAATAAAGTGCGCTGGACAGAGGAATGTGAGCGCGCCTTTAAAGACTTGAAGGAGGCCATTTGCAGAGAACCGGTCCTACACAGCCCGGACTTTAGTCAGCCCTTCATCCTCCAGACGACGCCTCGCAGTGTGGGCTGGGAGCTGTCCTGATCCAGGAGAAGGAGGGGGACAGGAGACCAGTTGTTTTTCTTAGTCGGAAGCTGTTGGACCGTGAGACCAGGTACTCGACAGTTGAAAAGGAGTGCCTGGCAGTGAAATGGGCTGTTGACTCTCTCAGGTACTACCTGCTTGGACGTCACTTTGTGCTAGAGACCGATCATCGCGCGCTCCAGTGGTTGCACCGGATGAAGGATGCCAACAACCGCATCACTGGATGGTATCTCTCACTGCAGCCCTACAATTTTACAGTACAGTATCGCCCGGGCAAGTCTAACGTTGTTGCTGACTGGCTCTCTAGAAGCGCAGAAGACAGAGGCTTCGCCAGGGAGAAGGAGGGGGAAGTGTAACAAACCGGCCGTTCGTTACCTAACCCACACTGCACTTTTGAACATGGCTAGATTGCACATATAAAGACATTGCACATATATTCATGTAAGAATGTTTATTGAGAGGGCTGTGGTTGTCCGTGGGTCCGGTGTGGTGCGTTCCGGGTAGGGTGCCGGTCCTGCGGAGGCAACATGTAATTAGAATTGGGCATAGTGCAATATGTGTAGCTTAAGAAGTGGTAATGTTTTAGTGTTTGTGCATGCGGTGAATGGTCGGGTGTCTGGGTGCGTGAATGTGTGTGTGAGCGCAGTTTGTTTACCTTGTCTCTTGTGTCCAGGATAGCGTGTCTGACGGAAAGAGTCCGGGGGGGAACGGACGCCGCTAAAACCCGTTCCGGGCTGAACCAAGGGGCAGAATAGGCGGGGGGGGGGGACTGCAGGGTTGTAACGGGTTTTAGGTCTTGGTTTATTTTGTTGAGTGGTTTGGGTTGGGATTGTGTATAGTGGGGTTTTTTTCTATGTCTTTGTATTTTGGTTGGGGTTTATATGTGAGGGTTGTAGAGGTTGTGAGAGCAAATGTGACATGTGGACACCTGCTTATCTAGAGTGGTTTTATCCAATTTAGAGGGAGGGTATTTAATGAGTCTCATGCTCTCACTCTGGGTTGGGCTGCTGGATGAGCTACACTGATTGAGTCCTCCCATGCACTTTAATGCATTTGCACTTTATTATGGTGAACTTTGCATTTTTTCGCACAAAAAAAAAAAAAATAAATTTGAAAAGTGGACCCTCAAGACTGCCTCCCTGGTGTTTGTGTGCCCACCGCCGCCCGCTCGTGCCTCCCTGTTACACTCCTCCTGTCGCTGGGCAGCAGGAGCAGCAGGAGCAAGGTCACGCGTGTAGTCAAAACAAAAACGTCACCGCTTGCAATGGGTGAATTGGGTAGTTTAACTTAATAATATAATACTTTTACAGCTAATCTAATTCCCTCTTTCTTTTTAGACGAAGTCTATAATCAATAATCACTTTTAACACAGATTCTAATTTAAATGTTTGAAAAACGGCTTTTGTAACTAAAATAAAAACATAAAAACAAACACAACTCACAAAAAGTTAAGAAATAAGCAGCAGATTTAAAAGAATGGCATCTAGAAATATGTTAGTGTGGCATGTCGGTGTACACCTTACCCTGAGCTGATTGGTGGGCGTCACCGAGCAGTGCCCATAAAGACACGGGAACGCGCAGCGCGCACGCATATGTCTTTGTTTGGGTGCGGTGGTCACGGCGTTTGGTGACCGGCTGCCTCCTCTGTGGAGCACGCTTGTGGGCTTGGGCGCCACAGTCTGGGTTGTGCGTGTGTGCATGTCCTCCTCCTCGGTAAGTTGCTCATTGTCCATCCTTTATTGGTTGGCCCTGTGCCAAAGCTGACCATCAAACACTGTTGCTTCAGACTTCGAGCTGCAGTAAGGACCAGCCAATAATCCACCTGGCTCTCCCCCTCCTCCCGCTGTCCGTGCGCACGAGTCTTGCGTTGGCCGGTAAGATCACAAAGTTTAGTTTAGTTTCCTCCAATCCTTCTAAGACTCGTGTCTCTCCTTTTGCAGGCACGGTTGTCCACGTGCGGTCCCAAGCGGGGGCCGCCGCCCCAGAAAAGAAATCGTTGTTTTGTCCATTCATTGTCCTCATACACAACACTCACCACTGTGCACTGTCCTCACGGTGCCGTGAAAGGCGCACTCTGATTCGCCCACACACCAGCACTGCTGTGGTGGGGCGTCTTCTGCGAGGCGTTCAGGTGCGCTCCGACTAAACGGCGTTCAACAGGAGTGATGATTAAATAGCCCATGCATTACAGGGAAGGACATTTTAACACTTTTGTGCATTCCCTAGGTTAACCCCCTTTGTTTGGTGAGTTATTTTGTGTGTGTTTTTGAGTTTGTTTGATTTGCTTGCATTTAATGTTTTGCTGCATGGCTTGTTTTGTCTTTTTGTCATTTGTTTGCATGTTTTCCCATTAATTTCCTTTGCTTCCCGTAAGGTGTTTTTTTGCATTATTTTGCTTGCTTAATTTGTCCAACCTGTACAATTTAATGCTGTTTAACCATTTTTATCTATTCCTATAGGCCTATAGTGTTTTAATCATTGTAATAAAATAAATAATTTTGTACATTTCTAACACTGTTCACGTCTCGTCAATGTCCACGGCCCTGTGCGCTTGTTTAATTCATTTAGCTCACATTTTCCCAGGTACTGGCCCTGGGTGGCGTTGTTGGTACTCCTCAGTTTTATTTGAAAGTTAAAGGATCCACTCCGACTGCCACACTTGGCGTTGCTGTTGGCAGGATTGGACATTTAAAACTGAGATGTGAACAGTGTTTAAACTTGTTTGTTGAAGTTATAAATGTGTTTATTGCTTCACTCATACATTTACATTTTTTTGAGTTACATTTGTCTGGACAAAGCAACGGTTTCCCCTTTCAGGAGCGCAAAAGTTCAGGTCAGTGAAATTACTTTTGTTTACAGCTTACCCAAAGGTCGCATTACAGGTGCTCTTGGTCAGAATGGAGGAGGAGATGCAGCAGCTCAGAGAGCAACTGGCTCAGCTAGAGGCGGACAATGAGCGTCTTCGCCAGGAGAGGGCTGCGCCTCAGGCCGGCCCTGCTGGGGCTTTCCATGCTCCCAACGTCTCCTCCGACCAGGCCCGGTCACTGGGCTCTCGTACCCCCTCCACAGAGCGTGTGTTTGTGATGGCACGTGACCGTAAATGCCCCTTGTTTAATGGTAAGTCTGGCCTGTCTTTGAGTGAATGGCTTGAGGAAGCACAGGCATGCATGCGAGCTAGGCACCTTTCTACTGTTGAGCAGGCATTCTTCCTCTTTGATCACCTGGAGGGTGAAGCTAAAGTTGAAATAAAATTTCATCCAGCAGAAGAGCGGGAAAACCCAAAGAGAGTTACAGAGATACTTCAGGAGCTCTATGGTTGTGTGCAGCCATATGTGAACCTGCAGCAAGCATTTTTCTCCAGGCGTCAGGAGGAAGGCGAGACTTCACAAGAGTTCTCACTGGCTCTAATGGCTTTAATGGACCAGGTAAAGCAGCGTGCCCCAGACAGAGTGCCCAACTCCAATGTGCTCCTTCGCGACCAATTCACTGAACATGTATTTGATAGCGCTCTACGCAGAGACTTGAAACGGTTCATTCGGGACAATCCGACAGCCACTTTACTCCAAGTAAGGGCAGAGGCCCTCAGGTGGGAGCGGGAGGGACTCCCAGCCCCTTTTAGAGAGCGTAGCTTCTCTCTTCCTTCGGTTCGTGGCCTCCAGTTTGAGGTCAGGGGTTCCACACGCCCCACTCAGGCCTCACCTACTCCAAACCCGGGGCTAAATGAGGTGATGGAACTGCTTAAACGTCAGCAAGATCAACTTAACCAGTTGACTCAAACAGTCGCCTCTTTGAAAGCTCCTCGGCAAAATACACCTCCACGAGCTGCCATTATCTGCCGTAGGTGCGAACAGCCTGGTCACTATGCCAGTGAATGTGATGGTGTGAGAGTTTACCGCCCCTCACGGGCCCCTTCAGCCATCAGATCTTCAAATGCCAACCATTCGGAAAACTGAAGCCCTCTGAACTGCGGAGCCAACGTTCAGAAGGGGCCTCTACCGGCTCGCAGGTAAATGGATACACAGAATTAATGGCGTCATGCCCAACAGTCACTGTAGATATGGGAGGGGTTCAGGTTGTTAGCTTGGTGGACACAGGTTCTATGGTGTCCACAATAACTGAACGTTTCTTTAGGGAGCATTTCGAACCCTGGGGCCCTGATCGTCTCCACTCCTGCCATTGGTTACAACTGCGTGCTGCTAATGGGCTTGAGATTCCATATATAGGTTACTTGGAGCTAGATGTGGCCCTTTGTGGTAAGAATGTCCCCCGCTGTGGCATCTTGGTGGTGCGCGATCCCCCTGGCACTGGTTGTTCTGTTCCCGGTATTTTGGGGATGAACGTTATTCATCGTTGTTACAAGGAGCTCTTTGGTTCCCATGGGTCCTCTCTGTTCGATTCTCCCGCTGTGGCCCAGGCTCCAGGGACAGTTGTAGAGGCTTTGCAAAGATGCCACTATGCAGCTGCTCAGTCCACCGAAACATTGATCGGGGCTGTTAATGTGCGAGGTCCGCGAGCGGTTCGGATATCAGGGGGCACTATGAAGTTGGTCCCAAGCACCTGCCCCGAGCAGTTTGCTGGTCAGTCTGTCCTATTTGAGCCTCCTCAGTCTGGCCTACCTGCTGGTCTACTGGCGTCCCCCTGCCTTGTGCATGTCGACAAGGGCACAGTTTACATCCCCGTTGTCAACGTGGGGACGTCAGATGCACTCCTCTATCCTCGCACCAGTTTAGGTGCCTTTGCCATCAGGAGTTGTGGAAGTTAATGCCATCTCAGCCACGACACCCCCCCAAGTGACAGACGACCTTATGCAGGGTAAGGTTGAGATTGCAGACTTGTCCGCCTTGAGTCCGGAAGAACAGGTAGAGGTGAGGGCTCTGCTGCAAAGATACAGCAATGTGTTTGCGGCACATGAGGGTGATCTGGGATGCACCAACTTGATTGCCCACGAAATACCCCTGCTCGACGAAATCCCCATCCGGCAGCGTTACCGACGTATTCCACCATCCGAGTATGAAGCTGTAAAAGCTCATATAAACAATCTCCTCAATGCGCAGGTAATAAGGGAAAGTAATAGTCCGTACGCATCACCCATCGTCCTGGTCCGAAAGAAAGATGGTAGTCTGCGCCTTTGTGTGGACTACCGTCTCCTTAACGGTAAGACCAGGAAGGATGCCTTTCCCTTGCCACGCATTGAGGAGAGCTTGGATGCGCTGTCGGGGGCACGCTGGTTTTCTACCCTCGATTTGGCCAGCGGGTATAATCAGGTCCCGGTAGCAGAGCAGGACAGACCAGAGACTGCATTCTGTACTCCATTTGGCCTCTTCGAGTGGAACAGAATGCCCTTCGGTCTGTGCAATGCTCCGGGGACCTTTCAACGCCTCATGCAGAGGATGTTCGGGGACAAGCAATGCGAGTCGCTGTTGCTGTACCTTGATGACATTGTTGTCTTTTCTTCATCAGTCTCCCAGCATCTGGAGCGACTGGAACTTGTTTTGGCTCGTCTTCAAAAGGAGGGCTTGAAGGCAAAACTGGAGAAGTGTGCTTTCTTTAAACAGGAGGTGGGCTATCTTGGCCACATCATCTCCAGTGAGGGTGTCTCTACCGATCCGTCAAAAATTGATGCTGTGGCCCATTGGAAACGTCCTGCTCACCTGTCAGAGCTACGCTCCTTTTTGGGTTTTGCCAGTTATTACCGGCGTTTTGTGGAGGGGTTTGCCCGATTGGCTGCACCGCTGCACAAACTGGTGGCAGCGCTTGCGGGTACCAAGACCAGGAAGGGATGCGGGCAGTCCCTAAGTTCCCTATGGTCTTTGCAATGTGAGGAGAGCTTTGAAGGTTTGAAGACCAAACTAGTTTCTGCTCCGGTGCTGGCATATGCCGATTTTTCACGGCCCTTTATCTTGGAGACGGATGCCAGTTACAGTGGACTTGGAGCCGTGCTCTCCCAGGAGACTGAATCCGGCATTCGACCTGTGGCATTCGCAAGCAGGGGTTTGAGGCCCACTGAGCGCAATATGACAAACTACAGCTCCATGAAGCTGGAGCTGCTTGCACTCAAGTGGGCCATGACCGAAAAATTTCGGGAGTACCTGCTTGGCCACAAATGCGTTGTATATACGGATAACAACCCGTTAAGCTACCTGCAGTCTGCAAAGCTTGGAGCCTTGGAGCACAGATGGGCTGCTCAACTGGCTGCCTTTGACTTTGAGATTAAATACCGCTCTGGTCGCAGTAACGGAAATGCAGACGCTTTATCCAGGCAGTATGTGACTTCTGCAGACTTGGTGGACAGTGTGTTATCTGGAAGCTCAATTCCTCTCCTCCTTCAGCAGGAAGGCCAGCCTCCTGTTGCGTCACAGGCCTTGATTTCTGCCCTCCCTGGTCGCTCCTTAACGGACATTGGTGCCCTGCAGAGGACAGATCCACTTCTGTTGGAGTTCTTGGTCTTTTGGCGACAGAAGAAGCCACCGACCGCTCAACAACGGCATCGCCTCTCCAAGCCTATGCTGGCTTTACTCCAGCAATGGGACAGGCTGACCGAACAGGATGGGGTGCTGTATCGTCGCTCCTGGCGGCCCGATGGGGGTGAGGAGATTTTTCAGATCCTCTTGCCTGCTACCTTAAAACAGCAGGTCCTCCAGGAGCTCCATGAGGCACATGGCCATCAGGGCATCGAAAGAACAACCGAACTAGTGCGCCAAAGGTGCTACTGGCCCAGGATGACCTCTGACATCAAGCAGTGGGTGCAAGAATGTGAGCGCTGTCGAGCAGCGAAGGACTCCGCACCAGTTCCTCATAGCTACATGGGCCACTTGCTTGCGTCAAAACCCAACGAAATTCTGGCCATCGATTTCACTGTCCTTGAGCCAACTCGTAACGGGGTGGAAAATGTTTTGATAATGACCGATGTTTTCACAAAGTATACATTGGCATTCCCCACACGTGACCAACGAGCTCCCACTGTTGCTAAGGTTCTAACCAATGAATGGTTCTTTAAGTTTGGTGTACCCTCCCGCATACACTCAGACCAAGGCCGAAGCTTTGAAAGTGCGTTGATCCATCAAATTTGCCATATCTATGGTGTCGAGAAGTCTCGGACCACACCTTACCACCCGGCTGGTAATGGTCAATGTGAACGATTCAACCGCACGCTTCATAATTTGCTCCGCACGCTCCCATTCTCCCGTAAACAGGACTGGGCCTCCTGTCTCCCACAGGTATTGTACTCTTACAACACCACACCCCACCAGAGCACCGGGGAGTCACCATACTTGTTGATGTTTGGCCAAGAGCCTAAACTCCCAATTGACTTTCTTCTGGGTCAAATTCAGGATCCCGTTGTGGGCACAGTCCAGGACTGGTTGGTGGAACACTGTTCCAGGCTCAAGGTTGCTTTTGCAAGCGCGCAGAGGCGATTAGCTCTGAATGCGAAGAAGAGGAAAGAAAGGCACGATGTTCATGTTAGGGAGGCACCTCTGGAAGTTGGTTCTTTGGTTTACCTTCGAGACCATAGTGCACGAGGGCGTCATAAGATCCAGGACCTGTGGCACCAAAATCTCTTTCAGGTGCTGAAGGCACCTGGTGGAAATGGCCCAACCTACACTGTGGCCCCGGTCACCAATCTATTAGCCTCGCGCACTGTGCACAGGGACATGCTTAAACCTCATATACAATCCTGTCCCCCACCGGAGGCCTCTATGCCAGAGTTTTCTCCCCCTGAAACTCCCAGTAGCAGCTCTTCTCCTAGTGGTTCTTGGCGTCTGTGCACCAGACACGAAGATTTGGTTCCTCAAACATCCAACTTGCCACCCCGTGATGGTCCTTCCAGCGGACCCGCGCCTGTTTCAGTAGGGGATGTAGCAGTGGAGGCTCATGGAGACCCCGCTGCTGCAGTGCCCGAACAGGCACTGCAGCCTGGAACAGGGCTTACGTCGTACCACTAGGACAACTGCTGGACGTCATCCTAACCCTTATCGTCTCCCTCGCACTCTCGGGGACTGACTGGATATCACACTTGCTGTCTTGGTCTAGTGTTCGTTGTGAGTTTTTGGTCTTTAGTTGTCGTCGGGGCGCCGACAAATTAAGGGGGGGTAGAATGTGGCATGTCGGTGTACACCTTACCCTGCGCTGATTGGTGGGCGTCACCGAGCAGTGCCCATAAAGACACGGGAACGCGCAGCGCGCACGCATATGTCTTTGTTTGGGTGCGGTGGTCACGGCGTTTGGTGACCGGCTGCCTCCTCTGTGGAGCACGCTTGTGGGCTTGGGCGCCACAGTCTGGGTTGTGCGTGTGTGCATGTCCTCCTCCTCGGTAAGTTGCTCATTGTCCATCCTTTATTGGTTGGCCCTGTGCCAAAGCTGACCATCAAACACTGTTGCTTCAGACTTCGAGCTGCAGTAAGGACCAGCCAATAATCCACCTGGCTCTCCCCCTCCTCCCGCTGTCCGTGCGCACGAGTCTTGCGTTGGCCGGTAAGATCACAAAGTTTAGTTTAGTTTCCTCCAATCCTTCTAAGACTCGTGTCTCTCCTTTTGCAGGCACGGTTGTCCACGTGCGGTCCCAAGCGGGGGCCGCCGCCCCAGAAAAGAAATCGTTGTTTTGTCCATTCATTGTCCTCATACACAACACTCACCACTGTGCACTGTCCTCACGGTGCCGTGAAAGGCGCACTCTGATTCGCCCACACACCAGCACTGCTGTGGGGCGTCTTCTGCGAGGCGTTCAGGTGCGCTCCGACTAAACGGCGTTCAACAGGAGTGATGATTAAATAGCCCATGCATTACAGGGAAGGACATTTTAACACTTTTGTGCATTCCCTAGGTTAACCCCCTTTGTTTGGTGAGTTATTTTGTGTGTTTTGAGTTTGTTTGATTTGCTTGCATTTAATGTTTTGCTGCATGGCTTGTTTTGTCTTTTTGTCATTTGTTTGCATGTTTTCCCATTAATTTCCTTTGCTTCCCGTAAGGTGTTTTTTTGCATTATTTTGCTTGCTTAATTTGTCCAACCTGTACAATTTAATGCTGTTTAACCATTTTTATCTATTCCTATAGGCCTATAGTGTTTTAATCATTGTAATAAAATAAATAATTTTGTACATTTCTAACACTGTTCACGTCTCGTCAATGTCCACGGCCCTGTGCGCTTGTTTAATTCATTTAGCTCACATTTTCCCAGGTACTGGCCCTGGGTGGCGTTGTTGGTACTCCTCAGTTTTATTTGAACGTTAAAGATCCACTCCGACTGCCACATTAGGTCTAAAAAGAATTGCACAGCTTTAGCACTAATATTTGGGTTTCAAAAAACATATAATATTCAAAACTTATTCACTAATGGTGTTTAAAAACGTTTAACTGTGTCATAACACAATGTTCAATGGCAAATTTCGCAAATTTAACTGAATAACTACTATGAAAAGCAAAATCCTAAAGCGATAGCTTTGCTCTGATTCAGAGCCAGAGCAGCGAAGGAGGGGGCCGTTTCCCCTGACAACGGCAGCAAGATAGTGCGGCACACACACAAGCAGAAAGCAGTGTTTTAGCAAAAATGCAAAAACAGAAAGAATAACTTTCAAGATTACTTTGCTAAGCGAATATAACTTGTAGTTTATACTTTTGTCATCCAAGTCTAGAAATGGCCAATTTCAACACTAGTAACAAAAGGCACTCTTGTGTTTAACGTTTCCCTTTTTATTATAACTTTTAATTTTTACACCATGGTTTCATTAACTATTTTATATTCTCTATTCTCTGCCCCGGCTACTCCAAAGGCAGGGACCCCGATACGTCAGGGGTTCCTTTTTCTCTGTCCTGACTACTTCAAAGGACAGGGACCCCGATACGTCAGGGGTTCCTTTTTCTCTCTGTCCTGACTACTTCAAAGGACAGGGACCCCGATACGTCAGGGGTTCCTTTTTCCTATAGGGACTGGTTACCCACACAGCTAACCTGTTTTCTACAACATAAGACATGACAAAGACATAACAAAGAAAATTTGATTTAGAGAGATTTGGACAGACCTCCGGACAGCTCAAAATTTAGCTAGTATCCAATTATGCAGACTTTACATATTAAAAAAGGTGTCTGCTTACCTTATTTTCTTTGTCCGGACTGTTCGAGAGGTCGACCAACATCTTTTCCGCGTCGAAAAATTCAATTTAAACACAAAACAGAGAAAGTGAGGGAGCAAGAGCAAGCCCATCCAAAAGCGAGCCCTTTCAGCGTCCACTGGGATTTCTCCCCTTCCAGATAACGTGCTGTTGCTCCCACACGCCGAAAAAAAGAAACAGAGGAAATTCCCTCAAAACAATCCAGAGAATGGCACACACTGAGCCGCGCATTCTCCACCAAATCTGTTAGGATGAGGCAGAGAGAGACGGATCGTGGTGTGCCAAACTCTGGAAGTTTATTTAAGTTTCTCTCAAGTTCCACTGGTTTACTCTGTTTCTTTCTCTCAGACAGAATAAAGGCAGTACACAGTTTATATAGTCATTGTCACGTCACACATCGAAAGACATACGTGTCACAAAGAGACAGTCACATCATAGTCATAACATGGAGTCCTTGTAGAGTCCTGCACGTAGGCCATATTGCTATCTAATACTAACAATATATATATATATATATATATTCGAACAAATATTAGACAGCCCTTATAATTCGTAATGTATTTAATGACTGCAAATAAAATAGTTAGCTCCCAAAGGTTTCACCGGGACCTGCTAGGCTGGTAACAGCTAAACTAGCTAGCTGTTTCATGGTAACTTCCGGGTTTTTCGCGATCGCTTTTTGTCACTTTAAAACAGTATTTTTGTCATGAAAACGTTGACAGCAAAGTCTGAAATTGTCTGTGCATGTGTGTTAAGGATGTATATATATACTGTATTGTCCGATTAACGTTTAATGGTGTTGATTGATTGATATGTATTTGTTTATTGAGCGTGGCTAGCTTCTCTAGCTTCTCTACACAGACAAGTGTGTAGAGAAACGGCACAGTGCAGTGACAGGTGCTGATAGCTTGTTGTACTTGCAGAGTAATGTTAGTATTTTACACACCTGAATTACAAACAGATTGCATTGGGGCTTCGGTCATTATTGGTTTGAGAGTTCTGTTATCAAGAAAAAATGATCGGAAGAATTGCATTCAAGTCAATGGAGTGCTGCTGCTTTGAGGAGCTGTATAACAAATTATAATTAAATATTAGAATAAATTCTATTGTTTAAATTAATACATTCGGACGCGAAACTAATGGTATTCTTTTACTTATATATTGTGTTAGCAGTGCATTGCTTTAGTGCCATTTCATCAGTGATTGTTGCACAGCTTACAAGTTGCGCTAATGCTAATGTTTATGGGGTGCCGTTTGTAAAAATTCTGTTAAAATTTTTTAGCTGAACATTTTTCTACATTTAGCTCACTTTCCTCACATTTAGCACATTTTCCTCACATTTAAGACATATCTATATCTAAATATTATATCTATATCTAAATGTTAAATGTTATATCTAAATATTATATCTATATCTAAATGTTATATCTATATCTAAATGTTAAATCTAAATGTTAAATCTAAATGTTAAATCTAAATGTTAAATCTAAATGTTAAATCTAAATGTTAAATCTAAATGTTATATCTATATCTAAATGTTATATCTATATCTAAATGTTATATCTATATCTAAATATTATATTTATATCTAAATGTTAAATGTTATATCTAAATATTATATCTATATCTAAATGTTATATCTATATCTAAATGTTAAATCTATATCTAAATGTTAAATCTAAATGTTAAATCTAAATGTTAAATCTAAATGTTAAATCTAAATGTGTCGCCAAGTGTAAAGCTAAATATATAGAAACCACGCCCACTGCAGTGGCTTCAAATCCAGTGGGCCCGCCTTCCGTGCCGTGTGGTGAGTGGGGGCGGTACCGCGTGTTTTGAACATAGGAATACACGTGGACCGACGTCACGGCTCAAGGCATGTTGGGTCTCCGGCGCCATCGTCCTTGGCCACGGCACAAAATTAGCATTTTTGTGAAGATTCTTGCTTATTTGCTGGAGCCAGAGTGTATTCACTGTAAACTAAGCCACGTGGAGTCCCGTGAGATTCCTGTGTAATCCTGTAGGGTTCTCACCACACGGCACGGAAGGCGGGCCCACTGGATTTGAAGCCACTGCAGTGGGCGTGGTTTCTATATATTTAGCTTTACACTTGGCGACACATTTAGATTTAACATTTAGATTTAACATTTAGATTTAACATTTAGATTTAACATTTAGATTTAACATTTAGATTTAACATTTAGATTTAACATTTAGATATAGATATAACATTTAGATATAGATATAATATTTAGATATAACATTTAACATTTAGATATAGATATAATATTTAGATATAGATATGTCTTAAATGTGAGGAAAATGTGCTAAATGTGAGGAAAGTGAGCTAAATGTAGAAAAATGTTCAGCTAAAAAATTTTAACAGAATTTTTACAAACGGCACCCCATAAATGTTAGCATATGTATCAGATCGCAAATAAAACTAGGTGGCTCCGTGGGATGAGAGCGTAGGGGAAATGAGAAATGAGTTGGGGGGCGGTGCTAAACATTCAAACATTGCAGAAACGGGTATAGCGCCTTTAACATATGAAGCCATAAATGGCTTGGCTCCTTCCTATCTCCAAGACACGTTAGTGTCATATCAACCAAGTCGAGCGTTGCGCTCACAAAACGCCAGACGTCTGGTGGTTCCTAAGGTCTCAAAGGTCACTGTTGGCGGCAGAGCATTTAGCTACCAAGCTCCTTTACTGTGGAATCAGCTTCCCATTTATGTTAAGGAAGCAGATACGGTCTCCACATTCAAGGCCAGGCTTAAAGCACTCTACTTTAATTTAGCATATAATTAGGTAATATATAATATATGGTGTATATATTATATGTATATATATGCTGTATTATGTTATATATTATACAATATATGTATTATGTTGTGTATTGTGTTATGTTGTATATTATGCAGTATGTTATGTTTTGTATCATATATAATATATATAATATGTATGGTATATATGATGTATATGATATATAATATATAATTAGGTTTGCCTGGATCGGTTTGCACACCTGGTGTGCAATCCATGAATCTTGGTGCTGTAACCTAGACTAGCCTAGCCGTGGCTGCTGCTGTCTCACCTCCTTTCAGATACGCTCTCTTTATTCAAGGCTAGGTTTAAAACAGTCCTCTTTAGTTTAGCATATGGCTAGGAAGGTAAGACTCAGGGAAGGCTAAACTCCTCAGACTGTCAGTCAAGCTGCATAGGGAGTCAGTTTGCTGGGAGAAGTATGGTAACTTGAGCACTATCCTCTCCTCCTTCCTACTTTATCTACTTTATCTGTTTAGCACTTTTAGGATTCTGACTGTAGTTTGTTCATTGCCATTGTTTATTCACCCGTTGTCCCATTGTCTGTTTCATGGTACGATGACGGGATCTCTGAGCCTGGCCTCCTCCATCTACACCTGCGGACTGCCCCGCCCGACCCGCCTGGGAGTGCTTCGGTCCTGCACCGGACCTGTCCACGTTCAGCGGCCACTGGTCCACGTTCTGTAGCTAGCTTAGGTCCTAGATCATTAGCCTGTCCGTCCGGAGGAGCGGATCCCTTTCTCAAATGGGTCTCCCTCCCTGTGGGTTTCCCTAGTTCTCCCCAAGGTTTCTCACTTTTTCCCACTGGGTTTTTTAAGAGTTTTTCCTTGTCGATGCAGGAGGTTCTTGTTGGACAGTTAGTGTCCAACAGAAAGGATTGGTGATGATCAGGACACTTTAGCATTCTACAACATGTATGGACATTTTCTTCTGTGTGTGCTTTATATTCTTCATGTGTTTTAACTGTTGATTCTCTGACCTGTGTTGGTGATTTCAATGGTTTTGTTAAGTCCTCTGAGATTACTTCTGTTGTGACCTAGGTTTATACAAGAAGAAATTGTATTGTATTGTATTGTAAGTTTCAAGGCTACAACCCTCCTGGGCTCAAATGGGTAATGACAAAAGGCATCAAGCACGACTGACAAATCTCACAAGGCAAGCAGGGGTTTAACCACCGGAAGTTTACGTCGTGCCCTCCTCATGAAGCAACAAACTAGAGGGTGCTCTCCCTCAATTTTGTCACCAATACCCACATGGCACTCCAATATGGAAGCCAATTAGACCTAGAATAAGCATTACTCGAAGACGTTGGACACGGAGCATTGGAAAGGAAGGATCTGTCTAGTCCCACACCCCTCCTCAAAATCCCACCACTTGCAACTATACAAAGAGGAGTGGAAGTGGAAGAGGCTCTAGCACACTGCATAGTCTCTATAACAGGTGGCGGAAGACCAGTAGCGTTTGAGTTCCATCATTCAGGAGTTGGGCCCATAGGGATAGCATGTCGGCCCCTTTGTTCAGGACGCCTGGAACATAAGTTGCTTGTAGAGATAGGAGCTTTGTATTGCTCCACAAAATCACCCTCTGTACCAGCATGTGCAGGTGAAGTGAGCAGGTGCTTACCTGGCAATTTATGTATGAGACAACTATTGCATTGTCCATTTTCACCAGAACGTGACGGCCCTGAAGAAAAGGCAGAAAATGCCTCAGGGCTAGATACACCGCCCAGAGTTCCAGAACCTTGACCCAGGTCCCAATTCCCATTCACCGTCCGACCCAATGGAGTGGCTCCCTACCCTGACAGGGAAGCGTCCGATTTCAAGGTAACCCTTGACAACACAGCAGCCAGTGACAACCCGACTGAATGTGTATGAGCCTCCCACCACGGATGCACCCCAAAGACGCACTGCAAATCCACCTTCACTCTGCGGTGGTGGTGACATTTGGGACACAGGCGTAATGCTGAGATCCAACGTTGAAATGGTCTCATCAATAGCCGTAGGCGCATGACAGATATTATTGACGCCATGAGACCAGCAAGGCGCAGCCATGTTCTGAATGCGACCCTCGCAGACGGGTTCAAAAGCGCTAAGCAGTGAGATAAAACTGTCTCTTTTTTGTCAGTGTGACTCGATTTTTAAGCTGTTATCTTTGCTCTATGACGCCAAAATGTGTGTCTGCAAAACAGTGCAGACTAGAGACAGAATCCAGTGTCCTCATTCAGTCCAAATCCAAATGTGTTATTTTATATACAGTACAGACCAAAAGTTTGGACACACCTTCTCATTCAAAGAGTTTTTTTTATTTTCATGATTATGAAAACTGTAGATTCACACTGAAGGCATCAAAACTATAAATTAACGCATGTGGAATTATGTAATTACTAAAAAAAAGTATGAAACAACTGAAAATATGTCTTATATTCTAGGTTCTTCAAAGAAGCACCTTTTGCTGCTTCGCACCCTCATGATGAGCTTCAAGAGGTAGTGACCTGAAATGGTCTTCCAACAGTCCTGATCGAGTTTCCAGAGATGCTTAGCAATTGTTGGCCCTTTCACCTTTACTCTGTGGTCCAGCTCACCCCAAAACCATCTGGATTGGGTCCAGGTCCGGTGACTGTGGAGGCCAGGTCATCTGGCCCAGCACCCCCCACTCTCCTTATTGGTCAAAAAGCCCTTACACAGCCTGGGTGTGAATCTACAGTCAATAGTCATGAAAAGGAAGGAAACTCATTGAATGAGAAAGTGTGTCCAAACTGTTGCTCTGTAAAGTCAACAGTAATTTTTACTTTTTCTGTAAGCCATGTAAAACAGATTTTTACAGAGGTTGTTTAAAGAAAGTGTTTTTAATATTGTGTAGTGATTCTAAGTGCCAGGACACTAGAAAAACACTAGCAAAGCTTTCAATACACCAAAGGACATACAGTAACTATGAACTATGGCTTGTAGCCATTTTTACTTTCCTTGATTATTTTAAAACATTGATATGTACACTTTTTAAGTATACAATTATAAAAAACAAATTATACTTTTGAACTGAAGTAATTTTACTCAAAGAGGTATTTTGCACAATAAAGTATTTTTAAGCAGTTATGTCATTATTCCTTTAGCCTTTTATGAAAACACAAGATTTAATAAAACCAGACCCCCAAAAGTGCACCTCCTTGACCCAAAACTAGACCCAATTTGAAATACAATTAAAACTATAATCAGTTTTTGGCTTTATTTGAGAATAGTCTTACAGCAGTTTTACCAGTGGAACAGGCACATGTCCTTTTTATATTTGAAGTCACACAAGACACTTAAATGAGGGAAAAATTCTGCTGTGCTTATTGGCTACTTTTTCATGTATTACTGCTGTTGATGCATTTTCCTTTATTCAAGCAATTTATACATTTAATTTTATGTCCACTAAAAATAAGGTTTCGATTTGGTTGCGATTAGATTTGCAGCACCACCCAGTTTTACCATCAGAATATTTTATCAGAAAAGTGCAACAAAATGTCACAATCCATATATATATTATACACACATACATATACATTTGGGATACATTACAGTGCCAAGTTTGGTCCTCATAATATAATAAATACAAGAGCAGAGATGGAAGAGTAAAAAAATCACAATAAGAAAAGAAACATGCCTTTGCATTTACTTCATGCTGCAGTTTGCTGGTCAGCAGGAAATACAACCGCCCCCAATGTGAGCTACTTAAAACACTAGCAGAAACAATCCCCACGGCTCGGTCTATGAAGTGAGATCGGACACATTCAGCGCAGGACGTTCTGCAAAGGTACCAGTTGGTGTCGGAAAAATGTGGAGGGAGCAAAAAACAACTCATAACAGTTTGTTATGAGGATCAATGAGGAAAGTCCACAGTGAAGGGAATGTGTCCTTAAAGAAGATCGAGATTCTTTTATTGTTGTAGCATGATTATATGTCTTCTCTGGTCTCCCCCTCCTCTCTCAAACACTCCTCCCTCCCTCTCTCGCTCTCCATCAGAAGTTCGGCTTGTGCTTCTTGACTTCGACCATGAGGTGGTGCAGGTTGATGAGCTCAGAGCGGACGGCCAAAGCTCTGAAGGTGGGCTGGTTCAGGACCTTGTGGAAGCCATGATAGTACTGGATCAGCTGGGTCAGCGCGCCCTGCACACACAAAATGTTCATATATATGAGTGTGTATATGTGAACATATACACACACACAGAGTACTAAGTATCACTGGGACACTGACACTTTAAGGCGGGTGTGGTTTTCTTTGTGGGCCTATTGGGCCAATAGTCATGCTTTTAATTAGAGGCAGCTGAAAACTCGGTGCACCTTCTGTCTCATCCACTCTGCTTTGATGTGAACAGGTCAGTCCCAATGCACAGCACTAACACTTATTTTACAGAGCTTTTAGCCTTTTATGTTTTGCCATGTATCTGCTCTCATCCCCTCTGCAGCTCGGGTTCCCCAGGCAGTCTGAAGATGGTCGGCACTAGATCATTTACGGAATCGGGACGGAAGCGGAAGTAAATATAACAAACTACCTATTCATGCCTAAACTTAACCAGCCATTACCATAAAATAACCCCAACCCAGCCTTAACCCTAACCTTAACCATCTTGATTAGACGCCTAAAACTTAACCAGTCACCATTTAAGGACTTTTTAGTCTAAAACTAATTCAAAAGTAGGATTGTTACTTCCGGTTTCGTCCCGATTCCGTATATGATCTAGTGCCGACCGTCTGAAGACCTCTGGCTCTGCAACTGGGGCCTGCTGGGGACTGTGCCATAGCATGGCCAACCAAGTCCATGCCTGGACCCTGGAAAAAACTTAAAGGTTTGTTCCCCAAGCTTTGGACTCAAGCTTTAACTTTACCCAAATCCCAGTGGCTTTTAATCCATATTTTAGTCTTTTGAAATAAATAATTTTAAACTTTAAAAAACTGTTGTGGTCCTCCTTGTACCTGGGTGATCCTTGCTCACCTGGATTATACTGGTGCCATTCTTGAAGTTGGTGAAGGACCTCATGACCTCCTGACTCATGGCCTCCACAGACTGTTTCCAAGAAGAGGAGAAGCCACGCACCAGCTGGCTGATCCGCGCTGGATACACAAATACACACACATACAATTTCATCTTTGTGTTGTGCGTGACCATGGTCAAAACACTACTTCACTTGGATTCCCTCGACTCGCAGTGTGCTGTAACGGCTGCTGAAAGCATGAGGAAGAAACTGTTGCATAGACTGCGTAAACCTGACGCAGCACTTGGTCTGGTGTGAATGGGACTTTAAATAAAAAATGTATATATATGGATAAACACGTAATGGCCGCTAGGCATAGATAGTATTCAACTCTTCCACCTGGTAGAGTGGAAGTATATTAATGAGTAGGGGTGGGAACCTAAGGGTACCTCACGATACGATACGATACACAATACAAAGCTCACGATAACGATAATATCACGATATTGATATCACGATAACGATTTTATCACGATATGACGATTATTGATATATTGGTCAGAAATATACAATATGCCAATTTATGGCATAAATAAAAGAAAAATTACTCTTTATTTCATGATAAATAGAATGGAGATGCGTAATGTAGCCATATATTAAGTATTGATACCAATTCCAAAAAAAAATTCATTTTTTTTTTTTTTTTTTCAAAATCGATATTGATACTTGGCAAATGCATATCGATAATCGAATCGCGGGAGAAAGTATCGCGATATATTGTCAAACCCTTATTAATGAGGGTTATTTTTTGTCGTTACCAAAAAATGTATCTTGCAGAGAATGGGCCTCATTCACAAACCGTACTTAAGAACAGATCTGTGCGTAAATCCTACTTACGAAGATTTTACGAAGATTGTGGCATTCATGAAATTTTCTCGTAACCAGAATTTCTCTTGGGTAAGTACAAATCCTACGAATGCTCAGGAGCACTCGTACGCACATTCAGTGCCGACATGTTCGCACGCTGGTGTTATGTAGTTCAATAAAACACAACATTACAGTGATATGTCCGTCATATTGATGTATGTATTTATTTATTTAATTGTTAATGGTAATTTAGCCTATTTTTTAATTCATTGTGAAATGAAATGTGCCAACGCTTTATCAAATACATTGGAAATCTTGCCGTGTATCAGTGACCCCATCCTATTTATAAGGGGCATTTCTTTATCCACGGGCCACAGAACAATGGCATATATACTGCTGCTGCAGGAGGCTGCGGGGTCCGCGCTGAGTCTCTGCGCTGGTCTCTCCCATGGATCTATCCGGGTCTGCACTGGTCTCTCCCATGGATCAATACGGGTCTGCACTGGTCTCTCCCATGGATCCATACGGGTCCGTCCGTGCTGCACGCTCCTGGATCCATACGGGTCCTCGCTGGTCTCTCCCATCGATCTATTACAGGACCGCGCTGGTCTCTCCAGTCTATGGTCTGTTCGGTCTCTCTTCAGTCCGCGCTGGTCTCTGCGCACCGGTCTCTCCAGTCTATGCGGTCTCTCCTATAGGTCCGCGCTGGTTTCTGTGTGCTGGTCACTCCAGTCTCTCCTCGGGTCTGCATTGGTCTCAGCGCTGGTCCGCGCTGGATCTCCGCCCATAGGGTCCAAAATATTTTGAGATTCATTTTAAAATTAATACATAATATATTTTTAAATTAAGCTCATAACATTTTGAGATTAATCTCATTTTTTTAGGGCTGTCAAACGATTAATTTTTTTAATCGAGTTAATTACAGCTTAAAAATTAATTAATCGTATTTAATCACATTTCAAACTATTGGCAAAATTATGCCATATTTTTCTGTAAATTGTTGTTTGAATGGAAAGATAAATGTCAGCTTAGTGAACATATGTACTGTATTTGTTTGTTATAACAATAAATCCATATAAAATGGAATTAACATTATTAACATTCTGTCTCTGTTTAGACTCAGACCAAAACCATTGTTTGTTACAGATGAGGGACATTTCAAAATAGTCTGAAATGCAGAATGTCATTAAATCTGTTTGATTTGCTCACACCATTACTTTTTTTGGCACAACTAACATGAACTGATGGTCGAAAGGAAAATTAGGTACCTCAGCTTTAATTTAGCGAGTGCGCTTCGGGAGAAGACACGGAGGAGACTGAGGCTCCGCAGTCCAGCTTCAGCGCTGCACATATTGTGTGCATCGGTTACGCAAAGACACGTACGCACACTAGAGAATAGTTCTGTAATAGTTCTGTGCGTGGTCTTGGATGTGATCCCATTACGCAGCGCCGCTCGCCGTGATCACAGCCGCTGGAAGTGGTGCTGCTGTCCAGAGCGCTGTGGCGCCCGCAGCTCATCATGCAGAGTTCATACAGGAAACAACAAGTGCCCCGCGGTCACGCGTGTATTCTTTCAAAACTTGAATTCCCAGAGGGTCTACTTGCTCTATCCCCATCTTACACACGCATGTGTCCGCAGCAATCTGTGTTATTATGGGACGCATGGGCATGCGTCAAATGCGTTAATTTTTTTAACACGATTAATGAAAAAAATTAATTAACGTGCGTTAACGCGATAATTTTGACAGCCCTAATTTTTTTATTAATCTCATAATTTTGCTAGTTTGACTTTATTCTCATAATATTTCGACTTTAAAGTCAACATGTTTTATAACTTTATTCTCAGTCTGACAAAAGAAGAAAAAAGGGTGACTCTTTTTGGCTCCGTAACTCTTTGACCTGTTGCTGTTTCCTCTGGCGTCTGCACACGGCCCTGCAGTCCCTTATATGGGCATTAATGGGCGGTTACCTATGCTAAGTACCTATGCTAATGAATCACCTTGCACGCGCGCTGTACTTACGAGGAAATGGCATTCATCAATCTAAGAGAACAGCTGCGAACAATTCAGCGGCTTACGAGCGCGTTGGTGAATCCCACGTAGGCTCTTCTTAGAAATCTACTTAAAGGCGCTATACCCGTTTCTGCAATGTTTGAATGTTTAGCACCGCCCCCCAACTCGCTCAATGGCTTCTCATTTCCCCTACGCTCTCATAACACAGAGCCACCTAGTTTTATTTGCGATCTGATACATATGCTAACATTAGCATTAGCGCAACTTCTTGTAAGCTGTGCAACAATCACTGATGAAATGGCACTAAAGCAACGCACTGCTAACACAATACATAAGTAAAAGAATACCGCTAGTTTCGCGTCCGAATGTATTAATTTAAAACCTTAGAATATATTCTAATATTTAATTATAATTTGTTATAGAGCTCCTCAAAGCAGCAGCAGCATTTTTCTTGATAACAGAACTCTCAAACCAATAATGACCAAAGCCCCAATGCAACCTCTGTTTGTAATTCAGGTGTGTAAAATACTGCCATTACTCTGCAAGTACAAAACGCTATCAGCACCTGTCACTGCACTGTGCCGTTTCTCTACACACTTGTCTGTGTAGAGAAGCCAACGGAGCTAGCGGAGCTAGCCACGCTCAATAAACAACTACATATCTATAAATCAACACCATTAAACGTCAATTGGACAATACAGTACACATATACACCCTTAACACACATGCACGGATGATTTCAGAATTTGCTGTTAACGTTTTCATGACAAAAATACTGTTTCAATGTGACAAAAAGCGATTGCGAAAAACCCGGAAGTTACCATGAAACAGCTAGCTAGCTTAGCTGTTACCTGCCTAGCACGTCCTGGTGAAACCTTTGGGAGCTAACTATTTTATTTGCAGTCATTAAATACATTTCGAATTACAAGGGTTGTCTAATATTTGTTCACATTTTTTTATTCAATTATTTTGTTCATCATTTTTTATTTTAGAATTATATTCAAATTTTGAAGTCCAGCGCTGTAGGGGCTAGAGGACGCAGGCTGTTCGCTGCTCGTTCTGTGAGCGGAGGAGAAAGAGCGGCCCGCTCAGACTCTACTCAGCACTTTTCACTGCTTGTAATTCTTACACAGCTGAATCAATTACCTCAAGTTTTCAATTAAATTATGTATTATGATACAACTTGTATGTAGTAAAAAGCATTTTTATGAACTACTTAGAAAAAAAATTGGGTATAGCTTCTTTAAGAACGACTTGAGAAGAAATTTAAGAAGTTTCTTACGAAGATATTCGTGAATGAGGCCCAATGTCATTTCACCAAAGAAATTTAGAGGCTAAACTTTAGGTTGAATGTGGATCTGTAATCGGTCAAGGGGACGCGTTTGTGAAAGAAGTACATTGTTAGAATGTGAAACTGACAGAAGCTGAACTGCACTTTTAGTTGAACATTTCTTGGTTGCCAGATACAAGAGTTCCTTTGGAGGTGTGTTTGCCAGATAGTGAGTGCCTTGTAATGTGCTTGTCATGAACTTGGCTTGTGGACAGCAGTCGGCCTGGATCACATCTGACCTTCATCGTTCTTTAGTTTGTCCAGCTGCCCTTTCTCCATCAGTGCCTCGGCCTCCTTCACAAACACAATCATTCCCCCAAATGGAGCAGACAGGATTTCCTCTATGAACTCCTGTCAAAACATCAAATTATACACATAGAGTTAGTGTGTGAACATTCCTCCTTTTCTTCTCATTGTTCATCACTATTGACAATTATCAACAAATGTGATAAAGGTATATTTTACTTCAAGAGGGTTATAAATGCATTTTGTTCTTTAGAATGTCAAACTTTCAAATAAAATGCGTGGAAACGTTTGGGCCAGAATTCATGTTTCAGTTTTAGACAATGCTGCAATATGAAAATAGTGAATTCTGTGTGTCCTTTAACACTTCCCTTTACTTTCTAAAATGCTCACCTGGGTCCTGGCCAGAAGCAGCTGCTGGAAACCCTCCACCTCTTTGCTGTCGTCTGCTGCCCTCTCCTGGAACAAGACAGAACAGCGGCATGTCTGGTAGTGGTAGTAGTTGAAGTAGTAGTATGATGATGGGCAAAAGTATTGTATGTTACCAATCCATTCAAAAACTTGTATCAGTTATAGGTACTCATTAGATCAAACATATACAGGTCCGACATGCACCTGTACGGTGACAATTGTAAAGTGCTTTGTGACTCTGGTCTGTGAAAGGCGCTATGTAAATAAACATTACATACTTACTCACACTGAAACCAGACAAACGATGATATTTCTAGACCAGATCTAGGATAGGTATGCTCTTTATCAAAACTTACAGAAAAATAAAATGTTTTACTAAAATTACAGCTTTGTGTAACAGTGGAAACAGCAGTAGTAACAGCAGTAGCAGTGGAAACAGCAGTAGTAACAGCAGTAGCAGTGGAAACAGCAGTAGTAACAGCAGTAGCAGTGGAAACAGCAGTAGTAACAGCAGTATAAGCAACAGTAGTAGCAGTGGTGACTGTGGCAGAATAAAACTGCAATCTGACCATCAGCACACTCAGCAACATGTCGTAGTTGTTGATTAGAAAAATGAGCTGATCTCGTCTGGAGGGAAACTCAGCCGCCATCTTCAGCACAAAGTTCTCCACCTCCACCTGAAAGACAAGGGCCGTGAGGAAGAACTAGTGCTATTGAGAGAAATAATAATAATGCATCAGTTTTTTATTGCATTTTTTTGGACAAAATGCGTTTCACATGTAGCCACAGCTGCCATGGGACACACTGACAATAGTGAGGCAACCAGTATGTGCCATTGACCTCTCTGACCACCACACGCGCTTCATTTCAGGTAATGCGTTTTGCCTAAGGACACAACGACAATTTGGCCCTCTACAGCTGCCCCACTGTGGCACCTGATGTTCCCGGAGGTCTCCCATCACATAACAAACCAGGCACTGACCAGCTTATCTTCAAAGGTCTGACAGGATCTGGCTTTCACATGCAGGTGTGGCCACTAGTGCAGCATTGATAAAGAACATGTGCAGCTTCAGTGCACCTGCAGCTGTCCCAGCAGGGTGTTGGTCCTCTCGTTGGGAAACGTCTGGTTGATGCTGACGATGGCCGACGAGAACTCAGCGTACCGCCGCGTGATCTGAGGAACACAACACATGGTTCTGCTTCACAACACATGGTTCTGCTTCACAACACATGATTCTGCTTCACAACACATGATTCTGCTTCACAACACATGATTCTGCTTCACAACACATGATTCTGCTTCACAACACATGATTCTGCTTCACAACAGGCTAAACCCTCCAGAAGGTTTCATTTACCTTAGAGACAAGACGAATACTCTAAAGCCTTGTTCAGAATGGACAGAGCTAAACCAGGATCCAACCGGGATCCAACCCGGACGGACAACGGAGGAAATAGTGACTGTGACCTCATGCTTGAAAGCAGTGTTGTTCTGAATCATATAGTCTGAAAGTCAATAATTGCGGGTGATCCTGGCTTCGGATCAAAACATATTGTAGCGTTGTTAAAATGTATCGTATTTTCACCCAGAGATCTCCTATAACTGGACTAGTGCCGCGGCACGATCATGCCAGACAGAAGAGAGGGAATCCCTCTGAAAGCAGTGCTCATCCCGGCCCAGAACCCTGTATCTGGAGGATCTTATAATCACACGTCCTGGAGCCGTGACAAACTGATCTGTAATCGAAGCCCGCCCACCACTTCCACTGCACGTGTTCCGAGTACGTGTGTCATCGCTGGTCATTCGACCTCATGAAACTCACGCGGCTGATAACAGTGAACAGGTTTCCAAAACTCCACAATGGTCTGAATGCCACGTAAGGACTAAGACATGTGACTTTAGTTCTAGCGGGTTGCCAGTACTTGAGAGCACAGGGTGTGTACATACGTAGTGTGGCCGGGTGTCCAGCAGTCCCAGCCTCTGAGGGTCAGTGCTCCGAATGCTCTGGATGTTCATCTCCAGGATGAGCTCAAAACGAGGCCACAGCAGCTCTAGCACGGCCTCCCAGTACCTACCACAAACACATAAGTGTGATAGGAAATAACGGCACTGAAAAGAAAAGTCTGTGAGCTTAGCTTTAGCGCTATCTAGTTGACATCACATATACGAGAAATACAATTAATCCACTGACTCACCTTTTCTCTCTATTCTCTCCCTGAACTTGATTATGCATTTTATACATAACAATGTCAAAACATAAATTTGTATTTTGAAGGATATTTGCTGCAGTTATCGGAATCTATAAATATACATACAGGAATTACTCTTTGGAGCAAAGGGTTTGAACCAGTGGGGGCGGGTCTTCATAGGCCATGGAAGTTGTGGCACATTAGTTAGAACAGTGGAGAGAGGCGTGACTACATCCGTAAATATTTAAAGTCTATGGTTTAAACACTGCAAAGATTTTTTTCCAAATGTCCTTCAACAAATCATCACTTTGATTTCAGGTTAAAAAAAATCTGTCTGCTACATTGCCTGAAATTGTTCCACTGGGGATAAGAGCCAGTAGGAGGCAGCACCTGTACATGAAAGGCAGACACGGCAGACTTCAGAAGCCAAGCAGGGTTAGTGCCTCTGGGAACACCAGGTGCCACAGTAGGCCAGCTGTTAAGTGTCAAAGTCCTTAGTCAAGTACCATTTATATTTTACTTGCAAAGATTCACTCTCAGCCCAAAACATTCACTCTCAGCCCAAAAAGTCAAATAATGACTCTTAGGGCTCTTAATTATCCAAAAAAATAAAATAAACAAGACGGCCTTTTGTGGTGTGTTCTGTTTGATTTGTTCACATTTTACTTTAGTTCACAACCAACATGCATTGTTAATGTAAGGGAAAATGTTGGTGTCCTAACTCTAATTTTGTGAGTTTTGGTCGGAGACACGGGGGAGACACGGGGGAGACACGGTGGAGACCCGCACTTGCAACAAGCTCAGGATGGTCCTGTCTGCGCCTCTATGGTCCGCACTCGGTACCATGTTACGACTGTGCATTTGCTGAGCTGTTGTCAAAGCAACTCACAGGAACCGCTGTCATTACAAAGCGGCCGCAGCTGCCCCGGGGTCAGAACGGAGAATGTGGAATCCCATTTGAGTACGCAGAGGAAACAACAGCAAGCGCCCCCTGACAAGGCCGTGGGAAGTGGGGGGTTGGAGGCCCAATGCATTTAACATAACTGGACATTTTATATTTATTACTATTAGTGTGTTATAATAAAATCATATTTTAAGATGTTTTAAAAACATCTGAGCAATGTGTGGAAATGGAATTTAGTGTTTGTCCCTTCAGCACCTTAAAAATGTACAGGGGAGAACTAGAGTCTGTGAGCTCCAGCGGCTCTTTGAGGACCGGTTTGACAACTGTGATTAAAGCTGTGAGGCATTATCATTGAAGAAGTTTTAGTCTGGTCCCTTTAACTGTAACAATTTCTGGTTCACTTTGGGTAAAACACCTTTATTTGTGGATCTAAATCCACCAAACAGGTGAACACTGTCTGGTGTCTACACTATTCCTAGTATTGCATTATAATGAAGTACAGATGTTTTGATGTCCATTATATTCTGGATGCAGACAGAAGGTGTCGTTAGAGTGGCCTGGACTCACTTGTCTAGAGCCGGGATGTTCCTCTTGACCGTGATGGCTCTGAACCGCAGGATGATGTGGATGCAAAGGAAAACGGCGATGCTGTCATAGCAGTCGGACACGTACGTGGACATGCTTTTCTGCGTGCACGCACACACACACACACACACAAACACAAACACACACGGAAGTTTTCAAATCAAATTATTGCAAAAAGAAACATGAAAGATATCAAATTTCCTAGAGAAGCAGATGAGACATTCCCAAAACATCACGAGAAGCTTCTCAGCGCCTCCTTTGATCTGAGTGGAGGTCGTGTTGACTCCTAATCATAATCATTGTTAGGGAAGACCTCATTAAGCAGAATTCAAAACTTTCAAAAAAGGGAAAAAATGAAGTCAGATTTGTTTTATGGGAATGTCTACTCTTATACTTATGCATGTCTTTCACATAAATGTGCTATTTCAGGGTTTAAAAAGAAAGGACATTGACTTCTCAGTGTAGCTCACAACTGAAATGGAACGATAAGTACAGACACCTGCTCTCCAACACAGAGAAGAAAAAGCTAAAAGAAACACCAAGATTTGACATAAAAAAAAAAAAAACGGTGTGGTATGTGGTCTTTAAACATTATTTAGATTATTTACTGTTATTGTATATTGCTAAATAGAATGTACATGAACAAAGAAGGTATCTGGGTTTGTCAAACATTCCCAGCTAGTGGCAGATGTGAGAAATAGCAAACTGCTTATATAACGAACATATATTGAGTGAAGGCGCATATCTGGAATGTACGGAACGTGATATGTGTTTGTCGGCCTTAAAAATCCAAACAAGCTGATATTGCAGATTTATACGATTTCTGTTAAGTGTTTCTAATCAAATCAAACAGACTGTGATTCTCCATCCAACCTTCTTCTTCCCCTTAATCCATTTCTGGGTCGGGGGGGTGAAAATCAGAGCTGCACCCAATTCACAGAGCAACAGCCCATCACTGATCCTCCTGCAGGTGGTGGGTCCACAGGAGCTTGAGCTTTCAGCGGGAGCTTCAGGCAAAGTGGGGTTAAGTGTCTTGCTCAAGGACACAATGACAGCAGACATCCGTATTTGGAGTATAAAAACTATAAAGAATTAAAAGTAAATATATAGGAAAACATTTGTGTGAAGCCATATCACTGTATAGAAAGTGTCCTGCTCACGATGCCATTCTGCAACATAACTTTCCCTTTTATGTGAATGTTGTGTCATCATAAGAAAGCACGGCACACAGCAGTACTAAGATCGGAGAGTGGTGCGAGTACCAGGAACATGGCCAGAGTTTTTCCCATGATGCAGTTGAAGAGGTCCAGGGCTGAGTTCCCCGTCACCATAAAGAAGTCGCAGAGGAAGAGGAACTCACGGCAACCGTTGTCAAGGAGAGCGAAGTGCTGACTGCGGAACAGCGTCTCATAAGGATACTGCGGGACACAACATGCATTAATTATCATGACTACACACAGTTTAAACAGGCTAAGTCCAAATTCAGCCATAATACGATAAGATCAGGGAAGACCCAGGATACGCTGGAGGGACAATGTCTCTCAGCTGGCCTGATGAAATGGAGGTGTGTGTGGATAGGGAAGTCTTCGCTTAGACTGCTGCCCTTGTAACCCGGCAACGGATGAGGCGGACGAAAATGGAAAGGACGCAGTCATAGCACTAGTATATTAGTAGTATTAGTATGTGAGGTGGTTCCACCTGTGTGGGCATGCGTACGTGTGCGTACATGTGCAACTCACCCGGCAGTCTCCCCTCTGGGCCGTGTGGGGCACCAGGATGGGCCCCTCCAGCTCTGCAGGGCTCAGTATGTTCCCCCTCTGGCCCACTGTGAAGATGGTGTTTCTGCTTTTTAGAGATGGCTTGGAGAAGAAACCTGCTTTGAGGTTAAGGTCCACAGCAGAGCACACGCACTCCAAATGGAAAGCGTAGTTCACAAAGAATCCAGAGCTTGTTTCCCCATTCACCCAGAATGTTCTAGTTCTAGAAAATGGTGACAATATATGACACCCATGGAAATTTAGTGCGTGTGAACTCTCAATACAGATGTTATAAAAAAAAAGCTACTTGTTTATACACATCCATATTCTGACTATGAACCTTTGTGACACCCGCGTCAATTCTATTAAAATCAACGTATTTGTGTATGGCCCCAAATTACAACAGCAGTCATCTCTGAGAACTTTACAATGTTGTTGATTCACCAACAACAGATCAGAATCAAAAAGTTCAAACGCAAGAAATGCAATAATAACAAACAGATAAGAGCCATTGGTCTATAAATGACCCTCATGTGCTTAGACCCTCATGTGTCGGCAACGAAAGACAAAATAAAACATGGATGGACAAGCTGCAGATCCAGGAGTCAGGCTGTAGAAAGAGGACTAAAGCTGGGAAAAGTCCTTTTTTTTTCTATGGGAGCACACACATCTCTGTCATCATCAGCACATTTTTTTGGTTGACCCACTTGACACAACAGACACGTGCTGAAGGGGTGAAGATTTAATTATAGCACTTTGTCGTTCCAACCAATTAAGCATTGCTCAGAAAAATTAAACACTTACAGGAAGTGGAATACTTTTGTCTACAATCTAATCCATGTGCCGCTCTGAGGCCTCACATGTCGTGGTTTAATTTCATATCTGAACAAACCACACACTCAGAAACTGCTCAAACAACTCTGAGTTTTCTTGGGTATGAACAACAGTGTGGACAGACAATTCTTCCACCATTTCCCATAAAGCAGACGCTTCCTGGGGCCGGGATGTGTTTTTTAACAACATAGCTCGAAGGACAGGCTTTCTCCCCAACACAATAAATATTCAAGTTGGATTAAGTGACAACAAAGCATACGTAAGAAGCGTGCAGGATTGTTTTCAATGCAAAGAACGGAGTGGGAAAAGCTACTACACTCACATCACATCTCCATAGACTTTTCACGTAAAGCTGATGCTGTACGGTGTCAAACTCAAAACAGAGCCCAAACGTGCACACTAAAGGAGGACTAAAACTGTACTGAACCATGACTAAATGATGACTGAACCAGGACTAAAGCATTAATGAACCACGACTGAACCAGGGCTAAAGCAGATCTAAAGCAGGTCTAAAGCAGAGCTGAACAAGGACCAAGGCTTGTCGAAAGCAGGACAAAAAACCGGTTTAAATTAGGATTGAAAGAGGGCCATAGGCTTTTGACATGCCTTGAATCTGCCATCTGCAGCAAAAGATTCAACCAGAGAAAAACTTCCCCATTCTTATAATATACTGTAGTCTTATATTACTTGAACATCTAAAGGCATCAGACATCCACTTCAGATGGTGGGTTCCTGTCAGAGTTATTAAAGATTTAAATCATGCAGTCTCCCATTTCCAGCATTAGATGGTGGTGTTGAATAATACAACTTACATTCTGAAACACAAAATGCCTTCAGTGAATGTGAAAGAGATGACCTTCAGACAGCAATTTGAATTAGTAGTCTAGGAACCGGGTCACAGTGCTTACGGAACAGATCAAATTACTTCCATGAAACCACATAATAAGCGTTTCTGAACACGGAGATGTGTAAAATGGGTTAGAAATGTAGGCGTTGCCCTGGTTCAAAGCAATCTCAATCTGGCAGGTCCCTGAAGAGAAACTAGAACAAAACTTATGAAATAATTATAGGTAGTGTGTATAGCTGATGAAAGATGGAGGTATCAATTTAAGAAAAAAGATCTGTTTCGAAGCACTGACCTAGATAATAATCACATGATTACGTACAAATACAAAACCTTTGGAATGAGCCAAGCACGTGAATGTCTTTTGTCACCATCAGTGCGATTACTGGTCTTAAATCTAACTGAAGCAGAAGAAAAGAGCATAATTTGCGTAATATGGGACCGTAATTCTCAAAAAACTAAATTCATTCCCGGGCTGGAAGCCATTGCTCCTTTCAGGAAAATGTGAAAAAGAGCATTTGTGCATGCATTAGCCAGGCGTGCCTTCTGAAGTCCACAGCGGTTAAACTAGAGTGGTCCAAAAAATATACTCCCCTCAGCATCAATCAAAGATGGCTTGTGCTCATTGGCGCATGAAGTGACCAGGCACCTAAAGGTCAGCGAAGCCCACCCATATTTCTGCACAGTGGACGACCTACCATGATGCATTACGCCAAATAATAACGAGGACGTGTGTGTGGCTCTCATGCACGTGCACACAGGGACACGGCAAATACTGTACCGATGTCCTTACGATTCTGAGCCATTTTTGTGCCTTTATAATCATTTTTACAATTGTGTCAATCTGAAGTCTGATAAAAAACACAAAATAGCACAATACTGCTTCGTACAGTATACAGACTGTAAAAGAATTTTATGGGACAAAAAAATTTTTTTTTGCTCAAAATTCTGTTTAGGCCTCAGTCAAAAGAGTCAGAGAAACCAATGCCTTATATTTTACCATGTTGTATCAATGATAGAAACTCCCTATTCAATGTCAACGAGAAACTCAAAAAACCTGGATATGGTACTAGCTTGGAGCTGAAGGACCCATGTGCTCGGGGGATTCTCGCGGTACTCCAGATTAACAAGACTAAATTCACGTGGGCTACCCAGACAATTTCCCCATAGAACTCAATGCAAACTAAAACAGCTCGACCTCAGCTGACAGAGAACCTACAGCTTTCATAAAGGTCGGATTTTGTGGGGATTTTAGTGTCCCTTGTCATCCTGAACCGTTTTTTTCTACTTAAATCCTTTGATTTTCAATAAATCCACACTTTAGTGCAACTAACTCTGCACAATCTTTTCCCGCTCTGACTCCGCTCTAGCTACAATCTGATTGTTCAGAGCGCGGCTGAGCCCCTCTGTGCACGTGCATGAGAGCCACACATGCATGCTTGTTATTATTTGGCTTCCCAAGTTGAGATAGGAGAGGATGTAAGGAGCATGTCTGCATAAAGTCTGCATAATGATCATACAACCCCTGGCTCATTCATATGTTTTCAGTCTCACCAGCTAACCTCAACAACAAGCACATTGACAAAAGTTTGGAAATCCGTTTTGCAACTCTGCTGTACTTGCGTTTCCTTTTCACTAAAAGGATATCTTTCTTTGCTGTGTCCTCCACTCCCATCAGGTCGTCTTTGTCTGCCACTTCTTCATACTGTGAAAGAAGGACACATGAACATTCAACAATGTGGGATGGCCAAGTCATTTAAAATTATCTCTTTTTTCACTGTTCACTCTCTGTTGAAAACCATTCACATTTGTATACACCTGCTGTATGCACCTCCTGTATGCACCTGCTCTATGCACCTGCTGTATGCACCTGCTGTATGCACCTGCTGTATGCACCTGCTGTATGCACCTGCTGTATGCACCTGCTGTATGCACCTGCTGTATGCACCTGCTGTATGCACCTGCTGTATGCACCTGCTGTATGCACCTGCTGTATGCACCTGCTGTATGCACCTGCTGTATGCACCTGCTGTATGCACCTGCTGTATGCACCTGCTGTATGCACCTGCTGTATGCACCTGCTGTATGCACCTGCTGTATGCACCTGCTGTATGCACCTGCTGTATGCACCTGCTGTATGCACCTGCTGTATGCACCTGCTGTATGCACCTGCTGTATGCACCTGCTGTATACACCTGCTGTATACACCTGCTGTATGCACCTGCTGTATGCACCTCCTGTATACACCTGCTGTATGCACCTGCTGTATGCACCTGCTCTATGCACCTGCTGTATGCACCTGCTGTATGCACCTGCTGTATGCACCTGCTGTATGCACCTGCTGTATGCACCTGCTGTATGCACCTGCTGTATACACCTGCTGTATACACCTGCTGTATGCACCTGCTGTATGCACCTCCTGTATACACCTGCTGTATGCACCTGCTGTATGCACCTGCTCTATGCACCTGCTGTATGCACCTGCTGTATGCACCTGCTGTATACACCTGCTGTATACACCTGCTGTATACACCTGCTGTATGCACCTGCTGTATACACCTCCTGTATGCACCTGCTGTATGCACCTGCTGTATGCACCTGCTGTATGCACCTGCTGTATGCACCTGCTGTATGCACCTGCTGTATGCACCTGCTGTATGAACCTGCTGTATACACCTGCTGTATGCACCTGCTGATCTCATTTAAGTTACTCCAGCTTCAACCAACTATGATTCGGTTCAATATATAATTTTTATTTTTTTTTATGGGTTTTTTTGTTGGGACAGTACATGTTAATGGTCATCACTCCGGATTGTAGCCATGGGCTAATTTGCATTCGTTGTTCCACATTCGCACTCACAAACACACATTCAAACACACTCATTCACCCTGAACTACTCCACATGTTTTAATAATAATGCAATAGTTTTATAAAGTACTTTTCAGGACACTCAAAGACGCTTCACATGACAATATTCTTTCACTCCATACACAGTAGTGATAAACTACTACTGTAGCCACAGCTGCCCTGGGTACGTGCCATCGGCCCCTCCAACCACCACCAACCACACACACGAGACTCATTCTAGGCAATGTGGATAAAGTGTCTTGCCTAAGGACACAATGACAGTTTGTGGCCTAACCGGGCCTTGCCCTGCACAAATGAAGGCTTCTTCTGAAATATGCCTTTTATCTACTGATAAAGAGTGCTATATGGAATTGAACAAAAAACTCAAAGAAATTTTGACTTAAGTTTGTAGTGTACTATTCCTCCAAATAATGGTACGTTCCTTTGTATCACTTTTATCATTTTGTATGTGTTCTTTTTCTTTTACAGCGCCAACTCAGCCAAGGGCACTCCCAAATGTTTTGCGTAGTGTGCTTTAATGTCTGGTATAAGAAATGCATTACTCTCGGGAGCCAAATGAAGACATCAAATTATATAGCACCTTATGATCTGCGTCTGTCAATCCGTCACACGACCTTCACTTTAGATTTAGTCATGAGTATGTCACTGTCACATAATAGTTAACTACACAGAAATATGTGGTGACTCCCTACAGCCCTCCTCAGTCACTTATAATGACAGTGCAACTGCCTTCAAATGCCATTGTTCTCTTTTGTTCATTTTATCATGTGGGTGTGTGTAGTCTCTACGCAATTACACTGACCTTTTCAAAAGTTGATTGGGCAATTAGCTGAAAGCTGTGTGTAATTCAGGTGTGGTTAGGTAAAAAGGTTAATGTTATTTGTTACAGTAAATAAACGGTGCAGTACCAACAGTGACAAGCGACAAGGCGCTGAAATTCAATGTGCAGGTCTTAATAGTTACATACCCAAAGCTTGCAATGTTTTGATATCTATTTTCAGTTAATCTCTTGAATAGTCAAGTTATCGTTGCCAGAGGTTATGTTTTTACCTGGGTTTGTTTGTTAGTTAGAAAGATCAAGAAAAAAGTAAAGGCTGGATTTCCACAAATCTTGGAAATGGAACAAGAAACACATCATTTTAAACTTGTAAGTGATCACAATTAAGGCATGGACTCATGTCTCTTGGCAAAAATGTGAGTTATTTTCTTGTTCCCTATAGTTGGGGTACGGAGGCTGACTGACCTGTACTTTGAGCAGCCGGCTGCTGTAGGACTTGAAGTAGCTGAAGTAAATTTTACTCATGGTGTCCACATACTCGTCACGGATCTCCTTGGCCACCGTTCTCTCATTGGCCAGAAGGAACTGGTAGAAAAACCTGTGGAAAGTGGAGCGAAGCATTACAGTGGATCCAATCCTCTGGGCAGTGGACTTCTACAGGCTTGTGAAAAGAGTATTTGGACAGAGGAGCCAAGGACCTAGCCTAATGTTAATGTAAATAAATCTGCAAGAAGCCGACTGGAACTTTTTAGCACAAATGCAAAATGTTGTGTATCTAAACTAAAACAGAGGGTGACTCAAAGCACCAAGCCCAGTCTCAAATATGGAGTGACTTTTATGGGCCTGCTTTTCTTCAGCAGGGACAGGGAAGATTGTGTTTCACGGCACCACAGAGGACTGATATAAACATTTCTACAATAGCAGCGCTCTGATTGGTCACGTGACTCTCACAGTGGTTAACATTTTAAAGCAGGGTCCTAAAACAAACTGGTACCAAAATAGGAAAAGTAATAACACTGTACCTGTATTTGAGTAAAGTGTTCTGGGGGATCTGGTAGTTGGTCATGGGTTTCCGGAAGGCGTAAATCTTTTGAAGAATAAATTCTCGAATCTTGGCCACAGCCTGAAGACAACAGAGTACACGCAGTAATTATAGAACACAGCATCTACTGAGTAGTAATTTATGACAACCGTGGATCATAATATATTTTAAGTACATTTCAAACTTTTTTTTTTTAACATGGGTTGCCTGGTCCATGATGTCATATAAGAAGTTTAAAAACAGCATTTAGAAAAGACCTGGCAGCCCTATTTACATTTCTATTATTGAAAAATAAAAAATCCACAAATCAGTTCAATGCAAGCTACACCAAAAGTGAATATCAAAACCTATTACCAATTTTCTAATAATTAGCTCATGATACCATAATCAAGTGAAAAGGAAAACCACAGGATGCTTTGGCTTCACGTTTCCTCCTTTTTCTCCAAATAATTCTATAACTGAAGTAGCTTTCAAGACAAAAACAAATACATTTCACCAAAAATAAATTAAATGCTAACTGCGTAAAATTGGCTTTGAGCTCCAACAATATCCAATGTCAGAGAAAATAATAGCCCACCCCTGATTGAGACAGAAGTGGCAGGGGAATGTCTTTGTGCCAATTAATGTCCGAAGTCAATTAATGTCAATCACCTCACCTTGAGTTTGAGTCGGTCCACGATGTCCTGGATGTCTGAGCACGCCAGCGTCTCCCTGAAGCTCAACTCTTTGGCAAAGTTGATCTTGTTGTTGAGTTCGTGCAGTTGTTCTAAAAACTCCTGTTCTGTGACCGGACTGTCCAGAATTTTACTGTGGACATCAAATACAGTCAGCTCCAAATATATAATGGAACGTTGACACAATTCTTATATTTTAATGTGTGAAAGTTGTGCAGTCAGGCTCAGTGAATTCTGGGCCTGGTCCTATCCCTGTTGTGTTACCTGATCATGGCTCCAGGCACCACCAGCTCGTCCACCAGCTGGCTCAGGTTGCTGCGGGTGGCCTGTCTGTTCTTTAGCCTCACGTTCATGCTGACCGACTGCTGCTGCAGGCTCTGGATCTCGCTGCTGATGGACGACAGGTCGCTCTGGAAACCACTCAGCATGCCTTCCATCCTCTGCACACAAAAATCAAAAACAGATTTTAGTCTATTTTAGATGACTTATAGCCTTAGATTATTATTATGCTAAAAAATAAAGAATGATGAATACCTCGAGGATGGAGTCGCAGGCTGTGATCTGGTTGTGGAGCGAGGCGATGTTCTGACTCTCTTTAATGTCTGAAATAATGCCATCAGGAATAAACAGTGATCATGTCTATATCATTACAGGAAAATAAAGAGGACTCAAGCATGCACTGCTCCCTCTTCAGAGTGTAAATGAAAGGGGACATTTTTGGAACATGGTTTGAAAAAGTTCAGTTATTTATTGTTTATTTGAGCTCTATGTTACACCTTTTCCCCAATCAAAAACAGAGCGTATCAGGAACGCCTGGCATAAAGCAGCATTAATGCATCCTCTGTTTCAAAACTTATGATTCTATGTTGAATCCTCAGACTTTGACATTATGCACAAAGCTAACAATAACAGGGAATTTTAGGGTTGTAACAATTAATTGACTCATCGCAACTAATTGAGTTCTTTCAACTATGTTAATAATTTTAGTAATTGACTAATTCACTGCTCCATCTACAGACTGCAGCAAATGGAAGATGTGATTTCAAGATGTTACTAAAAATAATCAAATGAATGACTTAATTTAAGATTCAATATTTGGGTCTGGAAACATCTACTAGAGTGTCCACCAGTGATTTCACTTACACTTTTTCTGCATCAATTTTAGACAAAAGCACATACCTGCCTAAGACCGAGTAATGAAAAGAATACACGTTGGACTAATCCATTATCAAATTATTTTGTTGCAGCCCTAGTGAATTTCTCCAGCCAACTACTTTGCATTACTGTTCCACCTCAGGTTCCACTGAGACGAAGTCTACAGGTCACATGACTGAAATAATTATATACGAGTCAAAGAATGGGGAAACTCGACACTTTTGAAGCCTGGTTCAGCCATAAAAATTATAATTCATTTCTGATGACGCATCCTGGCGACTTCTTACATCACTATACATGTTTATCCATAGATGCTCCATTCCAAAACATGAAAAAGGAAATATTCTCAAAATGTTTGAGGGCTAGTGCAGGGGTGTGGTCAGGGTGAAGGATACAGTCTTTGATGGAGGCCTGCTCGATCCTCTGCAGCTCTGCCTCCACCTGTTTGGAGTACTGCCGCAGATCCACGCCCTGGACACACCAGAATGCTTCTTAACAAAACAAACTACTTTCTAATTTGGTTGTGTCTTCTACACATTATGTCAAGATAAGCCAATAGTTCAACTGACATCACTATAGTTTAACATTGTGAAGAAAAAATATCAAGAGGAGTAGAAAGGATAGGTTTGTGAGTCAAACTATGACTTGGGATAACATTTGGACATGCTCTTTTCTATCCCTGTACACATGGAGATACTCTGTGGATAAAAAGCTAGTATGAATCTGGTGAGTGAGTGAATTATGAAATCAGTGCGAAAGACCCGTGTCTCCACTCTGGTCTTACCGTTCTGAGCGCCTCCTTCACCAGCTCGTCCTCTAGATTTGCTTGAATATGAACTAAAACACAGGGAAGACCTTGATAATCAGTTCAGTCTCATATGATTGATTTTATTTGCATTTGTTTATTACAAATTAGCATCCGTTCTCCCACAGTGACACTCAGAAACGGGTAGAACATGCAAACTCCACACAGAAACGCCCTGTGCCAATCGGGACATATGTTTGCATTTCCACAGTAAGGTGTGAAAACAATTGGAATCAGCGGTTACTCTTCTCGTATGAGAGATGTTCAGAGCCATTTACTGAGAGCTAATAATATCTATTACATACGTTTGCCTCTGAAGTCGAGAGAAAGAAGTTACAACAGTGCTGGGCTTGCTGCCGTCATTTTGTATCTGTAAACAGACTACATGCTTTTGTCTGTCCAACCATGTGCCCCCTTCGTTCTAATTGGTCCAAATCCAAGCAAGCATCAGTCTGAGACTATATCTGGACCGTCACTGGATTGTAACTGACAATAGGAGAGTAAAGAAAGTCTTACTGTCCACTTCATCCAGGATAAACTCGTCAGTGGTGAGGTCCAGTTCTCCCAGGTTTAGGTCACTCCCCTCGGCCTCGGCTTTCTGAAACAACACCAATCATACACTTTTCAAACAAAACTTTTTCTAATTATTTTCAGAAGTTCAGAAGTAAGCTCCAGTACAGGACATTTGCAGATGACAAACTCTGGTTAAAATAAATAAGAATTCACTCAATAATTAATTATTTCAAACATATGTGTGTATATTTTAAACATAAAACAAAGGAATACCAAATAAACAAAGATACACAATTTAAAAAGCTGTAGTTTGAACAATCCATCATCTTAATCCATTTCTGGGTCGGGGAGGTCAGAGCTGCCACCCATTTCACATCGCACCAGCCCCTCACAGGTGGTCCTGCAGGTGGTGAGTCCACAGGAGGATGGGCACTCTGTCAGCGACGCTATAGCATTGATATCTAAGCGGGGGCTACAGGCAAAGTGAGGTTAAGTGTGGAAACAAAAGACATCAGTTGTAGTAGGTGGTAGGCGATTGAACCCACGACTGTCAGACCCGAGGACTGATGCTCTACCAAATGAGCCACTGTGTATGGTGAGCCTCTATGTCATGGAGTAGGCTTTGTACATTAGATAGCCGGAGAGTTTACATCCATTTGTAAAGGTCACTAATGACGTTCATAACAAAGTGCATTTTCCACACATTCCCAGATTATGATCAGATGAAAGTCAATTCTACAGTCAAAGTGTGACCTAGCTGCTCAGTCAGTTTACATTAGAATTGTGATCTGAATGTATTCGACCTGTGCTTTTCTCAAACATTAAAAGGGAAAATGGAGGACCTACAGAAAAGTGTTCTCCACTTAAACAATCCAGTTAACAAACATTTGAGCACACCTTTAAGCGTTTAACCAAGCCAGTGTGATTATGACTAGGCCAGCCCATCTTTAATTACAGTGTCCATTGTTATGGTAAATGACCAGCAGCAATAAAAATAGATACATATATGCCTTTTATATAACTGCTGCAATGGAAGTGTGTGTCATCAAACTGGATTAAACAACGAGGGGCAGTGCATTTGTATAATTAACTTTAAAACGCACTTTGCGGATTATCTAACAACTCGAGGCGCAGTCAACACACTGAAACACATTATCATTATAAATGCTAAGAATTATATTTTCTGTGTTAAAAATGTAATATCAGTTTTCTATTCACAAACAAGCTTCAAAATGAGTGCAAGAGCGATCCCAACAAAGATGGATGAAGATTTTTTTATACCATGCAAAATAAACAATGAGAATAAATTTGCATGAAATGTTAATATAAATTCTATTTACGGGGAAACACCTATACCAAATGTAGGAAAATTTCTCAAATCTTAATAGTAACAAAAGACTTTTCAGGTAAAAGCCAAAAATTAAAAATGTATGCTTGTCATTCAAAACAGATGCAGGAATACTGGTTGTTTCTCTTATGGTAATCAAATCCTGTTCCTCTCAAATAGCATTAAATGTATCATAATAGTTTAATGTAGCTTAGTTTAATGTAGTTAGTTATAATGTACAGATCTAGGCCGATACATTTGACATTTGAAGAGAAAGGACAAGAGTTTGTACTATTCATTCTCGAAGCGCATATGGATTGTGTAGTGGATATGAGATTGCACCAAGAAAAATTGCAAATTACTGTAGTACTTTATAATGAATTTCTAACTGTAGCGTTAATTGGTCACTGTAGTAATTTTAACTGTAATGATGTAAGCGGAGTCCCCCTTTTCAACAGATTCTGAAGATTACCAGAATCTAGGCATTATATCAAGAAAATATAGTTTTACGTGTAAAATACATATCCTTGTTTTCATTTTGAGTTTGGGCTGATATAATAATACATCTGAACGTGCACTTCCTGCTGTTTGACAGGAGGCTAAGCTAACGGCTAACAGCTGCTCTCCACACGCACCAGCACGGTCATTTTTCACGCACTAGCTTTGATAACACCGGTGACAGGACTCCGAGACAGCGCAGACCTCACCTCGCTCTGTAAACACGCCATCGCCGTGTCGCTCGGGTTCACAGGCGGGTTAAGATCAGCAGCCTCGGACATAAGCTCCGCCATCGCCCCCGGAACCAAACTTTAGAACTACAGTGACGGCAATGAATCGTTCCGCTCATATCTAAACCAACATTTTACACGTATTTATCTGATGTTACTGTTTTAATTATTATCGATAAAATGTGCTTCAGTTCTCTAATGCATGCCAATGGAATAAACAAACAGTAAATGGTCTTAATAGCCATGTTTTGAACAGGTTTCCAGTCGAACTTCATAAGCAGCGGACACGTTTCCCGTTGTACTTCTTCTTGGGATTAATTGGCAGTTGATGCACTTACCGCCAACTACTGTAGTTATTTCAAAAAGGCCTTTGTTTTCCACAGTAATTACCAGAAAAGATTAACAAAACATTCTAACATTGTTCTTTATTATGATTTTACTTTGTGTAGCAATCAAATCATATGGATTTTTCTATGCAGCTACAAATGCTAAGACACTTATCTTATTGAAAGTACACCATCTCTCAGTCCTCTGATTTACATGCTCTCAAGGCTTTTCACTTGTTTTAACTTCAAACCTCTGCAGATATTAATTTACTGTTTTGAAAACCAAAAATAAAACAAAACAAGGATCAGAAAAGAGGTGGTAGCGTGGGCCCAAGAAGGGCTGGTGGCAACTGGGCTCAGGAAGTTCTCAATTAAAGGTCAAACAAAGGCTCTCTCATTCCGTTAACTGTTTATCTCTCATAAATCACCAATCACTGACAGTATTTACTTTACTCCTTCATAAAATAAGTAACTAAGTTCAACACATGGCTTTCCATCACGTGCTTATTACCCATGATGCTTTGGGCGAACGCCACGTTGCGTGTCAAGTTCTTAATATATACAGTCTATGGTCAAGTTATATTGCACGTATCATTTGTCCCCATGTCATCTAAAGCCACGAATTCGGCCGACACTGACCGCGTTAAGTATATTGATACACAGGAGTAATCTGTGAGGCAAGATCCTTAGAGAAATTGAGAGTGATCGTAGATTTGGATCGATGTGAAATGCTGCGAGACCAGTGGACTGCGCCAGAAATGGCCTACTTTCACTTAACAGTTTTACAATTAAAAAAGGTCATCATGTATATGATATATTTCTATATTCTATATTTCTTTCAATTAATAATTTATTTTGAACAAAGCAGTTGATATCACAGGCCGTAAATCACTTCTGTCAAACACTTGACATCACCCACAACTAACTACAACACCCACCTCCCACGCTCCCTGATTTGTCGGTCGAAATTCAACCGATTGTAATCGTTAACATGGGGAACAGACCCAGGCGTTACATGCAGGGAAATGATGATTGAGCGGAGTGTACGGATGGCTATGGCCAGGCTAGAGGAGTTCAAGTATCTCAGGATCTTGTTCATGAGTGAGGGAAAGATGGACAGGCATGCGATTTACCGGTCAATCTTCGTTCCCTCCCTCACCTATGGTCATGAGCTTTGGGTAATGACTGGAAGAGTGAGATCGCAGATACAAGGGGTGGAAATGAGATTCCTCTGCAGAGTGGCTGGGCGCTCCCTCAGAGATAGGGTGAGGAGGGTGAGGAGGTCAGTCACACAGGAGTAGAGGGAGGAAGGGAGGAACCAGTTGATGTGGCTCGGGCATCTGTTCCGGATGCCTCCTGGACCAGGCACGTCCCACCGGGAGGAGGCCCTGGGGAAGACCCAGGACACGCTTGAGGGACTGTCTTGCAGCTGGCCTGGGAACACCTTGGGGTACCCCCGGATGAGCTGGAGGACGTGTGTGTGTGGATAGAGAAGTCTGCTTAGACTTCTGCCCCTGCGACCTGGCAACCAATGAAGCAGAAGAAAATGGATGGATGGAGTTTTGTTCAAAAAGTGGAGAGGGTTCTTTTCTAAAATTTTGGAAAATCCTGCGATATACCTTTAACTGTGCAGATGTTGTGAATGGAAAACAATTGCATAAATACATGTAGAAATATTATAAACTCTCCTTTATCAACATGTTTGCACATCATTTCCTCCATTCCCCAGTTTGTAATGTTAACAATCTGGTGACTCTGGTCTATTGTCCAATGAAAAAGGACAGCTAATTGTAATTTAACAGCTTTCTTAGTTTTGACAACTCCCTATTCTTACCCATTGTGCAACTATTATAATACAACCCGTGTAATTTTTATTTTTTTTAACAATTGCATGATTTTAGGTGCTAAAATACTAAATGCAAAAGTAAATATGCAAATTCATGGGGGGAAATATTGTCACTATTTTTATTCTGAACATGTGTATTTTTTGTTTCTTCCTAAAGACGATTCTTGCTCTTCTTGAAAGTAGAATCAATGTCATGGTATGAAAATATGGTTAAAAACAAGTAAACATAGCCACATACAAAAAAATTACCTTCAAATGATGCACAAGAGGAGCTCTGCATTCCAAACGGTTCGCCTTGCATAACAGACATTATATTCCAGACAGAAAGCCAGAGTTAAAGCAGGGAAAAGATCATTTGGCTTGACTTTCATGGATTCTTTAACAACATTCGGCACAAACACCACTGCAACAGGAAAAGTTTAAAAGTTTATTTTTACAGGGTAAGCTAAAGCTAATCATACAGACTATAGAAAAATAAATAGTGAGAAATGGCCTTACAAGTTATGTGATTCTATTGCAAGTTCATGTTTGAAGCTTGACGGAATATGTTGTGACAAAGGATTGCAGAACTCCGACACAGAAAAGCACACATTTAGACAAAACACAATTAAAACATTCTCATGTGAAGGCCTTCATTTAAGGCAAGACACAGGAACTGTTTCCATTTCTTTGTCGATTTATAATTTTAATCTAAGGTGTGGGCGTGCATGCGTGTTTTTCCCCATGTGAAAAAAAATACATCAAACTTGTATAGCGCTTTTTTGGACACTCAAAGATGTGGAATGGGGAAGACATGGGGAATGGAATTAACAAAACAATGAAAAAGAGGGCGTTTGCGGAAAAGCATGTTTGAACAGATGGGTTTTGGATTCTAATTTAAAGCTTGGTAGTGAGTCAGAGTTTCTAATGTGCAGTGGAAGTGAATTCTAGAGGGTTGGGGCGGCAATAGCAAAGGGACTGTTTAGATGTGTATACAACTGAAGGATTGTACTGAAAAATACCTTAAAAACTGAAGTCTTTAAGGTCTTGTATGATTGTTTCTATCTTCTTTGTTAAGCACTCTGAGTTGCCTTGTGTATGAACTCTGCTATGCAAATAAACACGCTTTTAAATTATAATTATATTGAGTGATAAAAAGGTTGCGTATCTTTGATGTGTCTGTCCGGATTGAAAGTTTAATCTATATAATTTGCTATATATTGAATTCACAAAACATACAAAATAACACATTTTTGTTTCAGATTCCCCAAAATCTCATAAATATTACTATTATAATAAGTTTCAAATGGACACTTGTACATTGCATCGAGTGCCTTGCCTTAAACAAAGTTATGTGCCATCAACTGTTTGAGGAAATGTAGATCTCCCTTTACAAACATAAAATACACAAAGTTAACATACACAAATTGTTTTTTGCATCAATATTTCCCTGAAGCCAAGAGCATGACTTGTCATTTACAACAGGTGTCATTTGTTCAACTGTCTCTTTAAATCGGCTGAATTTCTCGTGGAGACAAAAGTAAATAAAACAGTGATAAGGCATTGATATGAACAGGTGTGTATTATACAGTGAAAAGGTATATGCATTGACTTATTAAAACATTAAAAGAGGCATTTAAAAACATTTTTAACTGAACTTATTATGCAAATATCAGTGATTGAAATGTACTTTTATTTTCATTATTAGCAAATTCAAAAGTTAGAAATATGGCAGCATTTTTGATTGAACATGCATCGACGAGATTGGGCCATAGTGTGGGCCATGTGTTGCTACTCTGTACCCACTTTTGTCACACTCACCATATTATCCACAATCCAAGGTTTTAGTTCAATAGGAGGTCATTCTTAGTAAATGACCTTCTATTCCCAATCACTATATAACAGACAGAAGCATGTCTTAAGTAGCGGTTATGGTCCCATCCCAGCATGTGAAAAAAACAGAGTGAGTGGCAGCAGGTCACAAACACAGCCTGGAAAGTCCACACACATCATTATCAGTCAGAAGGCTCCGTTTCTCCTGGTTTATGAAAAAGTCCAATGAGTTCTCTGCCAGCTGACATAAACAAAACTGAAAGTGGCGTTATTATCCAAACTCAAAGTGCCAATAGTTGAAATGACTTTTGTACATCTGTCAACGTGAAATAAACGTTTGGAATTCTTGCAGAAAGACCTAGACGTGCCCCCATCTCAAACTATGACATTATCAAGTATTTGACTATTCCCAACCTACTCATGAGATTAAAACTACACATTTTTGCCAGGTCATCGAGGCAAGAAAGATGCGTAGACTTCAATCTTCTAGCACACTTCCTCCAGCTCATTCAGGGGTCGATCTTAGGCCTGTGCCACGAACCGAAAGATTGCAATCTCAATTTTGCTGAATCTCATTTGTCAGGAAAAAGCAAACAAATTGACATAAGTCATATGTGCACATTCAAATAAGCACCCAAACTGTCATCCGGCCATACGTGAGGGTGGGAGCATAGATTGAGTGTTTTGCCTTCTGACTCCAACTGATACAGATACACAAATATTCAGAGATCAGTCCGAACTTTCCAGGCAGACCAACACAAATGTGCACAGCTGTTTTTGTACATAGAAAGAAGTTTACAAAAACATTTAAACTAACTCAAACATACGTTAGTTTCCCATACCAACAAATTGCTGGTACAGACACATGTGACCAGATTGCCCGTGTTTTGCATTCCAGGTGGTGGGCCTGTCACCATAATTACTAAACAATCTAGAGTCCCATAAATCAAAGCTCAAACTAGATTTTCTGCTCACTACGGTGTATAAATTCCTTTGCAGTGGTGGTAAATTATAGATCATAGGTGGCCAAGCTTCATTCCTCTCTTTAATGAAAAATGGGCTTGAATCAAATTAACCAGCACTCAGCATCCTTCTATTTGTGGGCAAAGACATGCACAGCCTAAAGGTAACTAAACCTTATGATATTACAAATATTATTCAATATTGTTGTGCTGTTTAGGGGACAATGATATAAAGTATAACAATAATATTTGTGTGCGCAAACTGGTGCTAATGAATTTTCAATCTTTGTTTTAAATATTTCAAATATATGGGTTAGACAAAGCACAGACCCCATTATGTTTTATAATATATTTTTCAACATTGATAAAATATGACTTGCATTAGAAGTTGATTGGGAAATCAGTAATAGGACAAAGTACTGTTATATTTTGTTTGGGTACAAGCTCTTATATTCTTGAATATTGTTTCAGTATTGGTTAAATTTAGGATTAGGGTTAAGGCTTAGAACCAGTTACTTAGGTTAGGGCTTTGGGTTATGCATGCTAATCTTATCTGGGCCCCCATGCATCAGTAGCATGGAGGTTGTATGTCATCAGGATGTTTGGAAAAGTTACATCCTCTTTGGAAAGAGGAAGAAATGCAGATCGATCTCAAGGAGTATCCTCCCATGGATTTGATTCCAGCCGTTAAGGAATATTCTCCTGAGGATAAGAGTAAAACTTTTCAGCCCAGCCATAATTGTTACTCCTACATGAAACAGAGGTAGATCACAGCCTGCTGTTTGCTGGGAGATCAGGTTCATATGTCCTTCAGAAAATGCCACTCAGTATACATGTGATTGGCCTGTTCCACTGGAGATTCATAAAATTGTGGAATTATAGCATATCATCATCATAACACTTTTGTTACTATTTTTCTCTCATTTGCACACGCAAGTTCCAATATACAGCAAATCTGAATGCTTTGTTAAACTCCCGACCCTAAACTAGCTCAAGGAAAAGAAATTATTATGGGGTAGAAATAGCAATTGCAGAATATCCCCATTATGTTAATAGAAATTTACCAGATGTGGAAAATCAAAAGCTCAAACTTGAATGCACTTCTCGTGGAGCACTTCTCGTGGAGCAGTTCTCCCACGAAGCTCACACTCTGCCCATCATTTACCAAGTGGGACTGAAGTTATCCACAGATCTTTGTTAACTCTCACGATGTGTGAGCAGATTTTAATAAATGTTTGTTTTGGCATCCCACTCAAAATATCAACAGGACTCATTCCATATTTGTTATAGATTTGCAAATCACATCAATAACAGACATTTGTTATTGTAATAATCCTCATATCCCATACGAACTATGTATTCAGACACATGTATGGTGCCGCATTAGCATTTTAAAAAACGTTGTAAAGCCTCACAGTCTTTGTAATCATATATTTGGCAACATTTAAGTTTGCAAAACATGTGAAAAGTAAAACCAAAAGGGGCTATAGCACTTCACAACCATCAAGGGAGGAATTCACACAGTGAGAGGAAGGGAACGTGAGACTCTCCTTCTCTACAGCTACAATTGGCGCATCGCTGTATGCGGATACGTTTTATTGTTATCAAATAAGCTTGAAATGGGGCCTTCATCTATTTTTGGATCATGAGCAAGAAAAAATGAGTTTGGAAAAACAAATTCAAATTTTTTACAAAGCTAAAAACAGCATTGATTTGATATGGCATGACCCTTTCAGTAATTCAGGACTTATCAGGTCATCACATCCTCTGGTTCTGTAGCAGATGTCTCATGACTGTTATGGTGACAGGCCGGGTGAAACAGTGTGGTGAGTGCGGTGCAGTGGCTGGCCTTCCTCTGGGAAGCAGCTAGGGGGCGTCAGACCTGGGCGCTGCTGGTTGTGGCTGCTCTTTGGTGGGAGCATAGAAAAGTTCCAGAGGCTTCCTGACCTTCCAGTACTTATCATTGACCAACTCCAGAGTCAGCGAGCCGTTCAGCGTCTGAAAGGGTATTACACAACATACAGTTAAGTTCCTTTCAGCCTCTTTTGCTCCCAACATTTTTCAGTTCTCTTGACCCCACGTTATTTGATTCCATAATCATTAAAACTTTTAGTTTTTTTGTACTAAGAATGTACACACTCCAACACACATTGTGATTTAACCAGTTTAACAATCTCACCATTTATACCTATAGAATCCACACAACAGTTTTACTCTACATACACTACTACTCTGACAAACTGAGGATACTTCATCACAAAACTTTGAAAGAAGAGAATATTGGCAAAACTTCAAAAAAAACTATTCTCCTACATTCTACAGCAGTCGTTCTCAAACTTTTTACACCACGTACCACCTCAGAAAATACTGCCTCTCCAAGTACCACCACAAATGACCAACACTACACAGTAGCGTAGTAAGCCTAAATATTCATCAAAAACAAGGCTTCATTCCCAAAGAAGTATATTTAATATTGTCAACCCTTGTAACATTTTACACAGTTTCAACAGTATGACTCAAATATAGGAAGAAAACTAAAAACTGTACTTAAATAATGATTCAATTAGGGATGTAGATCGGTGACCATTTAACCGGTGGTTGACCGTCACAGCGTTAACCGGTCAAAGCTGTCGGTTAAAAAAAAGAAAAGGGGGAGGAGGAGGTCTCTTAATAACGTTATTTTAAGCCCTATTTGCACGGTGTGGCGAGCGGGTCTGTCTCTAGCTGTGTGCGCCCATGTATCAGTAAACTCCGGGCCGACTCTCATGCCGTGTGCACACACACACACACACACACACACACACATTTTCCCCCCTCCATTGATACGTAACATCCACACGCATCATCTCTCCCCTCTGTCCGCCAAAGTTGCACACTAGCGCGGGTTAGAACTACATTGGAGCTTACATTTACACACACATGCATACATATACACACACACATACCGGTCTGTCGCGCTCCTCTGTGTCACGCAGCCCAAAGTATTCAAATACGCGGCTCCAGTCAAATCACATGGGAACATGTTTGTGCTGCTGGTCCTTGGCATCAGCTCCACACACATCACTTTATTTAAACTTTAGCGGAGATCTGCGAGACGCGGCTCGTCACTCGCTGCTCTGACCATGTGAACGAGTCGTTGTTTGCTGCTAAAAACTGTTAACCAGCAGCACAGAAGTATGGAAAGATTAAAAAAGCAGTTCTCAGTGCGCAAAGGTACCAAAGTTGTTGCGGGTTTTGGCGCTGCTGTCTCCGCTCTGATCAAGTAGAACGCAGAGCTGCACTTATGAAAAGTATGCGGCTCGAAATGGCTGTTATTTCAAAGAACGTGGAATATTTTAAACTACGCGGTTAACCGGTTTCAACCGGTTAATGAGGCTCGGTGGTCGGTCATGAAAATTCATAGTTATTTACATCCCTAGATTCAATTAAACATTATAATTTATTAAGAACTGCAAAGCCTCATAATTGTGAATGATATTCTGGAGTGGGATCTTTGTCCTCAGAAGGTTTGGACACATGTGCACTTTTGTTTATAAGGCTTGGTCTGCTGCCCTCTCACATCTGCAATTTACTCACACAAAGAGATGTTGGTTCATTTGGTTTGGATCAAATGATCTTTTGTTGCTCTCTGTTCCTTTTTCCCAGAACTGGGAAAAAAGCTTTTGTATTTGCTGCTACAATTTCATATGATTACAGATTATAAAACAGTCACATACTATGTGACTGTTTTATAATCTGTAATTGTATGTAACTTTGGTCCAGGACTCCCTTGAAAAAGAGGTTCTTAATCTTAATGGGACTTGGTTCTTCATTATTTATTTCAGTGATTCTTTGGCGTAACACTAGAAGGAGCCCTGCGTACAACTAGTGGTACGCGTACCACACTTTGAGAATCACTGTTCTACTGCATTTCAAAACATAAGATAAGCCATATTGAAATATTTTTTGTATTTGAACAGAATTCTAACACTGCCCACTTCTGTGGGTTGTCCCTTCAATAAAATACGACACCAAAAACATTTGTTTTAATTGAAACTACTACTTATGAAATAAATCATGGACAATTTCAAAATAATAACCAACATTTTTTTTTAAGAGAAGGGGCTTCTCACTGTTGTATCTAAACAGACTTTACCAGAAGCTGCGCTCATCTTTAACAGATTCTCAGCGACCCCCAGGGACGTGTTTAGCATTTGCACCAATTGCTTTCGTACACATTACCTTAAACATATCCGTAAATACCTTTTAAGCAATCGTTGCAAACCCATTACCATTATACAGCAGGACATAAGGTCTCTTCCCTTCCTAAAGGACCTACATTCCTAAACATTTTAAAACAATACAGAAAGGCTTATTAGCTGTTGTAATATTAATAAGAAATGCTGGCCTAACTCAGGCGGTGTACTCACCGAGAACTGTCCTTTGGTCATGATGTAGATGGTGTACTGTTTCTCACTGATGCGTTGCACACTGTGGCCCTCTGATGATGCTGCTGCTGCTGGCCTCTTGTCCGGGGCTACAGGGGCCTCCTCGGGCTCACCTCCAGTTGGACCCTCCTCCAGAGCCATGCGCAGGGCCACATACTTGGACAGATGATCCACAGTGGCATTAGCTGTAGTCTTGACAAATCTGCATGAAAGTCAATGTAGAGATGGGGATGAAGAAAAAACAAATGATCTCAGTAAGCTTGACCACAAAAAACTGAAGACTGATCCACTAAACTTGTTGGGAACACGATCAATACCCTTATGTTCTTGGTATGTCTTGGCATGTGTACAGTCTGTCCCCCAGACTGAGAGAGCCAGAGCCTCCCTGATTTCCAGAGAGAAGTAGAGACCAAAAACTCAGACAACTCCATTTTGAAAGAGCACAAATGAGTTCTGAGCTGACTCAGAACTAAGCTGACTTAGTTCTGAATCAGCTTAAACTGCCCAGAATGCAGTGCCTGTCAACTGCTATAAGCTTGAGAAACTGGACGACCACTGCACCAGGTCTAGCACATCATAGCATGAAGCCATCCACCGTCTGGTTGTCTGAACTGTCCATTTCACAAATGTTGACTTCTTATTCTCACCATTTAAATAACACAGACTAGAATACTCTACTGCTTTTGCTCCCCAAAGGGCAACACTCTGAAGTCTGAACTCACCTGCATTGTTCTAAGTAAGTAAGTAAGTAAGTAATCTTTATTTGTATAACACCTTTCACAGACCAGAGTCAAAAAGCGGTTCACAATTGTGGGCATTTGTCCTCTCAATTCACACAGAGATGGGAGCAGGGTTGCCAGTACAGGAATCGCATGCCAGACCTATTGTACATGCTTTTAGTGGTAGGGGAAACCGGAGCTCCAGGAGAAAACCTACGCAGACACGGGGAGAACATGCAAACCCCACTCAGAAAGGACCTGTTCAGATCGGGATTCGAACCCAGGACCTTCTCCAGCCTACTATAAATTTAACCATGTACCTTTAATCAGTGTTTTCCTCATGTTATTCTTGACAATTTGCATATTTCAAATCTGTTATGTGTATATTGCATTAAATCTAAAAAACCTCCATTGTCAGAGGTGATATTTCAACTGGTGTCTTAGGGAACTGGTTGCAATAGGGCAATACAATACAAGTTAGTAATTATTAGTAGTATTTGCAGTTGCACTACATAACATTCCTGGTGGGGTTGGCTCTATCTATAAACATACAATAAACTAGGGGAGTGCTGGGCACCATTTAACAGATTCAAGTGGGAACCGACCAAAAATTGTGATACAAAAATCAATCCATTAAATAAAAAAGTTGTGAAATACAGTAAATAGAATGCCCCGGCTGGGGCTCAAAGGCACAACCTCCTGGACTCAGAACCACCCTTTTGACCAACTAAATAATCTGTAGTGTAAAACACTGTCAGTGATGCGTACGCCGTGTAATCACCCAGACTGGAATGGGGGATTTGAAATGCATCACAGAAATTAAGTGTGCGTTGCTGGCCCTGGTACTGAAGTACACATCTAACATTTCACGCTGCACTATACTTTATTTATTTGTGGTTAGGCTTTGTTGCAATGATGTGGTGAACACTGAAGGAATCAGAGTCAGGGTACTGAAGCCGCTCCCCTCACAGTGTGCAATATCGGCCTGAAAAAACAGCATGAGACCAGCAAGATTATGACCTGTTGGGTTAATGGTCTGACCACCATAGACACAACACGGCCAGGTATCAGGTTGGAGCTTCAGTGGTATGAAATTCAAAGGATGTGGTCAGGTTTGAAGAAAAGTCAAGGAGATCAATAAAATAGCCTAAAATCTTGTTAGACCCTTTAAACTATGTAAAAATGCTATATAAAATCCTTTCTTTAAAAACAATGGGCCTCATTCACAAATATCTTCTTAAGAATCTTCTTACATTTCTTCTCAAGTCGTTCTTAAGTAGATTTATAAGAAAACCCTTCGTGGGATTCATCAACGCCCTCTTAAAACACTGAATTGTTCGCAGCTGTTCTCTTAGATTGATGAATGCCATTTCCTCGTAAGTAGAGCGCGCGTACCAGGTGATTCATTAGCATAGGTACTTAGCATAGGTAACCGCCCAATAATGCCCATAAAAGGGACTGCATGGCCGTGTGCAGACGCCAGAGGAAACGGCAACATTCGTCAAAGAGTTACACGGAGCCAAAAAAGTCACCCTTTTTTCTTCTCTTGCCAAACTGAGAATAAAGTCAACATTTTGACTTTAAAGTCGAAATATTATGAGAATAAAATTGAACTAGCAAAATCATGAGATTAATCTCAAAATATTATGAGATTAATACACGGCATGATTTCCAATGCATTTTATTTTTATATTAAAGATTAATTTAAAAAATATGCTAAATTATCATAAACAATTAAATAAATACATACATACATCAATATGACGGACATATCACTGTAATGTTGTGTTTTATTGAACTTCACAAAAGAAGACAACACCAGCGTGCCATCACGTCAGCACTGAATGTGCTTAAGAGTGCTCCTAAGCACTCGAAGGATTTGTATTAGCCAAGAGAAATTCTGGATACGAGAAAAATTAATGAATGCCACAAGCTTTGTAAAATCCTCGTAAGTAGGATTTACGTACAAATTTGTTCTTAAGAACGGTTCGTGAATGAGGCCCAATGACTTCAGATTAAGGTCACTTTGGGGTAGTTTCTGTCGTCATTATAATTTGACAATAGCCAATAAATGAGTGAATAAACAACGAGTGAATGAGCTTTAGAGATATAATTTCACTGTTTGCTTGTACAGTATGATTGCTGGCTGGACAAACCTGGTCTGGCTGTAGTCACTGGCTCGCACCAGCTGTGGGTGTGGCCTGAACACCAGCTCGATCTCAGAGGCCGGTCCATCTTTGTGCCGGGGCGGTGGAGGGGTGGCCCTGCCGCTGTCCCCCTCCACGCCTGAGCCCTCGTCAGACGCCCGCGCTCTCTTCCGGCTGGGCCCCGCCTCTGACCAGCTATGTGCCAGTGTGGGCGGGGCATGTGAAGGAGCGGAGTCGTGGGACAGGTGAGAGCGCGAGTCGCCGTTCTCCTCTCCGCCACTAAACGTGGTGTTGTCACTCTCGTGGAGGGCTTTCTTCACGCGGTGGTTTCTGTGAGGCAGTGGTGGAAACAAGACATCACGTGTTTATTCTGCCACTCAAACATTATTTTGAGAATATTACTACTACCCTAAATTACTGTGGCATTTCATGCTTTAGAACAGGGGTGGCCAACCAGTCAGAGACTAAGAGCCAATTTTTTTTACCGTGTTAAGCAAAGAGCCACATCATACAAATGTGCACTACATAAACATCACCCCAACCCTTACACACGCACACGAACAGACACGCTCTCTCACACAAACACACACACACACACACACGCACGCTCACGCACACGAGCAGACACGCGCACACACACACACACACACACACACACACACACACAAACACATGCAATCTGTCTGAGCAGAGAGAGGTGTGCTCTGCTCACACAGATTTATTGTAAATGTCATCAACATGATAATGACAGAAATGGACTCGTACAGTACTAAAGGGCTGGACTCGACTCTCCCTGGTTTGCGGGCGCTTCTACCGCTCGCTTCAGCCTCTCCCCGGTACTTTTTATAATGGTTTGGCCCTGGTTCTAACCGGGCGAGTCGATACCAGAACAATTTCACGTCAGCGAACATCAATTATGATTCCGAAATGAATGCTTTCAATCTCTAACCAAGAAAAAAAAATCAAGTTTCAACCCAGTGTTCAGCAGAAACACAACTGTCTTTATTGAACCATGATTCACTCTGACTGCGTTTAGTAAAAGATATAGATTTGACACATAACACCAACACCACTTTAGCTGATTTAGAACCACAGACACATGCTCAGTATAAGACCAGATACTTTTGCATTTGATTGAAGACAGACACTCACCAGGCAGAGTTGAGGCTTATCTCCTGGTGTAATGCTAGTTGTTGTTAGCTGGTTTTAGCATGTTAGCCGGTGTTAGCCGATGTCCGTAAATGTAATCCATTTGGTCAAACCACCTCCAGACTTTTCGGGTCTGCCTCTACTTCTGCTGCTGTAATCTTTCATTTCACGGTTGTCACTTTTAAGCTTTTTAACTTTTCTCTGCATTGTCATGTTTGTGGGAATCATTCTGCTCCGTCCTTAGCGCTAGCTCCACAAACACCTTCTGGTTTCTGGTGGAACCAGCGAGATCAGGCTGGTGTCCTCTCCTCAAACTGAGGAAGGTGTTGCCCTCATCCAGCGACCAAGGAATTGTTTTCCGTACGGACGTCATGGTTCGAGGCAACGTGTTGTTTGTTATGATATTTGCAACAACTGAGGCAGCGGCTGCAGAGTGATTGACAGCGCATCTGGCCAATCAGAATTGACGTTCGCCGACGTCAGATTGTTTTGGTGGCCTGGCTAGTGGAGTGAAGTCGGCCTTTACTATGGGTCAGAACTACATAGGGAATGAAAGGCAGCGCCACCACCGAGGCGTTTTTGACGCTTGTCATGTGAAAGCCCGAGAGCCGCACGGAACAAGCCAAAGAGCCGCATGCGGCTCACGAGCCGCGGGTTGGCCACCCCTGCTTTAGAATGTAAAATATCTTCTTAATTAATAAACATGGAAAAACAGCAATTAGTATTCGCAATAAACTCATTTTTGGTGGTAGTATAAATATATATTCTGGTTTTATAAAAAAAAAAAAAAAAATTGGTTGCTTTCATATTGTAAAATATTGTTTCAGTTGACAGGCAGGTTCCATCTCTATGACAAAGGAGCCATTTTTGAAAGTAATGCTGAAAATTATAATTTTTCAAGTCTGACAGTCCTTTCTACTTTCTACGTCATGAATATGTTTATGAATATGTTTATGAATATTGTCACCACTTTTAGACACCTTTATGAGAAAATAGTGAGACACTATTTGTGCTGACAAAGAAGACAGGTGATTTTGTGGCAGCTTTAGTTTCATGTGGACTGGCACAGACATTATAGACACATTAGTAGTAAACTCAGGCTAAAAGCCTGTCTTTTGACTGTTACCAAAGTTACCAGCAAAGGTTTTACAGCTTCCCTCCAGCACATTTTAAACTATAGGCTCTTTGTGTTGAACTGTGAAGTTTATGATATTAGCATGGATGGGGCCTAAAACCAACTTCATTTTTGTTTTTGTCGAGGAACCATGTAACCAGTGTTGTGCGTGAACGAGTTCAAAAGAATGCGTTCATTGAACACGCTCATTTTTTCGTGACACACATTTTTATAAAAAGAACTTGAACGTGAATTAGTTCATTTTATGTGTCATGAACGGCAGACATCACTTTGAACGTTGGAATCTGTTTTCTCTTTTGAAACGCAACGAGAGAAAGTTCCTCCCTCCTGTATTCTCGCACTTTTTCCGCCGAAATCTAAAAATTCCTACGGTTTCCACCGTCTGTGAACGCACCCCGACTCCGTGTTGAGGTGCGGCGCTGTGAGCTGGTGCTTTTCACATGTGCCCGAGTCATGATGAAAACACAGGGTGAGTTAGCGACACAGTTTACACCGTTTACATTTGACATAAAGTATAGACACACGCACTGCAGCGCATTACTGTCTGTAGTTTATGAGCAGAGATGGAACAACTCCGTTTTGCTCCCTTGTCTTGTCTGTTTTGTAGTCAAAAGGCTCTCCTCCTGTGGGTGTACAGGAGATATATATATTTATAGCTCGTAGTGTGAAAAACATATGTATTTAAGTATCTCATGAAAAAAGTAAAATGAACTGAACTTTGAACTAGTTCAGAATTAAAAATGTGAACTTTGAACGTGAACTGTTCACTTTGAGCATGTATGAACTGAACTTGAACTAGTTCAGAAAAGTTGTGAACTGGCACAACACTGCATGTAACATAGTTGTATGTCCTTTAGAGCAGTGGTTCCCAAAGTGGGGGTCCCGACCCCCCGGGGGGTCGCGGGAACCCCTGGGGGGGGTCGCAAGATGATTTCCAAAAAAAAAAAAAATAAATAAAAAAATAATTTAGCTAATAAATAGCCCTTAAATATTGATTTAGCATTTGATTATTGATTATTGATACTTGTTAAATTGTGTTAGGAGAATATAAAATATTTAAATTACGTTTGTAATTTTGTCCAGTCATTGACAGCGTCAATCAAAATCAAGTTACGCAGCTTACGTCACGCAGCGACAAAGCGTGTCCAGCTGTTGTTTGCTAAAACTAAAGGTGTTTGGAGGCTTCAAACAAATAATACCTGCTTTAAAATGAAACGTGGTTAATATCCACAACAGAAAAACCCGGAGAGGGAGAGAAAAGTCACATGTGAGGTCAGGCTGATGGTGCGAAGAGAGGGAGAGAGGGCAGCGGAGGGAGAGAAGGCAGGGGTAGAACAGCGCGGTAAAGAGGCCCGGCTTTTTGGAGTCAGTGGTAAAGAGGTCCGCACATTAAAAGCGGGTGGCTGCTTTATCAATCAATCAATCAATCAAAGTTTATTTGTAGAGCGCCTTTCATACACAGGGCAACACAAAGCGCTTCACAGTCCACATCACAAATCATCACATAAAACAAACACCAGAATCACAATTAAAACATTAAAATCACACAAAAGATTAAAACACAATTAAAACATTAAAATCACACAAAAGAATAAAACCATTAAAACTTTCAAAATTTCACAAGAAATTTAAAAAAATAAATAAATGACAGCAGTGCATTAGAAATGGAGATAAAATCCTTCAGTTGTATGCACAGGCAAACAGAACAGTCTTTAACCTGGATTTGAACATTGACAGAGTAGACGCCTCCCTCACATTTTCAGGGAGATTGTTCCAGATCTTAGCTGCATGGATCTGAAACGCAGCCTCCCCATGTTTGGTTCTCACTCTGGGCACCAGCAGGAGGCCAGTCCCTGTGCTCCTCAGAGTCCGGGCCGGTTCATATGACACCAACATGTCACTAATGTATTCTGGTGCAAGGCCATGGAGAGACTTGTACACAAGCAGAGCCGTTTTAAAATCTATTCTTTGAGCCACAGGAAGCCAGTGCAGAGACCTGAGGACCGGACTAATATGGTCATACTTCCTGGTTCCTGTCAGGACTCTAGCTGCTGCATTTTGGATGTACTGCAGCTGCTTACAGGTCTGTTTGGACAGACCTGTAAGCAGGCCATTGCAGTAGTCTAGCCTGCTGGAGACAAATGCATGGACAAGAATCTCCAAGTCTGCCCTGGACACTATATTTCTAACTTTGGCAATGTTCTTCAGATGGTAAAAAGCTGTTGATGTTATTGATTTTATGTGGCTATTGAAATTTAGGTCTGAGTCCAGTATTACCCCCAAATTTCTGACCTTGTCTGAAGGAAGTAGGGAGAGAGACTGAAGTTGACAAATGACGCCCTCTCTTTGTTTCTGGGGACCAAAGACAATGATTTCGGTTTTGTCTGCATTTAGCTGGAGGAAATTATTTTGCATCCAGTCACTGATCTGTTGGATACAGTGAAGGAGCAAATCCAGTGGTCCATGTTCTCCTGCAGTCAGTGAGACATAGATCTGAGTGTCGTCGGCGTAATTGTGGTAGGACACTTTGTTTCTTTGTATTAACTGACCTAACGGCAGCATGTAGAGATTAAATAGGAGAGGTCCCAGGATCGACCCCTGTGGTACTCCACAGGTCAGGGCCACATCATCTGAGACGCAGTCTCCAATCTCCACAGAGTACTTCCTATCCTCCAGGTAAGACCTAAACCAGTCTAGGGCTGTGCCAGTGACACCAACCCAGTCCTCCAGTCTCTGCATGAGGATCTCATGGTCGACAGTGTCGAACGCGGCACTAAGATCTAACATGACCAAAACTGTGACTTTACCTGCATCAGTGTGAAGTCGAATGTCGTTTGTTACCTTCACTAGAGCGGTCTCAGTGCTGTGGTGGGGTCTAAACCCAGACTGGAACATATCAAAAGAATTATTCATTGTTAAAAATTCAGTAAGTTGTTGGGAGGCCACTTTTTCAAGAATTTTTCCAATGAATGGCAGATTCGATATGGGGCGATAATTTTGAAGTCCCGCAGGATCCAGACTGCTCTTTTTTAGGAGAGGTCTTATGACTGCTGTTTTTAGGGCCATAGGAAATGTTCCTGACGACAGAGACATGTTTACTATTTGTGTCAGTGAAGGTAACAAACTGCTCAGGACGGACTTCAGAAATTTAGAGGGCAATATATCCAGGCTACATGTGGAGGAGCTCAGACGCTTCTCTGGCTGTTGCATTGTTATACGTGCTGTGGAGGTGATAGTGTTTTTGATTCCTTGTACTTTGTCATCGAAAAACTGTGCGAACTCATTACACCTAGATTTAGAGGAAAATTCTAGGGGCAACTTTACAGGGGGGTTCGTTAATCTACCAACTGTTGAAAACATAACACGAAAATTGTTACTGCAACCTCCAATAATGTCAGAAAAATACATTTATCTTGTTCTACGTAGAACCCGGTTAAATTCACCCAACTCATCTTTAAAGATTTCATAATCGCCCTGGAAATTGGACTTTCGCCACTTCCGTTCGGCCCTCCGGCACTCTTGCTTCTGTGCCCTGACCGAGTCTGCCTTAGTCCATGGGGCCTTTTTCTTACTGGTAACTATTTTAACCGTCACAGGAGCAATGGCGTCCAGAACAGTCAGAACACTGGTGGTGACAGAGTTATACAATTCATCAACAGTAGAGCATGGAGTTCTCAAAATTTAGCATTCCCATGAACAGTTCACTTGTGTTTTCATGTATGTGTCTTCTTCTAACAATTGTAAATTCAGCTGGTGGTTTGCTAGCAAAACACATGTCAAAAAATACACAGAAATGATCTGACAAAGCAACATCAACTACATTAACATTTGATACATTAACCCCCTTTGTAATTAGCGGGTCAAGAGTGTGCCCCCTGCTGTGGGTGGGGCCACTCACGTGCTGAATGAAACCAAAGGTCTCAAATACAGAAGCCAGCTCCTTTGCATTTCTGTCATCAACATTATCAACATGTACATTAAAATCACCTGTAATAACCAAACTATCAAAATCTGTGCACACGAATGAAAGTAGTTCAGTAAAATGGTCAATAAAATCGCAACATGACTATGGTGGCCTGTACAGGACAATGAAAAGAGTAGAAGATTGCTTTTGTTCCATTTTAAAAGAAACATACTCAAACGATGAAAAATTTCCAAGGGGCATTCTATGGGAGACAAAGTGCTCTCTAAAAACTGCAGCTATGCCTCCCCCCCTTTTGTTTTCCCGTATTTCGGATTCGAATTTAAAATTGGGTGGTGTTGCCTCTATTAGAACTGCATTTCCTGTATTTTGGTCCAGCCATGTTTCAGCCATAAGCATAAAATCAAGATCATAAGAAGTGATAAAATTATTAATTAAAAATGATTTGTTACATAGAGATCTGACATTAAGCATAGCAAGTTTAAAAATAACGTCAGAGTCGATTAATGTGGTTGATTGATTTCAACAGGGAACAGAAATTAGATTTGCAGAGTTGGACCGTCTAACTGCTGTCCTGTTTTGATTTCGTTTTTTAGAATTTAAAAACATTTTTGAGCTGGTGCGAGGAACACACACAGTCTCAATTGGCCTAAAATGTGAAAACCCTTGTTGTTGTTTAGCTCCCAGAGTCAGAAGGGAGTCAGCACAGTTCAGTGTTTGGACTGGTAATGCACTGCCAGACGGACAGGGAGCAGTGTTTGCACCGTTGTACTCACCCGGTGCTGGTGAGCAGGAGGCGGGGGAGTGCGGTGGGGTCCGAGGGGGCTCAGATGTAAACAGTCACGCCCCCCTCGGGGAACGCTGAACAACATGACGCATGTAATCCATCAACAGGCTGCTACCGTATCTGTTTGGGTGTAATCCGTCTGGACGATAGGCTTCGTAACGTTTCCAGAAAAGGGCAAAGTTATTCACAAAGACAAAGTTAAAAGAGCTGCATGTAGCCTGGAGCCACATATGCAGCGCCACAACACGACTGTAGAGGCAGTCACCTCTGTTTACAGTCGGGATTGGACCAGAAATAAAAACAGATAGTCCGGAGGATTGAAGGAGGTGGAACAGATCCATAAAATGTTTCTTCGTGACTTCTGACTGCTGAAGTTTCATGTCGTTAATTCCCACATGCACGACTACCTTGGAAACGGTATCAGGCAGGGACTGAAGCAGAGGAGGGAGACGGATGAGCAGGTCTGGTACAGTAGCTCCGGGAATACAGCGAGTGACCGCGTTGAAGAAGCGGACGTGTCTCACGATGGAATCTCCAATAATCAGAGTGGTCGGGGCGAAGAGTGGCCTCGGAGAAGGAGCTCGGTGGACGGAACCAGCGGGTTCACCCGAAGCAGGACCGGAGCCTGAGCGCCGCTGAACACATGGAGAGGAGGAGCGGGGGTGCTGACTCTCAGCTACAGGCGACCCACGCTGTGTGCTCGGGAACGCTGGAGCGGTAAGAGGGGCTGGCTCTGGACGCTAGTGCTGACCCGGTGGAGGTGAGCGGTGGTAATGATGGCTCGCTACCCCAGTCTGAGGCTGCTGCACTGGGGTCAAAGAAGGGGAACAGGCCAACATGGCTGGTGGACCGCTCTTTCGCCTGAGGACTGCTTCCTTTAGGAGCGTTTTCCTCGTAGTGGACTTGGATCCTCGAGCAGTAGAGTACGCTGCAGTGTCCAGGGATTCTGCTGAGGGGGGCGGGATGTCGGTGGAGAGGGCTGCATAGCGGTTTGCCAGACTCAGGACATGGGCCACGGCGCAGGATGGCTCCTCGGAATCCGCGGGCTCGTTATTCGGAACCGGGCGCTTAGGTGTAGAACAGGAGGGTCCGGAGCTGACGGATCTCTCCCACACGACAGTGTCACAATATGCAGTGCTCAGTGACATCAGCCGTGAATGCTGCCCACCAGCGACTTCAAAAAGTTTGGATACTAGAGATTGTTTCTTCTTTTCGTAGTTCTGCAATGGTGGCACGGTCGCTCTCACGGTGCTCCAAGGTGAGGCGACTAATATTGTGCATGTTTGAGCCAATTTCATTGTCACTTTCCATGTCCTCGTTAGCTTGTGTTAGCCTCTGTGCTACTAGTGGGTTTCAGTCGGGACTAAGTGCTATTTGCTGAAACCACTGAATTAATAAGATAAAACACTCAGATATATTAAAAAACTGAACAATAAAAACGCGCTAAAAAGTTGTTAAAAGTTTACTAAAAAGGTGCACAGAGCAGCCCTGCAGTACTGCTTACTTTATGCTGTTACTTACAGTAACTTTGGAAAACGAAGCCGCGGGGATGAAGCGCATAAAGTAACAGCAGAAAGTGGCTGCCCGCTTTTTATGTGCGGACCTCTTTACCGCTGACTCCGAAAAGCCGGGCCACTTTACAGCGGTATGAGAACAGAGAGGGCGAGCCGCAAGAAATGCGCTCCACTTCTGCTGAGGAGGGAGCCCACCAAGCCCATCACTGTGTCACTACGTGAGTAAAAATACGCAAGCCTCCTTTTTTGGGCTGGACAGTGCAGCTTAGTAGTGGCGCGAGTCTCTGCGTTACTCCGTATCAAGGAAATACATGCTCATTGACGGGAAGGACTGTTGAGGTGGGGGGTCGCGGGGGAGCAGCGCATTTATGATGGGGGTCGCGGGCTAAAAACTTTGGGAACCCCTGCTTTAGAGAAATATAAAAGATTCAAGGTTGCTCCAGGTTTGGTCAAGTCATATATGTCATTAAGACAGTAAACCACTCCTTACTGTCCTGCTGGATGCTTTTTGTCAAGGCATTCATCAAACACAATCTCCTAACTTGAATACAGTTTTAAAGCCGTTTCAATAACTTGTGGCTACCGTGAGCTGAGAGCAGTGTTGGGCCTCACCTCTCAGCCCGGTAGCGCGCCTGCTGCCTGAGGCCTTCCTCGATGCTGGAGCTCAGGGCTTCCTGGTTGTGCAGCCGGTTGAGCCTCTCAATGACGCGCCTCTGATGCGCCTCATACTCGTCACGGCTCGGGTAGATTTTGGAGATCAACGCATCAAAGTTGGAGTCTTTGCGAAGCGAGCGTCGGGACACCAGCTTCTTTCTGCACGTTGGACACTCTTTGTTGCTGAACACAGTTGGAGGGGAAGTGTTATTTAGAACATTTATATAGTTTATAATATGATATTAAAGCTTGTCTTACCATAATTATATAGTTTATATATAAATGATAAAACTATTATAAACAAGGTGCTCCACTCTGCAAAGAGGTCTGTGAGCTTTGAGCTTCCTGTTCTGGAGGTTCTTTATGAATCCAGACTCTTAAATCAAGCTCTTAAAGTAATCAATGACTCGTATGGCCCGTGGTAGAAAAGTCATGTTCCAGCTTCTTCCTTCAGGCAGACGATATAGTTTGCTGAGATGCAGAACATCTTCATATGCCAACAGCTTCTTTCCTCACGCTGTTATCAGCCTGAACACTGTAACGATCTTGCACTTGTTTAAACGTTTTTTGTTGATTGTTGTTTGGTTTAACAGTGACAATTGTTTCTTGTACCTTTTAGCTTGTTTTATTTATGTATGTATTTGGAATACATGTGCAAACGTACCCCAGAAAGCACCAGACAAATGGCGAATAAACTGAATCTGAGTATGTGTAGGAGTCTACAGCAGGAGTCTCAAACTGGTTCCAGGTTGCCGGTTTTCATTCCAACCAAACAGGAGCACACCAGACTCCATACATTTCCTCAAGTCTCCAGGTTAAGACTTACTTGAGGAAATGGGTGGAGTCTGTGTGCTCCTTGAAAACTGGCAGCCACACCATCCCTTTGAGGACCTGGTTGACACCCCTGGTCTACAACATTGGATCTATCGATATTTCACTGATACTTCCTAATGACTCGCACAATAAACAGAGGGGTGGGACAGTTTGCCTGAATCTCTTAATTCTGATTGATAGTCCTGATCCATGATCTCCTCAAACACCACCCAGTCCCTGCTTTTTGCCCCTGCAAAAGCTAGCATGGTGCGGTTAGCCTGTTGGACAGCTGTCTCAGGAGTCCCACAACACTTTTGGCCGAATATTGGTTTAACAGGGACAATTGTTACAGCCTGACGGCATTCAGAGTGCTTGCCCCAGGAAAAGCAGCAGAGGCCTAATGACCACAAGTAAGTAATCTTTATTTATATAGCACCTTTCACAGACCAGAGTCACAAAGTGCTTTACAATTGATGTGGGCATTTGTCTCAGACACAGATGGGAGCGAGGTTGCCAGTACAGGAGGCGTATGTCAGACCTATTGTACATGTTTTTAGTGGTAGGGACCACTCTCTGTTCTGATCGGAATTCGAACCCAGGACCTTCTTGCTAAGAAGTGAGAGCGCTATCCACTCAGCCACCGTGCCGCCCTACATTGAGCAGCTGCGATGAAGGAGGAGAACATGTTCTACTATCCCCTGCTCCCCGAGACCTGGAAGAAGCTCTCCCGGACAGTTCTACCCCTCTCTTTGCCCGAGTGTCCAAAACACACGGCCGGATTCCAGACAACAGTAGAAGAAAATGGTCCTATAAAGTAACTGAAAACCGTGAGCATGCAACAGTTGTCAGAGAAGCCAGGGTGAAAAGCCGCAACACTAGATTATAAATAACATGCATAAATCCCTCAAAAGTGTAAAGGTTTCCAGAAGGATGGCGCATTCTTAAGAAAGTAAAAAAAAATTAAGAGCCTGACCCTGATCGCAGAGCGGTGACGATGCAGTCGGAGCAGAAACGATGCAGACACTCTTTGGTGGTCATGGTGTCCTTCAGCATGTCCAGACAGATGGGGCACATCAGCTCGCTGTGCAGAGCGCGTGGAGAAACTGCCACTTCTGTTCCATCCATGATGGCCTCCTATAGCCAAGACAGCAACATACACTGATGAATATAGCACTATTCATACATAAAGCCATTCAAAGTATTATACAAAACAAGGAAAGAAATATAAAAAATTTGACAAACAATTAAAAACAGAATTATTTGTATTACAGCCGTCACTAAACATGTTCACATAGAGCTCAACAAGGTTGATCAAGACCCTAAAATACTTCTGTCATCCATCGTGACAACCTCTTTTAGTACTTTGGAAAACTCAATATTTAGCTACCCAAACTCTTCTCTTATTTCAGATATTTATTTAGTAGGGAACCAAAAAAAAAAAAAAAAAAAAAAAAAATGGAGCAAATGATCAATTTGCTCTACCATTGGCCTTTGAGCCTGAGGGTCGTGTGGGTTCGAGCCCACCATAAGACCTACTTCACGACTGCTGTCGTAGTGTCCTTGGGCAAGACACTTAACCCCACTTTGCCTGAAGCCCCCACTGAAAGAATGAGGAAGGATCAGTGAGGAGCTGGTGTTAAGTGAATTGGGTGCAGCTCTGACTGCCACCCCCTCAACCCAGAAATGGATTAAGGGGAAGAAAAATGGATGGATGATCAATTTTCAAAAGGTTGATACTCATCTAGACATATCATTGGCACACCACAAGGCTTTCGCATCAGCAGGCACTCACCTGTGGACTTCGGTGCAGTTCATACAAACTTAACTCCCAGCTTTTACTTGGAGCTTGGACGTTAACCGGAGCTGCCATCTTTTCACAGACGATTCTCACAAAGCTGCACATGTAACAGAGAGGCACGGTGTTTGGTGAGACGGTGGTATTTTTTATGTACATCATTTCAAATCTTTTGGTGAACACAACATACAATGGGTGGTATTCTAAGGGATATTCACCATCTAATTATATATGGTTTAACTTCAATACAACTCTTCCACTGATATACATAAACATAAAGCTAATACCCCAGTGTTACTGTAATGCACAGGAGCTACAGAGCAGGTTTTTTTGTGCCTGTTCGCTGGTTTTTTTCGACCCATCCATTTTGCTATGACCAGCAGCCAATATACCAATGTTGAGCATTTTATCTATGGTACATCAAGCTTAAAGTGTTTTGTTTTCCCCCCAAAACACTAGTGTAATGAAGCTAACCCTGCTTAATGTCCTAAGATATATTAACCTGTAATAGAATTACCAGGTAATTAAGAGTAGTACTATCTTCATTCCACCCTTTGTCTTATTGGAAGACATCTGTTCAATTTAATTCAATTCCATTTATTATTGTATAGCCCTAAATCACAACAGTAGCTATCTAGGTAAAAATTGCCAGCACAGATAAGAGAATCAAACAGTTCAAACACAGGAAATGAAACAAAAAAATACACAGACCCATTGGTCCATAAGGAGCAGATAACCAATGTCCATAAATGTCTTAAGCATGGAGGATATCAAAACTATTTTATTTCCAGTAACAGGAAATTGCAAACAAGGAATTTTCTTTGGCTCATGGTGCAAACAAGTAACACTCAATACATTCAATAGACATTTAACAGTGCGAAAGCATAACATGACAGGCATGAGACAGTGATGAGTTATGAAGTGTTCATGAGTCCAACAGTAGACGAGAAGAAACTATTCTTGTGGCGGGAGGTTCTGGTCCAGATGCACTGAAGCATCCTGCCTGAGGGGAGAGGTTGGAATAGTCCATGTGGAGGTGATACGACCAGCCCGCCTTCGAAATTGGGCGTTGTAGAGGTCTTGCAGTGATGGAAGGCAGATCACTCTCTAGGAAGAGTGTCTGATGCGCTGTAGTCTCAGCTTGTTCCTGACAGTGGCTCCAGCGAACAACACAGTGATAGAGGAAGTGAGGATGGACTCAATGGCCTCAATGGCCATTGAGGTGGGCTCCCATCTGAAGAGCACAGGGAGGGACAATAGAAAACTCCTCACCGACCAGCCCACATGTGTCAAAGATGCAAGAGGTGTATGGGGTAGAGGGGTTACTTGATTGGTTTATCTGTCGTATATTAACCACACAGAGTTCACCATATATCCCTAAGATATTATTGTCTTGTGTTTGTTCAGTTCTGTGCCAGCGTTCAATTAATTCAGGCTATAGTCCAGACAAGCATCGAACCCCCGCCCTTCCTGCTTTGAGTCCTCAACCTGCAGTAGAAGTGGTCAAAGAGGTGCACTGTGGTACTTGATATAGTTTGATTAATATGAATTAAAAAAAAGAAAAAATATACAATAATTACGCACAATATAAACCAAACAAAATGGATTATATCCATAAACAAGGATGTGATATAATAATGGTGCATAATTAAATTATATTATTATGGCAATTAAAGGCTGCACATACATCAAGTCAGTACTCTGGTTGAACACACATGCCCATAACATACTACAACCAAATGCTAGACATCATCGATGATGCATCCTATTCTTCTCATCACTGCATCATCCATAAAGCCGAGTTCTTTACACATTTGACGCGGTTTGAAACACATAGCTAGTATCCTTACCTCACTTCACAGACGGACAGCTGACGAAGGAAGAGAGACCCCCTCCCCTAAACATGTAAACAAAAATATAGCTTATATTTCCAAAAATGACGTGCTCATGCGTCGCATGGGGGCTGCTAGAGGACAATAAACGAGCTTTAAATGTTATAGGTGTGTTGAGCTAGCCTCTGTAGCTGATATGAAGAGAGCCATCTTTCTTCGACTGTTGCCCGTGTTATGATGAATTGTGCTCCCCCTGATTGCCTTGAATCTCAAACTAACGAAGCTAGCTGCGTCAGTTATAAAGAATGAACATTGGACACGCTATGATATAGTAATGGTAAACGTACTTACAATACATATACATACATAAAAATAGTAAAGACGGTAATTTCAAGCTTGGGTTGTACTGTCTACTATTCACTATGTTGCCATGCTAGCTCCCGCGGTTTAAACTTTAACCAAACTGTTCAAATTGCAAAAATGTATTCACCAGAATCCTATAAAACCATTACATGACGTGAAAATTCACCTATAAAGTGTTTTTTCTTAGCGTTTGTTTGACACAACGGTAAGGGTTTACGGGGGCAGATTATTCCATACCACCAAGGAAAATGAAAAGAGCAAACCTATCACAAGCGTCCTACTTTGGGTTTAACCAATTGCCTACGCTCTTGCTCGTATATAGGCGGGTGTAGAGGTCAAATTGGACACTCCCCTCTGAGACAGCACGGTAGGTTTTCAGCATAACTACCAGAGCTCCTGTATAGGAGGAGCTTCGTTTACACCATGGATTTATAATATTTGTTTACACCCGCGTGTACTAGTACTTTTAAACGACTCAGTGGGCAAATAGCACTGTATATAATTAAGCACTTTAACGCAAGAAGATCAGAGGAAATATAATATATAAACACTATAATTTTCTATATAATACTCTTTGATGAGAATGACTTTGCATGGTCAATAAAGGCTGCAGAGTTTCAGATTCAGCTGGTGGTGTGGCGTGTGATTGTTTAAAATTAAGTGCACTGCCCTAAAATGTTAAGAAACACTGTGTTAAGAATTCCTTTATTCGTCCCACAGTGGGGAAATTTCAATGTTGCAGCGCACATATAGGACAGTAGTAAGAGCACACAGGGAGCACACACAATATATACAAATAAGTAGTAGCTATGTTTCTTAGCTAACATAACTAGCTGTAGATGCTGAAAATGCTTCGATACCAGTCAAAATATATATATGTAGTAGTGCAGTTATATACTGTACAGTTAAATAGTGCAGGATAATAAGTAGATAAAGTAAAGTGACATGAGGTAAAGTGACATTGTTCTGTGACATTCTGAAGTTGCAGTATTGCACATTGCATATGATTTAAGAATTTACTTAATTACAGATGAATGAAATTTACAGGCTCAGAAGTTCTTATTGTACAGTCTGACAGCAGCAGGAAGGAAAGACCTACGGAACCTCTCGTTCACACAGCGAGGGTGAATTAGTCTGTCACTGAAGCTGCTCTCCAGAGCAGAGAGAGTGTCCTGCAGGGGGTGACAGTCATGGTCCAGCATAGATGTTAGTTTGCTCAGGACCCTCCTGTCCCCCACCTGCTAAAATGTGTCAAAAATGTTAACGGATTATTTTTGTGTATAACACTTATCTTAATTAACGTGTCAAAGTCCTGGCCGTAGTTAAATGTATGTGTGGGACTGTGTCTCAGGGCGTGTGTGTGCTTGTTCCTCTGTGTGTGTATGTGTGCCTGTTAGAGGTGCACCGATCAGGAATTTTTTGGCCGATCACCGATCATTAAAATTTTGATCTGCCGATACCGATCATGGCCGATCCGATCAAATATTGATATTTTTAGTGATAAATGAATAGGACTAGTTATTCACTTTACAACTAATATTTCAAAACCATCAATGTACTAGGTAGTATAAATAAAATGCCCTGGGGTACTCAAGACAAAAAGGTTGGGAACCACAAGTATACGTTACAGAGCCTTGAGATGCATAAAAATAAATACAATGAAATACAGCAATACTGTATGGGTTGCATTTCTAAACTGATTAAAAAGAGATAGTTGAGGCAATGTTTTTTCTTCAGTAATATTAGCATCTCAGCATTTGCAGGGGTTTATTACGTTTATCATCCTGAATAGTCCCGCTGCGCTAAACAGCCGCTCACTGTCTGCACTTGTGCATGGAGCGCAGAGGAAAGCTCACGCTGCTTTGGCCAAAGTAGGGAAGCGCCTTTTATTTTCCTTCCAATAAACAAGCGGCTGTCTGCTCCGAGGCGTAACTACGTAGTGTCGCTAAGTAACGCTGCATCTGCGACACTGTAGGACTGTCTGTATTACCACTACACTCATCTTAATCCAACATGTCTGTGAACATAACGTGCAAAGTCCCGACACGGGATGAGTTCAGCGCCTCGCTGCTGAGTGTGTTCGGTGTCTGCGCGGTGTGACTCTGGCTCGTTATTATAATAGATCCATGCTCTGGCTGGGCTTGAAGTGTCAATGTGAGAATATACAGTTTGGTATAGCTGCGGCAGGCAGACATCAGTCAGATATTTCCGTGATGGCATATTGAAGCAGTGGACATGAGCTGTTTGAACCCAGCGCTTTCCGCTGGGTTCAAAAGGACAAGGGCTGGGGGCAGAGGGAAATAAATTCCATAACTTTCGTGCATATTTCGTGTTGTTTTTTTACCGTCATTACTGTGTGGTTGTTGCCGCTGTAGAATCTCTATAACTGATGGCTGCATGAGTTGCTTGTTTGCGCAATTTTGACGAGAGAAAGTAACTTGTGCGCATGAATCCTCATGTCATCTGATCGGTCTTTTTGATCGGCACATTTCACCGATCTCCGATTACGCAAATCAAGCCGTGAGCGGCCGATTATAATCGGTCACTGATCGATCGGTGCACCTATAGTGCCTGTGTCTCTGTATGCGTGTGTGTGCCTAATGTCTCTCTGTGCTTGTGTGTGCCTATGTCTCTGTGTGCCTGTGTCTCTCTGTGCGTATGTGTGCGTGTGTCTCTGTGTGCATGTGTCTGTGTGTGCGTGTGTGTGCCTATGTCTCTGATTGGATCTGAGTTGACCGTGACACGCCTGAGTGGTATATGGTAGGAAATCGTAACTTTTGCTTTTGAACCCCTTTTTTGCATGTGTACAGACCAATGAAGGAAACAAAGTCTTGATACAATCACAGATGTATCAAACACAAAAGTAAAGCGCAAAGCCAATAATTTACAAAGTACGTATGTCTCTTGAGACCAGGTCCAGATGAGGGGAATGCTCCGGTCACTCATTGCTCGGTGGTAATCTCCTCACTTGTGTGAACTAAGGGATTCTCAAACAAATAAATATAACCACAACAACTTAAGTACAAGCACAAAACAGAATGCCAACACGTGATAGAGCAACATATAGCACACTAGCACAGGAAATACGTTTTTTGCGTGGCTTGCTATCGATAGCTAAATGTAGCAAGCTCACTGTGTACAACAGACAATCAAACTTATACACAAGTAAATACATTCCAGTGAGAGCTTTGGGCCAACGGGATACGTAGCTAACCAGTTATATCCAGATTTACCACAAACTAGTCACAGATCAAGAGCTGGGCGATCTCCCTGAAAACCTTCTTGTTCCGTGTTGTGCTGTCAAGCTGCCTTTGAATTCTTTCTTCCTCGTCGACCGACCGGGACGTTGACTTTTGGGGCTTTCTGTGCGATTCCATTTCTCTGGAGTGAGGAGGACGTAGCAGAGCAGCTGGTTTTAAAGATGGCAGGGTTGAGTTGTTTTTACCATAGGATCGGAAGTCGCTTCCGGTGACGACACGCGTTGACCAATCAGTGTAAGCTGAGTCACGATATGGTGTATCTTCGGCATGGAACCACTGTTGAGGTGGTTAGAAAAAAGTATCCTGATCCCAAGCCCAATCCTAGTGGAAATGCAAATACTGTGACTATGGAAAAGCGGCATACAGTAGGTCCCATTTCGTTTTGTCGCCTTTCACGCATGAATCACACGAGACTCACGTGTGATTCACGCGTCTTTTATTTATTTTTTCCCCAGTGATGCTGCAATGACCCAAACAACCACCAGGTGGCACTTGTGAGCAGGGTTAGGAAAATTGGCTTCTCATCGGTCTTTCTTCTCTGTTCACCAGACAACTTTCTGTGGCTCTATAGCTCAATGATAAGGAGGTGGACTCTGGTGTGAGAGGACTCGGGTTCAAGTACAGTCTATGACACTTTTGATTTTGTTGACGTTTACATTTTTTCTAAAACATACTTAGTAATTAGGCCAACACATTTAAAATAGTTGCTAGACTGTAGTAAACTGTTTTAAACTTCACAATCTGCACCAACCAAACTGCAGGAAAAAAATTCAACTTTATTCAGTAACGGAGTAATCTGATTCATATACTCCCCCCGCTAATAAAAACTGAGGGTTGGCCGGGGCTCGAACCCCGATCGCTCAAGCGAAAGTCTTGGACCATCCTGCTACACCACACAGACGCTGGAGAAAACACTGGATCTAATACTAAAGACCGATGAGTGAATGAGCCGTGCGGATGTGCGGGACGCTTAAAATGCCTTATATGCAAGTTAATGCAAATGTTTGCCATATGATCTGCTACTCCTGTGCACACTCAAAGAAATGAACTGTGGTCGCTGTAAAAGTGATTAAGGAATATTGTGTAAAATATACTTAAAAGTGTAATGGTGCGTTCAGACCAAACGTGATTTCTGCGGCCAAAGCGGCGGGTCTACATTGACACAACATGGGGGACGCGCGCCAAGGAGCGGCGAGAGATCACGCGGCGCGAATTCGAGCGTTTCGCGCGATTCGCGCGCCGTGTTTTGAGATGTCAAGCGTTTTGACGCGCGTTTCGCGCGATTTGTGCTTCCAACGCGGCCGCCGCTAGAGTTGAACAATGTTGAACTTTTTGGGAGAATTCGCGTGTGCCGACCAATCAGGAGCTTTCTCCTACAGTGACGTAGTGACGCATTTCACTACCGGAAAAACACTGGTAGATGACAGCTATGGAGAACACGT